TCGTTGACCTCCACTGGTGCTTTTGGTTTCTACGCTGCTTGGAATATTGTTGGTTTCTTTTTGGTGTTATGGTTCTTACCAGAAACTAAAGGTTTAACATTAGAGGAATTAGACGACGTCTTCGGAGTAAGTTCTTTCAAGCATGCTCGATACCAAACCAATCAATTATTCATCAACCTTAGAAGACATGTCTTACGTCAAAAAGTTGCCGACCAGCCTCCATTGTACAGCCACCAAAGAATGGCTGTTACAAATCCCGAATGGAATGAAAAAGCCGAAGTCTCTCATGTTGAATAGTCACAATCTTGTGATAGTATCTCTTTTTCTTGTCGTACTGCCCTTTCTTTTTTATAGGTTAATAAATGTAATGATACACAATATGGAAAGTAAAACTGCAAAATACTGCGATTTTTTTAGATGACTAGATATTTGGGGGAACCCTGGGGAAACCCAAATCCAACAATGTTAGTTTGTCCCATAGAATCCGGTCTTATTCTTGGTCCCTGTCGCTAACTCAGCTGAATGAAACAGCTGAGGCAATCGTAGCAAAAGAAAAGAGAGCAAAGTAAAGTACTGCTATATATCTAATTATAGAATAAAGATACGAAGATCTGTAGATCCTTCTGTTATGGGTATCTTCCGACCTATTGCTTATTGCCTTCGGTAATCTCTAGCATTTCACCCAAGTTTGTCGTATGTTTTAAACAGATTAGTAAGATTTTTTGCAATTTTTGTTCAATATTCCAGCAAAAATGAGACCTACTGTATGTCTACAACAAGCCCTTGCGAGCTAGCAACAACTATGATTCCTATAATAGGCTCCGATTGAATGGGTTCTCGTGGAAAGCTTTCACTAGCAAGCAAGCAGTCATAGTATTTGACTAGTAAACATCAATTTCCGGTAAACATCAGTTTCCGGCCATTTTAAACCTTAGTTAGCAAACCTACGTAATTAATCTTCGAAATATTCTACGACATACAAGAACATATTGGCTTGTCTTAGGTGATTCTTGATATACGATTTGACTTGTAAGATGTAGTTACACTAGGATCCAATCACCAAGATCCTTATCGAGATATTTCGCTCAACTCCGTAATAGGAATGTCAATCCCAGGCTATTTTTTTTTTGACATAGGCGGAATCGCCTCTAGTATAAAACCATCCTAAAGTCTTCAAAGTCTTGAACTTCCAAGTAGTCTTACAAACAAGAATGGCCCGACTCAATGACGAGTACTTAAAGTACCTTTCAAGATATCCGCTTTTAACTAAATCAATAACTGCTGGTATACTTGCCGCACTCAATGAATCCATAGCTTCGCTAGTAACCAAAGACATAAAGACCCAAAAAATCACGGTAAGAAATCGTACAATACAGTTGAAACATGTTTTCAGTCCCAAGATCCTCACCATGATAGTGTATGGGAGTTTAATTGTTACTCCAATATCTCATGTTATGTATGGGTTCATCAATAAGATATTCAAGGGACCAAATTTATCAAAGACAAAGAAGATTGGCCAAATCTTAACTTCCTTGTCAACTGTAACCCCAGCATTAGGAGCGATCTACGTTAGCTGGTTATCGATCATTAATAATTACGAAACTTGGAGTCAAGATATCAAAAAGATACCCCTGGTAGTTAAACAAGGATTGAAACAAAGTTACTTCACCATATTGAAAACTTCAGTCATGACATCTTTAGTGTCATTAACAATTGCACAGAATTTCATTGATCCAGAACTCTGGGTGGTATTTTTCAACTTTGTCTACTTCATAATTGGAACTTTCCAAAACATCAAGGTCAAAAAGGCTCAACAACTGAAACAAGAGAAGAAAGATTAGAATAGTTTTCTATCAATTGAACGTTTTTATAGATGGTAACACTCGATATCGTAGGATTCGGTATTTGCAACCCATATCCCCTCACCATTTCGCATTACCGGGGATAATCAAGCAACAAGACCCAATCAATTGGATATTCGGAGTTGCTTTGCTTTAATAGTAATAAATGATTTTTTCTCTTAATTTTTTTCTCCTAGTATTGAAAATTTGAAAAAAAAAAGATAACCTCCTCCCCACCAATTATTAGTAATCCCATAAATCAAGAATGTTTTTAGCTAAAAGTGCCAGATCCTTGAACAAGATATCAATTGGCCAATTGAGAATGCTTACCTCGCAAGCCGTTATATTTTCCAAACACGGAGACCCATCTGAAGTATTAAAGAATCATAGTTATGAAATCGATGATTCCAATGTTGAATCCGACTCAATTATAGTCAAGACTTTAGGAGCACCAATTAATCCATCGGATATCAATCAAGTTCAAGGGGTGTACCCTTCCCAACCAGAGAAAACCACAATCTTGGGCACCGAAGAGCCTTCTGCCGTTGGGGGTAATGAAGGATTGTTTGAAGTGCTTAAAGTTGGTTCAAATGTTAAGAATTTCAAAGTTGGTGATTGGTGTATCCCATCCCAGGTTAACTTTGGTACATGGAGAACCCATGCTTTATGTAAAGAGGAAGACATGACTCCATTACCAAACCCTGAACAATCGAAGGCTAATGGTAAACCAAATGGATTAACTATAAACCAGGGTGCTACAATTTCTATCAATCCATTGACTGCTTACTTAATGTTAAACCATTACGTAAAATTACAACCTGGTAAAGATTGGTTTATCCAAAATGGTGGTAATTCTGCCGTTGGGAAATACGCAATTCAAATTGCTAAGATTCAAGGATACAACTCATTATCAGTGGTCAGAAACCGCGATAATTTAGATCAATTAGTGAAAGAATTGAAAGATTTGGGTGCAACTCAAGTTATCACTGATGAAGATAATAACCTGAAAGAATTTGGTGCTACTGTCAAATCTTGGGTTAAAGATACCTCTGGTGAAATCAAATTAGCATTAAACTGTGTTGGAGGTAAAAGCTCTGCTGCAGTTGCAAGAAAATTAAATCCAAATGGTTTAATGTTAACATATGGTGGTATGTCAAAACAGCCAGTTACTTTACCAACCTCTTTACATATTTTCAAAAACATCACCAGTGCTGGTTTCTGGGTCACTGCTTTGACTAAAAATGATTTCAACTTGAAAAGATCTACCTTGGATAAAGTCGTCCAATGGTACGAGGAAGGTTTGTTAAAAGATGCTCCTTCAGTAGAATCAAAATTCACCGGTGAAAAACAATTGAACCAATTATTCATCGACGGTATCGAAAACTCTAAGAACGGTAAGCAACTCATTACCTTCCACTAACCTCTCTACATAGATTATATCTGACACCTTTCCCTAATATAATGTAATGATGTAACGACGCAAGGTCGAAAGCTCCCTGCAAGGTCGAACCGGCACCTCGATCAAACAATCGCACCGCTTCAGGTGTTCGTCTTTTCTTTTTTTGGCCTTTTTTGGCCTTTTTTGACCCTGTTTTTTTACTTTTGTATGGGAGGTCGTGTGCCCACCGCCCGTTTTTTTCGGCCCATGAATCGAGATGAGGTTTTCAAAACGCCGGAATATTCCGTTTTCTGAGCTGAAAGCTCCATCGGAGCCAGCAAGAAGGTCAGGCTCATAGCATCAATGAGAGAGTAGCACCAGCGAATAGCCAACTAAAGCAGGACAGAACGAAAAATGGATATGTTGTTCGGGCACCGGCGTTCAAATAGGATCGGGGACCAAGTCCCGTGTAGTAAAAGCTTATCAGTAGAGCGCAAAAAATGCTGTTAAAATCAAGAGATGGTACTTTATCAATAGAATTCAACTACTTGTGATCCAATGAAATTTGATTCGGAGTTTTTGTAACGTTGTACAGTTTCGTTTACTCCAGTTTTCCCCGATCTGATTTGAGATATTTTAGTTTTAATTTAAATTTCAACCTTTCTGCTTATCTTTCTTCTTTATCTATTTACATTATATTTAAATTGTGCTAATGAGTCGTGCTTTATCGTCTTCAAGAGTTCTTATACAAGAAGAGCTTATTCCAGCTACTATAATCTACTCGATACAAACGGGAAAGGTTTTACATATAGAACATCAGATCTTGGATAGTAAAGATGAGATTTTGAAAACATTTGATATTTCCCCCAATGATTATCGGGACGTTTCTCCATATATAATAATGCCAGGGTTGGTTGATGCCCACGTTCATCTTAATGAACCTGGCCGTACCGAGTGGGAAGGCTTTGCTACGGGGACTCAAGCAGCGGCTTCCGGGGGTGTCACCACGGTTATTGATATGCCTCTTAATGCTATACCTCCAACAACAACCGTTGCTAACTTCAATTTAAAAATTGATGCTGCAAAGGGTAAAACCTGGGTTGATGTTGGGTTTTGGGGTGGTTTGATTCCCACTAATTTGAATGATTTGAATCCTTTGATTTCAATGGGGGTTCGTGGGTTTAAAGGGTTTTTAATCGATAGTGGTGTAGATGAGTTCCCGGCAATTACTCCAAAATATATTCGTAAGGCAATGCAGAAAGTTGCAAATAAAAAAACTTTACTTATGTTCCATGCTGAAATGCAACCTCATGTCGATAATGTCCATGCTTTATTAGTAGAACAGATTGGTAATAAGACGCCAAAGTTAATTGCAAATGAACGTCATGCTCAATTCGTGATTTCTGATGACGAGTCAGACGAAGAGTATTCTAATGGAGTTTCAAATGGCGTTTCAAACGGTGGATCAAACGGGGTATCAAACGGAGTATCAAATGGCCATTCAGCCCAAAAACCAATTGCAATTTCAAAAGAATGCAGTTTGAATGGGTTGGCAGAAGAAATCGATGATATCGATTTGGGTATGTCTGCTTCTTTCATTAATCGTGCACCTAAACCAGTCCTTAACTTATTAGCAAAGCACCCCCATTCTGATAAAAATAATATTTTACCTAATCGTAAAATTGATGACTCTAATTTGACCGATGAACAAGCAAAAGCATTGGCAAAATCTCCTTATTTAGCCGGTTCTGAACCACAATTTGGTAAATATGCTAGATTAGCAAATCCAAATCATGATGAATATTTGAAAAAACAAAAAGAAAACGAACTCACAAGTCCCTTGGCTAAAACTTTCGATTTCGATACTGAAAAATTAACTCATGATCATCAAAAGACTCCGTTGTCCTTAGCCCAACAGGATAATTCCTTATTAGAAAATATTGACCCAACTTCTTATGCATCATTTTTAGCTTCACGTCCCGATAATTTTGAAACCACTGCGATTGCAGAAATTATCAACTGCTCAACAAAATTCCCAAATATCCCATTACATATAGTCCATTTAGCAACTTATGAAGCCATTCCATTAATCAGAGCAGCTAAATCTCAAAACTTACCAATTAGTGCTGAAACCTGTTTCCATTATTTATCATTAACTGCTGAAAAAATCAACAACTGTCATACTCATTTTAAATGCTGTCCACCAATTAGAACCGACGAGAATCGTAAATTATTATGGAAAGCATTAAGAGACGATATCATTACAACCGTTGTTTCTGACCATTCCCCTTGTACTCCAGATTTAAAAGGTTTAGAAAAAGGTGATTTCTTCTCAGCATGGGGTGGTATTTCTTCAGTCGGTTTTGGTTTGCCAATCTTATTCACTGAAGGATCAAAATTATCCCCTCCAATCACAATAAAAGAAATCAGTAAATGGTGTTCTTGGAATACTGCAAAACAAGTTGGTTTAAGCCATAAAAAGGGTAAAATCGATGTTGGCTATGATGCCGATTTCTTGATCTTCGATGATGAATGTGAATACATAATTGTTAATGATGAGACTTTCTTCAAAAATAAATTAACCGCTTATGACGGTATGAAATTCAAAGGTAAAGTCAGACAAACTTTTGTCAGAGGTAATTTAGTATTTGACTTAAAATTGGGCCACTCTAAAGTTGCTCAAGGTAGCTTAATATTAGAACCAAGATTTGAGTGAGTTTTTTTTTTCGCAACATATTTCTACATACCTTTAGACCTAGCATTTATGAAAAATCATGATTTATTAGAACTCTCTGTAGTAGACTTGATATCTTACTTAAACTTAAATGAAATAGAGGAAAACAAATTATATTGAACCATACACATAAATTATATAAAAACGAAACGAGGAGATAACGACAAAACACATACACTGATAATCATTAATAAAGAATCAAAAAAAAAACAAAAAAAAATCAAAGCAATAAAAAGCAGCCCAGACATAGAAAAGCTATCATAATCAAAAACTTAAGGTGGAATTTAAATCAATTCTCTAGCAGCAGAAGCAGCTGATGGTTCAGGCTGAGAAGGTTCAGATGGATGCTCATCTTCCAAGGGAAATGGAGGGCGGTCAGCATCTTTTTCGCCAGGTGGAGCTTCACCTTTATGCTGGCCTTTAAAATTTTCATTTTTATGGCCCTTACCTTTATGGTGTTTTCCTTTCCTGCCATTTGAAACATCTTCATGATGTTCAGGTTTGATATCTTCAGTTTGGAGTTCCAAGTCGCAAGGAGGAGGAGGAGGAGGAGGAGGTAAGTTATGAGGTCTTGCGTGATGAGGATTGAAGTGATGGGGTTTGAATCCATGTTTAGAATGGTGGCCAAAAGCATCCATGTCCGTCTTAATTAAATGAGATTCGTAAGCTCTACCAGAAGAGAAAACCCCGTAAGTTACGAAGACAATAACGGCAGCCGATAATATCTTTTTATACTTTTCTCCATCTTTTCTTGAATTCTTACCATGGAAGTAAGGTAAGTCCATGTCATGAGGACGATGAAGAAAATGATGATGATGAGGAGGAGGAGGTGGTGGAGGAGGAGGTGCTAAACCATAAACACCAAACCTATGATGGGGTGGAGGAGGTGCACCAAAAGAACCAGTACGGTGCTGAGGAGGAGGAGGAGGAGGAGGAGGAGGATGGAAATGTCCCTTGAAATGTTCGGAATTGGACAATCCCCTACCGCCGTGGCCACGAGAGTGAAGATGGTGATAAGGTGCATTTTGATATCCTTCACTATGGAATTGGAAATGATGTGGAGGAGGAGGAGTATAAAATTGGTAGCCAGCCCCATACCCATAGGAGTTTTCTGAGTCACCAGAACCTGTCTCTTCAGAAGTGGATTCTGTTATTTTCTCAGTATCAAACTCTTCGGTATCTGAAGAGCTTAATTCTTGATGTGTTTCATCATTATCTGCCTTTTGATCTTCCTCAACAGATGGAATTGAATGATATAAAGGTAACTCGGAATCCATGTTTCTAGAACCAACCATTTAATTAATATTATAAGATTATATAAGTGTATAAGAGTAAATTATCAAAATGAAGAGAAAATATCAGAATACGGTTAAAAAAAAGGAAATCTTTCTATATTTATACCAAAAACGTACATCCAAATATGTATATGTGTCAGGCGGTGACCCAATTTCGGTGTTTGAAATTCAAGGCTGCATTAATTTCAACTGCATTTTTGACTTTTCTGCTTTAATTTAATTATTTTATTGTCTCCTTTTCGTTTTAAGAAAAAATCGCTTACAGTTGTTTAAACATGGCCCTATTTTTAACAGTTCCAGCATCCAGCAGACATATTTTATTTTTCATACTTCTGTATGACCTTCATTAAATTATTTGAAAATTAGGAGAAGAAGTCACTGGAGGGCGTAACAAGGCACATTAGCGGGAGTTTTCTGACTGAATTTCCGGACCGATAGTTTTCATCAGGTATTATCTAAGAATAAAGTTCCTAAGGTTTTAGAACTCTTAAGAGAAATATCTTTGTCATTTTTTTTCGTATTCAAAAGTCATTTTTGTCTTGCATAACTCAGTTAAACTTTTCACCTCTAGCAAGCTCCTATTAATCATGTAAAGGTTTTACAAGGCTTATAGACATCAATTTAATTGGCCGGTATTTGAAAACCGGGATTCATGTGCAGCGGCGTTTTGCCTTCTCTATCTTTTTTTTTTTTTGGTGGAAAGCAACATCCAAACTTGCACCACGTTTTAGGTAATAAGCCGGAACGCCGGGCATTAAAGTGTCAAGTCATGCAAGGCCCTCCAGCTACAAAAATTTATACGTTTGGAATTACATTGCAGAGAAATGATCAAAAATGCACAGATAGTAAAATATTGAAGATATATACACCTTGCCGGGGAATGAAGATGTCAAATTTGCCCACCACGGGACTGATAGAAAACATCTATATGATTGGTTCATCACCGTATCTTTTTCTATACAAACCTAAGGCTTTTATTGGGAATAAGAATTTGTATGATGGATATTCGATAGCACAACTATGATTAAACACCCCTTCCACGTCTTCGAATTTCCATTCACCGGTAGGTAATTGGCGTTCCATGATAAGTTTGATGGCTCTCTTAATTGGTTCTTTATTTGGATAATCAGAAAGAATTAATCCAATTGTAGCCCAAGCTGTTTGAACCAACAAGGATTTTTCAGTAGGTATATATGTATGAGTTTCACAAGATTTCATTGATTCTGACCATCCACCGTCGGGTCTTTGTTTTGAAATAAGAAAATCACAACCTTTTCTGACTGTTTCCGAATTCAAGTAACTCAATCCAACAGTATTAAGGGCTTCCAAGGCAAACATTGAAGCATAAGTAAAACAAACCCCCCATGAGCCATACCAACTACCATCAACTGAATTTTGTGCTTTGATAATATAATTAATTGCGTCATCAATAGCAAATTTAATTTCATCACTTCTATAATGTGGATAATTTTTTGCAAAATATGTCATTCCCAAAACTGATGAATCGGTACATTCAACATAAGGATATTCCACCATGATTTGGTTGAAAACTTCTGCTGGATTTAACTTTTCTAATAAAGGTGTTGATCTAATAATTTCATAAGCAGAAAATGATCCATATTCAAAGTCCCCTCTATTTTGAATTGTTAATAATACATCAATAGCATTATACAAATTTTTATCTTCGATATCATCTTTAATATCATGAAATGTTGGATCATTTCTAACCATTATGATCGCTTTCATGGCTTCAGCAGTGCAATCACTAACGGTATAACCCTGTTGTTTAGTACTGAAGGGCCAACCTCCTATTCTTTTATCTCTAAAACTTCCTGGTTCACATTCCAGATCAAACTGGGATCTAACTAAAAATTGATAACCTTTACGAATCATATCATGATATTTAGAAGATTCCAGTAATCCTGACATATAAAAGTACTGTATCATGAATGCAACGTCCCAAACTTGGACACCATTGGTACCCATATTAGTCATACCTTGAGGACCATGGAAAATCGTATCATTTTTACGTTGATTAAGTTTTTGGAAAGTTTCAGAATTTGGACCTTCTTCAGCGTATGCAACAATCATATTAAAAGCAAAATTGACAGGAGCAATACAAAGATAGTCAGTATTCTTAAATTCTTTTTTAATAAATTCATAACTTTTCTTATTAGATAATTTCAATAACCAATTTGGTCTAACATATTTTTCATATTTAACAAGAGCCCAATTGGCTAAGTCCAAAACTTTAGTATGAGGATAATATAAATCAACTCCGCAAACATTGTTTCTATGCTTACTGAAGTCAATATTTTCGTAAGGTAATTGTTTTGGTAAATAAATTTCAGTACGAATGTCTCTTAACAAGTCATCTAATTCACATTGTAACTTATTAGCTGAAACGTATCCTAAAGGTAAGTAAATGGCTCTAGTATGAACCCACCATCTACCTGGATGGATTGGTAAGGAATATGGTAATAACCATAATTCAGGTGGTGCAGGATTAACACCTTCCCAATCGTATAAATTCAAGACAGATAACCATGCTTTTCCCCAATGAGGATTCCCCAACGCACCTCCTAATCTGTGCAATGTTTTCCTGGCCTTGACGCATACTGGATGGCTAGCTGGTAGCCCTAATAATCTTAAATTCACATAATTAATGGTAGTACCGAAACATGTTGACTTATCAATTGAGTGCAAACCCCAACCGCCATCAACTGGATGCGCAGTATTCACTATATATCTAATCATCTCGATTCTAAAAGGCTCCGGAATCTCACTCTTAGTGAAAATATGGGCTGCAATATACCCAATAGTCATAAACATAGGACCCTTATATTGGCAAGGAAATATCCCACTTTCATCTTGTAATAACTTGAAAAAATCAGCTCCCTTTTCAGCAGCCTTTGACGGCGTCTTGATATCCTCAGCCTTTGGAGTTGGGAATCCCTCAACACCCAATAAATATTGTGTAAACGTCGATTGTGGAATCGACTCACTTTCTTCAGCACTCAAATATTGCCAGGTTTCAGCACCATACTCATCTGTCTGCAATCTCCAACGTCTTGGATCAGTTTGCTCAAGACCTAGCTGCTCAGAATAATACATCTTCAAAAACTATCTTCTTCAACCAATTGTTAAGAGCTAAACAACTCGTAGTTGCAATCTTTCAGTTTCGTCCTTTGGGAACTGCTCGTATAGATCGATATGCCAATCACGTGAACCAAAAAAGATCCAAACACCTCAAAGGTTTGGTCAAGACACGCCACTCCAATACACCTCTTCCCGGACAAAAGTCGTGCTTTTGCTAAATAAAATTGAGAGAACCGCGAAGATTTTTTTAGTTACTCATCTTAAAAAAACCAAAAATTATCAACAGAAAAAGAAAAAAAAAAAAAAAATCGAAGAATCCATCCCAGCGGTTAACCTTCGATAACTGTTTAGTCCAGGATAATACAGCAGGAGGCTCATTTAATATTATAGCCAGGTTACTGTTTGACTCAAGGCTTTGAAGTATTGAATCGTTACACTTTATTAGTTGTCTGAGAGTTAGTTCAGTCGATATTTCACGAATTACCTTCGCAAGATAGTCTCAAGATGGGTAAAAGAAAGATAAATCAAGTTACTTTCAACCCGGTTGACGAAATCCATAACATCGAGGCTCGTTCAAGCAGCGAAGAACAAAATGGTCATATAGAGGCAGCTGAAAGACGAGCAGTGGAAATAGAACGTAAGTCGGACGAAGCCAGCGAGGATGAGGAAGAAGAAGACGACGACGATGATGAAGAAGAGGAAGAAGAAGAGCAAGAAAGCAAACATCAAAGTGGTCCCCCAAGTAAAAAACAAAAGAAACAGTTGTCAGCACAGGATATTCAAGTGGCTCGAGAGACTGCCGAGTTATTTAAATCTAATATTTTCAAGTTGCAAATAGATGAGTTAATAACCGAAGTCAAGTTGAAAGACGGCCATGTTAACAAGATTGAAAAAGTTCTTCACAGATTACACGATTGTATTACGCAAATTCCTCCTGCCACTGACCTTAGTTTGGATGATGTCAACAAATTATTTGATTCCAAAAAACTTGTGATCCCATTCCCTGATCCAAAACCAAGCAAGGTTAATTACAAGTTTTCTTATTTATCTCCAGAAGATGTCAGTCTTGTAGGATCGTTCGGATTAAAAACAGGGATTTCCCAAGCCTCTGGAAGTTCAATAGACATTACCTTAACCATGCCAAAAGAATTATTTCAACCAAAAGATTATTTAAATTATAGAGCATTATACAAAAGAGCATTTTATTTGTCTTATTTGGCCGATAACTTAATACCCCTTTCTAAAAAAAATAATCTTCCAATTAAAATCTCCTATAAATTCTTGAATGATGATGTATTATGTCCTGTCCTTAGATTGGAAAGTATTAAAACCGATAACCCTGAAGACTTATCCTTCCATAAAACAAAATTTACTATAAATTTAATTGTTGGGTTCCCCTTTGGTGTTTTTGATGCTAAAAAATTATTACCAGATAAAAATTGTATCAGAGTTCAACAAATTGACGACTCGAAAAGTCTTCCTCCAACTCCTATTTACAATTCCTCATTAATTTCACTGACTACATATGACTATTACTTAAAATATTTATACACTCACAAAAAATCAACTGAAGCATTTAAAGATGCTTGCATATTAGGTAGATTATGGTTACAACAACGTCGTCTTGGTTCATCAATAAATTCTGGTGGGTTCGGTCATTTTGAATTCGCCATGTTAATGGCTGCTTTGTTAAATGGTGGTGGTGTCAATGGTAATAAAATTTTATTACATGGGTTTTCATCTTATCAATTATTCAAAGGTACTATTAAATATTTAGCCACTATGGACTTATCATCAGGTTATGTTTCATTTTCAAGTTTAATTGGTGAAAACATTACCTCAAAATATAAATCAGATGGTTTTAATGTACCAACTTTATTTGATAAAAACGTTAAATTAAATATACTATGGAAAATGACTCAATCTTCATACACAATCTTACAAAAACAAGCACAAGAAACTCTTGGCTTGTTGAATGATGTTGTCAGAGATAGATTTGACCCTATCTTATTACAAAGTTCCCAAATTGATCAAATGAAATTTGATATAATTATAAACTTGGATATTCCAGAAGATGTTTTTGATTCTTTTGGTCCTTTGGAAAAAATCTCTTTTATCACTTTTGATAATTTCGTTAAGCATAAAGTGTATTTGATTTTGAAAAATGCCTTAGGGGATAGAATCACTCAATTAAGCATCAAAAGTAAAAAAGCACAATCAAATTTTCCAATTAATAAAAGAAAACCCTCAAGTATGAGTGATAGTTTTTCTATCGGTCTTAAATTAAATCCTGATGAATCAGAAAAATTACTTACAAAAGGCCCAAATAACGAAGATGAACAAGCAGGATTAAAATTCAGATCGTTCTGGGGTTCTGTGGCTTCCTTAAGAAGATTTAAAGATGGTTCGATCCAACACTGTGTTGTTTGGTCAGTAAATAACAGTGAACCAGTTGTATTAACAATCATCAAGTATGCTCTTGACTTGCATTTTTCTAATCATATTTCCGATCATTTAAATTCTGAAATTACCAAATTCAATAATTTCTTACCAACTCCTTTATTAGGATCTGCTGCTCAAAGTGTCTCATCAACAGTTAGTTTTACAAATTTGAAATCTTCTTTTGAGGAAATGTCTAAAATCTTGACTAATTTAGATCTACCATTAAGTATCAAATCCATCATGCCCGCATCGACTGGTTTAAGAAATTCTTCATTATTGCAGCCTGTTCCATTTGCTGCATCAAATCCAAATTTCTGGAACCAGGTTGTCTTACAGTTTGAAACATCAACTAGATGGCCTGATGAAATAAGTGCTTTGGAAAAAACAAAAACTGCGTTTTTATTGAAAATTAATGAAAAAATTAATTCCGAAACTAATTATAGTTCATTCATTACCAAAGACGACTCAGTTCCATTTAATGAAGATATTTGTTTACTAAATATATTGACTCCAGAAGGATATGGATTCAAAATAAGAGTTCTAGCTGAACGTGATGAGGTATTATATTTGAGAGCTGTTAGTAATGCAGAAAAACAAAAAGCTCTTGTTCAAGAAGTTTATTTAAAGTTCAACCAGAATTACTTAGGTTCAGTTAAACATACCAGAACCGTTAGTGTATTGGCACATCATTTCCCATTCTACTCACCAACTGTTAGATTATTCAAACAATGGTTAGATTCTCAATTATTGTTACACCATTTCAATGATGAATTGGTTGAGCTTATCGCATTGAAACCTTTTGTTGACCCAGCTCCTTACAGTGTTCCAAATTCAATCGAAAATGGATTTTTACAAATTTTGAACTTTTTAGCTAATTGGAACTGGAAGGAAGATCCATTGATTTTAGACTTGGTTAGAAATAATCCAGGTGAAGATGATTTTGATTTAAGTGATAAATTATCTATTCAAGCCTACCAAGTTATTCAAAAGAATTTTGAAAAAATAAGAAAGAGTGATCCATCTGGTATTAAGACTCAGTTCTTTATTGGTTCAAAAGACGATCCTTCAGGTATCTTATGGTCCAATGACCTTACTTTACCAATTGCAAGTAGATTGACAGCATTATCCCGTGCAGCCATCAACTTAGTGAAGGCTCAAGGTATAAACGATGATCAATTAGACCTTCTTTTCACTCCTGCTTTGAAAGATTACGATTTTGTTATTAATGTTAAAACCACCGATTTAACTGCTTCTTCAGGAATTTTACCAGCCAACGCTTTTAAAAATTTGATTGGCTCCTTAACCTCATTTGCAGATGACATCACAACTCTGTATGACTTAATTCAAGAATTCGTTAAAGAATTGAATAAAAAATTTGGTAACGCTATCATTTTCTCAACTAGAAAATTCACCGGGTTAAACAAAAATGGCTCAAATGTGATTGGCTGTGTTTTTATTCCAACCAACTTGGCAAAGAAAAAGTTTAGAGTAAACTTAGGCTTGAACTTCAAACCAGTCGAAGATAGCAATGACGAAGTTATAGTAAATAAAGAAGCTATCATTCATCAAATCTCTCTTTTAGGAGGTGATTTGATCGAAAGTATCAAAAGCAAAAAATAGGTTTTGCAATTGTATTATAAATAATCCTGTATAAACTTAGCATATAATTAGATTTTTTTTTATATCTTGTATTAACAAACAGAGCTGTAGGAGGAAGAAGTTTATGGTTTTACTGAAAAATTTGGGGCAATCATCGTCGATTTGCGTCACGTGCACCAAAACCCGATAGTTCTCGGGACTTTTTGTTTAGTGAAAGATGCTTTCTTTTAAAGTGAATAACCATTTAGTCAGAAGAACCGTCATTAATGGCACCAGATCCGAATTTAGAGGGCCAGCTACGAGACTTCGATGACCAGAGGTATCCTACTGTCGAACAAACAATTGTCAATAATGCATCAGTGCTATATAAACGAAAGAAATACTTCTTACAAGATTTAAGACAATCAGTTAATGGTATACTTTATATCTTCAATGGTCTAATTTTCCTTAAAGACATGTCTGTCTTATGCTTAGCATGTCGGTGCTTTATTCAACATACCATTCATCATCCATCGGTGGGATGGTCGATTATCGAAAATAAAAAATCATTAATGTGCTTCACCATTCTACGTATTATTTTCCTCAACTTGGTCTTTTTAGTGGTACATGTCATAAGTGGAGTTTATCAAAAGGAACACTTGCTTGATAACTACTTGCATGGCTGGATTACAATTCAATTTATAGGGGAAGGCCCCCCATCGTCTAGATATTCCTTGGTGATACTAGATTTATGTACATTTTTCCTACAACTAGCCTACCACAGCCTAGTGCTATGCACCGATGACTCAGAGGTCTTGCAAACAAGAAGACCCGACATGAACCTCGATGGTGACGATTACTACCTGAATAGACTTGAATCCGAAGGTGACGGATATACTGGTAACGTTTCGCTCATCAAGCTTGACTTGGTGAAAAACTTCATGGAGGTTTTCGACTCGGAGAACTACGGCAAGATTGATCCTGGGCCTTTTGTCGGCAGGGGCCCTGCTGGCAGCTCTTTTGTATAAGTATTAAGTATAGTTAATGTTAATGTCATTTAATTTATATCTTGACCTCCGTACACCGCACGTGACTCTCATTACAAAATTTTACTGAGATTAAAAAAAAAAAAAAAAAGATGAGAAAAAAATTATTCGATGCCTTTAGAAATATCAAATCTCATCATCAACTGCTAAAGAGATAATAACCTAGTCTAGTAGCACAGGAAGATACAATGGCTGATTCCAAGATTGTCGGGATAGAGTATAACAGAGTGACCAACGTCTCTTCGACCGATTTCCCTGGTCACACCTCGAATGGAGACTACTCTTGGGACATTGAAAAATTTAAAGATGGATTTGATATTAATATTTCCACCATCTCTGAAAGAACTGCCAATTTTGATTTGGTAGGTATTGACACATCTATTGCCAATGCGTTTCGTCGTATAATGATTGCGGATGTTCCATCGGTTGCTGCTGAGACCATTTATGTTTTTAATAATACCTCAGTTATACAGGATGAAGTATTAGCTCATAGAATAGGTTTAATTCCATTAAAAGTTGATCCTGATTTATTAACTTGGGTTGATACTAAAGAGAACGAAGAAAACCGTTTCACTGATGAAAACACTATTGTCATGTCATTAGATATCAGTTGTACTAAAAACCCGCATGCACCAGAAGGTTCAACTGATCCAAAAGAATTATATAGAAATTCAAATGTTTATGCTAAAGATTTGAAATTTGAACCTCAAGGACGTCAAACCGAATTATTTAAAAATAGCCCAGTTGTACCAGCTGATCCAGATATTTTATTAGCCAAATTGAGACCAGGTCAAGAAATTTCTTTAAGAGCACATTGTATCTTGGGTGTTGGTAATGATCATGCTAAGTTTTCACCAGTGGCAACTGCCTCTTATAGATTAATGCCAGTTATTGACATCCGTGAACCAATTACTGGTGAATTAGCTAAAAAATTTCAAAAATGTTTCCCACCAGGAGTTATCGGAATTGAAAATGGTGAAGCAAAAGTCGAAGATGCAAGAAAAGACACTGTTTCAAGGGAAGTCTTGAGACATGCAGAATTTGACGGTAAAGTCAAATTGGGTAGAAAAAGAGATCATTTCATTTTCAATGTTGAATCTACTGGAGCCATGGCACCAGAAGAAATTTTTGTTAAATCAATTAGAGTTTTAAAACATAAGGCCGATTACTTAAGACAATGTCCAATAGGTCAGTAAGACTACTCCTTCTTTTCAAGATACTTGTATAATACTATTTCCTCTATTTCATTTTAATAAATATACTGCATGATTAAACTACAATATTAGTATACATTCGATAATTTTTAATGGTAACTATACAATATTTTGTTGGTTTCAAGTAAATCAAACCAATTGTTTTCTTGAACCTTTAAAGAATAATTGAACAATGGTAATTTGTAAGAAAGCCATACCAACCATTAATAAAACTTCAAAAATGGAAAAGTAATAGATTCTAGATTCAGTAGACTTAACAGTGGCTTGATTTCTATTATTTCTGGTTTTATAGTATTGTAAAGTTCTTAAAAGACCATCTAATTGAGTATCAATTTTATCAACGGTTCTTTTCATATTTTCAACATGAGCAATTGGTTTAGTATTTGGTTGATCTGGCATATTGGCTTTGAAGTTATTGGTATTGGTATCTTCAAATTTGATTTCAAAATCAACAACTTTTTCTGCAAAGGTAGACATTCCATTTGAGAAACAGAATTCATATTCTCCAACAATATCCGCTTGGAAAACAAAATCCCCCAGTCTTTCCTTTTCTTCCTTTACAAGTATTTCACCTCTTGGTGACTTGATAGTATAATCAACGTCGAAAGCACCACCACTTTGAACAGCAAAGTAATAACTAACTGGAGTATTTGGTTTAGTAGTGAAAATGTAAAAACATTCAGTTGCTTGGGCCCCCAATTGGAAGGTTAAGGCTGAACCTGAAATAAGTTGACATAACGCCAACAAGACTGATACGAAAGTGAAAAGCATCGCAGCTACCTACCGGGGTTCTTTATCTTCAATGTTAAAAGGGTTCTTCTTGGAAGTTGTTGTTGTTGATTCCCTCGCAAAAATCCATTGGAAAATTGTTAGCAAAAGACGTGTCAAGATTTTTGAGTATGGAAAAAAAGGGTCGTGCGCTTTGGCGGTGAAAAATTTATTACGGTACTAATTAAAGTATTGAAGTACTTATTAAAGTACTAATTGAAGTATTTTATTATACTGATTATGTTTACGAGGCAAGATACTAAGAATGATGTGTATAATACTATGTACAAGACATTAAGAGAAGTGAATGAGTTATGGGGTGTAGACCATACGACCTTCTTTGTCGAAACTGACGGCTCTGTCTTTCTTACGATCTCTTCTGGAAGCACCGTATCTGAAACCAACGTTACCTGATTTAGCCTGGATGAATTTGAAATCGACTTTGTCGCCTTTCTTGGATTCACCCATAACGACCTTATGATGTTTTTGTTGCTCTTCGTCATGAGTGTGCTTGGTGATGTTTTGCAAAGTTTCACTAGCTGGTTCCAATCCCAAGACTTTGGCAGCGTCAACTGGACCAAAAGGTTCTGATTCGGAAATACTCAAGAAACGCTGTTGCAAAGTTTTACGGGGAATTGGAATTTCGGTCAAGTTTTCTGAATGGGAACGGGCTGAAAATAATGGGAACATACGGTACATTATCTGGGAGAATTTTTCAGCGTCCTTGCTTATTTTATTCTAGAATTATGAGTTAGTAATTGTTCAAACAACAATCGTTGTTCTTTTCCATCAGTAGTAAACTTCTAACCATGTAGTTGTCTTAAAGACTAATCGAATATATTTTTTAAAAGTATTCTCATCATAGAAAAAGAAAGCAAAAAATCATATACATACTTCTTGTCTGAGTCTTTTTTCAACTTTAGCCAATGTCACAATGGCCTCTACTCTATCAACCTTGATTTTATAATCGTTGGCAATCACATGAGGTGACACCCCTTCTTCAGCAACTCGTTGGTATATGACATCTTTTAAATTATTAGGAATGATCGAGGCAGTCTTACATGCGAGATTGGTGGGGAACGGATGGAGCGAGGGGTTTCTACCGTTTAAACGGTATCTCGAGGATGGAACCTGACTTTTGGTCGAACTCACCACCGATTGTCCATCGGGAACTATATAATTAGGAGTGTGGTTCTGCGGTGGGTAGTAATACTTGTTTCTGAAATACTCGCCCCTCACGTTTCTAGGCCCAAGCCATGACTTCAATTGTCTGTTAAACGAACTCGAATGGTCTTTCTTGGGATGGGTTAATGGTACTGCTTCTGCTTTATATTCGGTGGGCCAGGCAAGAGTTCTCTTCACATGGGCCGAACGCACCAGTTGCAAGCTCCCCCCTCCACATCTTCTCATCAGCAGTCCCACTATGCAATTAGGACTGGCACGGATCATATCAAACACTAGATGGTGAAAAGAAGAAAGAAACAAATCAATTTTTCATTCCATCAGAGAATTTTTCATCGTTTTTTTTTTGAACGAACAAAAAAATTTGTATAATGTCGCGTTCGAACGCGACAATGTCGCGGTGACGACATTTATTTCCAAAAGATGTCGCGGGTAATCGCGACATTTTATTTGACTGTTTTGTTTACGTTAAAAATTTTCTAGAGCTCTACAGAGACCTATTGATTCAGCAAAGGGTTAAATTGGAGTTGAAAAGCCAGAGAAGTTGAGTTAGGGCAGCTAGTTGAGAGTGCAAGATGGAGAACATATACACCACGCTACGGAAACTCAAGGAAAGAGTGTCACCTTCCAAGCCAAAGGAGCCGTCTTCAAACGCGTCTGAAAATCAAGTAACGTTATCCAGAAAGAGGAAATATTCTAGTGAAGACGATCCTTTCAATGATAAGCATAATAAGACGTTGTTGACTAATCCTTCTACCGTTGACACCAGCAAGGTGAATCGAACCAGGTACTTTACGCCCAATGCCACCGAGATTACCAGTGGATCACCATTTATAAGGAATAGCAATTTGTATAAGCAAATATCGAATCAAGGTGGATCCAAGCCGGTTAGAAGTAAAATGAGACCCAGTAAGGAGACGGAGGGAGAAGCTGGGGATGATGTTGCATTGGTTGATGATAAGGAAGCGATGATGAAACGGTCAGCCAGTGTCAAATTGACAAAGATACCTGATATTACTAACGAAGAAATAAATCGAGCTTTGGGAGGTAGCTCAACGATAAAAGAACCATTGAACGTGATTACGCCAGAGGAATTGAACAGATACTCAACTACAGAAAATAAGAAAACTGATGAAGAAAGAGATCGAGTACTTAGATTGAAACAAGAGCTTGATATCCCTGAAGATGAAGATGAAGTTTCTTTGGAAGTGTTAGAAGAAATGAACAGACTAGAAGAATGTTTCCCAGTCTTAGCCACCAACTACAGACTTATTGATAAAATAGGAGAAGGAACGTTCTCTACCGTTTATAAAGCCGAAGCTATAAATGGATCAGTTCAATTAGGTTCAGATATTTGGAAAAGCCCTCCATTAAAGAGAAGTTCCCTGAAAAAATTACCTAAAAAGAAGAAAAATCCAATAGTTGCATTAAAACAAATCTATGTAACTTCATCCCCTAACAGGATTCATAATGAATTACATTTATTATTCAATTTAAGTGGGAACTCTCATGTTGCTCCACTTTTAGATGTTTTAAGGTATCAAGATCAAGTTGTTGCAATACTACCATTTTATCAACATGCAGACTTTCGGGATTTTTATCGAGATTTACCTATTAAAGGAATCAAAAAATATTTATGGGAATTATTTCAAGGATTGAAATTTGTCCATGAAAGAAACATCATCCATCGAGATTTAAAGCCCACAAATTTCCTATATGATCCATTTAAAGGGAAAGGAGTGTTGGTTGATTTTGGCTTAGCTGAAGAGGTGACTCCTTCGAAAAACGTCAGTTCTCGTAATAACGTTTGTCCCTGTGAACTGAATGAAAAGGATAAAATACAAATTAATAGAATTCATCAAAATCGTCTCAACGTTAAAGCAGCATATCCAAAACAAGATCAAAGACCTCCTCGTAGGGCTAATAGAGCTGGTACAAGGGGTTTTAGAGCTCCTGAAGTTTTGTTCAAATGTACAAATCAAGGCACTAAATTAGATATATGGTCAGCAGGTATAATTGGACTTTCAATATTATCTAGAAAATTCCCATTATTCAATTCACCTGATGATATTGATGCATTAATAGAATTAACTTTAATATTTGGCGTTGAGAAAATGACTAAATGTGCAGAACTTCATGGTTGTGGATTTGAAATCAATTTATCTCATATTGGTCAACAAAGTTTCAATGGAAACTTAGTTAAATTAATACATACCTTTTTACAGTATGAATGGGAAAATGATACTTTCCCACTGGATAGTGTTGTTGTTGACACATTAAAATATATTGACCCAAAAACTTATTCAATGATTAAACCAACCAAAATTCCAGAAGGTCAAGAATCTGAATGTGGTGATTTGAATGATTATAATCAATATAAGCAAGATTTTGAAGGTTATGATGATTTGAAAAAACTCTTACAATTATTAAACGGTTGTTTAAATATCGATCCCCGGAAAAGATTATCAGCTGAAGAAATATTAAAATTACCGTTTTTCAGTGAATTGGATCATGATCACGATGATGAAGTATTGATTTAATAGAGTCAATATAGATATGTATGTATATTATACGTAAATTATATAAATTAAAAATAATACAAAAAGGAAAATTTAAGAATCAATTAATCACAATTATTACGAGCTATTAATTTATCAACTTCGCTAACATCTTGAGGGACGTCTTCTGCATCGGCGATTTCATCTTCTTCATCAGTGCAGAAAGAATCACGCCTAGAACGTTTTCTGCTCTTTCTAGGACTCACAGGTGTTATTGAAGTTGATGAATTTTTCAAAGTTGAGGACGAAGGACCAGCCTTCGAATGATGCAAAGGAGGATTGGAATTTTCAATGATTGATTTATTCCATTTACGGTTTAATTGAACAATGAGTTTATTTTGTTGTTTTAAAGTGTTCATTACTGGCTGATCATTATTTTGATTATTTGATGAAACTGAATTTAAAATCAGGTATTTTGAGCTTGGCAGTAACGGAGAGTTTGAATTTGGAGAGCGTTTGATATCGATGAATTTGCTATCCAAATGTTTATCAATGTTTTGATTATGTGGAGAGTTGGCTGATGAGAGTAATTCAATTTGTAAATCTTTTGAATAAATCTTCTTTTTTTTCAGGTATATAGACTGTTGAATTAAATTTTTAGAATTGAGAGGATTTGGAGCTTTTGTCTTTTTCAATAGTTTTAATTTATCTTTTGGTGGAGACGGTGAAGGCGTTGTTGACGGAGAATTTTTCTTTTTATTGAGATTTGTAGGAGTAGTAGTAGGAAGTTTGGGGCTGGAGGTTGAAGTTGGAGAAGAGGACGATGACGAATGGTTGAGTAGATTGGGACGAGGTAATGAATTGGCGAAAGCATCAACATTCAAGGATAAAGGGGAAGGCGCCGACTCTGTTTTCTGATTAGAGTCCTTATTTGAATCAGGATGAGCATTGTTATAATTAAAGGAGAAATCTTTATTAAATTGGGTTGAGTTTTTCCCCAAAGTGATTACTTTGGAAGATTCTGATTCCGAATCGTCATCAGAGAGAATAGCACTTGAATTTTTCTGATGACGAAATCGATTTGCAATGATGTAGTTTTCAGGGACGTTGAATGAATGAGAGTTAAATAAAAGATCAGTATGATTATGACCATGATGGAGGTTATGACTGTGATTATCAAATTCATGATTAGGAAGGTGAGGCACTGGGAATTGATTATTCAGTAATGAAACCAAAGACGTATTACTATTATTTCTAGTGGTTCTCATAATACCATCGTCGATTGAGACTATCGAATTTCTAGGACTACCAAGGCTGATTATTGACATGGACCGATTATGATTTGAGTTGGAATGGTTCGATGTCACCGAATTCATCGACAGTGACCGTTGTTTGTGGGAAAGAACCGCTTGTGGTTTGAGGATATGAGGACTAGTAGATCCACTGATTGGTTCAGATGAGCTAAGCGGACTATTTCGATCATGGGCATTCATGGGAGGCACACCAGCGTGGAAACCCGACGAGGAACTCATTTGTTTCAATCAGCCTTCGACCAAATCTCCATTCAAGCAATAGAAAACGAAACCAAACAAGCAATCAGAACTGATTCAACTGAGCACTAGTGCAGAGATGGGGTATTAAATGCACGATGGGCTTGCCAAACTTGATCCAAAAAAAGAAACACTCCGTCGTGAAACAAAACACTAACGAAATGCAAGAGAATACAAAGTTCTTAAACGAAGTAGAATAATATCTATTCAAAAACAAATGATCCTGATCCCGAGAAAGAATTAGACAATAACTTTATAACCTGAGTCAAAAAAACAAGAAAACAAAAAAAAAAAAAAAATTGAAAATCGCACCGGCACCGCACCGTTTGACGAAACCTTGATTAACCTTTCCAAGTACCTTACTAGTGTTTACTGGCCGTCTAACAGAAACACTGGAACCTGGAGAGTAGTGAGCAATTCACATTCGAGCGAACTCCTGAGGTGGAACTACTCCACCACAGCTTTTACACAACTCGATAAGGGTCCGGGTCACGTGAGCGTGGTAAAATTTTCAAAGCTCATCGCCAGTCCAGGACAAAGCATCAACACCGGTGGAGGTACAAAGGCTCCGAAAGAAGCATATATACGGTGGAGGGCAATTACAGTCGGAGTGGGATTGTGTTCCGAGTCAGGGGTAACATCTGTTTGGGTTTCAAGGCCCCCATTGGAGCTGCTAAGGCTATCGGCTGGTGATTTGAATGTAGTGTAGTGCTAGGACAAAATCATCCTTGATGGCCCTTTGTTAGCCATTATCTAGCAGTTGAATTTGCCGTAATGCACAGTCTTTCGTCACTTAAGGGTAGTTTACTGCGAGCCCCATCTCAATACAAGGAACCTGTAGGGATTATCTTATCGTAAATTGGTACTAGTATTACATGTACGGCCTAATCCGAGGGAAAACTCTAATTAAATACTTATTAATTTAATTAAGCATCGATTAATTTACAATTAAGCTATTCACAAGATGAAAACACTAACAAAATGAAAAAAAAAAAATAAAAAGTCCATAGTTAAGGGACGCAGGGAAGAAAAAACCTTAAAAATTGGCCAAAAAAAAAACTAAAACAGGCAGAAGTCGCCCTACTGAAATATTATCATTCATAAAGCATCATATCCGCCAGTTGATTACGGTGAAAAGTGGATTCAATTGTTGTTGTGGCGTGTGTCCTGATCGGTGTTCATATTACGACTAGCTCTATCAATTGCCTGTGAGAAGTTGGAGTCTGTTGACTAGAAAAAATAAGTTTAGGTATTACCCACAGTTTTTTCAGAAGCAATCATGAGTTCTTCCTTTTCGGATATTCCAAGTATACAAATACCTAGGAAAGGGTCCAGAAGTGGTGCTGACGAGCCGGGAGACTCCGGACAAGACCAATTGAGAAAAGGCTCGTTGAATCCAGGTTTTATTCAATCGTTTTCCAATACTAATAACTTTGATTTTGGTGGAAGAAGTTACGTGGGGATGACTCAACGTTCGGTGAGTATCTCCAACCTAAACCCACCGGTGGTGTATTCGGGTCCTGACGTTCATGAGCAGACTGCCAATTTGGCCAATATCGGGGTCACCGATGATGATCATATTGGCGATGATGACGCGGACGAATTGGTGGATATTCACTCGGGGTTCGACTACGATTATGCGTCGTCGTTTCCTTCTCCTGCTAATCCATCGGAAGCCGACGCTTCTAATCAAATTGATATCGAAACTCCTTTACTTACTTCTAGTTCTCCCCAAAAATCCTATGTAGACGAACAGTTACCTGATTTGGAATCAGGGGTCTCCCGGGATGCTTCCAACTCGTCGAGATTGGTTCAGCTTGTATTGACTCCTTTCAACTATCTCCCAGCGGTTTTCTTGGGGACATTGCTCAATATTTTGGATGGGTTATCCTACGGGATGATTATGTTTCCTATAAGTGAAGGGATCTTTGCATCTTTGGGACCTGCAGGTCTCTCAATGTTCTACATGTCTTGTATTATATCTCAGTTGGTTTATTCTTTTGGTGGATCTGCTTTTAAACTGGGGATTGGATCGGAAATGATTGAAGTTACTCCATTTTTCCACTCAATGGCCTTATCAATCATGAATGATATGCAAGGTGCTTCCTCCGATGCTATCATTGCCACTACCATTGTTAGTTATGCATTCTCTTCAATTGTCACTGGTTTGGTATTTTTCATTTTGGGTAAATGCAAATTAGGAAGTCTCGTTGGATTCTTTCCTCGTCATATTTTGGTGGGTTGTATTGGTGGAGTTGGTTACTTTTTAATTGTAACTGGGATTGAAGTAAGTTCTCGTTTGGAAGGTGGATTGTTTTATAATTGGCCAACTTTATCTTATTTAATCAAGATTGATGTTTTCTTACAATGGTTCACCCCTTTATTATTGGCCATCCTTCTCGTTTTCTTACAACATAAAATTCATAACTCTTTATTGGTTCCTCTTTATTTCATTGCCGTTTTCGTTATATTCCACGCAATCATTGCCTTGATTCCTAATTTATCATTGGATTCAGCTAGAAAGTCGGGTTGGTTATTCCCAGCAGTTGAAGATAATCAACCTTGGTATGCTTTTTATAAATTATATAAATTTCAATTAGTTGATTGGTGGGCAGTCCTCAGTAGATTTCCTACCATGTTGGCATTAACATTTTTCGGAATCTTACATGTGCCAATTAATGTTCCTGCTTTAGCAGTCTCGGTTGGAATGGATCAATTTGACGTGGATCGTGAATTAGTTGCTCATGGTTACTCAAATGCATTATCCGGGTTGGTTGGATCTATTCAAAATTATTTGGTTTATACCAATTCAGTATTATTTATTCGTGCTGGTGCTGATGATAGGTTGGCTGGTATCCTTTTGGCTGTAGGGACGGGTGCTATTATGATGGCTGGGCCGGTTGTGATAGGTTATATTCCAATCTGTGTCGTTGGTGCCTTGATTTTCTTATTAGGTTATGAATTATTAAAAGAATCAGTTTATGACACTTGGGGAAAATTACGTAAGATTGAGTATAGTACAATCATCATTATTGTTGTGGTTATGGGAGTCTGGGATTTTGTTTATGGAATCTTGGTAGGTATCTTGTTGGCATGTCTTTCATTTGTCGTTGAAGCAGCCCGTAGATCCGTAGTAAGAGGAATTTACACTGGGACTGTTGCTAGATCAACTGTTTTAAGACATCCAAAACAACAAGAATTTTTAAAAGATGTTGGAGACCAAATCGTTGTTATAAAATTACAAGGAACGGTGTTTTTCGGATCTATTGGAGGCGTTGAAACTGCGATTAGAAAAAGATTTGATGACGATAAATTCAAAAAGGATCCAATTAAATTTTTAATCATTGATATGAAGGGAGTTTCATCGATTGATTTTTCTGCAGCTGAAGGTTTTAGAAGAATTTTGAATTTGACTAATGAATTTGGAACTCAGTTAGTGATATCGTCTGTGGTTGATGATGATGATATCGTGATTGCTTTAAGAGATGCAGGTTTATGGGATACTAATAATGAATTGGATATTCAGTTATTCAATACTTTAAATTATGCATTGGAGTGGTGTGAAAATTGTTTCTTGAAAACTTATAAACGAGTTAAAAGAGGCGAACGTAGAATCAATATCAACACCAATAATAGACAAATGTCACCATCTTTAGGTCAACCACTGTTTTATGATAATAGTCCCGTTCCAATTGGCAATACTCCTGGTAGTTCAGGATCTAATCGATACTCAATAAGTCAAGCATTAGATGGAACTTTTGGTACTCCTCGTACTACAAAACTTTATCAAGCAGCCACGAAGACTGCTAAAGACGAACAATCGATTCAAAACAAGTATTATAGATCTACTGACTCGGCTTTCAAAAAACAACCTCTACCATTATTAATGATTACTTTCAACGGACTTTCGGATAAAGACGAAGAGTTCTGGTCAAAATTGACCCCGTTCTTAATCAAAGAAACCATTCCAACCGGTATCACTTTCTACGATACATCATATAATGCACCATCCTTTTTCATCATTGAATCTGGTTTAATCAGATCAATAGTTCGATTTGAAAGTGACGAACGAGAATTACATTCCAGCATACTACCAAATACCGCATTCGGAGACCTAAATGAAAAATCGAAATTGGGCCAAAACTTCAGAGACATGACCTACACTACCGTCACCGACACCGTGGCCTGGAGGTTATCTGAAAGCAAAGTCACCGAATTATTGACCTCTTCCGATGGAATAATCATTTACAACGAATTGCTCCAAGTCCAAGCCAGACTCATCAAAGAAAGATTCGATACAATGACTGCAAACTTGGTTCTTTCTGCATGATACTATTTATTCAATTCTTCTTTCCCTTCAACTCTTTATACATCATCTTCATTAAACATTTTATAGTTCTTTTCATTCAACTCTTTTTAATAGATAAAAATCAGTTTTTGCAATAATCATAATCTCATCCTGTATACGGCGTAATCCCTGATAAAAATTAATTTTTTGTAGTACAAAAAACCATCCATAGTTTTTTGTGAGGGAGTCATTTATTGGGTTGATAACTGGGACTTCATCCCTTTTCTTTATTTCCAGGTCTTTCTTTAGCAAGGTCTTTCTTTATCAGGGTTATCAAGGTAGGTCTTTCGTTTGTACCATGGTTGCCATCAAAAGTTTAGCGTTATTGTCGGTCTCAATTGCTTCGGTCAATGCATTATCACTTAGTAATGCACTTGAATCCTATGTTCAAGAAGTTGCTAGTGTATTCAAGCCATTGAAAGAATTAAAACAACAGCCCGAAATCGTTTATACATTTCCAGCACCTCCAGGACAAAATGAAAAGCCGGTTCCTGGTGGGTCACCAATCGTCCAATGTGATGCCACTGCACCACAGCTTTTAGATTTACAAAAAGTTGAAATCATTCCAAATCCTCCGCAAAAGGGAGCCAATTTCAGCTTCACCGCTGAAGGTATCTTAGCAGAAGATGTCGAAGACGGTGCTTATGTTGAGGTTGATGTCAGATATGGTTATATCAGATTAATCCACCAAACCTTTGATTTATGTGAAGAAATCACCAAGGTGGACTTGGAATGTCCAATTGAAAAGGGTAAACAAGTTATCACCAAGGAAGTTGAGATTCCAAATGAAGTTCCCCCTGGAAGATACATTGTTAATGCCAAAGCCTATACTAAAGATGATGTTTTCATTACTTGTTTATCAGCTACAGTTGATTTTGAATAAAAAGTTTGTTCTTTTATCTGTTTCTTGTTAGTACGTTTGTTTTCCAATACAAGTTTATAATCTTTTCACTTGTCCTGTAATTATTGTAACTATTGTAATCATTGTAAGTATATTGTGCTAGCAAGTATTGCCGGTTTGTGGTGTACGGGTTCTCATTGGGTATTATTTGGAGAAATTTTCATTGCATGGTAATACCATTACCTTTAGCCTCCACCGCCAAAATGATTGCATTCGAAGATTACTTTTCGATTCAAATCTTCTTTATCATCTTGCGAGAGACGTTGGAGACGGCAATAATCGTTTCTGTGCTATTATCCTTCATCAACCAAAGAAGTAGTAGAGATGCTAATCAAGAACAAATCAATTTTCAAAATAAACTTAAAGTCCAAGTTTGGGCTGGTGCTGTTTTAGGGTTGGTGATCTGCTTTGTCATTGGTCTCGTATTCATCTTATCCTTTTACTTTATTGGTAAGGATTATTGGTCATATACAGAAAGAATATGGGAAGGGTTATTTTCGATACTATCAAGCATTATAATCACCGTTATGGGATTAGGATTATTACGTATCAATAAAGTCATGAAAGTAAAATGGTGGATGAAGTTAGGCGACGCTTATAAAGACGTGGGGGCCAAAGAAGATAATTTACCAGAAGAAGTCGGATCAACATCGGAATTATCACCATCAACCCCAATTATTCCTAGGCGAAAGACAAAATTCAGAAAGAAGTATTTTTTGGCCATATTACCATTCATTACTACATTAAGAGAAGGATTAGAGGCAGTTGTGTTCGTTGGTGGTATTGGAATGACCCTGCCATTGACGTCCTTACCGTTATCAGTTTTGGCCGGGATTTTATGTGGATCTACAATTGGAATAGTATTATATAAGGGAGGAAACAAATTATCATTACAGTACTTTTTAATATTATCAACGTGTTTTCTCTACATTGTTAGTGCTGGTTTAATGAGTAGAGGTATTTGGTTTTTAGAATTAGAAAAATACGTACGATTATGTGATGGTTTGGACGTGAGTGAAACTGGTAGTGGGCCAGGGTCTTACGATATATCCAATAGTGTTTGGCATGTTAACTGTTGTAATGGGTTAACTGACGGATGGTGGATGGTCTTCAATGCAATCTTCGGCTGGACCAATAGTGCTACCTATGGCAGTGTTGGATCGTACCTTGCATACTGGATGATTGTTATAATTTGGTTAAACCTCAAATTGTACGAAGAATCCAATGGTTATTTACCGTTTCTTCCAATAAAATGGCAATTGAAACGAATCAAGAAAAAAATTAGATTATTTGAAATTAGATTACAAAATCAGTCAACCAATAACTCCAATGACCATTATCAAGAATTGACTAGTAATCCGTCAATTGATCTTAATGTCCGTGAGGCTGAAGCCCAACTATTATTAGCTAACTAATACAATATCATTTATTTAATCTAACCACCGTAGGCGATAAAATATTACGATCTTTCCAGATTGTCATCTACCTAATGGGTGCTCATATCATCGTACCTTACGCGATGCAAATGAAATTGCATCCTCCTTTAAGGTCTTACCCTAATTTAAACGCGTAAGAACCCATCCTCATAAGGAGTCATTCTACATTTTGCATGATCCCCAGCCATTTCATCTCTTCGTCAACTTACCAGATCGTCAAATTTTTCCGTTAACAGTTGGAATACTTACTACCCTTAATTGACAACCCTAACCATCTTCAATGGAAAGCATGACAACCAAAAGAACCCCCTTAAAGGTTAAATTTCCTTTCTCTTATAGTCTGTGCCTGCTCCCGTTCTTTGTAACATACTTCTTTTGGTTATTGTAGCTGTTCTTGTGTTCTTTCGTTGTTGTTGTTTTGTTGTTGTTGTTGTTTTTCAATGGAATTATGTCTGCTGCTGGGTAATTTATTATTTTTTTTTTTTTTTGGTTTGTTAGCGGTTTTTGTATGACAAAATCTTTGCTCGATTTCTAAAAAAAATTTTAAGCTAATCACTGGAATTGGAATTAGAATAGTTGAAGCTTCTTTTGAATTCAACGATATACTCGAGAGCTTAGCGTACGGTAGGATAGAGTCAAGCGTCCAGTGGAACAATCCCTTACTCATCGTTATTCGCTTGTCGCTTAGTTGAAAATACGGGGACTCAGGTTAAACATACCATTTTGAAATTCCAACTAATTCGTCACTCCTTTAGATTCTAAAATACCTTTAATACTTGCTTGTATTAGTTATTCTTTTTCGTGTCAACGTTTTTCCTCTTTTCTCTTTAATGTTGTTTTAAACTAACCCAGTATCAAAATGGATCAAGATCAACAGAAAGCTGGCGAAAATGAGCCAGATCACAATCAAACATTAAATAATACTAATAAACTACTACATGATTTAGAACGTAAACTATCCAGTTCTTCTAACCAAACGCATGCATCAAATAATTCCCAGACTTCTTCTATCATAATAAATAAAGATTTATCGGGATTAGGTAAACAAAATGTTCAATCAAATGTTATTAATTATTTAAAGAATAACGACAATGCTTCAAATTTTAGTACTAATGAGTTATACCACGATCGCCAAACACGATTCATGACTAAGTTTGGTAGAAATTATAATCCTCCTATAATCCAGCAACATACTGAATCGATTGAAAATTCAACCAATTCAGAACAAAGTAGCATGACAAGTCCTATTGTCGAGCGAGCTAGACCCTTGATATCCAATGATCAAAATGATGATGATTTTTTCGAACATATCGACGATGCTGATGATTTGAGTGATTCCGGTAGTGTGATTAAACATTCAAACGATTATGACACTGATGAAGAAGAAGGTACTTTCACTCCTGATTCCAATGAAAACTTACACGGAATACATTATGGGAATATGGATGATTATGATGATTACGATTATGATGATGATGCCGAAGAAGAAGATGATATGTTGCTTCCTCCTTCTCCTCCTCGTTCTCCTCCAAGAGATTTGGATCCAGATAAATTATATGGTTTATATGATTTTTCTGGACCTGATCCTCTGCATTGCTCTTTACTGAGAGACGAACCAGTGGTTTTGATAAATGATTCTGATAATTATTGGTGGTTAATTAAAAAATTAACAAAACAAGAACGATTTGAATTAAGTCGCTCAAAACATTTAACTTATAACTTGGATGATGATTTTGATGACTTTGATGACTTTTCAGATAGTGAAGATGGTAAAATCGGATTTGTCCCTGCTGAATGTTTAGAAACGTATGGTGAAAGATTAGCTAGATTAAATTGTTTTAAAAATGAAGCTTTGGAAAAATCAAGTAAAGAAGATATCAATGATACCACTTTAAGTTACGCCGATGATTTTAACTTGGGTTTGAATTTATCAAATCCGATCAACTTCCAAAGTGATGATAATTTATCAAAATCAACCGTTGGTTCTTTAAAAAGAAAAAAGTCAACTAAATCAGTCACTTTCGAAGATTTAGGTGAATTGGTTCTTGACGAGGATACTAATGACCTGAGTACTTCTATCCATAAAAACAATGATGACGATTTCCATAACAGCTATTTCGATATCCCTCGTGATGAAATTAGGGATGTTATTAAAAATAATCCAAAGGAGCCTTCAGAAACTTCAAATTCAGAAGATAAAAAACTGGAGGTTTTAAGTGATGTTTATCCAACTGAGACTCCTCTTATCATAAATAAAAATAACCGTTCTGGTCAAAAATCTCAAGACTCGCCTCCCTTGGATGGCTCGAGCCCTAAAGATCCAATTCGTATAATTAGTGATAATGAACCCATAATAACTCATGTCGTTAACTTGAACGAAAAAAGTAATCAACAAAAATCGGAAGTTGCAGTTAAAAGTGAAGAGAACTTATCATTAAGTAATGTGAACAAAAATACTCATTTAGATAAACCTTCAATGTCGACTTCTAATCAAGAAATAATTTCAATTGGCTCATTCTCTCCTGATACTCCTCGTGAAAGTTCCCGTAATAAAAAATCAAATAAAAAGTCAATTTCTAGTCCTCCTTCATGTCCTTCGTCAGCAAATTCATCTACTTCTCCTGCAAATAGAAGCATTGATGATGAGGCTTCTCAATTCAGAAGATCTCTTATTTTAGACCGCTTGAACCAAGTTACTTTTGATATCCAAGAACAGCTTAACTTAAGTGACGAAGACCTGGACCATTTTTCTCATTATTATAGACCAGATAATCTTACCTTCGGAGCTGACCTAAAACACTCCCCTGAACAGCACAGAATGATCCATGACGTTATCAATCAATCTGATCTGGATTCTGATCAGCCTTCAGATCTCGACCTGGAAAGTTTTGTCAACTCTTCTTCCAATCACACCAATAGTCGTGACTTGTCAAACAAACACCATCGTCACAATGGCCACCACAATCACCATCATCATTCCTCAATCTCCCAGGATCAAGATTTATCCGTCACACCATTAACAAGCCTTAATTCTTTAAGCAATGGTATTAATTCTACAACAATGACCCAATTTTCAAACACTTCGAATTCAAAAGCATACTACAATAATATCCACGCAATTATCCCGGAAGACGAAGACATTACAGTCTCTCCAACTCCTCTCTATCCATCATCTTTACCAGAATCACAAACAAATCCTGACTTCATCCCAAAAGCTTCGGATATTCCCTTAAGTGAACGTAGAAAATCAAAACCAGTTCACGACATGTTCTTGCCCATCCTAGGTAAATTCGATGATTTGGCAGAAAAATTGGCAGAATTAGAAGACTTGTTATAATCCTTCCCTAGAATCTATTTATTTTTCAATTCTACAAACACCTTTTGGCTTTTTTAGTGTCTTATCTTTCTTTTTTCTTTTGTCTACTTTCATTCGTTTCTCTGTTCAGGCTTTTTTTTGTTTCTTCTTCACTCAATTATTACAATTCTTTAACAATTCTCATATCTCCTTGCATCTTTTATTTCAGTATTTAACTAAAGTGTAAATTAGAGTTTACTTGTCTTTACTTCATGTAAAATGATTAAAATGCGCTTTGTTAAAATTTGATGAGAAAAATTTTAAGTTCATCGATTTCAGCACCAAAAAAAAAAAAAAAAAAAAAATTACTCGAATCCTTTTCGTTCTACTTAGCCAATTGTTTTATACCTTAACAAGCCTCAAATCTTCCAAAAAGCGATTAGGTGGAGGATTAAAGCATCATTGATTGTGATAAGCTATAGGAATTCAGAAAGTTAGGGTCGTTTGTTCGTTTTTGACTTGGTTAAAACTTTAGCTCAAAACAGAATCATTATCCTTATTGATATTTTAATACTTATTCATTCATTATCATTTAACAAAATTGGCGGAATATGTCTTGGTCTGCGGATCCTCATGCTCTTGAGCAATTGAAACACATCTTTAGTGCCACTTTGTCATCAAACAATAAAGAAAGATCGGAAGCTAACGATGCATTGGCCGAAGCAAGATTACAACCAGAGATTGAAAATTACCTTTGTGAGCTTCTTGTATCTGATCATTCTGCTAAATCGGATGTCAGAGCTGCTGCAGGTATTAATTTGAAGAATAGCATTTTAAGAAGCCAATATGCAACTACTGATAAAGATAGAAGTTATTTAATGGATAGTATATTGAAAGGTTTACTTGATAATGAAATCATGGTCAGAAACATCACCGGTAATGTTATAACTTCTTTATTTTCGATTTATGGACTTTCCAAATGGCCACAAGTTTTACCCCAACTAATTCAATTAACTCAATCTCAAGAGGTTAATACTACCGTGCACGAAGCTGCAATGGGTGCATTATCAAAAATTTGTGAAGATAGTACGTCATCTTTAGATCAAGAATATAATGGTGAAAGACCTCTCAACTTCATGATGGTCAATTTCTTAAAGTTAGCTGAAGATCAATCAAGTGGGAAAGTAAGAGCTTTGGCTGTCCATTGTATTAATCAGTTTATCAGATCAAAATCCCAATCATTTTTGGTTCATATCGATGATTTTTTGCAAAGACTATTTCAATTAGCTAGTGATAATACTAGTGAAGTAAGAAAAAATGTTTGTACTGCATTTTTGGCAATTTTAGAAACTAGACCTGATAAATTATTACCTCATATTGATGGAGTTATCAATTTTTGCTTACATGCCATGCAAGGTTCAGAAGAGGAAGTTGCTTTAGAAGCCTGTGAATTCATTTTGGCATTGTCAACAACTATTGAAGTTGAAAGCGATAAAAATATTTTGAAACCAAAATTGAACTCCATTTTGCCAATTTTATTAGCTAAAATGGTTTATTCAGAGGAGGAAATTTTTTACATTCAAATGATTGATGAAAATGATGATGCCAACGTTGCTGACAAAGATGAAGATATAAAACCTCAGGCTGCTAAATCAAAAGATGCACATACTGCTGGTAATGGGGGTGGGTCTAAAAAAACCAAGAGTTTTGATGATGATTCCGACTCTGATTATGAAGACGAAGATGACGATGACGATGATAGTGAATTAGATCAATGGAGTTTAAGAAAATGTTCTGCTGCTGCTTTAGATATATTTTCACTTGATTTCCCATCTGAAGTTTTGCAAGTTACTTTACCTATATTACAAGAAAGAATAGTTTCTCCTGAATGGCCAGTTCGTGAAGCTGCCATTCTTGCATTTGGTGCAATTAGTAAGAGTTGTATTGATTTGGCTAGTGATAAGTTACCAACACTAGTTCCATTCTTAGTCGATAGATTACAAGATCAAGAAACTAGAGTTAGACAGATTACTTGTTGGACTTTATCAAGATTTGCTAGTTGGGTTGCTGAAGAAGCTCATGAGGGTGGCCACTATTCTAATTACTTTCAACCTACTTTCCAGTCAATTGTTAGCTGTGCTCTGGATAAGAAAAAAGTTGTTCAAGAAGCTGCTTCGTCTGCTTTATCAACTTACATTGAAGAATCTGATATTTCATTGATTGAATTTTATTTGGAACCTTTATTACAACATTTCCAACACTGTTTCCAAACCTATCAACGTAAAAACATGACTATTTTATATGATTGTGTTCAAACTTTTGTGGAGAAAGTAGATCATGATAGATTTGCTGCAAATCCATCATTTGTTAATTATTTAATGCCTCCAATATTACAAAAATGGCAAGAATTGGATGATTCAAATATTGAATTATGGCCATTAATGGAATGTTTGGCTGCTATTGCTGCCACTTTAGGTGAGCTTTTCTTGCCATTTGCTGTTCCAGTTTATGAAAGATCGATCAAGATTTTATTTAATTCTATACAATTAGATCAACAATGTCAAACCGATCCATATATAGAAGCCCCTGAAAAAGATTTCATCATCACATCATTGGATTTAATCGATGGATTAATTCAAGGTTTCACTCATCATTCTGGTGAATTAATTCAACAAAATAACATTGATTTAATGGAATTAGTTATGCAATGTTTTGAAGATCCAACTGAAGATGTTCGTCAATCTGCATATGCATTATTAGGTGATTTAGCTATATTTGTCGTTGATTCAACGGTTAAACCTAATTTAAGGCCAATAATAATAAGTATTGGTAATGAGATCAATAATAGAACTTACAATTCATTTGCAGTTTATAATAATGCAATTTGGGCTTTGGGAGAAATGATTATTAGATTGCCATATGAAGATTATAAACCATTTTTGAACAATTTGGTTGATTTATTAATACCAGTTTTAAATAGTACCGATACTCAACAAACAGTTTCTGAGAATGCAGCCATTTGCTTAGGTAGAATGGGGATTAATGGGGGTTCTGAAGTCCTTGCACCAAGAGTTTCAGAATTCATTCACCAATGGTGTTCACATATGCTTTATATGATAAATAATAACGAAAAGGAAACTTCTTTCCAAGGTATGTTAAATATAATTAGTGCAAATCCAGATCAAGGATTTGGTGGGTTATCTAATCAACAAGGAAAGAAGAATTTATCGGTTTTCGTAATTTGCATCGCTTCTTATATTGACCCACCAGAAGAGTTAAGACAAATGTTTGTTCAAGTTCTTTCAAGTTATCAGAATCTACTCGGTAAGGATGTTTGGGAATCTCAAGTCTTGTGTCATATTGATCAAGAATCAAGACAAAGTCTCCTCAATGTATATGGAGTTTAAACCCCCTACAGTTTTAATAGAGAAACTTTAAATAGTATTCATTAATCATAATTCGTTAAAACAAAAATACGTAGTTAGTCAGTTAGGTCTTTGTATCGTTATTCTTCATCTAAATGTGAATCATTGTATAGCACATCATTCACCAACGTTACTGGTAGATCCCAAACCCCACTAGGAGCCTTATACAAATAATCAATCGATTCATTTACCTGAGCTGCTTTGTCATCTTCAAAGGTGCTTGGTAAGGTAGTGAACTCATCAACAAAGTTTCTTATATCATCGTTTTCCAAGGTCTTGACCTCTGTGTTGTATAATGCAAGAGCAAGATAGATATATACCATTAAAATCAAAGAAAACGAAGGTATTGCAAATGACCAATATTTATCGGGGTAGTAATGCACCGATAAGTAATCCGTAAGGACCTTTTCTGGTATCAAGGTCCATCCGATCCAACAACCTAGAGCAAGTGCACTCAACACATAGATGAAGAAACCCTTGTATTCAGCGTACAGGGTAATATTGGTGGAAACTGTAACATCCGATTCTCTGGCCAATGAATCTTCTACTAAGTTAGTAGAAGACTTAGAATTGCCCAACTTGGGGTTAAGATTCAGTCGCAAAGATTGCATGGCATTCTCGTAAAACAACGGAGCGTGCTTCATAAGAAGTGTTACCTTTCAATATGATCAATTGCCCGATCCCTTGATCAATCTCTTGACTTGTTCTATTTGACGTCTTGTCGATACATTTTGACACGCAATTACTAGAAAAATTGAAAAAAAAAAAAAAAAAAAAAAAAAAGACAGATGCCAAAGTGCTGCAAACAATCAAACTACAGCCAAAAGCACTTTGATGTATTCCCGAATCAAGCCAAGGCTACTTCAATCCAAATCGACTTGAATCACAGGCCCGTGGCAGCCGAAGGTAATTCGTAGTTACCAAGTAGGCCCTCATTCAATACCACATTGTTTCTGCGCAAAATGGGACAAAATTCCTAGAATAACTGTCAGCTTTCCCTCCTCCCCAAGACAAAGAACTAGAGGAGATCCTCAGTGACACTATGGCTTGAGTCACCAGCTCACAAGGCTTACTCTGGATATTATTGGTTGAATTCCAATATTAAGATGCAAACCCAGTGACCGAAGTTGAAAAAAATCACAAAAAACTCGAGATGAGAAACATTTTGGAGCAATTTGCGGGTAACTTTTTTCTGATAACGGACCGCGCTACTGAGTCATTGCAATTACCCAATTTGAAAATTTTCAACTTGACCTTATATATATTGGTGAAAAAAAAAATTTTTCAGTTGTTCTTTTCTTCTTTTTTCTTTTCTTAGATTCAATAAATTGATCTTGTTAGATAGTCTGTCTCGAGAAGAAGCTGGTTTTTGTGAAGATGATTTGCAATTTGAAGACAGTCGTTGGCCGTGGGCTTAAGACTGGGTTTTCGACCGGGTTGAAATATAAAAGATCTGGATTCATAAACAATTATAAAAGATTTTCAAGCTTCAATATACCATTGAAGAATGAGCAGCCGGTGTATGCTGGTGGGGAGTTGTTGAAACAATTCACTGACGAAAATGCTAAGAATTTGGTTGATGTTTCAAAAGTTTTGGTTATTGGATCTGGTGGGTTGTCAATTGGTCAAGCTGGTGAATTTGATTACTCTGGCTCTCAAGCTATTAAGGCTTTAAAGGAAGCAAACAAACAGTCAATTTTGATCAATCCAAATATTGCTACTAATCAAACTTCTCATGCTTTAGCTGATGAAATTTATTACTTACCGGTTACTGCTGAATACATTACTTATATTATAGAAAGAGAAAGACCAGATGGTATTTTATTAACTTTTGGTGGTCAAACTGGTTTAAATGTTGGTGTCAAATTGGAAAAAATGGGTGTTTTCGAAAGATACGGAGTTAAAGTCTTGGGTACTCCAATTAAAACTTTAGAAACTTCGGAAGATCGTGATTTGTTCGCTCAAGCGTTGAAAGAAATTGATATTCCAATTGCTGAATCTATTGCTGTTGAAACTGTCGATGACGCTTTGAAAGCTGCTGAAAATGTTGGTTACCCTATTATTGTTAGATCCGCTTACTCTTTGGGTGGTTTGGGTTCTGGTTTTGCTGCCAATGAAAATGAATTGAGAAATTTGGCTGCTCAATCATTATCTTTAGCTCCACAAATCTTGGTTGAAAAATCTTTGAAAGGTTGGAAAGAAGTTGAATATGAAGTTGTTCGTGACCGTGTTGGTAATTGTATCACTGTTTGTAATATGGAAAACTTTGATCCTTTAGGTATCCACACTGGGGATTCTATTGTTGTTGCTCCTTCTCAAACTTTATCTGATGAAGAATATCATATGTTAAGAAGCGCTGCTATCAAAATTATTAGACATTTGGGTGTAGTTGGTGAATGTAACGTCCAATATGCTTTACAACCTGATGGTTTAGATTACAGAGTCATTGAAGTCAATGCTCGTTTATCCCGTTCTTCTGCTTTGGCCTCTAAAGCAACCGGTTATCCATTAGCTTATACCGCTGCTAAAATTGCTTTGGGCCATACTTTACCTGAATTACCAAATCCTGTTACTAAAACTACCTCTGCTAACTTCGAACCTTCCTTAGATTATATGGTTACTAAGATTCCAAGATGGGATTTATCTAAGTTCCAACACGTTAAAAGAGATATTGGTTCAGCAATGAAATCCGTCGGTGAAGTTATGGCTATTGGTCGTAATTTTGAAGAATCTTTCCAAAAAGCTATCAGACAAATTGATCCATCTTATATTGGTTTACAAGGTGACAAATTTGATAATTTGGATGAATCTTTAGCTAATCCAACTGATAGAAGATGGTTAGCTGTTGGCCAAGCTTTATTACATGAAAATTACACCGTTGATCAAGTTCACGATTTAACTAAGATCGATAAATGGTTCCTTTATAAAATCATGAACATAGTCAATATGTATAAAGAATTAGAAAGCGTTGGTGACTTATCAAAAATCAACAGTGATTTAATGATGCGTGCTAAAAAATTAGGTTTCTCTGATAAACAAATTGCTCTTAGTGTTCAATCAACTGAATTAGAAGTTAGATCAGTAAGAAAATCGTTAGGTATTACTCCATTTGTTAAAAAAATTGATACCTTAGCTGCTGAATTCCCGGCCAATACTAATTACTTATATACCACTTATAATGCTACTAGTTCTGATTTAGAATTCAACGAAAATGGTACTATGGTTTTGGGTTCAGGTGTTTACAGAATTGGTTCATCAGTTGAATTTGATTGGTGTGGTGTTTCTGCTGCTCGTGCTTTACGTGAATCAGGTCATAAAACTATTATGATTAATTATAATCCAGAAACTGTTTCCACTGATTTTGATGAAGTCGATAGATTATATTTTGAAGAATTATCATTAGAAAGAGTTTTGGACATCTATGAATTAGAAAAGGCTCAAGGTGTTGTTGTTAGTGTTGGTGGTCAATTACCTCAAAATATTGCATTAAGCTTACAAAATGAAGGTTGTAATGTTTTAGGTACTAATCCTGAAGATATTGATAAAGCTGAAGATCGTCATAAATTCTCTCAAATCTTAGATTCTATTGGAGTTGATCAACCTGAATGGAAAGAATTAACTTCGATTGAAGAAGCTGAAAGTTTTGCTAATAAAGTTGGATATCCAGTTTTAGTTCGTCCATCATATGTTTTAAGTGGTGCTGCCATGTCAGTTATTAATAATCAATCTGAGTTAGATGCCAAATTATCTAATGCCTCTAAAGTTTCTCAAGATCACCCAGTTGTTATTTCTAAATTTATCCAAGGTGCTCAAGAAATTGATATCGATGGTGTTGCTAATGAAGGTGAAGTTTTGGTTCATGCTGTATCTGAACATGTTGAAAATGCTGGTGTTCATTCTGGTGATGCTACTTTAGTTTTACCACCTCAAAACTTATCACCAATTATTATGAATAGATTGAAAGTTATTGCTGATAAAGTTGCTTCTGCATGGAACATTACCGGTCCATTTAATATGCAAATTATTAAGAATGATCAAGATGGGAAATTAAATGATGAAGAGTGTCAATTAAAAGTCATTGAATGTAATATTAGAGCTTCTCGTTCATTCCCATTTGTCTCGAAAGTATTGGGTACAAATTTCATTGAAGTTGCAGTTAAATCATTGATTAAAGAAAATGTACCAGCTGCGGTTAACTTAATGGACAAGAAATATAATCATGTTGCAACCAAAGTACCCCAATTTTCATTTACTAGATTGGCAGGAGCTGATCCATTCTTAGGTGTTGAAATGTCATCAACTGGTGAAATTGCATGTTTTGGTAATGATTTAGTTGAAGCATACTGGACTTCAATTCAATCAACCATGAACTTCCATGTTCCACATCCAGGTTCAGGTATATTATTCGGAGGTGACTTGACCAATGATAAATTAGGTAATGTTGCCAAAACAATTTCAGGATTAGGTTATAAATTCTATACTGCAAGTGAACCAGTTGCTAAATATTTAAATGACTACATTAGCGAAGATGTTGAAGTTATTGAATTCCCAAAAACCGATAAAAGAGCATTAAGAGAAATTTTCCAAGCTAAGAAGGTTGGTGGGGTTTTCAATTTAGCTAAAGCAAGAGCTGAAGACTTATTAGATGAAGATTATGTAATGAGAAGAAATGCAATTGATTTTGCTATCCCATTATTTAATGAACCAAATACTTCATTATTATTCGCTCAATGTTTGAAAGACAAAGTTGCCAATAAACCATCTTTTGATACTCTTCCAGCCGAAGTAAGCGTTCCAGCCGAAGTTCAAAGATGGAGTGAGTTCATTGGAGGTAAACCAGTTTAAAAACATTTCCTCTTTATTTATGATGATGTACGTTTATAATTAGATCTAAAAAGAAAAAAGAATATCAATATAGAATTTTCTACGATAATTAAGCCTTTCCACCGTAATAATAGAGTAGCCCTATGATTGGCTAGTTTAGCTATTGTTTTTCAAGGGATGGAATTACTTTTCTTCCCCACGAAACAATCTGAATACAATAAATTAATCTAATTCAAATACAATGGATTCAAATACAATGAATTCATATGTCAACGCAATATGTCAAATAGCTTGAATGACTTTGTAAGGCAACGTTAACAACTTCAGAACCAAACTTTAGATTTGTTTTTGTACTGGGTTTCCTGTGAAAAGATGCCGAACACCGTTTGAAAATATTTTTTACCATCGTTTGTGCTAACCTACAAAAAAGGCCAGAAGTATATCGACTTACGAAGATCCGGAAAGACCCACCACAAAGCCCTGGCTAAGGGCTATTTGGGAGTAAAACAAGCGAGAGTTTCCAGTTAAATTAAAGGTGAACAAACTCCGAAAAACGGTTATCTGATTCATCAGTAAATTGAAAAATTAAAAAAAAAAAAAAAAACTTCACCAGATGACTTTGCAAAGGGAAGAACAAGAAAAGGGCAAAGGAAAGTCGAATGTTAGAATTACAGTTGCAGTGAAGGAGGCTACATTTCTTTGACTGTCATTGGATATTCTGAGCTCTCTAATGCTTCAAGTGAAGAGATAAAATGCATGGCATCAACTTAGTACTGCTAATGGTTAGGAAATTTTCTTTTTTTGGTAACTATTTTCGTAACAACTACTTATTTTGTGAATTGTTCATGTAACAAGTAACCGTCAAAGGCGAAATCTGGGACACCTAGTAAGGCTTGGACTAAAGTTTTATCCATCAGTTAAGGTGAATTGGCTTAAAAAGAAGTAAGGCATTTCAATTATGCAGAAAAACATGTTTTTTCTTTTTTTTTGCCTTTTTTTTTTTTTTGTTTTGCTAGCGGATTTTTATCAATTTGATCAACAAAGAGATTGGTTCGTAATTGCCAACTTTTAGAACAAACCGGTAAGTGGACAAGGAATTTCTTTTGAAATGATGTCAAGAAAAGTAATGCCAAAGGAAGACGCAGTTCAGGGAGGATTGTAGTATAAATAAGAAGGAAAAGTCTTCTCAAATATCAATTGAATTTATTCAGTATCGATAAATCATGTCTCAAGTAAGTGACTCTAATTCAAGCCAATATCAGGAAAAGGGGAATCACGAAGCTGAAACTTTCAGTGAAGAGTTGAAAGTGAACCCAAATGCAACTGTTGTTCATTCAACTGCTAAGTCTTTTGGTATCAGAAAAGTTGAAATTTTAGCTGATCAATATGACAGTTTTCTCTTGAAATTCATACTTTATGTCAGCGTTTTCATTTGTGCATACGTTTACTCTCTTGATGGTACCATTAGATATACCTTCCAATCCTATGCTACTTCTTCCTATGCGCAACATTCTTTGCTTTCCACTGTCACTCTTGTTAGAGCTGTTGTAGCTGCTGCTGCCCAGCCATGTTATGCTAGATTGGCTGATAGAATTGGTAGATTAGAATTGATTCTTGTGTCTATTCTTTTTTATGTTGTTGGTACTATTGTTGAATCTCAAGCTTATGATGTTCAAAAATTTGCTGCTGGTGCTTGTATATATCAAATTGGTTATACTGGTATTATGCTTTTATTGCAAGTTACTATTGCTGATACTTCTAATTTGAATTGGAGAATGGCTCTTTCGTTCATTCCTGCAACTCCATTTATTATTAATACTTGGGTATCTGGTGATGTTCAAGTTGGTTTATACAATTCTCATGGATGGAGTTATGGTATTGGTATCTTTGCCTTTATTTTCCCATTAAGTTGTATTCCTTTGGTTTGTTGCTATATTCATATGTTGTTGAAAGCTAGAAAAACTCCAGAATGGGAATTGGTTCATAGAGAAGAAAAAGAATCTTCAAAATCAAAATGGATCTCTTGGAAAAACAATATTATCTTTGACGTTTTGAAAGAAATTGATGCTATCGGTCTTCTTTTTGTTATTTGCATCTTTGGTTTTATCTTGGTTCCTTTCACTTTAGCCGGTGGGGCTCAAGCTACTTGGAAAAAAGCCTCTACTATTGCTCCTTTAGTTATTGGTTTTGTTCTTATTCCTTTCTTTGTCTTATGGGAAGCTAAAGGAACTAACTATCCAATAGTTCCTTATAAATTAATCAAGGATCGTGGGGTTTGGGCAGCTTTATGTATTGCTGTAATGATTAATTTCATTTGGTACATGCCAAATGATTATATGTATGCCGTGTTAATGGTTGGTTTAAATACTTCTCCTAAAGCTTCCACTAGAATCACTTCCTTATATTCTTTTGTATCTGTCATTGCTGGTCCAATCATTGGTATTGCCATTGCTTTATTCAGAAGAACTAAGGGCTTCATTATTGCTGGTGTTTGTGTCTGGTTCATCTCTTCCGGTCTTTTATACTATACTAGAGGATCTAATGATGGTATTCGTCATGAATATTTTAAAAATATCTTGATTTTCAGTGAATGTTTACTGGGATTCGGTGCTGCTCTTTTCACTTATACCACCCAAGTTTCTATTTCTGCTAATACCAATCACGAGTTTACTGCTGTTATCATCTCGTTATATTTAGCTGCCTATAATATTGGTAGTGCTTTTGGTGCTAGTGTTTCTGGTGCTGTTTGGACTCAAAAAATGTATGGTTACATAATAGAGGAAATGACTAAAGCTGGTGTAGATACCAGCTTAGCTCTTGAAGCTTACAGTAAACCTTATGAGTATATTGTTAAGTACACTTGGGGTACTAAAGAAAGAATTCCTGTTGTTTTAGCTTATGCTAAAACCCAAAAAATCTTATGTCTTATTGGCTTAGTTTTATGCGTTCCATTGCTTTGCTTTGCCTTCTTTTTAAGAGACCATAAATTAGAATCCGTTCAATCTTTAGACCAAAGCCATGATCATGATGAAGGTGTTAAGGCTCAAGAAGGGAAAGAGTCGACAATTGTTCTCAATGACTACGATGAAGATGCAATCATTAGATTCTTCCAAAAAAAATTAAAACGTAATTAATTCTCTTCTACATGTGTACTTTCCCCTTAATAATCTTTATAATTATAATTGATAAATAATTTGAAATTCATTCCGTAGAGCAGTCGTAATACTGGCAATTACCCGAGAAGGTGATTTTGTTCTTTATGAAGCGCTCTTATGTGCCTCGTTAAAGAATCTCTCCTATAAAAGATTCTCCCACATTGTGAATGATTACAAACGTATAACTTATTGATTAACTCGTCGAAAATTTTTGGGTGAAAGTTATTGTTTTTGAATGTTATTTTCTCGAGTGAATTTTTGCAGCTATTATATAGCGATAAATGATAATTCGAGATATGGATTTTTAAATCAATTTTTTTAAGGAACCCTAGTCTCGAAAACAAACAATTGGGGTCTGGACAAAAGTGACAGGTGTATAAGCCATAGTAATCCAAGTGGTTTGCAAAATCGATGGTTTCATGAAAAAGTTCTTGACAATGATTGCAATGCAAACCTTTCAGTAATTTAGTTGGTCCATTAGGGAATTTAGATACCAATGAAGTGTAAGAATCCTTCTTTCTTATCGAACCCAACCTCAAATCAAGCTTGAGGATCGACTGCTGGAAAGTTTCCTGTTTCTTGTACGATGAAGCAGAACAATACAGGTTTCTCAAATAAGGTTGGTTACCCAACAGCATATTTTGTATTTTGGCCCTTTTGCAGTTCAATGAGTCTTTTTCGTTTACGTTGAGTGGGAAAGCTATTCCCATTTCGGGTAGGTCGATGAAGTCTGGGTTATTAGATATATTTTTATTTTTCCATAGTTTATTCGTAGAATAGTCTTGAACATATGTATATTCATTATTATTGAGAAGAGAAAAACAGCAGTAAGAATCTGGACTTAGACCTAGATCATCCATGAAAACTGAATCATCATTTACAACTAATTTCAGGCTATTTGAATCAATGGATTTCAAAAGAGTTGGAAATTCCTTCAATTCTGAACTACTTGAGCCAACAAAATCATTATAGCTCACCAATTGGTGATCGTTCTTATAATCTAAATTTGGATCGACTTTGATCATCGTAATAAGCTTAATCAACAAATACTACCTTAATTCTCGATTGGAAAGCTAGAAATATATATATATATATATTTACACTTGTTTTCAAAGAGATAGGTTTAGCAATCATTCATGTTTTGATGTATTTGAAGTAGCTTATGTATAAGCTTAGCGATTAAATACACAATATTATTGTATATGGCTTGTAACCAATTAATTTACGATACGTTAAATATTCAACAAAAGCATCAGAAGGTACTACATATTGTTGGGCTGTCAAGATAAGTAGCGAACTGTACAATGCTGGAGCCCCCGTATGGGGTTTTGATGGAATGACGAAGAGGAAACTTGGGCACCACCATTTCATACCTTTAGTGATGTACATTTACACTTGATCGAGTTCACCTATGGTTCACAGCTCTTTAATACTCTGCAGAGCAACTGACCTGTCAGGCACCTGTCATATGCTGGTGTCACCGCCAGGTTGCGTATATGTAATGCGTTTGATCAATGCCCATAAACAATAGCATGAATGATTGAGCGAATACAATTCAGCCTACCCCAGTTATAAAGACAGATTACGCCAACGGTTTACAAAGTCGAAGTAGTTAATCTTACATCATGTAAAGGAGAAGTGTCGGAACATGATTGGATCTCCTTCTTCTACAATCTCCAATAGGTACGGTATTCTATTATTTATTCTGGTTTTCTTTTCATAAAGAGTCGTTATATAAGTGATACTAACATGACAATAAAGCTAAGTCCAGCGGGGGCTATCACTCTGTTGACCCCTCCGGTGGATGAGGATTGAGTTTCGTAGTCTGCTGTAGTCACTTGAATCCAGTTGAATTCTGTAGTTGGGGTACTGTCTCCTGAGTCCGAGCTGGACTGGCCCTTTGAAGTCGAAGATCCTTTGGAGTTGGAACCACCACCTCCACCGGCTAATCTTTTACTGTACCAAGGTAACTGAGACGCAAAGGATTCTAATTGATTCATATTTATATGATCAGCATCAATCAATGTGGTATAAGAGTCATCCCTATAAGTTTGTATCTCTTTTGCTATCGACGTGAAGTCACTAGGAACGTCTTCGGTAGCTGTTTTCATGTATTTCACATAGTCTTGTTGGTGGTGTTGAGCATCATTAACTAATCTAGTGAAAAAGGCAACGTCTGAACTGTCAGCAGCTTGTACTATTTGTGCAAGGACAAACGTTATTAGGAGGGTTAATAAATGCATTTTATTCTGGATGTTCACTTTTTATCCAAAGAAACCAAATCTGCCTAAACTACAAGTATATATATATATATTATCTTGAAATCATCAATTTTATCGTTAGCAGTTTTAGGAAAGAGCGATATATCAGGGTTCAGTATCTACAAAATCGCACTAAATAAATTTAAACTCATCAATAACTTAAAAGGGTAATCAAATTGAGCATTTAGATTAAACGGGCAGTTGAGATATATTAGTGGGGTTTGCAATTCATATGACAAGGCTATGTAATTATTAAAACATAAGTTTATATATTGATGAAAGATTACAGTGGAAAATCACAAGAGAAGGAAAAAAAATACTTAAAACATGAAAGACTTCAGTCTTTCAGTAATAAGTGGAACGAACTAAAGGGGAAATCTATAAATTGGTTTTGCAACAAGCCGAAGGTTCTGATTTAGTATCGACTTTAGCTAAAATGGATTTGTTAAAGTTATTATTAGCTTGAGGAATATCTAAAGCAGGATTTTTATCGAAAAAGTTGAAAGGAACCAAATGGATATTATGAGTTTCAACTGGCATAACTGGGAAATCTTCAACTCTTGGGATGTGAGTGAAACCCATGGTTGCCCAAACAACCAAATCTTCATTTCTGACTGGATCGATACCGTTAGCCCAAACACCTAAACCAGTATCATTTTGAGATTGGTTAGTGAATTCCCCAGCAGCGTATAATTCATGATCTCTATATTTAGTGACCCAAACTTGTTCAGTAGCATATTTAGCTCTTCTAACATTGAAAGAATCAGGGTCAGCTAAAATCATTTGTCTAGCAGGCATCATAATTTTATAACCGACGGGGTTTTTAGAAATTGGATTGATCTTATTTTCATTAATAATCTTATATTGTCTATTAGTGAAAGGACTTTGATCAATATGACCGGCTTTTTCAACAAATTTACGTTCAGTAACGAAACCAATACCGAATGGATTCAATTTATCATCTTTTGGTAATTTAACAACATCATCATAAACAACCGAGTTTTTATGGCCATCGATAGCTGGATCAATTCTAAATGATAAGATATGTTGATGATAAGCAGCCATAACATTTGGACCAACAATAGTTCCCCAAGGAACAGTAACATCTTCATCAATTGGCATGGTTGATAAAATACCAGTAGCTCTAGTTTCAATATCAATTGAACCATCGGTAACAAATTTAAGATTAATGATATATTCATAATTAGCAACGGTAGCAATAGTTTGAACAACAAATTCACGTTTACGAGCAACGACTGCATTATTAGTTCTATAATTAAGATGTTTATATAATAAACCATCATCTTGTTCATGCATACAAATAGTATTTGGAATAACACTTGGTTCACCATTTGGATGAACTGCGTAACCATCCATATACTTAATAACCCCTAAACAATCACAACCCAAGTTTAAGTGATTACCAGTAACACCAAAACCAACATCACCCAAATCAAAAGCTTGTTTTCTATGATAAGGAGCTCTTGGATCCCCGTAAGGAACAGTCATTTCACTTAAAGAAATACGATAGAACACTTGTCTACCTTTGAAATTAACATCATAAACAGCAAAACCTTCTCTTGCACTTGAACTAACTCTGAACTCCCAACCTTGCCAAGTAACTTTTGAGCCTTCGACTTTGAAAGAAGGACCTTCTGGTTGAGAAATCAATAAAGGTTTGACATCTCTTGGAATGGTTTCATTATTTAAATCAGGATGGTATTCGACACAAGGAACTTTTTGCCATGGTTGAGTTGGAGTTGTTTTTTCATCAAATCCACCAGGTAAATAATCAATTCTAACAAATTTATTGGTATAAGCTTCAAAAACTGGAGAAAATTTTAAAGGTAAAGAATAATGATTTGACTCACTGTGACCATCACCAGCTAAAACATACATGAAGAATTGAACCAAAGGTCTCTTTTCATTTGGATCATCAGTACCATAAATCCAAGGATCATTTCTAATTTGATAACCTTTTGGTAATTGCAATTTTGCAACTTCTTCTAAAACTCTTGGATGACTATTACAAAGTTCTTCTAAAGCACCCATATCATCTGGACAGAATGGACCAACAGTACCCAAAGGTAATTTGCTTTTAGTAATAACATGTCCAATAGTTACATTAACTAAAGCTTTATTAAATTCAAGAGTATTGGTATAGTAATAAGTATATAAAACTCTTGGAATTTGTGGTAACGGTAATCCATGTTTTTCAGCTTCTAAATATTTGATCATATCCTGTTTAGGTGGATCAACTTTATCAATTTGGGTAAAATGAACATTATCAGAAGCTGAATGAGCATCTTTAACTAATTTAGATGCTAATCTAATTTCGTAATCTCTAACACTATCAAAAGGATGAATAGATGACATTTTCAGGGGAGGCGTATTTGGATGTTTTCTAATAATTTTTTTCCCAGTATTTTCTGGATTTTCAACCATCTTTATATGTCAAACTTCCTCCACTCTAATAAACGGAATTATTGGTTGATAAAGACCAGGACTGTTCCAGATCAAACAGAGACCGAGTGAGGAACAAATAAAAATAGGCTGCACCTGCCTATTTAGGCAGGTCCAACAGGTTTTGGCAGCTTCACCAATACTCTTCAACGGAATATAAGCTTGCCATTTCTAGCCATCAACCTGGTAGACCAATAAGGAATAAACGTTGTATCTGATCTCATTATGCCTTTCACGAGTGTTAGATTAACCCTCTTACTGATTGACCTCGTTCTGATTAACCTGCTGCTGATTATTTCTTTGACTGATAACCTCTGGCTTATTGGATTGGTTCATAGTGGCCAGTGATTTCGCCAATGATTACGCCGATGATTACATTAACTGGTCAAGGCTATCTCTTAAGACTGGCAGTCTGAGTGAACTCTGAAGCAGTAGAAGCAGTAGGTTAAGAAATGGGTGCTAAATTCATGCAAGTACGTGGCCTTACCGGATATGTACGGAGGTAAAGATAAAGTATATATATATTAACTATGGAACAGAAAACAAAAATCATTAAACTAGACAAAACATATAGCACAGCTATAGATCAGTAAACAGAATGAGACTCTATTGAAGTTTTGAGGAAACCATGAATGAAAAGTAATTAAAATGAATCAAAAAAAGGGGGGATAATTAAAAAGTCTAAAACAACAACCAGGCAGTAACGGACCGACATAGAACTAATAATAATAAACAGTGGAAAAAGAATCGTAAACATAAAGCAGGGGAGGACGAGAATAACAAAAGGGAAAAGCCATTTAAATCAAATAGATAATCTCATTTTGTTCACTAATGGAACATTATTTATTATGAATAGCAGGAGAACCAACTCTCATTTTAGTTTGAGGGTTGATGATTTCCAAAGGTTTTTTAATTCTTGAAGTATGGGCTCTTGGAGAGTTACTGCCAACGGTAGCGGTATTTTGGGTAACTGGACTGAGATTGATTGTTTGGGATTCGGCAGAACTTTGTTGTGGACTGAATACACTAGCAGTGTAAGGGTTGAATTTCTTAAGTGGAGGACTGGATTGGCTATAATGATCTGGAATATCTGGACAAAACTCCAAGTCATCTTCTATATCAAATGATTTCGATAAATAATATCTCAATCTTGGATTTGAAAAAGAATAATTGGTGGCATTGGTGGAGTTCGAATACGACGAGCCTACCGACGACGTGGTCGAAGATGCAGAGTTTGAATTTGAATTCAAATTGGCATTCTCTGGAATACTAATCCCATTTAAATGGGGATGATGTTGATGATGAATATAGTTCAAATTATGAAACGTTGGGCTGCTGGTGTTGTTACCACCGCCACCACTGTTTGTTTGCACCTGTTGCAAAGATGGCGAGTACGTTTGCTGGTAGTTATTATAGATATATGGGTTGGACATCTTGTTATATCAAAATCATTAATGAAGAAGAAGAAGTACTTTGAAACGTCCTCACCTGTTAGCTTCGTTTTATTTGGCATTTATTTTTCCCGCACTTTTCTATTGTTGGACGGGGGTGCATTTCCATATGCAGGTATCATCACCTCTTACTCTTTTCTTTTTCAACTACCAGCTTACTCTAATTTGACCAACTGGTGATATTGGTAGTAGTAGTGGTGGCCGTAGTCGTAGCAGTAATAGCAGTAATAGTGTTGCACCCATCTGGGTATAATTGGTTGAGGTGTTCTTCTGGTTTACCGGTGCAGAGTAAGATAGCCACCTGCACACTACGTTTTGTAATTGCTACGAAGATAATAGTTTTGTACTTACTGGTCTTTATCTATTAGCACCTGAACATCATTGACAGTCCAACTGGGATGTGAAAAGTATGAAATATCTCCACTGGAGCATTATGTCTTCACTAGGAGCATTATGTCTATGGAGACCCCAGCGACTCTGGGAAGACCGGCTGACGTAATCGGCGGTCACGGAATTTCTCTCGTGATAACCGGATAAACTACCAGGATAAACACCCGTACATTTTGGTGTGGGTCACGTGCTTTGGTGGTGTATGGGTGTATTTACTTTTGGCTATCAGTATACCTGCCGGAGTCGGTGTATGTCAGTACATGATACTCTAATCAGGTGGGACTCGGTGCATAATACGCCAATGTGCTCATCTTGTAAATCGTGTAGGTTAAACAGCTACAGTTTCAACTCTCATTGTGGTGTCCGCATTGGGTAAGATTTTCGCAACTGGCCCCAAATTATAAAAGCTAGTCATTTTCAACAGATTCTTGCAAAATGGATCGAAAACAAGAATGAACGATTACACCAGTGTACCGGGAGAGTTTCTGGTGCCGTTGTCCCATAGGAACCGCAGTTACAGGCTTGTGCAGTTGCGAAATGGTTTGGTGGCCTTACTAATATCAGATCCAGCGAAATGTTCTGCTGCTGCTGCATTATGCGTTGCAGCCGGCTCGAATAATGATCCTTCCAACATCCCCGGCCTAGCCCATCTAGTGGAGCATATGGTTTTCATGGGCACCAAGAGCTTCCCCAAGCCGGATTATTTGCAAGAGTTGGTCTACCAGAATAACGGTCTGGTAAATGCATACACCACTAATGAAAAAACCTGTTTCCATTGGGAAATTCCTTCAACGGGCTTGATCAAAGATGAAAATCCTTTTGAGTTGGTATTGAAGGTGTTTGCGTCTTTCTTCAAGGATCCGATTTTCAATGCAAAACACATACGCTCCGAGATTCTGAATGTAAACTCTGAGCATTTCTTGAACTTGAAGTCTCTTGATAAAAAATTCTACCATTCACTCAAGATACTAGCGAATAGAGCCCACCCTTTCCATAAATTTGGTACTGGTGATGAGAGTACTCTTCATTCAAACCCAAAGCTACTCAACTTGAATTTGAAAAAAGAGGTTGCTCTTTTTTTCAAACTCCATTATATTGCAAATAATATGACTTTGGTGTTAAAGGGACCGCAATCGCTAAATTTCCTAGCCAAGCTAGCCATCGCCAACTTCATTGGCATTCCCCGAGAACCAACGCTCCCCGTCTTTCCCTCGGTGGCTCTCCCTCGTTACGATTGCAATGCTTTCTCGTCCTCTAACACGAACAAGCTATTACGCGTTGAGTCCGCAAATGACTCGAAACTAAGAATGATCTTCCCTCTTTGCAAGTTAAAGTCTCATCCGTATATAGAGGAATTGAAACGTACTTGGGTCCACCTACTAGGTGAAGAATCCAAAAACTCCTTGTGTGATTACTTGATTAATGAAAAATTTTGGTCAACTTCAATAATAGCATCCACCCAAAATCTCACCTATGATGAATCGGTTTTGATAATTGAGATTTCCCTAACTTTAAAGGGAAGAAATAATTTAGAAAACCTCATTATTGAGATCTTCAGCTTCCTATATAATGTTTTGTTTGATACTCCTGCTTCATCGATATCGTCCTTCTTGCACAACATTTCAATTATTGATAATTTGAATTATCTTCATCAAGATTTATCTGTTTCCTCCGTCAACGAAGTTACTAATCTAAGTGAGACCCTTTTAAACTTGAACATCGTTGGTGGTAACCGAAACTTAATAAAAGGGTTCGTCACTTGGGGCGATAAGGTCTCTTCGGAAGACTATCTTAGCGAATCATGGTGGGCGTCATTGGCAGAGATTTTTCTTTCAACAACAAGAGAGACTTTGTCTCTCAGTAACTTCAATCTAATTATAATTGACTCAAACCACCCACCCACTGAAAGTACTTTGGTTGATGAATACTACCATTTCAAGTATCTGGTTTCTCAGTTCGATCCTTTATATTATTATACCAAATTACATCCTTCGCCGATATCTTTTTCGCAGTCAAATTTTTTTGCGGACCAATTTAACCTAAACGATATTTACAATTCACTAAATTCTATTTCGTCTCAGATTCATAATAACCCTTTGAGTTTTATACCCCAGCCCGAAGCAAAAGACTCTTTGGAACCTATGACGTTATACGATCATAGTGGAAATCATGAATTATGGTATCACAAAGCTAATTCGCCCAACAAAATGGCTTTATCTTTCAAAACTCAACTTTTCTTTGAAAATACTGCAAAATTGACGGTAGGCATCGAAATATTATGTGATTTAATTGGTACAGACTTCAAAACAGAATTCTACCCTGCTGAGCAAGTTGGCTGTTCTTGGGGGTTGTATCCGTGTGTAAATAGTACTTGCTCGATTCTGGTCACTATTTGTGGGTTAGCTGTAAATTTTGTACAATTTTTAACAAATTTTATTCAAAAATTATTGCAAAATCTTCAAAATGTCAAAGAGTTAGAGTATCAAACCTTTAAGAAATCTAAAGTTAAGCTACGTAAGAAATACGAAAACATACTAGATGCAAATGGGATCAGTAAAATTTTTGCAGCTTCGTATGTCTTCTTAGAAGAAAAAGTTTGGACTTTGGATGAAAGAATCGATGCATTCGAAGAAATTGAAATTGACGATCTAATTAATATAAGTGGTTCATTCTTGAATGGCTTGTCATATACCACCATCTTAATCACTTCTCCTCCTGATTTTGATGAAACAGTTCAAATACTGAAAATCATTAATCTGTTCACTAATCACGAAAAACTTTCAAGTGATACAACCAAAACTTTAGATCTACCTTCGAGCTACCTTTTACCCAGAGGGTTTGATTATACCTATCAAATGCAAACAACCGATCCCTCAAACATTATATTTTATTATGTCCAAATAGGTGAGAATGATTGTGAACTAAAGAAAGCATTATGTTTCCTAACCTCTTACTTTATATCGCAAAATATATCAAACGAATTAAGAACAAAAAGGCAATTAGGCTACTCAATAATTTCAGATGTTAAAATTTTAAGAAGAAGCTTAGGTATTCATATAACGATAGCAAGTGAAAAATATCTACCTGCTTATTTGAAGACCGAAATTGAAAGCTATTTAGAAGAATTGAATCAGATGATATCTTTTTTCACCAACGATGAATTTAGTCAATTGAAGGATCAGTTTCTAATAACCCACAAGAGCAACTTAACCAGTGTAGAATCTAATGGTTCTTCCTTAGGTCTCCAACCCAGCATTAGTAGTAGCAACGAGCTCCAAGGCACATTATATGATGTTCATAAGCTTCAGTGGGAAAAGATAATGAATAAAAATCATGAGTTTTCGAAAAATAAGAGAGAAAGTGAAATTGACTACGATATCGTTAGGGGTTTAACCCAAAATGACATGGTGATTTTTTTCAGAGAGTTCGTATCACCAGTTTCTGATTTGAAAAGATCTCTTTCTTTATTCATGCAAACGAAATGCGATATCCATGAACTTACAAATTCTTATCTAAAGAAACAATTACATATTTATCTTGATCTACAGAGTATTCAATTATCAGACGAAGAAATTGAAAATATTGTTGAGAAATGCAATGGAAGTCCTATAATGTTACCAAAAGAAATATTTAAAGTCTTAAGAAAGAAAGACATCAGTAAGAGTATCAAGTACTTTAAGAAATCTTATGTTAATATTAGTAAATCAAGTATTGCCTCTTTTTTCATAAAACAAAAACATAATACTGATCATATCGAAAAGAGCGATGATATTGAGCTAAAATCCCCGAGTGAGTTACATGAAAACTGTGAAGTCATTGCCAATAAAATGGCCAATCTTGAATTGCTATGTTGACCAGTCTAATAAATAAACTACGGGGCGAATCACACATATGATAAATCAGAGACGCTCAGGTTCTGCTTCTTCATCATCACTTATATCAAATCTGGAGACTTCATCATAAGCTGGAGGACTATCAATAACTAAACCGTTATTATCTTTTATCCAGAAGAAGTAAACTGCGATAATAGTAAAATAAACATTTAAGTATCCCAACCATTGGCCACCAATAAGATATAATTTATCAAATAATACCATTTCCATTGTTTTAACAGAAAAAACTGAATACTGTAATAAAGAAGAATCTGGATTCAACATGCCTAAATCATTACTTGCATAAGTAAAATTGTAGAGCCTATAAGCGTATAAACCAATAAAGACGAGCATGGAAACCAAGGGCAATAAGAAAATGAAAAGAATGGAACGTCTGAAGGAGCTAATAGTTTTTGAATTTTTCTCTGGCGCAGAGCCGTCATTTGGATCAACTGGGGGGAACTTTGACAATATCTTTTTAGTTTTAAAGTAATAAACAAAAGTAAAGCCGAACCAAACCAAATAATAAGCCGAAGCAAGCGGCATTAACACATTAGATACTAGACTATTACTAGCTGGAGCCATAAATGCATTATCCAAATCGCCATTCCCTGAAAGGAGAATAACAAAGAAGATTGCTGTAGTCAACACCGTGCTGATTATCAATAAGTATAAAGAGATTTTATTTAATCTGGCAGGAAATTTTCTGTAGTTTCTTGAGCTTCCCTTATGATAATAGATAACCCCAAACCCCATTGAGAATATCAATAGTAAGTAATTTGAGAAGTTGCCATAAACACTGGAAATATAATTCGAACCCAAAGCGAAAAAGCTTAATAAACGAGAAGGTGAATCGCTAGGCGAGAAATTATTTGATAAAAACGAAACAATGGTGTTGATGATCAAAGTAATAACAAAGGGAATCAAAGCAAATAGAATCACTCCTTTTGAAATCAAAGAGATTTCATTTAAATTTTGAAAATTCTCGCCTAGTTTATTCTTGACAATATAGTGGAATAAAAACCCAGTCAAAGCCAAGCCAATGAGAATACCGTACTTGTTCTGTGAATAAGGGACATACTTAAGATATTCAAGGTATCCATGAGAGTTGGTAATTCTAATGGGAATTGTTAAATCAGATATACCAACGTCAGTTGGAGGTTCGATATAAACACAATAAACTCCCGATTCTTTGACTTTGAATTGAACACCATCTTTTTTAGTCAAATAACCATTGAAAATCTTACTTTCATCAACCTTACCACTAGAATCAGCTAATTTCAAATCAAATTTATTTTCTTTAACTGGAATCAAATCTTTTTTAGCCGAATATTCTTTTCCAAATTGTTCAAACGAAACCATATTGGAAAAATTGGTTGCGTGAGCATAACGCAAGATCAATGCTGGGATCTTTAACGTATCTACCAACTTTTCATCTTTCAATTTGAGTTGGTCAACCCTCAATCCAATGGAAGCTTCACGCTTATTGTCATAGGAAACAAGATCACAATAGACCCCTTGGTCTTGGTAATTCAAATGCGTAGCCGCAGCACTGCACCCAACAAGCAACGTTATAGCGCACCAGATATTCCAATGACTAGACCGGACCATTTTCATCTGCTTTTGTATGTCTGTCAATGAATTATCAAAAAGTAAAGATTTAACGGAGTATCTTTAGGGATTTAAAAGCCAGTTCTATTTTTACCTCCCCAGGAAAAAACCGAAAACCCGTACATATCAATATTTATAAAAGTTTGGTAATCACACGCCAACTGGTAATAGGCAATGAGTAGCTATTAACCTCTAGAGACCTATCTTCCAGTACAATACGAGTTGAATCTAGTAATTAGTATAGTGTGAATGTTAGGTATTCAATTATCAGTGTCTACATACTTTTGCAAGTAACGAGAGCCGTTTCCGTGTGTCAACCATATATATAACTACTGATCACATGACACCTAATAGATAAATATTATTATTTTCCATATAATAATTAAACGAATAGGAGGATTCCAAGTTCTGAAGAGCTGAAATATCGACGCTTATAGCTGTGGTGGCAAAGATCTAGAGCAACAGGATACAAGAACAGTTGAAAAAAAAAAGGTGGAAGCTATCATGAGTTATCAAAGACTTGACCAACTGGAACAGCTGGTGGAAGAATTAGAACAGGAAAGCTCAGGTATACCCAAGTCAGGAATTATAGGGAAGAAACACACCAGAGCAGCGTACGAGGTGCTACGTGAAGTCCACTCCCATTCGTCGCAGGAAGACTTGGAGGACTTGGAAGCCGAAGACGTATATCCAGCTTACAAACAATGGAACATTGGATTTAAATCAATAGTCTCGATCATATTATTCTGCCAGCTTATATTGGGGTACATGTTGTACCGATTTGCTACCTGTGAAGCAGGTTCCGATAAAATCAACACCACCAGTCCCATCCTGGATAAACCATAGCCAATACATACATTTACTTTAATACATGACTTCATACCTGACTTAATACCTGACTTAATACCTGACTTAATACCTGACTTAATACTCGACTTAATACCCGACCTAAGACATATCTTAGTTTATCTTATTAATAAGAGCACAAGCGAATAAGAACATAGGGAAGAACATGCAATCACTGCAAGTTGCAAGTTGCAAATTGAAAGATTTAGCAGCCACTTTCATTGCAGGGACTCAGCCTTCAGCAGAAGGTGCTTTCTTCCTCCCCAAAAAAAAAAAAAAAAAAAAAACAAATAAGACATCGCGGTTCAAACCACCAGACCGACAGACCTCAAGAGAGAAAATGGAGCCGGTGACCGTATCGTTAAAGGAGTTGACCAAGGGGGTCCGTGATGAGGTATTGGACCAGGCGTTTGGGCCAGATTCCTTGGGGATCATTGTGATTAAAGATTTACCCAAAGAATTTGAAAAATTGAGACTTGAGGTATTACAACTGGCTTCGATATTAGCAAATCTACCAGAGGATGAACTAAAGCAGTTGGAATCAGAAGAGTCGATGTGGCTAACTGGGTGGTCATGCGGGAAGGAGATCTTGAGCCAACTGGGGAAGCCCGATTATAACAAAGGGTCTTATTATATTAACTGTGCATTCCATAAGGACTCTGAACTAGAAGGAGCATCGGCAGAAACCAAGTCCAAATTTGAAAACTTCAAAACGTATACTACTTGGAATATCTGGCCAGATGGCAAGTTGAAAGGATTGGAAGAATTCGAGGTCAAGTGTAAGCAATTATGCAATATGATCATCGATATTGCCGAAGAAGTTGCAAATAATTGTGATGGGTACATTGCCAAAAACGTTGGAGTAACAAATTACCAGGCTGGGTTTTTGAAGAGAATAGTGAAGAATTCCACCTCTACCAAGGCAAGATTATTACACTATTATCCTAAGAACGAGGAGCTGGATGGTAATGACGATGATTGGTGTGGAACCCATGTTGATCATTCGTGTATCACCGGACTTACCTCTGCCCTTTTCCTCGATGAGTCCAAAGGATTAACTCACAATTTAAGCGGGAGTCCTGATGCTGAAGCTGGTCTTTACATTCGTAATAGACACGATGAAATCGTTAAAATTAACATTCCCAGTGACTGTTTAGCCTTTCAAACCGGATCAGCACTACAAGAAATATCCAGAGGGAAATTCAAAGCAGTCCCCCATTACGTCAAAGGAACTAAATTATCATCAATTGCAAGAAATACTTTGGCAGTATTCTGCCAACCAGATTTGGACGAACCAGTCAACGACAACGAGAACTTTGCTCAATTTGCAGAAAGAATCGTCATGGGTAACCATTAATTGTATATAAGAATGTAAACGTGATTATAAATTGAAATGTTGTAATTGAGGTTAGGGCGAGAGCAATTGCGCAAAAAACTATAAATATGAGCGATTTGCTGCAATTTGTCAGCTTTATCTCATCAGATTAAATTACCGACTAAAATGGCTCCAATCACTTTTTACACTTTCAAGACTCCTAATGGGTATAAGATTTCGATCTTTTTGGAATTACTCGGACTCCAATACAAGGTTAAAAACCTTGACATTTCAACCAATGTTCAGAAAGAACCATGGTTTCTTGAATTGAATCCAAACGGCCGTATTCCAACCATTGTCGACCATTCGACTGGTATCACCATAAGTGAAACCGGGGCTATCTTACAATACTTGGCTGACACCTACGATAAAGACCATTTGTATTCGTACGAACACGGTACTAAAGAATACTATAAGTATCTTGAAATCCTTACTTTTGCAATTGCCGGCCAGGGCCCAATGCAAGGTCAAGCCAACCATTTCAGTCTTTATGCTCCAGAGAAAATCCCTTATGGGATCAAGAGATACACTGAAGAAACGAAAAGACTTTATAGTGTTCTTGACTTGTATTTGGAAAGAAGCAAAGGTCCTTACTTGGTTGGCGACCGTCTTACTGGGGCCGATGTCTCGGTCTTTGGCTGGGCTGCTTTTGCCAATGCCATTGGTGTTGATCTTGAACAGTTTCCTCGTGTTTGGACTTGGGCCAAACTCGTTGCCAAAATCCCAGAGGTCCAAAAGGGTCTTGCTGTCCCTGAACCACGTCCAATTCACCCCGGCTTGATTTGATCTACTTCCACGTTTATAGTTCACTACACGTTTATTATCTATAGTTGTTGTAGAAGGTAGAAGGTAGAAGGTAGATGTAGAAGTAGTACTAGGAGACGTAGTACTAGGAGAAGTAGTAGAAAATGCCGTTCTCCCCTTTTTTGCGGAGTGCCACCAAAAACGAAAAAAATTAAAGCGGAAAAAAGAGAAAGAAAAAGAGAAAGAGAAATTCGATAAGATTGTTGAGCTTCTCATTGAGAATCTTATTTCAATATCTTTAGTCGTATTTGATAGACCTAACATACAATCGTGTGGAATTGTTGTTGTATGGGAGATTGGCTAAGATTTGTATTCAACTTCTTGTTCGTTTTTGTCTTTTCCATTTGCTTTCTTTAGTTGGTTATTGGCTATCTTTCAATTCAATGATTCTATAATCGTCCAGTGATACTTACTTTCCTTAAATAATGTCTAGAATCACAGGCCCAAGGCTCTCGTCAGATAAAGATCATATACGATCATCTTCCTCAAGTCTTCCTTATGGAGATGGATCCGGTAAGATCTTTGGAATGGAAAACTTTGGTAATACTTGTTATTGCAACTCAATCTTACAATGCTTATTTTATTCAGATAAATTTAGACACAACATACTTGCTCATAATAGAACCCATCACGATCCGAAATTGAATCAAAATGGGGTTAAAAGTCATAATTTCACTACCAAATATGAACAATTGGTTTCTAAAAGATTGAAAGAAGCGAATGCTACAAATAACGTTACTAATCAAACACAGAATGGTGGCGCCACCACAAATGGTAATGATGTCTTGAACGGGAATGGTGTAAATGATATGGCTGGTATGAATAATATAGACCGACCCAAATCTTCAAGAAAGGGTTCAATCTTTGGTATAAAGTTTTCCAATAGCAATAATAATAACAGCAATGGTAATACATCAAATAACCATCTGACTTCACTTTCAAGTCAATCCGATGGTAATAATCAAAATAAGTTTATTTATGATGCCAAAGATTGTCCTGCGTTATCAATTCAACAACGTATATCAATACAAAGAAATCGTGATTTTGAAAATTTACAAATCATGGTCACTCGCCCGTCATTAAGCTCATCTAATTCCACCAATAGAAATGATCATTCCCAATCCTCTTCATTCTTGTTAAGTAATGATTCTAAAAACAACCCCCATAACCAAGACAATGCTTCTCCTGATACCACCAATAACAATAATGAACCTCGTATTACTCCTCAATCACATTTTGTGGTGGTGGGTATTCCTCAACCAGAAACTTTCTTATCCAATCCCATTAATCCATTTAATCCAAGTCCATCCACGGATCAAAGAAAAAGATCGGCTTTGATCAATGGGCCTATTATAAATTTAGATCATCCTTTGCAACTTCCTTCTGAACAATCAGATGAAACTGCCCTATTATACGCTTTGAAAGACTTATTCGAGTGTATGGTGGAAAATAAATCCCAAATAGGAGTGGTTTCGCCATCCTACTTTATTACAAGATTAAAAGAAAAAAACTTTCTCTTTAGACAAAATAATATGCACCATGATGCTCATGAATTTTGCAATTACTTAATTAATGAAATTATTGAATCTTTGAATTTTGAGTTAAGTGAAAGTAACCCGTTTAATTGGTGCACCGACTTATTCCAAGGTTTAATTACTAACGAAACTAAATGTTTATCTTGTGAAACGATCACGTCAAAGGAAGAAACTTTTTTGGATCTATCAATCGATATCCCTCCTGGTGATAGCTCATATTCTTTAAGTCACTCATTGAATAATTTTTCGAAACTGGAAACTTTAACTCATCAAAATAAATTTTATTGTAACACTTGCTCTTCATTACAAGAAGCTACGAAAACCATCAAATTGAAAAAATTACCCGAAGTCATGATTATCAATTTTAAAAGATTCAAATATGATGAAAATGCTGATAAAATGGTTAAATTGTTTGATTCAATAAGCTATCCGTTGAAATTAAGATTATTCAACACTTCCGAATCAGACGATAACAATACTAATGATGAAAACAATAATGATAATTTTACCTTGTACGAACTTTATGCTCTAGTAGTACATATAGGTGGAGGTCCAATGCATGGTCATTACGTTTCATTATGTAAATGCAAAGCAGGACTATGGCTATTATTTGATGATGAAACAGTTGAGATTGTTGACGAATGTTATGTTATGAGATTTTTCGGTAACGGTCCAGGTTTAGCAAGCTCGTATATTTTATTTTACCAAAAATGTGATACTTTGAATCCTGAATTATCAGTGGATTTTGGATTAAATTTAAATGAAATTTACAATGGCAGTGATTATTCTTTAGTTGAAAAGGCTAACTTAACTTCAAAACCTGAACCAATATCGACCAGAAAAACATCGTCTGCTCATTCATATAAGTTCAGTAAAGATCTTGAACCCGAAGAAAATCATTCGGTTCACCATAAAAATTCCGATTGTTCTGCCTACGATCCAAATTTCACTTACCCTACTCCCACTAATCCTTTCAATACCACTCCATCTTTAGAATCCTCTTTTGAAAATTCAATTGCTACAAGTAACCAAGGTTCAGGTTCGAATATACTACCAAATAATAACTCAAATTCTTCAAGTGGAACTGGAGGGCTCACTAGGAAAGCTTCTCTCTTTAAAAAGAATTTCAAACTTGAAAATACCAACACTACCCCATCCAAAGAGAAGGAAAAGGAATCGGTGTTCCATTTGCCTCGCTCTCTTTCGCGTTCATCCTCCATGAAAGGGCCCTTGTCTCAACATCAACATCAACATCATCCAAGTGACCAATCAATGGAGTCCGAATTGTCCGCCCAGACTCCGGTGAGCCCAATTCCAGAAACTACCCAGACCGAACCCCCAAAACATGAAAAGAAAACTTGGGTAGGCGGATTGAAAAGACGTGAGAGTAGATTGGGCTCTTTCAGCAGCACCACCAGTAATACCAGCAGCACAAGCAATGGTAACTCTTCTTCCCTCAACGCTAAAACATCTTCAACCAATGTTAAACCTAACAAGAGTAACTCCCTTGAACCACCAAAGGAAACTGGCAAACGCAGAAGTATATTCGGCTTCAAGAAAAAGAGCGACAAATAGCCTTGTTCATAAGTCAACATATACATATCTATAGACGTGTAAATTTATAGACAATAATAAATTGATTGGTATATGATTGCAAAAAAAAAAAAAACGGCCGTGCACGTGATATGACATCAATCTTACAAACTTTCCATAAGCAAAAGCCCTAATCTCCTATTGAGATTAGCAGATCGTACGACCGAAAATAAGATTAAAACGCAAGCCCATGTACCTGTAGTTAAAGTATGGTATTGTGTGCTTTGATCATAACATGTGACTCAACCAAACGGACTCGGTTGGTTATCGGTGTTTTACATTTTTTTTTGCGTATTTTTCACTTTGTTTTGCCATGAGAAATCGATGAGCCACAGCTTACATATATATATGTCTTATTCCTAGGTTATAGACCATTCCGGTATCAGTGAACATACACAATGTCTTCTAGTATTATATCCCCAACTCTCAAGACCACCCCAAGCTCCCAATTAATCACCGTTGCAGCCGGATGTTTCTGGGGGGTTGAACGAGTTTTCAAAAAGCATTTTGCTAGTAAAGGATTGATTGATGCTAAAGTTGGATATGCCAACGGTATCCCAATTGAAGGCCCGGTCACTTACGAAAAAGTATGCAGTGGATCCACCAACTACGCAGAAGCCGTTCAAATATCATATGAACCATCCAAATTAAGCTTGAAAGAAATCTTAGACATTTTTTTCAGAATTCATGATCCAACTACAGTTAACTCTCAAGGCCCTGACAAGGGGACTCAATACAGATCAGCCATCTACTTTCACAGCGAAGAAGATGGTGCAATTGCAAAACAAGCCAAGGAACAATCCCAAAAGGACTGGTTCCCAGGATACCAAATTGTAACCCAAATCGAACCACTCAAGATCTGGTATGATGGGGAAGATTACCACCAGGAATACTTGGATAAAAATCCAGGCGGTTACGAATGTCCAACCCACTTCTTGAGAACCACTCCTAAAATATAACCCTTTCACTTGATTGTTCAAGTTAACGAATTTCAAGTTCTTATGTCTATTCTCTTCTTACATCGTTTTCTTATGTTCCTTAACATTTGCTCTTTCTTGTAATTTATTCATCTTACCATTTTAATACACTAATGTCTTTAATATTCTCATATCTTCAATAAACTTATCTTCAGCTTATATCTTTTAACTCAGTAGAAGAAATAGTAGTGTTGGAGTGCAAAAAAAAAAAAAAAATAGCCAACGGGTAAAGACGCGTACTCATTTTTCATTTCTTCATCACGTCCATTCAACCATTACAAAGATATAGCTTCAAAATGTCGTTGTGGGTAGATAAATACAGACCTAAGAAGCTAGACCAATTAAGTTATCACTCCAATATTACCCAAAACTTGAAGGCGTTAGCCAGTACTGGAGATTTTCCTCATTTACTTGTATATGGACCCACTGGATCAGGTAAGAAGACTAGAATTTATTCAACATTGAATGAATTATTTGGATCCCAAGTCGAAAAATTAAAGATTGACGTTAAGACTTTCACAACTTCTTCGAATCGTAAGTTAGAATTCAATGTTTTGAGTTCACCATACCATTTGGAAATCACCCCATCAGATATGGGTAATAACGATCGAGTAGTTATACAAGATTTATTGAAAGATGTTGCCTCGACTGAACAGGTAGACTTTCAAAATACATCCAAATCAAATATGAAACATCGGTTCAAGATTGTTATCATTAACGAAGCAGATTCACTAAGCAGAGATGCTCAAGCTGCTTTAAGAAGAACCATGGAAAAATACTCTTCCAATATTCGTTTAATCATGGTCTGTAATACTACTTCGAATATTATTGCTCCAATAAAGTCAAGAACTTTATTGGTACGAATCCCAGCTCCTTCTTCTAAAGACATTGCACAAATATTAAATCACATCTCAATTAAAGAAGGAGTTAAATTCACGACCAATGATGAAAATGAAAAATTAGCCTTTTTGGAAAAGTTGGCTGAATCTTCAGATAGAAATTTAAGAAAGTCTTTATTATCTTTTGAAACTATATCAATGCAAAATGAATCAATTCCAATCAATAATACTTCTTTAATAGTATTAGATTGGGAAGAAATCATTAAAAATTTATCAAAATCTATACTCGCATCAAAGACAGTGGCTAATTTAGCTAAAATCAGAGTTGTTTTCTACGAATTATTATCTCATTGTATACCAGCAAGAATTATCTTGAAAAAATTGGCCTTCAATATAATCGAAATGACAAAGGATAAACATCCAGGTTCAACAATCAATTTGATTGAATTGGCTGCAATCTTTGACGAAAGATTGAGCTTGGGTCAGAAAAGTATATTTCATCTAGAAGGTTTTGTTGCAAAAGCAATGGTTGAATTATCTTAGTATATAATATAGTCTGATGTATATTAAATAAAACACATAAATAATCATATTTTAATAGAATTAAACGAACCTACAAGTAAACACACACTATTACCCTTTATCAATGTTGAACCTTGTTATCTCCACCGTTTTTGGTATCCCCCGGATGTTGTTGTTCATGGGGTGCTACAATATCTTCATATCTTGGTGGCTCGCCAGTATTACCAGCATTCGAATGTGAGTCAAGATTACTTGGAGGTTGGACTTGTGAAATACCTAATCGAGATGGATCAGGGCGTTCTTCTTCATTGGAAACTAATTGACTTTCTTCATCATCCCCAAGTCTAATATAGCCTTCTGCACGTTCATAAGCATCAGCGTTAATACGTGGGAATTCGATCAAAACATAATAAAGAGAAAAAAGTACTCCTGGGACATGCCCAAAAAGTGTCAAGAGAACCGAAACTAAGAACTCTTTGGTTAATATAGTATATTTAGGTGCTGTAAGAAGAAATATTGGTAATGGTGGAATGAAAAACAGCAAAACTGCAAGAATTATCATTTGTGATTGATTGGGTAAGTCAACCCCACGAAAGTTTTCAGATGTCATTGGCAATGTAAGTACTATATGGCTTATCAAGTCTAAGTCTAACTGATAAAGAATCAATTATGCTTTCCTTTTATTCAATTGTGGGCGCAATCATTTCTTTAAAGAAAACCGTGGTGTACGGATTCTAAATTTCGCTGACTCTTTTGATTATCTCGACGGAATTGAAGTTGGCTTCAAGTTTATTCACCATTTGAAGTTAAGAATCGAGATGGATTATATAAAGAAGGCCATATGGGGTCCCGACCCCAAAGAGCAGGTATGTTACAGTATGATTTATTGTATAGGGACGAGACTAACAAAGTTTTAGATGAGGAAGATCAATCAATTACTCCGTAAGAATAAAAGAGAAATTGAAAGATCAATGAATCAATTACAACCATTGAAAAAGAAGACTGAAGGATTGATTAAGAAATCTGCTAAATCAAAGGACTATAAATCAGCAAAAATCTATGCCAGAGAGCTAATCAATATAAATAAGCAGTATAATAAATTATATACTTCCAAGACTAAACTAGATTCAATTACGATGTCAATTAATGAACAATGGTCAATGAATAAATTAACAAGCTCAATGCAAGTTTCTACAGGGATTATGAAAGACGTAAATCTGTTGGTAAATCTAGGTGTAGTGCTGGGAACTATGCAAGAATTATCGAAGGAATTGATGAAGTCTGGTGTTATTAATGAGATGATGGATGATATGGTTGATTTCGAAGGAGAAGATGAAGAATTAGAAGAAGAGTCCCAAGAAGAAGTAGACAAGATTATACAAAGCTTAACCCAAGACAAGTTATCTGCTATTGATACCGAGGTTCCCACTAACGATCTTTCCAACGAAGTTGAAGAAGAACCTAAGAATGATATATCATTACACGATGAAGAAGATCAAGAGGCTTTGGATGAAATGAGAGAGAGACTTAAAGCGCTTCAAGAATAGGCTTATCTTTTTAATAGATTATTCAACTACTTATTTAATTTATTTTTATAAATTCTATAATTCTAACGCACTTATATAATTCCTTTAATTAGAAACAATTGAAACTATTATAAGTCCGATAATAACTGACCAAATTGATATGATTGGGACTTTTGCTCCGAGAGAGTCGGTATAGTAATCGCTAGCTTTGGTTCGTGGTTGGGGTCTGTTGATGGGTGGTGATGCATTTGTTGCATTTCTTGGTTGTTTGATTTTCTTAAGAACTACCTTCCTCTTCTTCTTAGTATATGTACCGTTAGGCAACAAGGCTATAGTCGATTCTTTGACCGTTTCGGGCTGTTGTTTTTCAGAAGCAAATAAACCATGAGACTCAGGAGCTGCTTTCCCAAGAACAATCCCGGAAGATACTTGAACTTTCAGATGCCCTTTTTGCTGCTTTTCAATTAGTGAGCCCAGATTTTTGTCTTCATCCAAGGAAGAGCTTCCAAAAGTATCTTCGTAGTTAACAAAACCATTTTCTTCATAAGAAGGGGTTTCTTCATTTGTCTCTGAGGCAAATGGCCAAAACCAGAACCCTCCTTTACAATCATCTTCCTCCTCTTCTTCACAATCATCGTCATCTTGTTCCTCTTCTTCACAATCACCATCATCGGCAATGATGTTAAGATGAACACCTGCATCAAGATGAATATTTTGCTTCAGAACCGACTCCTCACCAAGATCAGCTTCAGTGATAACCTCTCCCTCATCGGCGTTACTTGCTTGAATCTCTATTGACTCCCTTTGAGAATCCTCACCATTCACCTCAACAAAAGCAGCTGCTACTCCTAACTCGTCTGGAATCTCATTCGGATTGAAAGCCTCAATACTGAATTCAGTATCTTCTTCCTCAGTTCTTTGTAAGTCTTCTAGACTATTTGCTATGTCTTCACTTGAGTTTCCCACACTGACGCCCGTGGCTGCCTCTTCAGACACAACGGTACTACTGTCCGCTTGAGCTTCAACATGGTTCTTTGACTGAACGAAATCCAAAACCTCGTTCAAAAAATTCAAATCTTCATATTGCGCAGGCTCCACAACTTTAGAATCCTGTTCTTCAATGGCACTAATCAATGGCGATCTCAACAAGTAAAGAGTTAGTACTCCGAGGCCCACATAAGGTAACCGCATTCTTCTCAATATGTTGTTACAAGAAGATAAAGTCCATTCTATAAGAGATTACTTGCTTGTATCATCAAGTTTATGCTGCGAAAACCACAAAACGGTTCACCTTCATAGGGTATTTTTTTTTGCGGCAAGATCAGGTATTGTTACAGAACGAAATACAATGAAAATCATAAAATATTATTGCTAGAAGCTATAGAAAACGGTGAATTGAGAACTCTTCATGAGAATGAGATGGCAAGAATAGTAAAAATGATCGAAATCGGGTTGATTTTAAGTGTAATGGCACCGGATTCGAATTCTGAAAGGGAAGACGCGTTGGATAAATTTCCTATCCCAAATTTAGAAATTGAGTGATTGTGTTTATGATGGTGTACAATCAGTGTTTTATTAGAAGATCCATTGAATGACGTTTCGTAAAAATCACAAGGGTCCTCATAAGTATATCTATCATCACAATCATCATCGTAATCCTCGCTGTCATCACAATCATCGTCATCTGCTGAGACATCATCACAATCTTCATAATCGTCATCCCCGTTTCCAAATAAACGACTGAGAAGACCGGTCAAGTTGACTTCTGGGGACTTTTCTTTTTCTTGTAATAAAGTAGAAGCATTGAGAACTGAAATTGATGGAACTTGTTTTGTTGTAACCAAATCAAGAATATCATTATGACCCAATTCATTTTTTTGAATAAGATTCCTTTGTTTAATTTTTATTTTATCCGATAATGAGTTAGCTTTGCTCAAACTAGTCTTTTTGTGTTCTTTAAATTGTTGTTTAATCTTGGATGTAGTTTGTTTGTAGGGTAAAACAAGACTGGCCAACTTAAACCATAGAAGGGCAAGAGCAGATTCGTCTTGCACGTCTTGAATTTCAGAGTTCTGATTTTCTTCGATAACACGTGAAATCAAATTACTAGCAAAACCAGTATGGAGAGTACGATTTGTAGTTTCACTAATAGCTTTATGAGCTTTATGCCTTTTAGCATGGTGAAATCTTGTCGAATTAACCTCACTGTTCACAGCAAGAGCGTAGAATCCATACTCATCATCTTTTTCGTCGCAAGAGTCTTCATCACTTTCTTCACACAGGTCGTCCCTGGCATCTTCATCACACAGATCATCTTTATAATCATCACAATCGTCATCATCATCCATAGAAGGTTTCAAAGTGCTAACGGTCCTCTTGTTTTCTCCCATAAGTAGAAAAGTTGCATCAGCATCTTCAAGAGAACTGTCAGCCTGCACAATTTGATTTGGATCTCTCTTTTGTAACACAAGGCCATGAACAAGTATATTCAAGGACAATGTCAATAGCAATGACTTCAAAGTAATGGCCTGGAACTTCATCTTCAGCGAGCGTGCAATTGTATAGCTAAAAAGTTCGCTAATGTGATGGTTGGTTCTGGGTGGTGGAATCAAACAATTTCTTAATATCAAAAGGTTTCCTTAGAAATCGATTTCCACAATTACAATTTTTTACAAAAACCCATTTGTAAAACTATCAACATGTGACTATTCCGTAAAAGGAACACAACAGCCTTACGTAAGAAGTCACCAGTACTGCGACACTCAGGATTCGATGTTTTTGGCCTTTGACTCCAATTCTTTTGACCAGGTATCCAACTCTTTCGTAATTGATGCAATTTTTTCGACCTGAGACTCCATCTGATCCAATTGCTCTTGGAATCCTCTGAATTCTTTGTTCAATTCTTGATACTTATCAGCATTTTTTTCTAAAGTATTGAGGTTTTGTTCTAGTTTAATGTAGTTCAAGGACTGATTAGTATTGAGATTTTCGAGTAAGTTTAAGTCCAATACTGAAACATCAGTATCAGACTCAAGTAACCTCGAGCCCAAATTCAAGCCTCGATGAACCAACCGATCTGTATCTCTCAGTGCCATTGGATCAAGTTATTCAACTAAGCTTCATCTGAAGATAATAGTTATCCATTTTTCAAAAAAATTGATTTAGTGGTCATTTTGAGCTTGGTGTACAGGTGTAAATCTAGACGTATTAGAATGATATTAAAATATACAAATATATACAAGTTAAGAATGCTTAGGAGAATCTAACGACCTCTGAACATCATATATTCAGGCAATTTAGCAGCTTGACGGTTAAGCCATTTCTTTGGGGGGTTTTTATTAGTTTCTGTGAGATAGTCAACTGGTTTTGGTTGATCTATTAACTCATCAATACTGACTCTAATTTTAGATTTTTCATCAATGATTTCATATAAACCTGGTAATTTTTGAGCTGCTTTTCTCAAACCTTCTCTGGCAATTCTCTCGTGGACATTATTACCCAATTCAAATAAAACTTTCCCAGTTGGAACACGAACTGCCCAGTGATCGAAAGCACCTTTACCTTTACCCATTCTTGTTTGATTACCTTTGACACACACAGCAAGATCACAAACGAATCTAGTAATGACCTTACCCTTTTGCGATTTGGTTTCTGCTTTTATGGTTTTAGCTGCGGCCTCAAGCTGAGCTGCTGATATACGAATACCATTAGATTTTAATCTTAATCCAAATTGGCCGAATTCTAATTTATTACCCTTGATGGATCCACCAGTTCTAACAGTGACTCTACCTTTGAAAGCTTTTCTCACTCTCTTGAAACGTGGCTCGTATTCATGTTTGAATCTTTTAGCAATGAAACTGCTGAAAATGCTGTTGGTATTAATGACTGGGGTGGCTGTGGATCTTAATGGGCTGAACGATGAGGTGATTGGTGATGTGCCCACTCTGAACAGCGAAAGAAGTGATCTTCCAAGTCCTAACATTCTAAAGTATAACTTATGATCTCTTGTTCAGATATATGTATATCTATGAATGGATAATTAAAGCGTATTGGACGAAAAAATGAAAGTGAAAAAAATGAAAAAAAATGAAAAAAAAAAAAAAAAAAAAAAAAAAAAACAAAGTGGATTACATAATCACAAATCGATTGCAAAAGTACCATCTACAAGTCTTTAGCTTCTATTAAGCAGTTTATTTACAAGAATATGTACAGTCTAACGAATTTCGACTTGGAAGTACTTGACCAAGTCGTCTTCTACCTTTTGGTGAATGGCGTTGATTTCGTCATTGGTTAAGTTTCTGTCCATGGATTGATAATTGATTCTGTAACATTGGGATTTTCTACCGGTTTTAGGATGAATAAATTCGTCAATATTCACAACGTTTTCAACCAAGTCGCCCCCATGTTGACGGACGATTTCCATAACGTCATTGACATGAAGTGGAGATTCGTTAGCTAACCAGAAAGAACAGTCTCTTTTAATTCCAGGGAATTTCGAGTATGGTTGGAAAGTTGATATTTTGCCCTTTTGGAATTGATTAGCAAATCTTTCATCCAAGGTCCAAAATAAACGAATGTCTGGAATACCAAATAATAACATGGCGATTCTATCTAAACCAACACCAAAGGCCCAACCGAATTTATCATTTTCTAATTCTGCGTTAGTTAATACTTGTTGTTTAACCAATCCACATCCACAACATTCTAACCATTCGCCTTTCCACCATACTTCAATTTCCCAAGAAGGAGTGGTCCAGGGGAAATAAGCTTCAACCCATCTAACTTTCAATGGCTCATTCAAGTATTCTTCTGTTGATCCGGCGAGTTTTGCTGATTCTCGAGCTTTTTCAAAGACTTGGTTGACCAAATATTCCAATGTTTTCTTCAAATGGATACTGGTGAGTCGACATTGTTCATCAGTCATGTATTCCTGTTTGGGATTTTCCAAATTGAAAGGTTGATCTCTAAAAGGATCTTCCACAATAATATTTGTTTTAGGGATCGATTCTATGTCTCTTTTGATCTGCTCTTCAACATTTGGCGTGTTCTGACTCCACAATCTGGCCCCTTCCATTTGATGGAATGCTGGATAGTGTGTTCTGTCCACTTCATCTTTTCTATAAACATCAGCAGTTATAAAATAACCTGGGGTCTTACTTTGTTGGAAACATTCATGTTCGTGTGCTGACGTATGCGTTCTTAATAAATGCTCCTTGTTCAAATAGTAAGTATCGGACTTGGATCTCCCAGGGTGATCTTGTGGGAATCCCAACACATCAAAATTCTGATATGTTGTCACCGTTGGTTTGAAGTCGTAGTAAAACTCATATCCCATACCTTTAAAGTTCTCTTCTATAAGGTCACGCAAGATCCCAATAGGATGGTTGGGGTTCTGGTGTAGTTGCCTCTTTGTTAATTCTAAAATGAATTGTGGGATATTGGTCCATTCGTCGGTCTTGTATGATTTACCATCAAGTTCTATTTGTTCAGGATACTTTTGGTTTCTTTGAGAATATGCCTGGAAACGTGTTATGGTCAGGCTTCCCCAGTTCCTTAGCCCACAAACTGAGCGGACTGCTCTTCCCGGGTTAACTAATTTGAACATTCCAGTGTAGGTATTGATTCGACTTAAGAAGTTATGGTTGATACTTGAAAAATTGTAACGCACTCAATAAAAATTCAAAGAAAAAAAAAAAAACGCTCTTACTGGAAAAATCAGATTCTAAAGAATTACCATTATATTATGAAATCTATGTACATAGTGTATAAATGCAATTACCAAGTTTCTTGAATATATCTGCCAGTGTTTTCCATGTCCATTAAATACTTGTCAGCGTCTTCATTAGAGATGCTACCGAATTTTACCAAGATTTCAATCAAGGTGATTCTGACCTGTCTAGGCATGTTACCACTTGAACCACAGATGAATACTATGGCGTTTTGATTCAAGAGTAAATCACCCACAAGATTGATTTCTGTAAATAGTTTATCTTGGACGTATTTTGCTCTGGAGTTTGGATCTCTTGAGAAACTTGGAAACATGTTGAGTTTCCCTTGACGATGCAATTCGGACCATAACTTTTCAAACAAGAAATCCTTTTCTTTATAACGACAGCCGTAGAACAAATAAAGAGGTTGGGTAGGGTTTGTGGATGATGCGTGCTCAACCAATGATTTCATTGGCGCTACACCGGTACCTGGAGAAATCATCAATACTGGAGGATCAGGGTGATCAGGTAGTTGGAAAGATAAGTTAGATTTGAACAAGGAGAAAATGACTTCATCTTCCGTATTCAAGTCTTTGAGCCAGGTGGTACACAACCCTTTTCTAGTTCTTCTAAGCATTGTTTTATATTCAACGATACCAATAACCAATTCAACTTGATTTGGACTTGGTCTAGATGCAATTGAGAAAAGTCTTGGTTTGATTTTAGGAAACAAGTCGAATATATATTCAATGGGGACCTTGGTGTTTTTATCAAATTCCATTAAAGTTTCTAAAATCAGTCTTCTTGGTCTGTTGGCATAATTGTAGAGTTCCTCGGGATCATCGAATCTGCTGAATTCTCTTAATTTTTCTTTCTCTCTGGCCCCATCTTCAGTAGAATCATCAGTGAAATGCCACAATGTCATGAAAAATGATCTTCTGGGTATAGCTATAAGATCAAGGTGATGGGTGATTAAAGAACGAAGGGTAAGTTTATCGGAATCTATTAACCCACCATCCATCAAAGGTAGTTTCCCATGAATAGACAATGGTTTATCAGCAAGGTCTTTCCAATGTGGTTGCAGTTCAAGTAAAAGTTCAACGTTTCTTTGGGAATTGGTTGGATATAAAGCCAAAGTATCACCAGGAAGATAGGTCAATTCTGAAGACTCAAGGATCAAATGTCTCACATCTTGGAAATGATCTGGCGACGTTAATCGATCATTTACTATAACCTTACCAATCTTCAAACCGGTGGCATTATTAGCCCTGGAGAGCGCTAGGGCTTTACCGTTCTCACAGGAGTCAAAATCGACTCCAGATACGTCGATACTGACCGGGTTTTCCGCAGGAAGTAAAAAGCCATCGTCCAATGCTACTAACTGGGGGAAATATGAAGTGATTGCCGGAATCAATGCTGATTCCCATTCGGTATAAAACCCATCGACACCTTCCGGCGACATCTCGTCAGCCTCGCATCTAGGAGAGAGCTCGGAACATCCCAACTGGGTGAGACGGGTGTGAACCTTTTTTATTGCGTAGTTGAACTTGGGATATGACGAATCTCCAAGTCCAAGAGTAGTCAACTTGATATGATTGAACAAATCTGCTGGTAGCTTCTTCTTCAACAAAAACTTCATAAACTTTCTAGCATTTCGAGGAAGCTCACCTTGGCCAGTAGTAGAGCATATCACTATTAAGATTTCTGTGTCGGTAACCAACTTCTTCATGGGATAGTCATCAAGTGCTGCCAAAGTCGGCTTGAGTTGGAGGTATTGAAGCTTCTTATATAGATACTCGGCGTAATCCTGAGCGTTCCCAGTTTCAGACCCGTATAGCACCGTCACACAGGTCGGCTCCAACTGCGTATCCGTTGACATTCTGATGTGTTCTTCAAAAGGTTTGCCAAAGCAATGGACTGTGCCAATTTTCAAAGCATCTTCAACATCATTAATCTAAACTGTAAAAAAATGCAGTTTACACTATCACACTACAAAAATTGTTAGGAAAAAAAAAAACACAACAGTTGAATTATATAAACAATATCGGACTTTTCACTCGACTCCAACCAAAGCTCAATAAAAATAGGCCAGGTCTCGATAGAAGTGACTTAGTGTATTGTGTACGAGGATGCCACCAAAGAGAAGACATACTGCAGAGCCCAACCAGTCTAAGAAGGCCAAGGTTCCTCAGAGAAGCAGGGAGGACTTAGAAGCTTTTTATGCTTCGACCTTAGACTTGATCTACGAATTGAAGGATGACGAAGATGGAAGACAATTGGTATCAGTTTTTCAGAAGATTCCATCGAAAAAACAGTATCCTGATTATTTTGAGATAATTGCCAATCCAATATCAATTTCTGAAATTCAAAAGAAGGTTTCCAAAGGCCAGTATTCTACAGAGAGTGCCGATGAATTTTTGAAAGATTTTGAACTCATGCATAATAATGCAGCTACCTATAACGATCCTGAATCTTGGATTGTGAATGATGCTAAAAGAATACTTGATCTTGTTAATGAAGAGTACGATAAATTGAATAACGAAAGTCAATCTACTGCTGAGATCACTCCAGAGCAGGTTCCACAAGCTGCAACCGATCTTATTAATGATGTCATCGAGCACGAGTTCCCTGATTTGGGAGCAATAAGTGATCCTTTCATGGATGTTGTTGATAGGAAGGAATATCCAGACTATTTCCAGGTTATTCAACATCCTACTTCGTTCAATCAAGTTCTTGCAGACATCAAGTCCAAGAAGCTTTTCTCTGGCTCTGACTCAATTGCTAACGAATTGGAGGATTTCCACCGCGAAGTAAACTACATTTTCCAAAATGCTCAGTTATATAATGATCCTGAATCTTTACTTCACCAGGATTCCTTGAAATTACAGGAATACTTCAACAATAGATTCGAAGATTTCAAATCAAGTGTTAAAACTTCAAAACCATCTTCAAAGAAAGAAGGTGGTCCAAAACTCAAGCTCAGTTTAAAATTGAAACCAACAGAAAAAGATGAATCGGAAACTCCTGAACCATCTAGTAGAAAAAAATCGAAAAAGAGAAAAGAGATCAAAACAGAATTGTCTGATAATGAAGCATCAGAACTGGCTCCTACTCCAGGTCCTGCCACTCCAAAACCCGATGAAGAAGAAGAACAAGATGTGGAAATGGAATCAGCAGAATCTCCTGATGAGAAAAATATCAAACAAGAAAATGTTGTTTCTACAATCAAAAGAAATGCTCTAGGTAAAATTGATAAATCACCAATACCAAGTGAAGCCTTCATACAGGGTATAAGTGTTTCATCGGCTTCTTCAACCGTGACAAGTGTGATTCAAAACTCTCATAATCACAACTACTTACCTCAACAATTAACCCAATCCCAAAAACTCAAATCTTTTTTATTTCCTGATCATCCTCTTGGAACTAGCTCTTCTCTTTTTGAATATCATTTTGCTCCTGCTGGTTATATGTCACAATCTTATACGATCAGTTTACCCCCAGATACTAACTCCTTGATAACATTGAAAGTTGCTTTGCACTCTTTGATTCACGATATCAAAAGAGATAGTATAGAGGATGGCCAGCTTCTAATGAACCTGGGATCAGATGATGATTTCAATTTCAAATTGTCGGTCAATGATGATGAAGTTAGTAGCGGTGGTGAAGTGATTGAAGAAAGAGACACCGATGAAGATATCTTATCGGCTCACTATGATCTCAAATTAAGTCATGGTCTTAATGTCCTTGACTTTGAATTAAAAGTTGCGCCAGCCATAGCTAAAAGATTAAAGAAAACTACCGCAGAATCAGAAGTCGAAGAAAATTTAGGTAGACATACTAGACACCAACTCCAACAATTAAAAATGAATTGGGATGTTGAAAAATTCACAATCTATGTTATTTGTAACAGTGTATAATAAGATAACATTTTCCTTCCTGCAAAATCTATATAATGAAACATATGTATCAGTACTCACTAAATATATTACACTGTAAGTCCTATTTACCTATACAAAAGCTTGAAAATACTACCCCTAAAATTTCTTCAACGCCAACTGCCTGTCCAGTGATTTTCCCAATACCTTCTACTGATTGTCGAAGACTTTCGCTGGCAAGCACAACATCCTCATTTTCTTTCCAAATTTTGAATTGAGAGAATCCATAAAGAACATCATTCTTCAATAAATCTTGAGCTCTTTCTGATATGACTATTGGGTCTGCAGAATCGGACAACGAAATTTTTTTGAAAATGTTGGTGAACTGTTGAGTCAAATCTTCCATTCCATACCCAGTTTTACAAGACACTAGTTTGAATTGTTCTGGTGACAAATTCAATTTTTTGCTTAACTCGGATATGGTTGTTTCTTCAGTTTGAGTAAGTAGATCTTGCTTATTTAATACTACAACCAACTCCTTATTTTCCCTTTTCAAAGATTCAACCAATTCCAATAAATCATTGTAGTCCACTGTTTCTTCTTCGCTCACGGGAATAATTATCAAAACAACGTCACCTCCAATTGCCTTCTGTTTTGCTCGCTTGATTCCCTCCTTTTCAATAGTATCGGCTGCACTTGGTGCTCTAATACCTGCGGTATCACCAACAACTACTTTGTATCCATTAATATCAATGGGTATATCAATAATGTCCCTTGTGGTACCAGCAATGTCACTCACTATAGCTGCATCCTGATTCGCTATATAGTTCAATAACGATGACTTACCAGCATTAGGTGGACCCACAAGTATGAGCTTGATACCTTTTAATAAAACTTCGGATCCTTGAACTCTTTTGAGGTATTCTTCTATTTCACTTTCGAGTCGTTGAATATTTTGATCCACATCTTGGAAAAGATGAGCGACTTCTTCTATGTCATGGTCTTCACCAAAATCGATAACTGTTGTTAACAATGCAACATTCTTAACAATTTCCTCTCTCCAGGATGAGAAAAGATCCTTCAGTTTACCGGTTAAAGATGAAAGTGCAGCAATTCTTTGAGACTCGGTTTCAGCATCAATCATATCTCTTACCCCTTCAACTTCGGTCAAATCGAATCTCCCACTGATGAAGGCTCTTCTTGAAAACTCACCATTTTCAGCGTACCGTATGTTAATCCCTTGATCTGGATCGTTCAAGCCCTTGATGGCTTTCAATACAGACTGAATAATGGCAGTCCCACCATGTAAATGCAATTCTAACAAATCCTCTCCAGTATAAGTTCTGGGACCTTTAAAGAAAATTGTAAGACATTCATCAAGTAATGTACCGGAAGTGGGAGAATATAGTCTCCTTACACTAGTTACCCTGGATTTAGGTTTTGCTTTGGCTCTGGTTAATGTCTTGTAAATGAATTCAGACTGGGAACCAGATATTCTGACCACACCAATGGCAGATCTGGCTAATTTTGTGGATAATGCATAGATGGTAGGATGATAATCAAAAGAATTCGATGAGCTGAATCTTTTTGCAATAAATGATGCCGGCAGTTCAAAGGTGTATTTTGCCAAATTACACCTGGTTGGTAATGAAAGTGACTTGCTGGATGCTGCTCTAAGAGAGAGGAATGAATTCATTCTCAAGAATCATTGGGATACTACCGTAGAAACTGATTGATTGACTTGATCATAGTGTTTTTTCAGTGAGATGACAAACGAAAAAAAAAAGAGCTGAACTAGCTTTCTTTCTTCTTCAGAGTAAAGTACAGATGATAAGATCCTTAATTTCTAAGCCATCAGGCGTATCTCGGACAAGAAGCATTAGGGTACTTAGCTCTTTGCAAATAAGGTCATTTCAATCATCTCAATGGAGGAATCATGAAAACCCATTGGGTCTTCCAAAATTGAAGAAGGATAAAAATGCCCCAGAAATGCCCCGTATGTCAAAGGGGTTACCTATTAAGCAGAAAATTCCAGGTGTGAACAAAATAGTATTAGTATCATCGGCAAAGGGAGGAGTTGGGAAGTCCACTGTCTCAATAAATGTTGCATTATCATTACAAAAACTTGGTAAAAAAGTCGGTATTCTTGATGTAGATCTATTTGGACCCTCAATTCCAAAACTCTTAAACCTTTCGGGGGAGCCCCGGATATCAGAGAACGGGAAACTCTTACCCTTGAGTAACTATGGACTTGAATCAATGTCAATGGGCTACTTAATCAAACCGGAAAATCCAGTTGTATGGAGAGGATTAATGGTAATGAAGGCATTACAACAATTGCTATTTGAAGTTCAGTGGTCTAACCTAGACTACTTGGTCGTCGACATGCCTCCTGGAACTGGTGATACCCAGCTCACCATCAGTCAACAACTAAAAGTCAATGGTGCAATTATAGTGACAACCCCTCAAGACATTGCATTGATTGACGCAGTTAAGGGAATAGCCATGTTCAATAAGGTTGACATACCACTCTTGGGCTTGGTACAGAACATGAGCCACTACATCTGTCCTAATTGCCACCACGAATCTCATATATTTGGAAGTAAAGGTGCCGAAAGGGAAGCTAAAAACCACGATTTAGAAATACTTGGATCTATTCCCTTGAACGAAGAGATTTGTACCCAGTCCGACGCCGGTAAGCCTGTTGTTGTCAGTTCTCCAGACTCTCCAATATCAGATCCATACGTTGATATAGCTAGAAAGGTCTTGAACCAATTGGAATAATCCATCAAGAGATCAAGATGTATGGGTTTATCCTATATTTGTGTTTTTTTTTTTTTTTTTTTTTTGATTTGGTCGCAAACTTAGCAACAAATGAACATCATTTGCAGCAATATCCAAATATGGTATCGAGAATAATTTTGCAGTAACTTTTATAAGTACAATTTATAGCTATGGTTTTATTAAATTATAAGTATCCAAGTTTTCTTTTCATTTTGAGTTTCACCTTTCCCTATGTTTTTCCACTAAATGTAAATGCCTCGATATTTAAAGAGTACGATGGCAGCAGCATGCAGAAACTCCAGGATCATATCAAGATTCTTCGAGAGGTATTGACATTGCAAGATGATTCTGAGAAAATACAATCGTTTAAGCAGTTGTTTCGGCCAGTACCGGCTTCAATTAATACCACTTTATTATTGGAATCGCAAACAATGAATCCACCGGAAAGCACAGCACCTGAGCCAACTACGGAAATAGTGATGCCAAGTGACAGTTCCATTGCAGTTGAGGAAAGATTTTCTGACGCTCAGGCTCGATTGATGACTGAACTAGAAACAGCATCGTCAAGCGAAATGAAACCCAACTGGGTGACTCAAACGGTTACACGTTATATATCCGGTGCACCCAGCTCCACTCTGACTGCTTATCAAGAGTCAATTGCCCATGTCACCAGTGATCACCGAAACGTTGTATCTGTCGAGCAATATAATAACCTCATTAGATTGCTAGAACAGATTCAAAAAGGCATGAGCAGAAAGCAAGAACCCAATCCTACTGAGATAAACGTGCCAGATGGGAGAAAAGAAATGATAGCGAAGGAAACTGAACAATGGCGAAAGATTGAACAAGAAAGGGAAGAACAAAAAATGCTAGAAAAATTACAAAGGGAAAAAGAAGAACAACTTTTAATTCAAGAGGCTCAATTACGAAAGCAAGAAGAAGAACAAAAGATGCAACTTGAAAAAGAAATCCATAGAAGGGTTTGGGAAGAGTTGAATAAATTGAACATCCAACTGGCCATAGAGAAGATTGTGAACTCTAACAAAGATGAGAACCCCGGAACACTGACTACTCAAATACCATCACAGTCCGAGACACCAATCACTTCGCTGATTTCACACGAACCAACAGTAAGTGCATTCTCCCAAACTGTCTCAACAAGTGTATTGCAAGCGAGGCCAAAATCGGGGGCCATTAAAAACATATTAAACCAAAAGGGACCTTCTTATCGAGTATCACTCAAACCGCAGTTCAATTATCACGACAGAGACCCCAAACTAGGCCCGGGGCAATCTTTGATTTACGCCAAACCCAAAGAGGCTCCTGATTTGGAACCCATCAAGAGCGACAATTCAACCAGTTCAGTTGAATACGGCTCGTATCCTACAACGTTGACTGAAGAGCCAATACATGGACATGGTGGGCTTGAGAAGCTCTCTGGTGAAGATACCCTTGAGTACCTCCAAAGAATATATCCCGAGTTAAGCAAGATAATTGGCCAGGGATCTAATATAGAAGCTACGTATGCCAATATTTCATCCAGTTCCCCAATATTACAAGAACCGAAAGAGACCGATCCAACAAATATCCTTCACATGCCCAAAGATATACAAAAGCAGCACAATCCATTTTCCACCTTTAATTCAAAAGAAGACTTACGAAACTCCTACTTGAAGGAGCAAAACAAAAAAGGCATGCGCAAATCAAACATTGAGCAAGCAGCAGTCTCCCATAGTATGGCTACAAGTACGAAACCCAATTTCATGGACATAGAAAAAGAGTTTGGTTCACTCGATAAATCGCCAAAGGACAGTCATCGCAAACGGAAACCCCATAAGAAGCCCTCGCGTCGGTTGTTTGGCATCAAAGTCAAGGAAAGCAGTGCAGTTCCATCGGTCCCTTCCTTGGCCTCGTCCCCTTCGTCGATGGTGGCTGCGATTGTGCTTGTTGGTGCTTGCCTCTTTCTCTTATAAGTTGTATATTCGTTTGATTAAATGCTGATTTACGAATTGGTTAAATTTCGTAGTTACGCACAACGTTTTTTGTTTTTTTTTTTTTTTTGTCTTTTTTTTTTCGTTTTGTTAGCGAAATCATCCTCTTTGTTGTTTTTTCTGATGATTTCTTTAATCATCTCTTCTGATCCCCGTCTTCCTTATACTGTCAACCCCTTATAAATCGTCAGTAGAAGCAGAGCCATTATGAGTGTATCGCAGCCTCAAACGCCACGCAAATCCAAAGCCGGTGGTTCCATTGCCAGTGGAAGCAAAAGCTTACAGGGGACCCCGAAGTCAATTAAAAGAAGAACCGTTTTGGATCCAAACAGTTCATACATCGAAGAAGAAGACGAGACGTATGTGTTCAACGAGAGTACGGTCAACACCTCTGAGGCAGATTTAGATGATTATTCGGAGATTCTTGAGGAGGAATTAGATCTTGATACCGATGAAGGCAATCAGCTTGCTAGAGACAAGCAAGCTATACCGGAAGCTGGTGATAACCCCACCGATAATTCAACAGAAGTAGAACAAAAACAACCGAGTAGACTTCGTGAGTTTTTAGTCAAACATGAAATAATTAGAAAAGGATTACATGCATCCATTGGACCGTTTACTTTATGGATGTACACTCTTGGAATCAACCAAAAACAGTTTATACCCCCTTTACTGCTTTTGTTTATAGTGATTTTCATTCAAGATTACATTCGTTTGCACAATCCTCAACTCAATGCCAAAATCGTTAAAACCTGGTGGTTCCTTATTCGCGAATCGGAAGTTAACAGTTATAACGGAGTTTTATGGTACCTTCTGGGACTTGTGCTTGTCTTTTGTTTTGCTCCCAAAGATGTTAGTTTGATGAGTGTGTTATTGTTGAGTTGGGCCGACACTGCTGCTTCCACTTTTGGCAGACAGTATGGCAAATACACTCCAAAGATCCTTCCTGGCAAGTCCTTAGCTGGGACGTTTGCTAGTTTTGTAACCGGGGTCTTGAGCTGTTATCTTGTGTATGCATATTTCATCCCAGTCTATAATGAAAAAGTTAATGTTCCCGGTGATATTTATTGGTCTGTCCAGCTGAGTAACTTGAACTTACATTACTTTGCCATCTTAAGTGGAATTGTTGCTGGTGCTTCGGAATTAGTAACTTTCTATAACATGGACGACAATTTTTCAATCCCAGTCTTGAGTGGTGTCTTTCTCTATGGTGCAGTTCGCTACTTCCATGTTTGATTCATTTTTGTTCCCCAAGCATCCCTTTATTTATTAGACCTGAAATACTAAAGAAAAAGTAATAGAAAAAACCAGATTTAAAAAAACATGAAAAATTGAAAAAAAAAATCCTTAAAAAAACATAACACCAGTGAAGCAGGAGAAATGGAGAGAATTATAGGTTGTTGTCATATGAATATTCGACTTACACCAATATTAACAACTTGCCAATATATGTATATGAAATTTTGCGTTTGTAGATGTTTTTTTTTTCTCATATGGGAAACTTCTCCATTCACCGACTTAATTGTGGGGTTATACCTTCTCTCAGTAGCCAAAACAAGTTAAAGCCATGCCAGTGACCAAAGCCTTGACTGATGCACGGCTGGTGGGCAGCTGCCGGCCTTGCATTGCAGTTTGCCTGTCAGATCATCTGATTGGTTCGGATAACTCTCCAACAATAAGCTTATAATGGTTTGTAGTATTCCAAGACAAATTGCGATAGCTTATTTTTGTATTTTATGTCCTAATAAAGGAAAAGTCTTTCAACGAGAAATTCAAAATATAAATATGTTGGATTCTCTTATATGAACTTTTAATAATAGTGGTCGGGGACATAATGACATCGGTTTCAGGTACCCATGTCAGACGGTTGACACGAAGTCAAGCAGCTCTTCTCAAGAAGCAAGATTACAATTATGAAATAAGTACTGCTAGCGATACCGACTCTGACTGCTCAGATGGACCTCCTGATGAGACCCCCCGACTGTGGTCTCAGTGGTATGATGTGATAAATGCTAAGCATGAGGTCCCCCGTAAGTTGTTCCATTCAGTTACGGGGGTTTTCTCGATTTGGTTATACGTTAATGGGTACAACGCAGCTATCTTCACCAAACCTTTCATTATGGTTGGATCCTTCATGCTCGTGGTGGAGCTTTTACGTTTCCGATATCAGAAGGTGAATCTAATGGTGTTTAAACTATTCGGGTTCATGATGAGGGAATCCGAACACCAAACCTATAATGGAACTTTATATTTCTTATTTGGGCTTATCTTAACCACCGCATCCTTACCAAAGGACTTGTGTCTCATGACAAACATGCTTCTTAGCTGGGCTGATACCTCGGCTTCGATTGTGGGGAGAGAATGGGGGAAGTATACCGTTAGTCTCAAGAGAGGTAAGTCTTTGGCCGGTTCCATTGCAAGCTTTGTGACGGGGGTATTTGTTTGTTATTTGCAGTACGCCTATCTCATTCCAAAATACCACCACTTGGTAGATTCCCCTGGTGAAGTTCTGTGGTCCCCTGAATCATCTAAGTTAAGTATTCATGTTTTCGCTGCTGCTACTGGCTTGATCGCTAGCGTTTCCGAGTTTATTGATTTGTGGGGGCTCGATGATAACTTCACCATTCCAACCTTGAGTGGCTTGTTTTTATATACTCTCTTGTATTCAACAAGATTATAGTACAGTTCATTATACAGATATTCAAGTAGTATGAGTTTATGTAGCACTCTGATTCAGCCGTACTGTTAAAATTGAACGCGTCCATTTGAAAGAAAAAAAAAAAAAAAAAGATTTTGGAAGAAATTGGGTTATTTTGAAAAATTATCTGATCTGATATCTGTTGATCTGTCAGTAACTAGCACAATGACTCCAACTAGTGCTAGGAAAATACGATGTCATATAGGTTACCTCCAGCTCCTACTAAGTAGGAGCTTCTATAAATCCTCATGTCTAAACTTACCTAAAAAATCCAAGATCCTTCAAAATCCTTCACTATCGACCGCTTCATCAAGCTCGAGTATCATTAATCCAAGATTCATAGCGCCACACTCGCCGGAGTCTAGATTGGAGTCCGCACTAGAGCCAACTTTGGAGCCCTCTTTGGAACTACCTGACTGGGATAGGGGTGGTCGTAAAGAAAATGAATCGTTGACTCCTTTATATGCGTCGATGAGAAAGTTAATCGACGCTAATCCCGAAAGCGTTTGCTTAATTCAGGTTGGTAGTTTTTACGAATTGTATTTCGAACAAGCTTTGACCTTTGGTCCCAAACTTAATCTAAAAGTCGCCACTAGAAAGACATCATCTTACGCGGTTCCTATGGCGGGATTTCCAACTTTCAATCTACAAAGATTCGTTAAAACCTTAGTTCAGGATTTAGAAGTCAACGTGGCCATTATCGATCAATATCCCAATATCAATAACGAATCAAGCTCAAATATTATTCATCGGAAAATCTCCCGTATCATTTCGCCCGGAACTTTGGTTGATGAAAGCTTCTTGAACTACAACCAAAACAACTATTTGGCTGCAATATATTTACCGGCAAACTGTACTAAAGTTCCAGCTGATCCTGATTTACCGGTTGGAATCTCCTGGATCGATATTTCTGTTGGTGAATTTTACGTTCAACAAACTACTTTATCTGAAGTGATGACTGATATATCTCGTATTAACCCCAGCGAAATTGTCTTGTCAAAAGATTTCCAACAAGATGGTTTGATAATGGGTAAATGGTGTCCTGATTTACAAGAATTGAAAAAATACATCTTGAGGTACCATAAAACAGCCTATAAAGACTATAAACTTCGATTTAAATCTTCCATTCAAGCTACCAGAAAATACTTGGAAAATCTTTCGCAAAGAGAAGAAGCCGCAATGAACATGATCTTATCTTATATAAACGTTAACTTACCAGAAAGTACTCCGTCAATAGACGTTCCTGTTCAATATTGGAATGAGAAGTGCTTACAAATGGATCCAAGAACTCGTGAAGCTTTAGAGCTTACTGAAAGACAGACTAGTGGCTCTAGTTCAGTGGTTGGCTCGCTTCTTACCACTATTAAACGTACAGTAACTCCTTCGGGAACGCGTTTACTTACCCAATGGATAAAGTCACCTATTCTAGACGTCGAGGAACTACGTAGAAGACAAGCCTTCGTGACTTTATTTAAGGATAATACTTACATTCGTTTGCATTTGAGAAATCAACTCTCAAAAATAGGAGATTTTATACGATCAATTCAACATTTGTCCTTTGGAACTGGTCATTCAGTTAATCAACTACATAGCATTGCCGAAAGTTTGGTCAAACTAAAGGAAATTGAAGATTTCTTGCAATATGAAATGCAGAATTTAAATTCGAAAGAGTTGAATTGCTTCTTGAAAGATTTCAAAATCCCAATAGAAATTGCCCACGAAATTCAAAATACTCTTCATATAGAATACGAAGAACTCGATCCAGTTGCTGATTTGAATGAAAATGAACCAGATCTAGGAACATTAGAAAAAAGTCAAGACTTCCCAGATAGTGGCTCATATAGTAATAATGGTATTGAAAGATATAAAATAGCCCCTAAAACTCCTGAATCAAATGAACCAAGTTTCCTTTTTGCAATAAAGCGAGACCATACAGATGAACTCAGTAAACTTCACGATGAATTTGACTCGCTCAAATTGCAAGAGAAAATACTCATTGAAGGTTTACAAGATCAAATATACAACGAAATTGACCCCAAGGTCAATATTGTTAAAAAATCTCAACACGGAAAGTTTGCTAATGTCATCCATATTTCAGGTAAGAAGTCCCTGATTGACTTAATAAACACCATGCTCGAAGATGATATCAGGGAGAAACGAAAGGCTTCAGTAATATATTCTCCAAGAAATTGGACCGACTTACAGTGGTCGCTCGTAAGTAAAACCGAACAAATCAACAGAATTGAAACAGAAATAATTATCGATCTCCGTAATAAAGTATTAGACAAAGTCACTGATATTCGAAAGGCTAGCAAAATGGTTGACTTTTTAGATATCACTTCTTCTTTCGCAGTATTGGCTCACGAATATAATCTTGTCTGTCCCCGTCTAGTGAAAACACCTCAAATAAAGATCTCTGATGGTAGACATATAGTTGTTGAAGCTGGTTTGAAATCTGCTGGTCAAATGTTCACACCAAATGACATCAACATCGGAAATGATGGAAAATTATGGGTAATCTCAGGGCCTAACATGGGTGGTAAAAGTACTTATTTAAGACAAAACGCTTTGATTGTAATACTAGCTCAAATTGGATCTTTTGTTCCTGCTCAAAAAGCAAGTCTCGGGATTGTCGACAAGATATTTACCAGGATAGGTGCTTCTGATGACCTTTTCAGTGATTTAAGTACCTTCATGGTGGAAATGGTTGAAACCAGTAATATCTTGAAAAATGCAACATCTCGGTCATTGGCAATTGTCGACGAGGTGGGTCGTGGTACCAGTGGTAAAGAAGGGTTGTCGATTGCATACGCAACACTTGTTCACTTACTAACTGTGAATAAATGTCGTTCATTATTTGCAACTCATTTTGGAAAAGAACTCGAGAACCTTCTATCAATTGATACAATGAATCAAGATAAAATAAGATATTACCGTACTAGGGTCATAAAAACCCCCAAAAAAGATGACTCTATGGACTTCATCATCGATCACAAACTAGAACCGGGTATCAGTGAAAGATCTTATGCTTTTGAAGTAGCAAAGCTTGCTGGTTTTCCCTCACATGCCCTAAAAGATGCTAGCCGAGCACTATGTTTATTGAATGAGTAGGTTCAATAGATAAACTTTCCTACAGACAAAAACTTTCGAATCATATCACATTTGCATTAAACCTTTACGTATGTAGGTAAGATAATATATACATATATTCACATACTTGTGAACTAGCGTATATAAAACGTTCATTATTCTGATAAGTAAATTTTGTTACTTGCAAATAATTTCGCACCCATTTCATGATAACTTGGATAATCACCTCAGTAAATTGGGTATGCCTCGACCGAGTACTTGTAATCACTTTCGTCGAAAACATCGGTTTTGCTTTCCTTACCTATAGCTTGTCTTTTTTTATGTCTTTCAATTGACGCCTCCCTATTCTTTCGGAGTCTATCCAATGCATGTAAGGCGCTACCAGTACAAAGTTCAAGCATTCCTTGAAAATATAATTCTAATTTTTCAAAATCATCGAGGTTGTCGGTTAAATCTGAACACATTCTAAAAGTGAGCTGATTCATTACAATTTTAAAATTAAAAAGATGTTTCACCAAATAATAATTTTGACTTTCTTTCAAAACATTTTCGGGTTTGTAATTTGGACTTGACTTTGGTTTGAGGAAGTACATAGTTTCCATGCACTTATTGATTGTTTCTTTAATCATTGGGTGTCTCTTAGGTAAATAAAGAAGACCAGGAGTGGTCAATACTTTTAAATATAACGCGTACGTGTGTACCCGTTGAGAAGCATCACATGTCGAAATATAAAAGGATCTTCCATTTTCATCCCAATCTTTTTCATAAGCACCATCGGGAAGGATTAGTTTATCTGCATAATCTGGATAGTTGGGATGACCAGGACTATTTTCGGGGATCATGAACCTAGGTGATCCTGTCATCAAGGGAACAACTTGCTGTCTAGAGGCCTTTTCTAGTAAACTCATAAAATTCCATACTTCGGAAGGCGAAACTTGATTGTAGTTAGAATCATCCGTTCCCGCAGCCTTTTTGGCTAGTAGGACTAATTCCTCTATACAATTGACAAGCTCTTCTGATAATGATAAATATAGATTAAAACCCGACAGTGTCATGGTCTTTGGCGTCAATATCCCCATTTTCTGTAATGCAGCTACATTCTGAGGATTCTTATCAAAACCAACGTGACAAGGATCAAGAAATACACCACGCTCAAGGTTCACTTCCCTTAATTTATTTGGAGGCAAGGCTAGCTTTGATAGCCAATCATAATTGAAAAACAAAAGTTTTGCAAGTGTTATCCCAGGTGAATCAACCGTATCTTTTCCACCATCTTGCTGTTTGATTTTTTTATATTTGATTAGCAAATCTCTAGCTCCATTTAAATGTGACGTCCACGAGTCTGAAACGTTATCCAAATCCAAACAAGCAACGTCTGCAAATATCATTGCCAAAACAATAACCGTTAAAACCAAACCTTCTATACTTCTCAAGAAATGTTTGTTATTTTTTAAATCGGAAAATGCAACCACCAACAATTTCATGCAAATCGTTATATACTTCCTCAGGTATGCATCGTGATGTTTATCACCAGTCATGTTATACTTACAAGAGGCACCTAATGCGACTGTAGCATAGGTTAAATATTTGAAGTATACCATATACTCTAGTAAAATGCGAATAACTTTATCATCTTCCACTGAAGTTCCAAAAGGGTATATATAAAACGCCAATGGAGAATAGGTTATGTCTTTTAAATATCCTATTTCTACTTCGTTCAATTTGTATATTTGAATAATTTTTTCGATCAAATCTAGATTTGTCCTTTTTTCAGCTTCTTGTTTATTGGTTTTAGGTGAATTACCACTTATTAGAGGCAGTTTTTCTCTCCAAAAAGAATTAGAGTCGAATTCTGCAACTCCAGGGTTAGGGTTTTGAATATATGGCTCGATATCGAGATCTTTGAAGAGTGAGTCTGCGTCGTCCGCATTTAAAATGATATTCGAGTGGAAAGGTTTGAGTGAATTGTCAGAAAAGTTTTTGATATTAGTATCAAATACATTAAAGTCAGCCAAACCATGAACTAAATTATTTGCATCATCCCAGATGTTATCAAATGATAATAAATCGTCATTATTCGAGTTAGTTAATGAGCCCTTGATTATTGGGCTCTTCCCATACACATGCTCATCTTCTAAAGAAGTTGCAGTTGGAATTTGATCCTGAGAAGGAGCTCCAAAACTAGTTGAGGAAGAGTCTGATTCTGGAGAAGCATTAGAGCTAATTTGCCGAAGAATTTTGTCTTTGACATCAGCAAAATCATTGGTGAAACTATTAGCATTCACCTGTTGAAATCTGACTGTATTTTTGCTTCTTGGTTTCCTTGGTTTTTTAGGGGCATCTTTACTTGGATAAACACAGGGTATTTCAATTCTTAGACAATTTCCACAGCTTTTTTCACTCAACTCATCACACTTGATCTTCCGACGTTTACATTCATAGCACCCATTCCTACTATATTTCCTTTTCTTTATTGGGTTAAGTGACATCTTGATTTCATGGAGCCTGAAACACCTACAAAAGCTGTCTTCAAATTTAAATAGATAACCAGCAATTCAATACCTAACTATCTTAAGTCTATGCTTTATATCGCAAATATTTGTAAGTAATGGTTCTCTCTTGTGCCTCAAAATTTATTCACCTTCAATGGTACAGACAACAAAAGCGTCGAAGCCGAATATCGATGTTGAAATAGTAAATGAACTTTTTCTTACAGCTGAAGACGAAAAAAACAAAAAAAAAAACTCCACGCGGAATTTGATTCAATCTCTCATATATTAGAAAAACAACTATGTATGACTAGTTCAATGAGACAGCAAGCTGGTCAAGCCGTGGACAGTTTGGGTGGTGCTTTGGATCTAAGCGTTGTGCTAGTGAAATACGTTTGGGAAGAATATTTAGAGTTGGTTGGCAACCAGTATTCATAGATTGCCATAGCAAAGCGATGGACGATCAATGCAAATCCAAGCCTGAGAAGCCCATCTTCTGAAGGATCTGCAATATACTGGAACTTATCAATTGTTTCTCACAAAGTCAGTGCTACGGTATAGGAAACGGTCCAATTGTACCATATGTATCAGGTAGAGCGAAACATTCTCTTGTTTAACAATTTTGGGATATGGATCTGGATCGGTGAAGATCTGACCAACCCTTCAAAAACGGCTTTCTACTACTTTTATCTAAATCCAGTGCTGAATCCACCCAAAGTATTTGGCATGTCAACAGAGCCGAACTCATCCCTTTGTATCTGACTATTTTAAGGAACAATATGGGGGGGCAGGCAGAGATAGCTTCACTGCCAATGACGTCGTATAATTCCAGTGTTTGAGGTATTCTGAGTAAAGTCATTTAGTTACGGAATCCGCTTATGAACTCATTAATTCGAGTCCAATAAAGATAACGGTTAAGATGATAACTGTAGTGACTCGGGCTCGTTATATTTTTTGCAAATCTCGCTTCATTCTTGATAACAGCCATGTGTGACATGAGCCCATTGACTACGCTGATCATATAGACTCGGTTATCGAAGGCTATCACGAACATGTCATTTAATGGAGTCAGTCATCGGTGGAAAGCGTGGTTGTTGCATACAAAAAGGGAAGGTTCGCAGGAAATGAACCCGTACATTTGTCGATAACGGCTGTCATTAGACTTATTCAGCTGATGGAGTTGATTTACCGAAGGCGACCCCCGAACTGGGAGTAGGTCTAAACAATATGGAGCAGATATTCAGTCCAATTGAAATGATGTACCATGACAAGAAGGAATTTGCCCGTGGCTATAACTATATAAATAGAGACGAATCCCTCCCTCAAGAAAAGTCTATTACTTATACTAAACAGTTACGTCCATTACTTATACTAAACAGTTACGTCCATTACTTATACCAAAAAGTTACGTCTAACTAAGTATAGTAAAGAAAGCATCTGTTTAAGTTTTTCATACGTTAAGGGATCATACTAAGATAGTTCTTTAATGGCTGAAACTGGATTCTGGCAAAGTACTCTAAGCAAATTTACAGTTAGTCTTGTTAATCCGACCGCCCATTCATCCGCCTACAACATACCTAATGCTTTTCTTGGTGACATACTTGAAAGCTCGATCCTTATTCAGAATGCCCTGACTGGAAACTCTCATGAGGACGAATTGAATTCCAGTTCGGAAGAGATAAAATGCCTTGGGCATTCACTTGAAACAAAGTTGGCTAACCCTGATACGAAATTATTTGTCTTAGACAGCCAAAAGTATATAATCAGCTTGAATCCATCAATAATCAATTCTGTTTTAATGGCATTAAAGCAATTCCGGATGCGTGCCCATTTCAAAGAAGTATTTGAAATTAAATTCAATTCTATCCTTTTCAAACTTAATTTACAATCGTTCGCATACCTATTTGAATCCACTATTCTTCCCCTTGGCTACAGTTTTGCTCAACTCAGCGAAAACTACTACGACAACCTTGGTGCTTTAAACACTTACTTGATTATCTTTGGCACTCAATTTATTACTTCGCAGCTGAAAAATTGGTTTTTTTTTGCAATCCTTCTGGGGGTTTATACCCAAGCAAGGCCAATGATTATCCAGTTAGGTAAATTGTTTGAGAAATTGATTCTCACCTCATATTTCACAATGGGTGTTGCGACTTTTGGACTCCTATCTATAAGTCCAGACTCCTTGATCAAATTCTTCAAGAATTGCCTTGTTATTGTGCTTGTTAGTGTTTCGTTGTATCTGGTTTAGTATTCGCATTTCTCTTTCTGGTTGAGAAACTCCGAGTTTCAGTAGTTAGGATAAGCTTTGAAACAAAGGGAATCCATTACCAATTTTGAATTTAATTGAACTTTTAGAACCCCTAAAGACCCTCTCAATTTGGGAAATACCGGAATCCTTGAATGGAGGGCCCCGGGTCTCTGAAAAGCTTTCTATGACGTTTATCTTTATACTATTGTTTTAATGATTTTATGTATAGTTTTAGTCTTGTATTTTTTGTGTCTTTTTAATCTTGTTTGTTATGAATTAATGTATTCACTATGCTATATACGGTATGTAATGTTCTGAAAACTGACTAGTCTTATCGGTATCTAAACTTATTTTGTAATGGAGAATGGAAAGAAGAGTTTATGTTTTTTGAACGAACCAAGGTACCATCGTCAAAACTATTGGGGGATTCCAATCTAGTAGCACTGGGAGTATCCATACCACCTTGGTAATAAGATTGATTTGCTTGTAGTTTTTCATTCTGCTCCTTATATTGTGATAGAAGTTGCTCTTGATCATACAATCTAGACTCTAAAGAGTTGATTTTATTTGTTTCTGATTCTTGATTCATATAAGTAGAATGACGATAATCACCGAAAACCCTATTGGTGAAGAAAAAAGTTATTAGAACATGAAATGTCATTAAGAAAAGAGATTTCCAACTAATTGGCTTTAAGAAACCATTGATGATATCAGCAAAAGTTTCAGCAGTAACCTTTGACTTACCAATCAATTGAGGATCTCTGTTCATACATTTCCCCCACATTGTACATGTTTTCTCTAAAGCAGGCACTCTAACATTACCATTTTCAATTGAGCACTTATTTCTAAAATATTCTCTTGAGCAAAGGGAGATTTCATGTAACGCATCCATGGTATACATTTCAATTTTTTGATTAATATCAGATCTGACTGTCTTTACAAATATGAATATTAAGTAAGCAAGTAAAGAAATCAGCGAAATGTTAAGAAAAAGTTGTACATAAAGCGATAAAACGTAAGGAATTTTGGGATCAGTAACCAATCTATTAAAAACTTTAAGTATTCCATCATAATATTTAGTTTCATTATTATTTTCATTATTCGTTTCATTGTTTTGTTGATCAAATGTTTTTGAATTGCTGAAGGAGCTTCCTAAAACATTAGGATGTTTTTCAGCAGTTAAATTGATATATTCATCATCATCATCGTCATCATTTGGTTCAATATTTGCTTCAGCTTCCTCATAAAATCCTTCACTCAGAATGACTTTGGCTTTATTCTTATCCAAATTAAATTTTTTACTTCTACCTCTTAATACTTGAGGTGGTGGTGAAGGAGTAACATCATCATCACTAAGATAATCATTTCTATAAGATAATATCTCTTTAGTTGGTGAAAAAATTACTCTCGCACCTTTCACTGGATTGATTTCGCCATTATTTGTGGTTGCAATTCTTAATCCTGGGTGTTTTTTGAGTAAAGATTCCGAGACTGATGCCAAAGTAGCTGAACTATTTTGGTTATCACTTTTATTGGGACTATTTTTCAATATAGAGTGAAGTTTCTTCTTTTCTCCTCCCTGGCTATTGACATCACTATTACTCGATGGAGTGGATCCATGCTTTTCGAATGCCTCGATTGGAATCTCAGACAAGTCTCCTTCATCCAAGACTTGAACATCGTTAATGGGTGTAGAAACTGACTTCATACCATGTTTGTTAATCGGTGAATGGGTTTGACCATTCGAAAACGACATGCCAAATGAAAAGGACTGATCCGCCATAGAAACGGATTACAAAGATCTTGGTCAATTGGATTTACTAAGGCCTTTTTCAAAGGAACCTTTAAGAACAAGTTGTGATGATGAAGAAAGAGAAAAAAAATTTAAAAAAAGATCAAAAGGTACAAAGGTCTGTCTATACAAATTGTGTGCAGGTGTTTTTTTTTTTTTAACTGGAGTGAAAAATCTAGTAGCAGCCATAAATAGCTGAACACTGGCTAACAGAATGACAAGAAACCTTCGTAGTGTCATCCAGTCGTTTAAGTACGATGGTGGAGAGGAAACAAAGACAAAAGCAGTGGGGATAACTCGAAATGCATCGACATCGGCTGGAAAAAATCGAATCAATAAAGCAAATTCTAAGAAGAAACTTGACCTAGAAGAGAAACAATACCGTGATTTGGCGCCGTCGATTAAGCAGGACTTAAGTCTATTGTTTATTGGTTATAACCCAGGATTAGAGTCATCGATACAACAACATCATTATGCACATTTCACCAACTTATTTTACAAGTTGCTTAATCAGTCAGAGGTATTAATTAAAGTATTGAAAAGTAACCAAGCAAATTTGAACCAGCTATTGAAAGAAGATGAACTATTTCAAGAGTTGGTTGAAGACCCACTCACATTCAAGACAAGGGTTAAGCCGGTGCATGACTTTGACTTGATCAAGTATGACATTGGGTTCACTGACTTAGTTTTGCGTTGCACCCGAACAGCCCAAGAACTATCAATGAAGGAAAAATTGGAAAATGTTCCTAGATTGCTTAGTGAGTTTAAAGAAAGCAAGACAAAGCACTTGGTGTTCATAGGGAAAGGAATATGGGAAATCATTGTGAAATATATGTGTCAAGTATTAAATATTAGTAAATTTAAATTGACTAAAGAGAATTTTGTATGGGGGTTGCAAAATGAAAAGCTGTGTTCAGATTTGCAATACAGGAAGATAATTGCAAAGATGACTGAATTATGTGAATGTGATAACAGGATATATGTATTCCCGAACACCTCAGGTTTAGTTACATCGTTAACTTACCATGAAAAATTACAGCTATGGAATAACTTGGGTAATGATATATTAACAGGAGAACTAAAGAAATAAATAAGGTAAGAGAAAAGGGGGTAAAAAGTCTATGTATAAGGAATTAGAGGAGATTTCACCTCCAGATTTTATAAAAAACACCATTAATGTCATTATTAAATTTCGATTGGTTTTCTTCATTCACTTGGTCGCCAAATTGACCGAAATTCTTAACAAATAATTGATCAATGACTCTTCTGATTTGTTGGCATTGTTTTTCGTTATAGCAGTCGTCGTAATATAATTTTTTCAATCCTTCTTTTTGAATCTTCATGCATTCCATTGATAATTTGATTTCTTCATTACAGTGATTGGCCTCGGTGAAGGACCAACCTCTTAAACACTCGTGAACTTTTTGTTGTAATTCTGCACAATTTATCCCAACAACCTTCTTCGCCGACTCTGCTCTTTTATAATTATCAAACTGGTATGAATAATCAGGATTGGTCTTTTCATGTTGGTATAAAACTTGATTTACTCTATTCTGATGGGGAGAAACTTCGTGGGCTCCTTCAAGCTTACGGTCGGGGTTTTTCTCTTCGAAAAAACCTTGCAAATGCTCGGGAAGCTCCTTGGTGATTTCGGAAGTGTCCTTCCCCTTGTCTGAAGTAAAAGGCCACATTATCTAATGCTTTTGTAGTTGTTCATTAATCGTTACTAAATACTTTTCAAAATATATGAAAGAAAGAGAAAAAAATCAATTTCGACCCGTACACTACCACCTTTTAGCAGTTTATATGGAACTTCTGTCCAAGATACCTTCGAAAAGTCTACCTATTTCTACTTCAAATAGATTCAGGAGGTCTTGTGCTTGTCTGCTAGAAGGATTGGAGGTTTCTGAAGCCACTTTGTTTAGTTTTAGTCTGATTGGATCGATTTTGGAGATGATCATCATTCTTAACCTAGAAGTAATGGACAACAAACGAACCAATTCCGTACTGCTGATTTTTTCAACTTTGGTAGTTCCTTCTAAAGTGTACCCGTCGATCAAGAAGGATAATCTGACATCCAATGATTGTAGGAATGTGAAAAGTTTAAGAAATTTAATATTATTTTCTTTTGAAAGAAGAGTAGGGGAGTTAATTTCAATCAAATGATGCAAATCGTAATGAGAAACGTAGTCTTCTAAGTCGTGGACAATCTTGATAAGGTAATGATCCTGACCAAATAATTTGGATCCTTTATCAATCGAGTACCAAATAAGATCAATGACCTGGTTTAGATCTTGAGCCAACTGGAAGATAGAATAAATCTCGATGTTATCCATATTGGCGATGTTCTTGATGAATTTTCTTTGGATCTGTAACAATTCGCCGTCAACGTAGTTGACAAATTTGCTCTGTTGCAGTTCACTGGCATTATTGGAAGACTTCCTATCGAAATCAAGCTTGAGTATTTCATATGCGGTATCAAATGGAATAGAATACGACTGTAAGTCTATCTTGACGTCTTCAAAGTCTTCAAAGTTTTCGTCGTCGTTATTCCCGCCACCAGCATCATCCTTAGCCATTTTATCATCACCATCATCGTCATCATCGTATAGTTCTGGATTTAGATCAAGGTCTGCTGCCGCGGTCTGGGGCAACGAATGATCCGGCAATCGAGTCTCTTGGTTGGCCGCAGGATGTGGAGGAGTTACTGGCGAGTCCGTTGGTCTTGACATGTTTCAAAATACTCAATCACTATTGGATTAGCTAACGGTTAGTTGATTAAACCGATAATCGCTTTCTTCAGCCATTTTTTGGTAGCGCGCGCCATACAAATTTTGGGGGAAAATCTCATCAGATAAGAAGCAGACAAAACTACCCAGGGGGTTTTTTTGATTTGTAGTTAGGCTATTGCTATAGGGTATAGACGGTATAGACGGTATTAGTTAGGTATAGCTGGTTGTTATACCGAGTGTATGTGTGAGTTTTTTTCTTCATCTTTAATAGAAATTATTTGATAGGAAACATCGATAATATATTTGCTACATACAATAGATAAGACATGCCGGTGACAGAAGCTAATAAGAATCCAGATGATTTAAAACATGGAAGCGAGAATAGAGTAAATAAGGAAATTAGGAGGGGCAAGCTTGCCGATTTGAATGGATTTTATCGGAGTCAGAAGGAGGCTAATGCTACAGTATTGAATTTACGTACTCCAATATCAAAGAATGCAAGATTGAATGTATATCAGACATCAAGTAACCCTGGGAGTGAAATCGAAGATGAAAGTGATGATGAGGACCGCCAAATTGATCAACAAGATAGTAATCGAATAAAAAGAAATCATAAGCTTGAGATTGCAAGGAGTCCAACTGGGAACAAGTATAGAGACTATTTAAGTTTATATTCTAAGGTTAGTGCTAAAGAATATCAATCGATGAATAGAATGACCAAAATACCCAAGTTGATCAATGAATATTTAAAGCCAAATGCAAAATATATTGGACAACAACAATCGGGTTCACATAAATATCATATTGAGGTTGAATTTAAGACGATCGATTTGATTGACTCATTAGTTACTGGGTTCTTACAAATCAAGGGGTTGACTGATGATCATCCCGTGATAACCACATGTTTTAAAGGAGAAATCATTAACAATCCATTGAATCGGTATGAATGGGGTAACGAATCAATGAATAAGTATAGTAAAGATGTGATTAAGAAATACTCATTTATAACGGAAAATGATAAATGGGGGTCATTTATTGAAAATGATTTAATTCATTGGAAAAAATTAACTGAAAATCAGGAATTGAATAACGAAGAATTAAAATTGAAATTAGAAAAAATACAGAATGGTCAAGAAGATAACCAATTCATATATATGAGATGGAAAGAAGAGTTTTTATTACCCGATTCCAGAATCAAGCAAATAAGTGGTGCATCATTCGAAGGTTTTTATTATATTGTATTAAACATTGGAGGAGGATCCAAAGATAATGAAAGTAATAGTGGTAATAAGAAATTTTATTCGAGTGTATCACCGGGGTCAATAAGCGGGTTATATTATCATATAGCTAGTGATAAGTTTCAATCATTAAGTCTTCGACATATTGAAGATCATGGAAAATCAAATATTTTTGAATTTACTTAAATATCTATATAAAATCTATAAATCTTTTTTTTCATAAATATCACGATTTTCATAAATAAAAGCCGTGAATGGTTCTTCAAATAAAAGAGCTATTTTATACATGATGAAGACAAATAAACTAACCAAAATACCCATTGGTTTAGCATACCATAATGCAGTGGCTAAAAAGCAAAGAGTACTACCATTATACATTGGATTATTATCAATGTTAAATGGGAATCCTTCCACTCTTTCCTTCATCAAAATCCCAAAATAATCTCCTAAATAAGTACCAGTAACACCTAAAGCATACATTGAAGAAAGCACCAAAATATTACCAAAGGAAAATAATAAAATTGCTAAGGATTTAACAATTGTATTATCCAACCAAGGTTCATAAGTAGGCTGATTTAAAAGAGCACCATGATAAATGGAATCTCTATAAATACCCAATGAGAAAATCGTAGCAGCTAATAAATAACATCCTCTATAAGGAGAACCAGTTAATTTAGTTAAAAAATGATTTTTAAATTCTAATCTGGCCACAATATTCCAAAAAATTGGGTTGAAAGAGATGGTTACAATTGCATAAGCAATTTCCGGATTGAAGTCCAAGTATTGCAAGTATTTAGAGTAATCAATTGAAGACATTTTTGCTTAATTGAATCAGAAGTTATTTGAAAAACTTTTGGTTCTAATTGTCTTTATATACTTATTGGGTGCAACTTGCAAATTGCATGTGAAAGGGGGCGAGCCTGGCGGGCCCGCGCACGACCGTGAGTTGTTAAGTAGAAACTATGAACTAGTGAAACCAAATAGTAGAAACTATGAACTAGTGAAACCAAATAGTAAAAACCAACTACTTAATCCAATTAGTAAGACCAACTACTAAAAGCAACTAGTAGATAGATAATGATCAGGGAAAGAATCACTATACTCAATCCCGGGAGCAGCCATGAAGGATTCATCGAGGAGGTTGATGGAACGCACTTAAAGTTGAGTGGAACCGGGACGGTTGAAAGAAAAATCACTGGGGAATATAAGCTACCAGACTCGATTAAACAAGTGAGAATTCAAATGAAAAGACAGCAGGTTGACAGTCGGGTGTTCCAGTATGAGTTTGGATCAGGATTGCATATCTCGGTGGTGCCCAATACGCGGGACGAAGAGGTTTTCCACCAAGAAATGAATGATTTTTTAGACCTGATTGGGCTCCCAGGATCAGATGAATGGATAATGTCGTACAATTCGTTATACTACCACACGCCCGAGGTGCGCGATTGGACGCTTGAAGAGTATGGTATTGGCCGCGAAAGCGCCATTGACATCAACTGGAGTAATGGGCAAGTTGTTATTAAAACGCTTAACGATCAGGCGGCAAAAGAGTACCAGCAAGAGACTGGGGTTAAAAAGGAGATTGGGGTTTTTTTAATCGATGACGAGATCAGCACCAAAGACGACTTAGTATTGAGTGGGGTCAGAATCGAATTAATGGGACAGGAAGATTATATTCATCGGACATTATTTCATATCAAACCACGAATTCGCAAGATTGGTGAAAGTAACGTTGCCCTCGTTAGCAACGGGATGCATCCCAAGCTCCAAACCAATTATGAGCACAAGCAGGACCTTGACCAGGACGTTGATTTGGACAGTTGCCAAAAATATCAGTACATGACAATCCCCAAAGAGTTTTTCCTTGACAAATACCAAATCGGGAATAGCCAACTAGTGGTTAGTTTTGGAAACCTGGATCTCGAAAAACCAAGCTATCTTATCAAAGAATGGGGCACGGAACTCTTATTGCAAGTCCCAAACCAATTGGCAAATGAACTTGAAATTCATTCAAGGTATCAAACCCCGAACAGTCTTGGTAAAACCACAATTTCTTTCAACAAACCCATCAATTTCATTGCATGCGATTTGGCCAAAGACGAAGAATACCTCTTACAAAACAACCCCTTTGATAATAAACTAAGCATCGGAGCCAATTTCGATAAGCTCTTCACCAATAAAACCGTCTTCTACCTATTTGATCAGCCCCACGATCAACTACAAGTGGACATCCCCAACGCCAGACCCACCAACGTTGATCTTATCACCTTGTCAGTCTTGTTTGTGGGAGTGCTCATTATCCTCAAAAAGCTTTTGCTGAAAAATAAACTCAAACTCGAATAACCCGTATCTGTATAGTAACTAGTTAATTCGATAATAGGGCTATCTTCCAACTTTGACGTGCGGATATGTACCACCCTTTTGGGCGGTCGGATTGTGTCATTTCGGTCCAACCGTCAGTCACTTTTCCCACCGCAATGCGCCCTCGAATCTCCTCTTCGGATATACCTACGTAAGACAATGCTATCCATATCCAATCCTCCCATTAGTAATATCACTCCACCGACTATAACGGCTACGCCTACCCCTGCTAATTGACTGTGCTGTAGGCTTGCACCAACTCCACAGTATAAACATTGTAAGTGCACTAAGTATACATCAATACCGTAAGTATGCCGTAAGTATGCCGTAAGTATGCCGTAAGTTTACAGTAAGTTTACAGTAAGTAATGATACAGTGATGAAGTAGTACAAGCATGTACAATAGGGAGGATATCAGTCCAATAATTGTGGCCGTCGTGGTCGTGGTCGTGGTCGTGAAGCATCCTTTCGTAGTGGTACGTCCGTTCGAGCCAATAACAATCACAGATTTGGCAAAAAATATTTTAATAAGTCATCAAATACGATTTTTCAGCTGAACAAAAGTCGCAGTAAGTTTAAGCGACCACTGGCCACCTTGAACAACGTCCTACCAGCATAATTTACCCAACATGTACTCGAATACGTAATAGTAATTTCATACTTATCCAGTAGACACTCTTATTGCTAGGTTCTTTTGTTTTGGGTGCTGAAGAAAAGAAATTCGGTATCTTCTCAAAGAGAGAAAAAAAAAAATAGGTAAAAATAAAAAAAAGAAAAGAAAGCCAGTTGGAAGACGTAAATAGGTATAAAAAAAAAAACGATTTCCCTTAAACTATCAAGATACGAAGTTTCCAGATTACTATTAGTGGGAAATGGCAGCAAATAAGATTGAAAAAGCGTCTTCTACCCGTAGAAGACATACTAACTCCAAATTGGGATGCACCAACTGTAAAAGGAAGAAGATTAGATGTGATGAAAACTTACCCAACTGTGAAAACTGTTCTAGAGGGAAGAAAGAAGTGTGCTCGTACTTGAGTTTATCAAGCAGTGAGATTAATAGAATCAAGATTACCCATTCGTTGAGAAACAGCCAGAATAAGTTGTTGAATTTAAATTATCGCTTACCAACATCATCAAATGAAAAATTAGATTATGCTGACGAAAAATCAAGTAGTGTCTTGGAATTCAAATTTGAATTAACCAAATTGCCTTTGAAGATTCCTTCGATCCCATATCCACCGGTCCAGTTCAATAACTTAACCATTAACGATTTTGATGCTGACTTTAAAGTAATTAGTTCGACTCCGGAACCGAAAACAAATTTGCCAAATTCAACTAAAGGAGGCAGTTTCTCCAGGCTTGATTACCAGAGAATGAATAAGAAACGAGTGATGGACTTGCCCAACGTTAAGGTGCCACCCGAATTGAACTACCATGTTGTTCAAGCAAAATATAATTTGGTGGATTATTTGATTGATTTCATTAATCAATTGCCTAATTGGGCAAGAACAAACGATTATGATTTAATATGGGAATCGCTCAATACATTATCTAGGGTTATCATCTTGAACCAATTCAAAATGAAAACCCAGTACCAGCCGGATCAAATACTTAATTTGAATGAGTTTGAAAAAACTTGTTTTGAGAAACACGCAGCAGCCATACTAAAATTAACTAATGAATCAAATAATTTCACCAGCGATATAAACTATAATCATGAAAAAACCCATTTGAATAGTTACTCGTGTTGCTTTATCAACTTCACCAGTATCTTGTTAAATTTTTCAATCGATACTTATTATCAAACATCTAAGAAACTATACGAAATTTTTAATAATTACTCAAATTACTTACAAGTGAATAATTTGAAACCACTGAAAATTTTCCAATTCATGGTTAATAATCTACAATATAATATGATGAGTATAAACATCCCTTCGTATTACCCTCAATTCTTAATTGAATTATCTTCAAATTTAGAAAACTTATCAATCATTTATAAAAAACAATCAACCGACCAAAAATTCTTCAATAATGATTCATTAAACAAATATTATTTCAAATTAAACTTGCAATACAATAATTTATCAAATTTCATTAAATTTGATATAATCCCAATCATTTTCGATAAAAGAAACGAATCAAATATATCAATTTATTCTCCTAGTATCATTTATTCTATTTTGAAAAAATGGTTAAGTATCTTCCCCTCAGAAGCAATGAACTTTAATGAAAAATTAGTCCCCATGAATCAATCAATAGATGGTCAATTTTTATCCGATTTATCAATAACCTTATACAATTATTATCACAATATCTCGATCATCCTCGATACAATTTTCCCATCTTGTAAATACTTATTTTCAGTTAGCTGCATGACTCCATTCACTAAATTACCCCCAAATATCCATTATAAGAATTCAAATCATGAAAATTGGTTCGTTCCAAATTCAACTACCGGCTACATGAAATGTAACGATTACTTAATTAAACATAATTATTATATTATTAGAATCGGGACTTTTTTCCAAAACCGTTACAAGTTCTACCAAAATCATGTCATTTGGAAAAACCCTTATAATAAAGATTTATCCTCAATAAGATCAAAACCAAGGTACATGAAAAACGTCTTGGAGATCCCAATTCGTTTATTCAATCAAACCATTATCAGACCAGAACACTATCCAATTAGAATCCACTCGCATTACGATATCTTATTAAGAGATCCAAAAGTTAACTCGATCTTCACCAGAGTTGACGAAAATATGGATCAAAACCTATACACCTCCAATTTAGAAACAATTGACTTCTTCAATAAAAACTCCTCGACTGACTTTGACTATAACAACAACTTATTGGTAAAAGATTACAAACCAATGGAAACAATCCAAGTCCCAAGTGAAGTCGATTTGCATTTCAAAGATTTGAAAAGTTATTACGAAGATAGAACCTTGATCATAAAAGAATCTCTCTAACCTCCATCATCTACCTCTACAGCTACCCTAACCTCCATCATCTACCTCTACAGCTACCCTAACCTCCATCATCTACCTCTACAGCTACTCTAACCAATGTCAATCGATGTTAATCGATCATTCTAATCAAGTATATAATGATAAATGAATAATGAAACAAAACACCAGTACACCACGGTAATGACATCATAAACAAATGGAAAAAAATACTCCTTTTAACCTCAAGAAAGTGTCAATTCGATGAGCTTAAAAGTTTGTTTCGACTGTATTTCTAACAAAATCCCCCATTTCCATCGCCCATTAAACCTATAAACATCATTAAACCATAAAAGTAAAACTACTCCAAGGACCAACTCGTAGTTACTTCGTGATAGTTAATTTTGTGTGTGTAGTGACTATTTTCAAAAGGAAAAAAGAGAAAAACAAAAAAAAAAAACAACCACCGAAAATTTTTTTAAAATCTCATCAAAAGATATCAGTAGAGATATCAGTAGAAGTATCAAGATAGGCAAGGAGTGAAAGAGCATGGATAGCAGGTTAATAATACCAGGTGATTCTATCGACCAAGAAAACACCAATGGGAATAATGAAAGATCAAATAAAACCACGATTGGACCAGGCATTTATAAAACTCCTCAAGAACAAGATATTATACCAACACAATCAGGAATACTAAAATCGAATTCCAGTAATAATAATCGATTAATCTATATTGAATCAAATCCAAAAAGATATATACCTCAAATAAATGATTTTGTTATTGGGATTATAACTGGGATTTATGGAGATTTTTACAAAATTCAATTACAGGATTTTAGTCCAGCAGTTCAATTATCAATGTACTCATTTCCAAATGCAACTAAGAAGAACAGACCAAATTTAAAAATTGGACAAGCAGTTTATGCTAGAATTGCAAATTGTAATAAAGAAATAGACGTTGAATTAGATTGTAATGGATCAGGTTTTGGTTTATTAGATGAATCAGGTTATATTTTCGATATTAATTTGAATTTTGCCAGAGAATTGCTTTTCAACGAAAATTCCATTTTCCTTAATAAATTAAGTACTAAATGCTCATACGAAATTGCTATCGGTATAAATGGTAAAATTTGGTTGAAATGTGGAGATGGTATCAAAACTAATAAAGACGATGATGAAGAAGAAAATTCCACCATTGATGAAGATTTGGAAGCTGCTGAAATTGCAGCTGAACATGATGATATCGATGGCTATAACATTTCAATGTCTAAAAAGAAGAAAAATGATGAAGAAAAAATTAAAAAGGATAATAGTTCTTTAGTTAAAGATTTGAAAAGAACTTTGGCTGCTTCAAGATTTTTAAATATTTGTCAAAAAATTAACTTGGATCAAGTTGATGATGAATTAAATGCTGCTTTTAGAAATATTGAATAGTTATTTATAATGATTGCATTTAAAAGTTTGTTTATATTGTTTTTGTTTTATAGATTTTATATATTAATGATCATATCTTGGTGTAGTGTACAATTAAACCCCCTTTTGTTGAAATTTGGTCAATATCTTGTCAAATTTCCAGCATAAATGGTTGTAAATCTCTACTGCTGTGTCCTTCTACATCAGAGGCCAAAGATGTATCTCGTATTGCGACTGACAGTATCAAAGCGAGTCACTAACTAAACCAGTGACAGTAACTAAACTGTAGTCCTCTTCAGCTCATCCCATGTAGTTCATTTAGTGCTAGTTTTCGCAATTACATCACCAAAAAGGCATCGAGTCCAAAAAAAAAAAATTGCTGAAAAATTTCTGAAAACTGATGGAAACTCCAACAAACCAGGGTCCCCAATGAAAGAAACCAATAAATCAAGTGCCAGGGATGCTTCTATAGCGGCTGCAAACCGTAAGAAGATCGAAAAAGATCGCCGGAAGAAACAATACGATGATCTTCAAGTTCAAGGGACCAATAACTCTTCGATTGTATCGAAGAGATCAGTTGAGCTACTTTACTCGACTAAATTACAACCAGAATTAACAACCTGGTTCAAGTTTTTTGTGCCAAAGGGTAAAAGAAGATCGCCAGCCATTAATCGGGGGTATTGGATTCGAATGGAATCAATTAAAAGATTGGTTATGAAGATTATCAATAATAACCCCACCAAAAAAATTAATATCATAAATTTAGGATGTGGATTTGATCCACTACCATTTCAGCTATTAGAAATATATTCAGAGACAAGGGACCACTTATGCTTTCTTGATATCGATTATCCAGAGTTATTAGATAATAAACTTGAACTAATCAAAAAATCCCCAGAAGTTTTAGATATACTTGATGATTTACAAGAAATCACCAAAGAAGAACTGGAATTGGGTATGAAATTAAAGTCAGCCAATTACAAGATATTGGGATGTGACTTGAAAAACGAAAAACTCTACCAAGAGCAGTTGGAATCAATGTGTGAACCAGAATCAGTCAGCGTATTCATAGCCGAGGTTTCATTGGCTTATATGCATCATCAAGATGCAAATAAAATCATTGATATCTCAAGTAAGTTACCCAACAGTCATTTCTTGATCTTAGAACAAATATTGCCTGTTGATAAACATCATTCATTTGCAAAAAAGATGTTATACCATTTCGAACATTTACGGTCCCCCTTAAAATGCGTTGAACATTATCCCAAAATTGAAAACCAAAGAGAACGGTTTAGCCAGTGGTTCCACTTTATTGAAATCCATGACTTATTACAAAATTGGAACTTATTAATTGATGCTGATACCAAGGGTAAAGTTAAACAAATTGAAGAATTCGACGAATGGGAAGAGTTTATTGTGTTTTGTCAGCATTATACCATAGTCCACGCAACCAATCAAGACTCAGTCAGCTTGTACCAGAAACAAACAATCATGCCACCTCCGAAGTTCACCGTTGACCCAACGCCAATCGAGGTCAGAGTTGATGAAAATACATCACTAGAATTGAAATTTGCTGCAAGTGCGTTGCATCACGGTAAAATTATCATCCATGGAGGGCTAGCCCAAACTCGTACAAACCAGGTATTAAGCTATGACTATATCACTGGCCAAACGACGCCTCTTGAAACAATCAACCCACCAAGTGCCAGAATGTGCCATACGGTTACGCCAATTGCCAATGGACAATTATTGATGGTCGGGGGTCGCGGCAGACCTCATCAGACTTTTGCCGATGTTTACAAACTTACTGATAATGCATGGGTTCAAATGAAATCTCTACCTAACGGTCGATCAAGACACAGTGCAGTTAGTGTTGCCAATGGGAACTACGTACTTATATGTGGAGATGGCGATGGTTGCGAAAAAGACGATATTTTCCAAATGTATAACGTTGAACAGAACACTTGGATCTCATTGCAACAAGAACACGAGGTGATCCCTCCGGTGTCAAGCAGCTCAATGGTGATGACCGGAGAATACACTGGAGTTATATACGGGGGTATGATTGAAGACGTGACACCTGAAATTAATTATTCAATTTACGAGTTTGAAATCAATATTGCCAACCACCAAATTAGACTAACTAAACTCGATTCAAATCTACAATTTGGTAGAATCGGCAGCCAATCCTTGGTCAAAGAGAATAAACTTTACGTAATAGGTGGTATACTAAAAGAAAAACCCACTGACAGATTCGACAGCATAATAACTTATGATTTAATCCGCAAACAGTTTTCCTCAACTGATTTTGGCTCGGACATATGGACCCATCGGTCTCCCACCATGATTGGCTTCAATCTAGTCACGTTGCCAGACCAAAACCAAGCCTGTATCGTTGGAGGAGGTGGTGTTTGTTACTCTTTTGGCAGTAGTTATAATTCAATCTACTTGATCAAATATTAATCAACTCACACAATAAAGAGGCTGCAATCGGCAGAAAATCGCCCCAGAAACTAATCCCCAATCAGCCGATTACCACCACGGGAAAAGAGACTCTTTCCCCAAGGACTCCGGCCGAGTTAAACAACGAGATCCTTAGATTATAAATAAAATTAGTTTCTTACAAATTATCATGTCATTGTATGTACTTATTTTAGTGTTTTTTAACCACCTTACATTTCTCGTTATTATTTAGTCCCTTTTGTATGGGGTAATAACTAATGGTAAGTTCGGCTATCCAGATTATTCTGGTGGATTCTAGCTAAATCTCTATGTAGCCTTTGTTATTCCCCCTATTGTAAGCTTTAGCATTATCTATATAATAGTTGGGGTTTGCATTAAAAATTAATTATGTTCCATTATCATTTTCAATTTTTTCTTTTTTTCCTTTTCGTCCCTTTATCTCACCCTTGCTTAATTTTTTTTTTTTTTTTTTTTTTTCAAAATTTTTAGAGCAAAAACACTTATAAAGCAATAACCACCACCACCCTTTAGTGGGATCTAATTGTTTTCTTGAGTGATAGTCTGGATATAGTTGGTTGTTAAAATCAAAAGTGCAATTCCACGGTTGACTATGGTGGGTAATGAAGATATGAACCTTATCAGAAGACACAATAACAAGATCCACAATCCTAATTCGCATCAACAAATTAGCCCAAGTACTTCAAGTATTGACGGTAAACCAAGTAAGTCGCTTTTCCAGTCGATTGACCTTAACCGTGCATTCAGTGATAGCTCTTATGATAACCCCAAAACTGGTGGGAGACGAAACTCATACACTTATCAATCCCCGGGTACAAATGAAAACGAAGACGGTAATGGAGAAGTTCCATTATCGATGAGGTTTATTCATAAACCTTCTAGGTCTCAGGAAACGTTTGAAAGGGCCAACGACCCGACTAAACAGAATAGTTTATTGAACTCGCAGCTTTCCACTTCCACCACTGAAACCGAAACCTCTGCTTCCAGGGAGACTTCACCCCGGTCGTCGCAATCTCCATTTGAAAGTCCTACTCCGGATCATTGCAAATTGGTTCGTAAGAAAAGTGGAGAGATCTTGAAGTCTTCTTTGAGAGAACGAAGCTATTTTGATAAGAAAAGAGCCCAGTCGGAGCCTTCCACTCCTTCTTTTAAAACGGTTCATTTTGGTGGTGATACCGATGTGAAGTACTTCAAAAAAAAGGACCGTCCAAATGCTATAAGTGCCACCAACTCTCCTAATTTGGACGATAGTGATCATTTAATGAGCCATATGAATATCGACGACTGGTCCGATTCCGATTCCGATGAGGGAAGTGCGGTTACGGATGAAAATTATGATTACCTTGATGACGAATTAAATACTCGAAGTGATGAGAGTATTGATGAGCCAAGTACTACCAAATATCCAAACCCAAAACATGGTAAATTAATCAATTGGGATTTGGTTTTACCAAATTTCCCAAACACTAATTATATATCTAAAATACAATCATTACAATTACCAGTTTTTTTAGAACGAGTATTTATAACTGTTGATAAAAAATATTTATTGGGCCAAATTGCAGTTAAGAATCTTTCGTTTGAAAAAAATGTGGTGGTTCGGTATACGGCCGACGGTTGGAATTCAATTATTGAGATTCCGACCATATACGTTCCTGATATCCCATCGATATTAAAATTGAATAACTATGATCGTTTTGTTTTTAAAATCCCCTTGGATAACATTTTCAATACTTATAAATTGAATAATAATACCAAAAAACAAAATGAAAAATATCAAGAAAACTCCTATGATTTATGCATTCGTTATTCTTCTAATAATCAAGATTTCTGGGATAATAATAATGGCTCAAACTATAATATCAGACTAACCAAGAAAATTGTCATCAAAAAGGATGATTTCAAACCTCCTTTCAATCTATCAACTCCCAACCAGATACAAGATCATAATAGAAAACCAAAGTACTCTAGCTCTTATTTGAAAAAGAGAAACTCCGACTCCAGCATTCCCGATGAGCACATGTTCCATAACGATAATGGGTCTTCTGATTTTATTCGAAATAATTTCTATCTATCTTCGCCTTTATTGTCTAGTCTCGATACTAAAGATGTCGATCATGATTTAGGTCTCGACCACCCAAAGAGACCTCCTTTGAAATCAAATCTGTCTCAACAATTCCAGCAGACTCCTTCAAAACCTCAACCTCCCCAAAACCAAGATACTCAATCTCATTTCAAAAGAAACTTTTTGGATACAAAATCTTATAAAGAGCTTTTGGATTCCTACTGTTTTTTCTCAACCCCCCGTAATATCGAATCTCCCAACTCCTCCTACGTAAACGGCGCCCCCGATGATGGCTTTTTCAATTACAATGATTCTCAAAGAACTTCCGATGGTTCTAATGTTAGTACTGTTTCTTCTTTCTTAAAAGATTAGCCACACCTCGTCATTCTTCAATTCTGATCTTTCCCACGTTTAATTCCAGTCTTTCTTCATTTCTGATTTCTCCGGTCTTTCTTCTGGCCACCTTGCTAATGATCATCTTGTTTTCCACATTCTTACTTATATAGGGTCTACATAATTTTGCTAATATAAATAATTTCGTCTTTTAATCCGGTGTATGGGTCTTTTTAATCGGTTGCAAAAAAAAAAATCAACAATACACAAAGGTAATACCTACTTTTTGTGGGGCATTGTATTACATTACGGGGTCGCTCACCGCAAGAAAGCCTTTACCTGCTCCTATTACCAGACGTTTTTGACCCGGAAACTCACCGCAGATGCTGGAATAATCTGAGGCGGGAAGCAAGATTAGATATAGACAGGCTTGTTGGTTGCCCTGTCCCATTACCCCAGCATATTTAAGAACTGAACAAAGGGATGGTTGCGGAAGAACAATAATTTACGGGGAACTCCAAAGAATACTTCTTTGTTTTTGCAACTACAATAGCCTAAAGTAAAGGATTCGTTTAGAAAACTGGCGACCCAAAATGGACACGCCGAAGCAATTGCTAGGTCTACAAGATTTTGAATTAGATTAAATATATTAATACTTTGAAAGGGTATTGAGCCCATTATACCTTAAGAAACAAAAAAATTAGCAATAACAAAATAAGAAAGAAAGAACCCCCCAAATAAAAAAGAAATATAATACACGATTATTCGAATGAATACATCTTGACACAACCATTGTCCAAGCCTGTAACAAAACTTGAGTCACTTAACCCAACACAACCAACACTGGCGTTATTACCAAAAGTATGTAGGCATTTACCGTTTTGTAGGTCCCATACTTTAACCAATCTATCGTGAGCACCACTAATGATTCTGAAAGTATCTGCACTGATAGACCAGACGCCTTCAATATGACCGAATTGGGTACGAACACACTTACCGGTTTTGACGTCCCATACTTTGATGGTATTGTCCAAAGATGAAGTTAAAAGATGGGTTGGATAATTCGGATTTTCCGGTAGGTCGGCATTGTTAACGCTACTAAAGTCATTATTACTTTGTGGTTGGTTTTGTTGTGGTTGGTGGTGGTGTTGTTGATGATCCCAATGGTTGATTTCTGAATCACTTTCATTGTCGTCTTCGATTAATTTATCCTTATAAATTAAGGGAATAACACACTGTACTTGACCAATATGACCATTATTATCAATTCCACCAAAGATTCTTAAACAGTTATTTGTATTCAAGTCCCACATTCTAATAGTAGTATCATCAGATGCACTGAACACTGTATTTGATAGCAAATGGATTTTAACCGAATTGACCCCATCAGTGTGTCCTCGTAAAGTATAACAAGTTCTTGAATCGACATGCCATACTTTGACTGTATTATCCATTGATCCTGAAACAATGGTTTTGTTCAGAAAATCAACACTCGAAACCGAATCATCATGTCCTCTATAAGTTGATATACATTGACCAGTATGATAATTCCATACTTTGATTGTTGAATCCAATCCACCAGTTATTAATTTTTGAGAATCAAAAACTAAGGATTTAACCCCTTTGGTGTGTCCTGTTAAAGTTCTTAAGCATTCTCCGGTATCAACTCTCCAAATTTTAATCGTTGCATCATAGGACCCAGTCATCAAATATTTTCTATTAAATTGTAAACAGGTTACACCATCAGTATGGCTATTGAAGTGTGATATTTTATAAATACCTTTTCTCCAATTCTTTTCCAATTTAAACCGTTCACTATAAACAGATTTCCAAGGCCTTTTCTTCAAAACGGCTTTTTGTTGAACTTGCTGCTTTGATTTTAATCGGTTTATTTCATCTTCTACTTCTGACGACGTTCCTTCGACTTTACGTTTTTTCAAGGCATGGTCATTATCATTATGATCATTAGAGGAAGAAGAAGAAGCTCCTGGTTGTTGATGATGCGGTTGTTGCGGTTGTTGCGGTTGTGGTTGTGGTTGATTTTGTTGGCTTTGTTGTACGGTGTGATCTTCTGGACGAATAGGTGCTTCTCTAGCTCTCTTCATATGCATTAAAGGTAGTCCCCAACCACAGTTTGGACACTTACGATCGATATGTTGTTCACACATATGATGCCATACTCTATCATCATCAGCTAATGATTTCCACTTTCTTGATACTTGAGCTGCGTTACATAATGATGCACAATCAAGATAACATAAAATTTTAAGGGAGATTTCCATAGGTAAAGTCGAAATAAAATCAATCCTAATTAAAGAACTAACTTCTTGAGATATGAAAGATAATTGAGGGAAACAACATTGAGTTAAAATACCTTGCAAAATTAAGGAGCGATGATGATCTGGAGCTGCACTAAAGATCGACCACACATGGCTGATCGCTTCTTGATCTCTTGAAGGTAGTTTTTCCAATTGCTGTTGGATCTTTTTCATCTTGGCCTCATCGGTTCTCTTATTACATATCACGTCAGGATTATGTCTATAACAATAGCGATGGAAATTATCTTTTGGAATCATGGTCTGATCACTGATATGTTTCACAAGAAATGGAGTAACAACCGACATATCTTTTTCAGTATCAATATTAGGGTCAGATGTTTTCAATATTGGTAAATCAGAAGGTTGGTTTTGAACGGCTAGTTTCTTCTGAATCTCCAATTGCTGATCACGCTTGGCCTTTGAGGATGATGTTAAAGAGTTAGACTCTGAATGGATAAGCTCCGACTTGGTAGATTCTGAGTTATTACTTAGTGAGGTAGTCTTTGAAGATGAAAGACTATTTGAAAGGATGGAATCAAAATTGTGTGTGGTTGATGAAGCAGACCCTGGTGCATCAGAGTCCTTCGGAACACAGATATCCTGAAGATTCATCTTTAATCGATATAGTAATTTGAAAGAAAGTAGGGAAAAAGTCTAAATGAAATATATATTAGTAAGATACCGGGGTAAGCTGAAAACCTTTTTTTTTTCAATTTACTAAACAATACAACACGCTAGCAACCCTTTTTTAAAACCACAATCTAGCGAATAATAATGATGCTGGTCAAAAAGTAAACAAAATAAGTTCAGAATCTCAATCGTTAAATCAACCAAAAGCTCCCAATACTCAATGAGACCAGATGACTAGGTTGTAAAGATGACCACGATGTTCTATGCCAGAAATACTAAACACTGGAGCTTTTGTAAGACCAAATGAGTTCACTTAAAATAATTGTGGAGTTAAGCAAACTGCAACAAAAAACGAATATGTCAGCCAGCTTAAAAAGACGAACACAGCTTCCTTATCTAAAGCTTCTCAACGGTAACTCTGGAAATACCAAGCTGAGGAGTCCACACAACAATTATTGGGCTTCCAAAAACTTGTTTCGCTTGTTAATGAAAGATCTTGGGTCGATCAAACTTTAGTGGCCCCAAACTATATAACAGGAGATACGCTATCACGAACTTCTCTAGCACGATAAACCTTGCGTTGTGTAAACTTGCCTATTTCAGGGCGTCTATGTGAATGTGGTGGTTACTTGAAGTTAATCGAAAGCACCGATAAGATGATATAAAACTGTGGCTACTATTGCAATACTCTGCTAGTCTTTTTTGTTTTCTTTCGAGTATGGAAAAAGAAAAAGGAAACTGTTCAATAACTAGCCCGTACACCCATGGAATCGGGTCTAGAAGAGATGTACGGGTCTTTTCAATTTTTCATTGCTCACGTGACCAAAAGGATGATTTCAAAAAAATTTTCAATGAGCATCAGATTTTTTTGGAGCAAAACGTCTAGCAGGTTCCATAGTGAAGGCGGACTGTTAGAGTTTTTCTTCTTTTGATAGGTTATAAAAAGGAAGGGCAAAGGTTATTTGCAACAGATGAAAAGAAACGATCCGCAAACATCCAACTCGCACGAAGATAAGAAGCCTCGTTTAGAAATGTCTGAAAGTACTAATCCAGATCAATTCACCAATGTTGGTGAACAAGTTGAAGTTATGAATACCCCAAGCAACCAAGGGATTCACTTGACAGGTGCAGCTGATGCCGAAGGACATCCAGTTCAAGAAATCGAGTCGCTCTGTATGAACTGTCACGAAAATGGTACTACACGTTTATTATTGACTAGAATTCCATTTTTCAGAGAAATTATTATAATGTCTTTTGAATGTCCCCATTGTCATTTTAAGAATTCTGAGATTCAGCCAGCTGCTCAAATAGCAGAAAAGGGTTCTCGTTATCAGCTCAAAATTGAAGCAAAAGAAGATTTTAATCGTCAAATTGTTAAATCAGAAACCGCTACTTGTAGATTTAATGAATTAGATATTGAAATTCCTCCAAAAAGAGGTCAATTAACTAATATTGAAGGATTGTTATCTGAAATGGTCAGTGATTTAGAATCTGATCAACCAACCAGAAAATCAATCCAACCAGAAGTTTACGATAAAATTAATGAAGTTATTAATAAAATCCAATCTTTCCTCAATGCTGAACCAAATACTTTACCATTGACTTTCACTCTTGATGATCCAGCTGGTAACTCTTGGATTGAATACATACCTGATCAACCATCTCATAAATGGTCTATGTTTGAATATAATAGAACTGCAGAGCAAAATGTTTTCCTTGGTTTAATTTCTGCTGATGATGTTGATAGAGCCCGTCAAATCGAAGCTGAAAATAAAAAACAGGCCACCAATTCTAATATTTCCTCCTCTTTGAAGAAAGAAGGTGTTACAACTAATGAATCCGAAAATTCAAACAATCCAATTTCGAGAAGTATCGATAATGATGATATCGAAAATTTATCAAATGAAGTTCAAACATTCCATGCCACTTGTTCATCTTGTTATAGACCAAGTGAAACTCATATGAAAACCGTTAATATTCCTCATTTCAAAGATGTTATCATTATGTCAACTGTCTGTGAACATTGTGGTTTCAAATCAAATGAAGTTAAAACTGGTGGTGAAATCCCCGATAAAGGTAGAAAAGTTATTTTGAAAGTTACTGATCCAGAAGATTTAGCTAGAGATATTTTGAAATCTGAAACTTGTGGCTTGGTCATTCCTGAATTAAACTTAGATTTAACTCCTGGTACCTTAGGTGGTAGATTTACTACTATTGAAGGTTTATTAAACCAAGTTTACGAAGAATTGCACGGTAGAGTTTTCAGTGAAACTTCCGATTCAATGGATGCTGAAACCAAAACTAGATGGACTTCCTTCTTCGCAAAATTACAAGATGCTATCTCTGGAAGAATTGGATTTACCATCATCGCTGAAGATCCATTGGCTGCTTCCTATATTCAAAACGTTTATGCTCCTGATAACGATCCAAATATGATCATTGAAGATTTCGAAAGAACTCATGATCAAAATGAAGATTTGGGTTTGAATGATATGAAGGCTTAAGCTGAATAGTTATCGTCTATAAATCGTCATTTTTTTCCACTTGTGTATATTATTTATTTTTCCCAATCTTAATATTTTCGAATAGCTGTTTCTACATGTAGTTTGTATTAAAACGTAAATTTAAAATGTAAATTTTTCGTATGCAGATAAATAGTTCTGAAAATGATATAAAAAGTTCTGAAAATGATGCTTGAATTTCTTACTAAATAGATGCTTAAATTAAAGTCCTTATTTAATGCTTGTTTCATTGACTCACATTTCCTTATTAGGATCCTTACCATTCTCGGATCTATCAGATGATCTTTGGTCTGATTGAACTTCTCTCAAAGCTTCTCCCCAAGAACTGTTTTCCAAGGTCTCTCCAATTGTAGTCAAATCAATTAAGGAAACATTACTTATTTGGTCATTTCCTCCTCCAGAATTTGTAAGATCGTTAGAGTCCAAGAATGGAGAAGCTTGTTGACTGATGATAATATCATCTTTTGAACTCATACTAGAATGCGATGAAATAGGAGATGTAGACTTACTGTTACTAGATGGGATTTGAATATAAAGTTTTGGTGGCACTTCTTTCTGAGATGAGGATTGAGCTTCATCAGATTGACTAGCTGGGTTTTGAGATCTATTTCTAGCTTTATAGATATGGATTGGTGACTTTGGAACATAGATTCCACTTGTTGTTCCTTCATTAATATCAGGAGCGCCAGCACTATCGATATTATAGTCAGACATTCCAGTAGATTTTGTCAATGGGAAATTCTCATCTTCATCGTCATATGATTCATTTAACTTGTCAGAATTACCATCATCAGGATTCGTGACATAAATAGAAGGAGCATTAACACCCAAGTTTTCATTGGCTAAGTAACTATGACGTCTTAATTCTTTACCGAAATCGATATTATCATCTTTGATACCATGTCTTTGGTCCTTCTTATATTTCCAACGACAAGCATAAGCAGCAATAGTTTCATAAACCCTTTTGGTATGTAATCGCTTCTCAACTTTTTGAATCAATAATCTTCTTTCCAAGAAATCAATTAAATTCAAACATTGACCACTTTCAAATGCAGTATATAAAGGCAATTGCAATAAGATTCTAGTGAATGATATTCCAGGATCATTATTAATTTCCATGGTCATTATGGCTTCTTCCATAAATTTTTCGTAGGATTTTCTTCTCTCACGAATTTTTGGGATATCCATGGCATTCAATGTTTCTTCAATAGCTTTATAGTTAACTGTTATGTTATAAGGATCATTTGGGTTATTCCGCTTGAACCATTTTCCACATAAATGTTTAATCTCTAGCTCACCGGTATAGAAATGGTAACTAAAAGCACCTTCTAAGGAGTGAAGTAAAGCTGGTAAGTGAATTGGTTTAATATATCCTGTACCCTTAGGGTCGAACATCTGCCAGGTCCTTTTGAATTTTCTTACTTCTTCTCTCTTGATGAAATGGCTGTAATCAGAACGATGGCTTATATAACTAAAACTATCCAAAATAAGCGAAATAAACATATTCAAGAATATATACATGGACACAATATTCCATGCCATGAATAAAATATAAGCATATTGTTTGTTCCCACAGTCACTATCATCCATACTACTTGCACTTGAACAGAAGGGGGACTCAACAGTATAGTCTTCCATTATGTAATTCCAACCTTCTCCAAACGAGCATCTAAATAATAAGATCAATGCCTTTGGAACTGAGCGCAAGTTTATATTACCAGTACCGTGCAGACCAACTTTGGTTAAACCGAAAATTTGATTCATAGCAATTGCAAACACCAAAAAGATAACAACCCATGTGAATGATAGAGAAAGTAGGGTGGGCAACGATGCTGAAGCAAACCTCAATAACTGACTCAACCTATTACTTCGTGGGATAATGAAAGCTAAAATTCCGACCAAAAATAATTTGTTAATGTTTATAAAGACACTGTCTGCTCTAATAAGGAATGAGCAAATTGTTGATAGGAAAGCACCAACAGAAACAAAAAAGTTGAATACATTCCACTTGAATTTGACAAATGTTTTGAAACCTTGCCCAATACATAACATAACGGCATTGATCACAAACATTGATGATGCCAGAATGAAAACCGCTTGTCTAAATGTATCCAAGCTATGCCTAGATGGAAAGCATTCGAGCAATAAGGATAAAACATGTAACACTAGAACGAAGTTCAATAAACCGTTCCAATACTTATTCTTCTCAACAGTCATTCGATAACAAAATCTTTCGAGACTAGATAACGTGGAAAAATCTTTTCTTTTAGATGGTTTGACCTGTATCAAAAACTTCTTGACTTGGTACCATGATATTTGATCAGTGGTCATATATGCCCTACCAGTTGTCTTAGAGTAATTACTGATAATAACAGAAATGAACAAAGTCAAAATGAAAACGATACTTATAAAGTTGAATAAGACAACAAAAAAGCCATTGAACGGTGTTGCATAATCTTCAGGAACAGTCCCAACCCCAGTGCTTTTCATTACATTGAGCAAAAGATCAGACCAACCTTCTAAGGAAACGATTTCAAACAACGTAGCAAAAGAAGTGGGAAAAGTATCGAACTCAAGTTGCGGATTCGTATAAACGTTGGGACTCATGACATCCCAATTAAAAACAGTACTTTTAAATTCTCCTTGACATTCACCTTCAGTTGATTCACCATCTAGACAGTAACCAAGTCTTCCATTGAAAACATTGAGACCCCATATTGAGAATGGGAAAAGCAAACAAAGGGATATGATAGCAGCACTGATAATTTTCCAAAATCCAGTGATAATGGTATTATGAAAATTGCTTTTAGCGGTTTCACTAATGGTCAATAATCTTAATGCACGGAGTGCTTTCAAACCTCTAACAATTCTTGATAAGTTACCATCATTCTTCAAAAAAGCAATGAACTCAATCCATAAAGATACTAAAACCAATAAATCGATCAAGTTCCAAGATGAACGCATATAAGAATTAGGCGTAAATATTAAACCATCAGCAGTGATCTTAATGAAAAATTCAAGGGTGAATAAAACGTTGAATCCAACTTCAAGATAGAAAGTCCAATTAAGAGTACCGTAGAGATTCACCATGTATTTCCTGTATAAAGGAGTCAAGTAACAAGCTGTGACAACTAAACCAATGGTTGCCAAAAACATTACCACAACAAATATTTCAGATACAATTTTGTTTGGTTCCACACCATCGATTCTTTCACCATAACTTGACTTAACAAGCCTCTGACAGAATCTTCTCAATCTATGACGCGGTTTCAAGACATAGAAGACATTATTAAACTTTGGATTTTCTTTCAAAAATTTATTTTGTTTAGAAATTAATAAGTTACGTTCAGTGATAATATTTTTAGCGAAATGAGCTGGTTCGAAATTGGTGATTTCATGCTTTTGGGAACGGCGAGTAAAAAAAGGATTTCTAAGATAATTGCTAGTACGCCAAAAATTAACCTGAAACCAGCGCTTCCAGCTAGAACTTGGTAGGGTTTTCACTTTCTCGGTGTCTTCATCTTCTGATTTTGTAGGATCCCTATCTAAAAACTCATTCACGGCAGTACCACTTAATAGTAAGTTCACCACAGCTTTTTCAAGATCATCCTTAACACCTTTATGTCTAAAGACCTTTTTCTTAATTTTGCTCAACAAGCCCGATTCAGAATCGAGATTTTGCAATTTTTCCGTCATGTCGTCAATAAATTGTAAAAGCTGCTTCTTTCTTTTGCCCTCTTCTGAAACTTCCAATGTTTTTGCGATAACAGCAATAAAAATATTTAATATAACCATATTAGATAAAATAAACCATCCAATGAGAAACATGGCACCGAAAGAACGAGAGGAAGTGGTGCGTGAGTATTCTTGTAAGCTATAGAGAATGTCGGACCAATTTTCAGTAGAAGTGATCACATAAAGTGCAACAAAAGAGTTGGGTAAAGTATGCATAGGAAAATCCACATCATCTAAATCATCTTCGGGTACGGTACCCTCGAAATATCTAGAGAGAATAATGCTAACAAGAAAAAGCAAAATGAAATAGAATAAGGCCAAATCAAATATGGCCCTAAAGTTACCCATCAATTTCATCCAAAGGTTTCTTGTGATACCAGTTGCAAGAACAACACGATAAAACCTCATAATTTGGAAAACGGTCAACCAATAATAACCGTGTCCCAATCTGGTTTTGATCGGGTCAATGATGATTATTACGGTTATTATGACCAAGAATAAATCGAAAACATTTCTTCTAGAAGTAAAAAACATCCTCCAATTTGGAAAGTGAAGAGCGAAGCGAATAATGATCTCCACAGCAAACACAGTAGTAAATGCAGACTCAAATCTATAAAGTGTATGTCTCTGTGTATCGCTCATGGAGTAAGATCTAAAACATTGAACAAATAAATCTAAAATAATTGCAATTATGAAAAAAAACTCAAATTTGTAATAGTACCTCAATCCAACATTCTGTCTTTTCAAGAGATTTATTTTTTCATTGTTAACAGAGGCATCTGTATTCACAAACCCCAAAAAATCCATAATTCCCTTTTTCCTTTTCCTTTGTTTCTTTTGTTCATCCGCTTCCATTCGAGTGATATTAAAAGATGCAACAATGACTGCAATGAAAACGTTAATTAACCAAACAGTCAAAATAAAGATACCAAAGATAAAAAACAAACAAGCAGCCATATTGTCAGAGTCCATAGTGTAATACATGATATCAGTAAAAGTATTTGCACTCATGACTATAAAAACCATTTCCAAGGATTGAAGAATATTATCAAAATTCACTGTACCAGCATATGGGTTCTCTCCACTCACGCATTTGGAGAATTTTGGACACCTGTATCCTTTGATAGTGTCTGATGATGACCCGTCTCTCGTGATATAAGGTTTGGCTTTCCCATCAAGCCCTATATAAGAGCCACAATATTGATCGGTATTGGTGTATGTGTCATTTGAATCGTTAGGATTAGTCCATTCGCAATGTCTGGTCAATGATGACTTGAAAGATTGCACACCAATAATACCAAAAAACAACCAAAAACAAGAGATGAAAATAGCAACGTCGATCAATTGAGGTATTGCTAATTTACAAGCCGTTAATATCGTAGTAGTACCAGTGGTTAAGTTACATAAACGAAGGATCCTCAAACAACTCAAGGCTCTGAACAAAAATATGTGATGTTTGGCATCATATTGACCAATTGATAAAAGAAGGGATATCCAAAAGCAAATCATGGAAAGGAAATCAATTCTGTGCCAACTATTCCTAATATAGGCTCTTCTTAATTGAAGTTGATCTAAATGGTTTTTATTAGAAGGGATAATGAAAGTGTTGGTTACATCAAATCTTTGAGACCCAATAATTGGCTTATCAGACAAATCAGATGGATCAGGCTCATTTTTTGAATGAGCATCTTGATCGGCAAAAGTAGCATGACGTTCATATTTATTTTGGATACGATAATTATTGAGTTCTGGTTCGCTTTGATTAACTCGTGAGCTTCTGATCAGGTAGTCATCTGTGAAAGGATTATTTTTTTTATGTGAAGGCTTTTCATGGGTGTTTTCATCAAGATTTATTTCCTTAATGTCTAAATCCTCACTCAAGTTGCCATTTTCCTCATCTGATGAACTAAATTGAGGCTTGTTATAACCTTCAGTTCTTCTTGTTGTTTCAGTATTACGGAAAAATACCTTACCAAAACCTAATTTCTTTAAGAACCTGACTATGTGGTTCTGTTGGAAATAATTTGTTTTCAATTCATTTTCTGGATATTTCAAACCCAAGTCCGAAAACATAACATGATCATCAATAAAGCCATATGCAATGATTTTACCAAAAATTTCAAGTGTATAAAAAATATTAATGGTAATTAATACATAATCGGCCCAGTTATAACCGTGGTAATAATACCCACGCAATTTCATAGGATTCCACTGTCTATAGGACAACAAGATTACTTGAAGAACCAATAAGGAAAGCAAAAAAAGGTTAGTTGAATGATGTGAAAGCAAGCGATGGCAGAAACGGCGGATCTTTGAATTTGGGGAGAATATTTTTAAAGTGCTACCGAATAAATAAAGGCTATCATTATTTGCGAATTTATAAGGCTTGAATGGAGAAGTAGCAGTGTGAGGAGATTGAGGCCCATCCGAAGGTTTTAGATTGTGTAAAATCCCTGCTTGGGAAGCTCCAGCATTTGAATGGAATGATTCATCGGGATTATGATTACTATTGGGAGAATTGAATGATTTATTGCTTGGATTTTCCGAAAGATAAAGTCCCAAGCCGTTTGAGAATGTTGGGTTATCAGAATTTGTAGAATCGCCAATTTGAATTGAGTTATTATGTTCGTCTGTTACGGTTGTTGCTGGAACAGCGGTATTTTGACTAATATAGGAATAAGAACGATCGTAATTTGGGATTGAATTAGGAGAATGGATACTTGCTTCACCGCCAGAGGAGTGGTCACTAGAATGAGCTGAGCTATTACTTTTTTGGCGATAAAGTTGACTATCTTGTGCAGGTTTGTCAGTCACTGGTGAAGCAGCAGCCCCAGTACCAGCGATACGATCCGATAATCTAGTGATAACATTTGAAAATTTATTGGGTGATGCATCATCAAATTTGGATGAAGCGGATGATGGATGATTCAAGGCTGGGGATAAAAGACCTGATTCTAATATGCTTGGATCCTTAGATGCTTTGGGAATATTATTGGAAGAATGCGATGTTGGCGAAAGATTTTCACGTTTATTAAAGTCATGAGGAGAAAGGTGAGACGGAAAACTTTGATTTCTTGCTGAAAGGGGAGGACGGGGAGAAGTACCTTCACCAGTATGATTGGGGGAAATTTTTAAATTATCTAATGGAATATTATCGGAATAAAGATGGGAATCGTTGATACCGCTAGGACTATGTAGGAATTCATTTGATGTAGCATTTGAATTATTACGCTCTGGACTTGACGTTGCTTTGAAACCAGAACTGACCGGGAACCATTCAGCATCTTTGTTATCGTTACCAAGGGCAAAACTTAAACCTTCTCTGATTGCCTCGAAATCTTGATCCTCGGCTGCCTCGTTAAATAAAGACTTTGAGTTTATATGAGGCGAGTGTGGTGAATGACTATTAGAAAATCTTCTTACTGAGTTATTTCTTTCAGGAGAAGGAGTCCTGGCCTCTCTTCCAAGATTAGGAGTATGAGATGATTTTGCACTAGAGTAAGATTTGGACAGGGAAGAGTTTCTTCTAAATGGGTTTCTTCTGGATATTGACCGTTGAGTACCGGTATTACTACTTAGTTCATCTGTACTGCTTTGAGCGCTGCTATTATTATTATTATAACCCAAGTTCAAATTAAGGTTTATATTATGATTACTCGTATCTTGATTATTATTTGATTCATCTCTGCGATCAACACTCAAAGCGCTTTCAGTAGGAGCATGAACCAATATCCCGGGGGATACTTTTGGATCTTTAAATGGATCGAAATCCATGCTATGATATTAAATCGAGTATTTTAATAGCTTGTATTGTGGAATATCTGGTATATTTTAGTATCGTTTTGAAGAGCGGGTAATTGAAAAGCTAGAAAAAACCGTACTCTTGTACTTATATGTGTCCGTTATCGTGGCAGCGATTAAGGGAAGAACGGGGTTTATGTATCTAAACCGAAAAGACGTGTTTAAAGGAAGAATAAGTAATCAAAAATCACAATTAATAGGATATCCGGCGTATCTTTTCTCTTTCAATTTTATATGAGGTGGATCTTTTTTTTTTTTTTAACCTACTTTTTCCTTTTTTTTTTTTTGTTTTCTTTGTGAGAAGTCTTCTTTTCAATGCCTTTGTTTCTCTTTTTCAGTATACGTTTATTTAAAGATAACGAAGACGCATTAAGTTACGTGAAAGGCTAAGAGTAAGGCAATTCTACAATAAGCTTTGCTAATTTCATGGGCCTTCGAGCGGTGAGAATAGCTGAGAGGGAAAGAGCGTTGCTTTTCAGGCATTGCAAAAAAAGAAAAAAACTAAAGTAGGATAAAGTGAGATAGGCTGCTGTTAAGTTGACTTTTCTTGTTCTAGTGACTTCAATACAGTTATGCCTACCATGTAGCTGGGCCTCTTAAAAATGAAGAAACACGAAAGGACGTGGAGTACAAAGTTAGTAACCAGGCTGATTTTGATTCTTGTTCTATTGTAATGGATGTTCAACGACTCCAATTGGAATAATCCGATCGATTTTTTAGTGCATTGTACCTCTGCCATATAACACTAAAGGACAGGATTGAAGGGAAAGAATAAGACCGTATACAAGACTTCTAACGGCGTGAATCAAAACCAATGCTTCGTATTCTTTCTTACGGTTTTAGCGGACGCTAACAACTTACTGGGATCGAGTTGGTTGTTCGCTTCACACTACGAGAGACCTTTGTGAAAGGACAAGCCCTCCAGTTAGGTACGCTTTTCGGTACCTGATAGTAATGACCTACTCAAGACATAGCCCGTCATAGTTTTTGATCGTTATCTTTACCAAGCCTGGTGTATTGATGATGAGTAGGCAGTTCCAGAACAGCGAGCTAATTTTAGATGGTGTTTGGGTTTGTGGGCCAAGGTAATCCGGGGCCCGGAAAAGAAATATCACGTGCTTAATCTCGAGGGCCGGTTTGCATGTTGGAGTTTTGCAGGTTGTGGTTCTTTAATGAAGAAAAAAAAAAACATCTTTGAAAAATCTTTAAAGCTTTTGAAGATTGGTTGATTTATTGATTCGAGGTTTACTTCAGGCAAAAATGACTTTTCTTAAGGGACCACCAAGTAGGTCTAGATTGAACCAGGTAAAGAAACTCAGTGCCGAGATATTTGGTCATGTTTGGAATCCTAACAATGTCAGAAATGGATCTAAAGTCTTGAGAGCACCATTAAAGGGACCAGAAATTGTTAATTACTATGGGGTTAATGGATCGGTGCCAACTTTTAAAGACTTCAAGAAATGGTTCCCAGAATTGAACTTGGTTGATCCAAGAGAATCATACCGTGTTATGATGGTCGAATCGAGAAAGAAGAGGAATAAGGGTGCTCCAAAAAAGAAGAAGAATTAATCGTATCTTTCTTTCTACACTTCTCCATTTATGAAGTTAACGAATAATCCTTTATAATAACCTGTACATATACACCGTATTTAATATACACATTTGATCTAATTTCTTGATTTTCTTTTATTCAAATTAAAAGTATCGGTAATATCATCAGATGTCAACTCATTTCTTTGATTACGTCCGTATACTCTCAGTAGAATACCTAACCTTCCTTCACTGATACGGCTTCTTCTTTTCCGTGCTGCTTGACCCCATTCCGAGTGTTGTACATCTCTCATTAATCCCACTACTCTTGAATCGTCTTCCTTGTATTGATACTTTTTCATGATTTCTGCATTCGAATCATCCTCGTAGTTGGTACTAACGATGGTGGACGAACCATCATTGAGTCTGTCAAAATCCTTGATGTTATCTGCAACATTCGCTTTCTCGGTTTCAATTGTAAATAATGTCATATGCCAATGAGCCACTGAACTACCCGGAAATGAACTGGTATTATCAGTTATTATAAATTTCACCTTCTCTCCTGTTTGAAATATGAATACATCCTTTATTTTATGTTTGTTGGTATGAATGCATCTGACCAGCCTTGTAATCTCATCATAAACCGCTATATGATCTTCCGTGGTAATAAATATTTTCCGTTGGTCGTTGTGCTCTTTATAATCAATGTTTAAAATTCTAGTTTGAGTTTGAATGACATCTATCAATTGCCACTCTATTTCAATCTTAGCACCCTTTGTGGTTTTGTATATGTATATGAAAAAGTCAAATTGAAATAATACCAATCCTTTTGCATCCGTGAACACATCGTGAAGCTTATTATCTTGTAATGTAATAGGTGTCAGTGGGAATATCTTTCTATATTTGGTATCATTATTTTGGCTCCATATATTTTCAATCGGTGTATCCGGTAAAGTCCAATGACTAGTGATCTTGAAACTTTCCATCGAAACAATCATTATTTCGATTTTACCATCTTCGGTCTTGGTTGATATTATAATGCTCTCGTCAATTTTTTCTGATTCATTGGCCTTAATCCATCGGCTGATATATTTGATAGACCCAAAGTATACGGGGTGATCTTGAATGTTCTCTGTAGCCCAATCCAACTGAAGCATTGCATGACCAACATGATCAAATGCCTTGGTCGATTTGTGATTTATCCCCATCAAATTATACACTTGTAAAGAATACCCAAATAAAGGTTCACCAAAGTACATAAACCATTTACTTGAAGGGGACCACGATAAAGATGGAAGGGTTAAATACTGCGTAGGAAGCCTGAATTGGTATAACACTTGACTCTGCAGCCCTGAATTGTAGAAATGATATATTATAGGTTTGGTATCCGCCAGAGCCACCTTCATTACATTAGTATTTTTTTCAAGATATGGTTCAGCAATCACTGACCAAATCTGATTATTCAGATTTGGCCGTATTATAGGCTTCAACGATACCGGTTTGGGGATCGTGAAAAGAATATGAGTACAATCCACAGAGTACACCTTTAGCTCAAGTCTATTCTTAGTATAAAGAGCAATCTGTTTACTATTAGTATAAGCGCCAACCTCTTCATTCTGCTTCTTTTCTCCTATAGGCGGAGGAATCCATTGAAAATCCTCAATGCCTTCTTCTGGTGATTGTTCGATCACAATGGGCTCTGTTGATTTTCGAATATCATAGACCAAAAGAAGAGAATATGTTTCAATCACTAACGCAATCTTATCGGCAGTACTGGTAGCTTCATCTAACTCTTCCCACTTTAATTGAGTAATCCTTATTCTATCCTTTTGCTTGCCGACGTAATTCTCTATGTCCTGACTCAATCCGTACGACCTATACAAGTCTTTAACTGCAGCATTTGGATTCTCTGGCACTCGAAAGATCTCAAGCGATGCCTCGGTTGACGATACTCTGGCTATGTAAGTTCCACAGGGAGAAACCGTGGTTATGCTCAGTGTGTGGTTGGACATGGCGTTCAAGGCTAACATGGAATGAAGTCTTTAAAATACTCTCCCCCATATCTTGAAAAGCTCATTTGATGGAACTAACACAAAATTTCAGAGCGTGTTTAATGAGAATCAAAAAAAATCAAAACAACTACAAAAAAAAAAAAAAAAAAAAAAAAAAACATACGGCATAGAACTCTTATTATCAGAGACATCAACAGCGATACAAGTGATAACTTAAACAAGCCAGAGGGTTCAAGTATCTCGAAGAGAAGAATTGCTGACTATAATTTACATGCCACCCAAAAAGAAACAGGCCCAGGCCTCTAAAAGCACGAATCGACCAGTGAATGGTGGTGGTAAGAACGAAGGAGAATCCTCTAAATCCAAGGCCAAAAACAAAGAACAACAGAATAAGACGAACTCAAAGAAGAAAAAGGTTCAGGCAGACCTTGATTTTTATTCGGATATTGATAAAGAGTATAACTCAGGACAGTCTAAACCTAATCGATCCTTGATTTTAGGAAAAGAGAATGGTTTGAAAAGCTTGTTCTCTTCTAGTCAATCCAAGGAGACAAAGCCTGCTAACGACAGTTCCAATACTGCGGTGTTCTCACCAAGCTCGTCTACTGCAAATCGTTCATTTGAAGAGGATGAAGGATTTATCTATAAGAGAAGCCAGGAAGTGGATAACGGGAAACCCACATCTAAACCAAAACCAAAACCAAAAACATCTAAAGCTAAACCTAGTAATGCTAATAATAAGACCACAAAACTGAGTCTGAAACAATCGGTAAATGGGAAGAAACGGCCAATCAGTACTCCTCTAGCGCGTCTTCAACAAGAAACTGCCAATCTATCAGTTAATGAAGATGATAGTATACATTTTGAAGACGTTGAAGAAACTATAAAACCCCCAAGCAAGACTAATGGTAAGGCAGGATCCAATTTGGAGCCACAGTTGTCCTCGCCCATAAGATCACCATCCACATACAAAAACTATTCAAACGCCTTTGATGATGATCATTTTTCATCCGATGGATATTCGGAGGAAGTGTCACACCACAAGATTGAATTAGCTCCTGAATCTCCTCCGTCTCCACCAATTCCTAGACCAACGACAGCCAACCTGAAAAAGAGGACAAAACGCAGTGACACTAATCGAACTACTAAACGTAGAGCATCATATCATAATCGGGGTAAACGAATACTGTCTATTGGCAATGGTTACGTTGGTGAGCCTCATGAGCAAATTGATCCAAAAGAATATTATAAATTCTTGGACGACTCAATGCCTGATCCTAATAGAATGAGGCAATTATTGGTTTGGTGCTTTAAGAAAACTTTACAGCGTCATGACGAACGACAAGAACAACAGTCCCCCTCGGCTGAAACTGTTAAAGGTATTACAAAAGTAATTGGAGAAGAATTCTTAGAAGGCCTTACCAATGGTAAAATATCAACCAGTTGGTATAATAGACAAGATGATGATGATCAGTATAATCAGGTTATGAGACCGGTTGTGCCGAATCCATTGAATGAATCTAATGAAGAAAATATCAAAATTTTTGAAGACAAATTGATCCAATTACAACAAGAAAAGCAAGAATGGCACCAAGCTTATAAAGATGCAATAACACCAGTCTCCAAGATGAAGCTAAGTCTGATTGAAGAAAAAGATCAAAGTCGAGAAGATTTAAGAGACTATCTCAAAGAAAAAGTTACTGCTACGAGCGATGTTGATTTTAACTCATCGATTCTTGATGAGTCGCTTTTGAAATCCATCAACAAATCATGGCAAGATGTTAAAGACGAGAGCCCTAATGATTTGGAATCTTCGGTTGATAAATTATACAATACATCATTTCAAGTTCAAAAGGCAAGCGAATTGGTCCAAACAGTGCAAAATAATAATATTAGTGGTAAAGTAAGTAACCTATTTAAAAAGTTTTTCGTCTCGAGAAATGACATGATTAACTACAAATCGGATTCACACAAGTCTCAATTCAAATCACCTTGGCCGGTACCTCCAAGACCAATTACGACTCATGAACTTTTACGAGGAATTTCAAAAATTGACAACCCCATTGATAATACTCCTAACGACAATTGAATATCTCTCGGAAAATCCAATTGAAATTCGATTATCGAGTCTAATTGAGGTTACATTATGCACATTTATCCTTCTGAAATAATTAGACTTTCTTCTTGTGTCCCCTTGATAATCCAGCTTGTTCAAAGTTATTCCCGTTTTTTCTTCCTTTTTGCATATCCTTGTACACTAGCACCCATTTTCATCTTCAACCCTAATCCCCAATTGAATAGATTTCAATATGTAACATTATCCAACTTTTTAATATATATTCGTATTACTCAAAGATGTAGCATCTCGAAATAATCCGACGTACGTGCAACTAACGGTTATTGTTTAATGGAAAAATAAAATTGCCCCACGGCAAAATCTGAGCTTACCCCAGTTTTGTATAAGACAAGCGATCACCATTGCTATCCTTCAGCAGGGTTTTAAGCCAATCTTACTCTATAATTGCCTGTTTCTTGTGGCATGCTAATTTAGTTTAGCATTCCTTTTTTCTCGAGTGAATTTGGAGTATCTTTTTTTTTTCTGGGGTTTTTTCAGTGACTACAAGCTGGTGGGGGATTAATTCACAAAACAATAATCCAAATTGGAACTTGCAATTGACAATTCAGGCAGTCTTTGTCCATCGTTGAGGATAATAATCTCAAGGCATTTCCGATTTCGTTTAATATCCTTGAGTTGGTTGCATCATCACAAAAGCATTGTATGAATTCTTTGAAATATTGGTGATTGTTGTTGTTGCAATAAACAGAATATGACTTTGATATAAATATGCTTACGGATTCAATGAGTTTTGGTTCTATTCTAAAGAACGATTATCCTTTATTACGTTCGTTGATATTTCTTTTGACTAAATTATCAAAACGACGAGTTTTGGTTAAAATTATGATTGTTACTAACGTTTTAGTCCTCTTGGGACTTCAACTATACTTAACTCAAGCTGTGCCTTCTCCATTCCTTGATTTTGAAGCCAAGCGTTCTGAAGTGGATACAGCTCAATTGGTTGTCGATAGGGATAGTTTGTATTCCCAAAGATCCAATTTAGTTGAGTTTGTAAATAGTCGTGAAAACAGAGATACTTTTTCAAAGCTTCAACATAACCAGTATGGGTTTTTCGATGACGAATTAAATAACGTTGGAACCATTGCCTTCCCCAAGTATAACCAATATCAAAGACAGCCATATGTGGCAAATGGGTTCATCGGAAGTCGTATTCCAAATTTGGGCCAAGGTTTTACCTATGATCAATTGTCTGATGGACCCAATGCTAACGAAGAAGATTTATCTAACGGTTGGCCTTTGTTCAATAAACGTTATGCTGGTGCTTTTGCTGCCGGGTTTTTTGATATTCAGGATGACGTAACTTCTACAAATTTCCCCGAGTTATTAGAAAATGGATATGAAAGTATTATTGCTGCAATTCCTCAATGGACTACTCTCCAAATATCCGCTGAAGTCAACGGTACTGTCTACATTCTAGACCCCTCTCATAACCATACCACCTTGGGCTCGATAACAAATTACGTTCAAAATTTATCTTTGACAACAGGTATTGTTACTACCCAATTTACCTGGTTAGATCAAATTCAAGTTCAACTACAAGTTTTAGCTCATAGACTGTTATTGAATAATGGAATTGTTGATTTGAAAATTGGTAATCTTAATGACAATTCCCCTGTTAATGTTAGCGCTATTGATATTCTTGATTTTGAAAGTGCTCAAAGATGTCAACTTACAGAGATTGATAAGGATGAATCAGGAATTTACGTTACCTTCCAACCACATCAAATCGATTATATAAATGGTGCCATATATTCCAAATTATTCACCTCAAATGAAGTATTAAGGCTGTCAGATAATAATCTGACTGCTAAACAGTATGTTCAATTTGAATTGCAACCGAAGGAAATTAAACATTTAACAAAAATTGTTGGTGTCACAACAACAGATTTCGATCCTGCTAGCTTAGACTCATTGGACCTGGTACTCAAAAAGGCTAAGTCATCTGTTACTGATATCAATGATGATGTTGAGACTTTAATTAAAAAACATGTTCAAGATTGGCAGGAAACTTTGGACTCAACTTTATCAATAACTTTTCCCGATGATCGCTTATTGACTATGGCTGCAAGAGCTTCTATTTATCATTTGAATGCAAATACTAGACCAGAAGCAAAGGGAGTTACTGGTGCTGTGGGTGTCGGGGGGTTATCTTCTGATTCTTATGGTGGAATGGTGTTCTGGGATACAGACTTGTGGATGCTCAACGGTTTATTACCTTTTAATCCAGATCATGTTAAAAGTATTGTTAATTATAGAATCCATACTCATCAACAAGCTAAAGAAAATATTCCTGATAACTACACGGGAGCTGCGTATCCTTGGACTAGTGGAAGGTTTGGTAATTGTACTGCTACGGGCCCTTGTATAGATTATGAATATCATATAAACTATGCAGTTGCACAAGCTGCTTGGGAAGTTTACTTGAGTGGTGCTGCAGATGATAAATACTTAGAGGATGTGGTTTACCCCTTGGTTAATGATGCTGCTTTATTCTATTCAGATTATGTTAAATATAATGATACCTTAAATCAATATACTACTCGTAACATGACTGATCCTGATGAATATGCAAATCATGTGAATAACGCTGCATATACAAATTCTGCAATCTCTTTGATAATGAAAATTGCCATTTCAGTTTCAAACCAATTGAAAAAACCATTCCCGGCTATTTATTCTGATATTCATGATAGTATTCATTTACCTACTTCAGAAAATAATGATAATATTACTTTGGAATACACTGGAATGAATAATTCTGTTGGTATCAAACAAGCAGATGTAATTATGATCACATATCCTTTAGGAAATGAACTTATCGATGAAGATCAAGCTAGACTCAATAAAGATTATTATGCAATCAAACAAGTCAATTATGGTCCAGCCATGACTTATCCAATATTTTCAATTGTTTCATCGATCTTATCTACATCAGGCTGCGCTCTGTATTCATATCTTCAAAAAGCAGTTATTCCATTTTTAAGAGCTCCATTTGCCCAGTTTTCAGAGCAAAATCAAGATGACTTCTTAAATAATGGTGGTACCCACCCTGCATTCCCATTTTTAACTGGTCATGGTGGCTACTTGCAAGCAATTCTCCAAGGCTTTACTGGACTAAAATTTGATTTCGAAATCAATAAGTCAGGAACCTTCGAAAGAGTACTCCATTTAGATCCTATATCTCTTCCTTGTTTATCCAACGGTGTTCAATTCGATGGGATTAAATACCTAAATCATTCAATTTCATTTAATTTGAATAGTGATTCTCTCAGAATTAAAGATAACGGTCCAATAAACGAACAAGGAAAATCAATCGATTCATTTAATATCCGTGTTGGTGAGAGAAATACTAAAGCTGGCAAATACATATTGAATTCAGGGGAAGAATTAACAATCCCACTTTATAGTACTTATAAAGCAGTCGAATCAAGTATAACGGAATGCAACAATGCCATTTTTACAAATATTACGGATGGATTCTATGGGGAAATATCCAGTGCAATGAATGATGGTGATAATACAACCCATTGGGAAGCCCTTCATAATGATTCAACAGCAAAGATTCTTGTGGACTTGAAACAAATTCAAAACGTAACCAAAGTCAATATAAACTGGGGTGATAAACCTCCAAAGAAATGGGGTTTATCAGCAATTGAACCAGAGAAGTTATCTAGTTACAGTTATTTGGCAAACACGGTCGATATACTTTCATACGTGGATTTTGGTACTGACCTGTACCAATATTTTAATTATGACAAAAGCAGTCAAAATATCGTCAAACAAAGCGATATCTTTACTGAAATAGTAAATGAAAGTGTTGAGATTAGTGAACCCTATAATACCAAAGAGAGCCAGATTGTTCAGGTACCGAATCGACACAATACCACTACTTTTTATCATGAAGAAGGTGCATATTCCAGATTTTTTTTGATTGAAATAAAGGATATTCATAACGAGGCCCCAATTGAAAATGATATTGGTGGAGCAAAGATATTCGAAGTTGTTTTTGAATAGTCACAAAATTTTCAACCTACTTTTTTACTTTACATAAAACAAGACATTTAAATTTTTTTAATTATATAATTTATAGTTTGATGATTATAATATAATTTACAGTAAATTACAGTATGTTATAAGGAAGGATTAGAAAAACTTTTGAAAATCGACAAAATGAAAATTCTTAAGGAGTTGCTTTGCTGCATTAGACTAAAAAAGATAAAATACAAAATCAACTAATTGTAAACATATTGTATAAGTAAATAAACTTAAAGTGCTTCACTCATACTGATAAGGTGTTTGACACCGGTATGCCAAATACCAACTTCTTCACTATGGGTAGTTGAAAATTCTATGTTTAAAGCGGCTGCAGTTTCATATTCTTGAGCATCCAATGATTGTGAGATCTTTTTCAAGTTTTCAACAGCTTCGGTTGATAAATCTTCATTATTCAAAGCATCGAATAAAGCATTAAGTCTAACTTCCATATGTTGACCATGTTTTTGGTATTTTTCGGGAATTTTGGGTTTCAATTCTTCCAATTTACCGTTCATGGTTTCATATATAGGTAACCAATCTGCTGGAATATGGGATCTATCACCATTAGGATGTCTTGGTTTTGTTTCAGGCTCAGGTTCAGCGGCCTGTGAGACGCTTGGTCCCAGTGGTGGTGGTGGTGGGAAATTGCCAGATGCTTGAGCTGCTGCTGCTGATGTTCCAGCTGGTGCTGGAGGTGGTGGTGGAAAAGACGAGCCTTGGAATCCATTACTAGCTGCTGGTGGTGGTGCAATACCGCCAAGTTTTGGTGTTGGAAGGCCAGATCCAGGGCCTTGAGGAACGTTGGATCTCGATTGTGCAGCTGGTGGCGGAGCATATGGATTTTTTGGTGGTGGTGGAGCTTGACTCAAACCAGGAGAAAATTGACTTGCAGGAGCTGCAAATTGTTGAGATGGTGGAGGTGCAACACCTGTGAGTGAAGGTGGTGCAGGAACTGCTGGAGCGTAAGGGTTCTTAGCTGCAGGTGGAGTAGCAGAGGCCCCTGGAGCATATGGATTCTTTGGAGTCAATGGTCTACTCAATGTAGCGTGAGCTTGTGGTGGAGTTGAGGTACCAAAACTGTTAGCAGCAGGGACAGGTGGTGGTGCATAACGAGTATTCACGGCCGCGTTATTAAGACGGGGTGAAGTAAGGTTGTTAACTGGGTTTGAATCAGGAAGATTGGCCTTGGAGTTGGTACGGCTCAATCCTTTTGGTGGAGGTGGAGCGGTTTGTGAAACACTAGGGACTCTCTTAGAAGGTAAAGCAGTTGGAGGTTGAGGTGCAACGAATGGAGATGGTGCGGGAGATGGGGATGCCACGGCTGAGGCAGCTGCACGGCGAGGTGGAGCAGTTGTTTTCTTAAAAGTCTCTGGTAAGTCATTCCAGCCATCAGTTTCTTCTTTGTATTTGTTCTTTGCTGGAGCAGGTGGTGGTGGTGATACAAATGTTGCACCAGGAGCCGGAGCTGCTGCTGGTGCTGCAGGTTTGTAAGGGTTGCTGTAAGGATTATTGACAGGAGCAGCAGATGGAGCATAAGGATTAGAAACAGCTGGAACTGATGGTTGCCTTGAATAAATGTTATTGGTTGCAGGAGCTGGAACATTATTGGCCACAGGAACAGGAGGTTTGTTAACAGGGGCCGGAACGAAGGTTTTTGGTTGATATGGTGCAGTTGCGGCAGTTGGGGCAGAGTTTAAGGAAGGAGAAGCAGCATATTTAGAAGCTTCTCTGGTTCTATTATAAGGGTCCCTAGCAGTAGAACTGGCGCCGGTGTTTCTGGTAGTTGAGCGTTTGGAGGTTAAACCGAGAGCTTTAGAGATACGGTCTTTTTCTAATTTCAAACCTTCAAAATCGGATGGTAATAAATTCAAGAAATTATTTGCCAAATCAAATAAGCCAAAACTTGCTAATAAATTGGAATATTCTAAGATTGCTTTTGAAATTGGTTCCACAGCAGGACCGGATAAAACATCAGAAATTTTGGAAATGGATCTGTAGGCAGATAATTTTTCGATGAAAGAATTCAAAGCTTCAAATCTAGCATCTGATGGAGTTGCGATGTTAGTATGTTTTTCTGACTTCAACAATTCAGCTTCTAAGGAAGGTAATTCTTTGAGCCAAATCGAACCAACCTTATCTAAAGCATTACCTGCTAGATAACATAAAATAGCATTGTCCCTTTGATTTGGGTCAGCTTCTAAAATACGATCACCCAATTCCACAATTTTAGAGTTGAAATCATTAGTATCAATACTGAAGGCAGATATACTGGCAGCAATTTCTTTCCAATCTTCAACATCAGCATTAGAGACTATATCTAAAACATTCTTAGAAGAAGCAGAATATATGATTCTTGAAAGTTCGTCGTTGTTTTGTTTGAAGAATTCATTTTTAACTTTACTTTTAATGTCATTAGAAGCATCTAAAGCTAAAACCAAAGCTTCGACAAGTTTACCATCTTTCAAACATTGAGAGACTGCCTCTTCAATATTGTTGGTCAAAATTGATTTAACCAATTTTTGAGATTCTTTTGGTGCATCTTTATTAATAATTTTGAATTTACCTGATGGTACAAAAGCTGAATCAACTTCTTCATTCAATTTACCATTAACACTCAATTTATCAAAGAAGGAATCTTCAGCTCCATCTTCGTTAGTGGCAACTTCAGCTTCACCATTAGATTCTTTAGCCTCAGCTTTTGGTTGTTCAATGGCTGAATCAGAAATAGCATTTGAGAATAATTGGTCTTTACCTTCGGTAGATAATTTTTTCAATAAATTCCAATCGGCTTTATCAGAATCTTTTAATAAGTCATCTTCTAATTTTGACTCAATGATAGGTTTAAAATCATCTTCATTCAAAGCTTTAGTTAATTTATCGGTTGAATTTTGTAAATTACTGTTATTGACAAATTGGGAAATATCAATGATTGATTTACCAGAAGAATCCGAAGTAATTTTAACTAATTTAGATCCAAATCCAAAGGAAACAGATGAAGGATTTTTCAACCAACGTGGAGCTTGTTGTTTGACAAAAGTTGGTTGTTGAGTATCAGTTGTCGAAATTTTATTCCAAAACTCATCATCATTATTTGCGGTAACTTTAGTTGAAACTGGAGGAGAGGTATCTTGTAAAGACTGAATAATAATTTTACCATCAAAAGAGGCAGTACCAAAGATATCAGGAGATGAAGGAGCGAATCTAGTTTGGAAAGCCCAATTAGCAGTTGTTGGATATTCGCCCAATTTTTCACCAGTTATTGGATTCCACAAAATTGTTGAATTATCTTTACCACTTGAAATTAATAATTCAGGATCTTGTTTACACCAATCTAAAGAAAGAACACCTTTTTTATGACCTTGTAAGATTTTTTCAGGTTCATTTGCATTACGTAAATCGTAAGTTAAAATCAATGGACAATTATCATTTTCACTAGCAACTATTAATTTGGTTGATTGAGTTGGGTGCCAAGCAACAGAAGAAAATTCAGCTCTACCTAATTGACCATTATAAGACAAATGTAAAACTTCTCTTTTCGACTTTAAATCCCAAATCGAAGTATAACCACCATTACTAGTACTAGCAAAAATATGACTAACTGATTGATTCCAAGCAACACTGTTTATTTCATCCATTGGAGTCATTGCTTTACCTGGAGTGAAAGGGTCTGAAAAAGTTTTAGTATCCCAAATGAAAATTTCACCTTTGCTACCACCAGTAACCAAAATATGATTTTGATTTGGATTGAACTGTAAAGTCTTAACTGCACCACTGTGTTTAGTAGATTTATGAACTGAAGCTTTAGATAAATCTTTAGTCTTGATTAGTATATCTGCATCCCAAAATTCAACAACGCCATTTTCAAAAGCTCCAGCCAATAAACCTTTTGGTCTACCTTCAAAAGGCTTGGACCATTCCAACCCATAGAATCTATTCTCAACTGAAGCACTGAAAACTGGCTCATCCTTATCAGTTGGAGAAAATATATTCCATAGTTCTAATGAAGATGAGGAGTTGAAATTAGCATCAACAGCACCAGCCACAGTACCAGTAGCAAGTAAAGGAATCACATCTTGACTCCATGCAAAGGTGGAGGTACGATCAATATCGTTTATCTTCACCATACTCTAAGAAACTGTAATTGAAGAAGAAAAGTGATAATCAAGGTGAGTTTATGTTATTTGTTTTTTTTTTTTTTGTAAGTCAACTGGGTTGTTGGTGATTGATCAAACTACTTTAATTGGCTCGGTTCACTCAACTTATAAAACTCAATTGTATTTCAATTAGGATGATTTCCAATTGTTTCAAGCAATTAAAAGAAAGGTATCCGATCTATATCTCAACAGCGGCTAACAAAGTTCAATATTTCCATACACCGCACACCGATTTTGGAGATTCAATTTGAACTGAATGGGACCTGGAACGAAATCAATTAAGCTTTAATCGATCGGGAAGCAAAAATGCAAATGATTAAAACAAACTTGACGAGAATTGAAAGAAAAATAAAGTGAAAAAAAAAAAAACAATCAAATCTCTAAGTGATTTGTATGTGATTTCCTCAGTTTTTCAGGCCAACTCACCAATTTGATTTATTTGCGTGTTGCTGTTCGTTGATCGAAAATGTTGTGGGTACGGGCTTTCTGTGGGTTACGGGTGTTGTGTTCTGCCTCGGGTCCAAAGTGGATCGATTTTTTAGATCCTTTCGATTTGATGCAAATCCGGTGTTGATAAAGGTCTAGAGGATGTCAGTCGGGTTGCAGAGGAAAGATAGGAGGCTACTTAAGGTGCTTGTGCTGTGCTTGGACAAACAGGTCTGCAGACCGAGTTTGAAAGCGTTGTTATTTGCTTATTTGTACGTTGTTTTACCTAGAGTATTCAATACTGTTATTATTTCAATACGTAAGCGGGAATATGAAAATATCATACCAAGATTAACCCGGATTTTGATTAAAGCAATCCATCCTTTGAGGTTCCCGATGTTTTGTGCAAAGCTAGTGGCTGGTATCAATTTTTTCGAGCCATTGGTGTATCAATTATTAAAGGTAATCAAGATCAATCATCCGGTGCATAACTTATTTATTTCTACATTAATGTCATCGTTTGTATCTTCATATGTTAATTTCCCATTATTTCAAAAACATATGGTTACTTATGGACGGTATTTATCTCTTGATTTAACGCTATTGGTGGTTACCAGGGCTTGTGATACCATTTTATCTTCTTCGTTATCGAAATTGATTCCAATTTCAAAATCTTCTTATGGAGATGCACTTCTTTTCATAATATCGAGTTATTTCATAATGTTTTCTTGGTTTTATTATCCCGAAACTCTACCTCCAAGCTATTGTAATTGGATTACCTCTGCCGCAAATATGGATCGAGAAATTGTTAAAATTTTAAAAGATTTACGTGAAGGTAAAGTTCGCTACGGTGAATATACTTCAGATTTATCCGATTACTGTATACGGTATAATCAGGATCCAAAACAAGGTGATCTTGTCACTGATCAACCTTTGAAATGTAAAACAGTCCATGCTTTCCAAACTGATAACTGTGAATTACATGCCTTATGGAGATTTGCAAGAGGGTTTAGTTTTGCAATTAAAATTTATGGTCCTTTAAATCTCTTAATGTTATTGACTCCCAAAAAAAATGTTAAATTGGCAACTAGAATCATAAAAGCAGTAAAATCCTCAATAAGGTCTTCTTGTTTCCTTGGTGCTTATATATCATTTTTCTGGTACTCGGTTTGTCTTGCAAGAACAAGGTTATTCCCAATCATTTTCCCTCAGATTCCAAAGACTCGTTTTGACGATACAATTGCACCTGCGCTAGGGTCAGTCTTGTGTGGGTTCAGTAGTTTTATTGAGTCTGCTCAAAGAAGAAAAGAATTGGCCTTGTTTGTTGCTCCAAGAGCCTTAGGTACTCTTATTTCTTCTAAGCCTTCAAAGCTCAATTTACAAATTGAAGCAATTGCCTTCTCAATAAGCATGGCTATCTTGGTGGCTTTTTGTAAAAAGGATCCAACCTCAGTTAGAGGTATATTCGGTAAAGGGGTTCAGCAGGTTTTCAATGTTAATAATTATACTTAAACAGACTATAGATGGTTAAACTTAAAACAAATATACTTACTAATTATCACACTTAAACAGACGATTTAAATAAACTATTACCTATGTTTAAACAAACTAGTTAAATAAACTAATATATATTAATACCTATACTTAAACAGACTAACAATTATCTTGACAAACCAACAACTATCTTAAACTCAGCAGTATATATTTTGCAATCTTGCAAATCGCACCCAAATTGTTTTTTGCACTGTTAAAGCCATTGCTTGTTTTTGTTCGATATCGAAAATGGGAGAAAAAAAAACCATCAGGTTTTGCAAAAAATCAGTATTAGTTAATTTCCTACCTTTCCATTTAAAACAATGATACGATATGCTGAGTGAAGAATTAGATAGTGGACAGGAACAAAAGGTGATGGAATTCGATTTCCCGTTACCTGCGAAGAAATTGGGCTCAACAACCAATTTTACTAAGAAACATAACGAGTTGGCTGAATTTTTAAAACTTGCCAAAAATAAACAACTATATCATATCTTCACTACTGTCGCTGGGTTGTGTGATCCTTTTACCCAACCAGAAGAAGTGAATATAGTTTTAAGTATTGATTGTTTGGCAGATTTATTAATTTCCATCTCTTATTCCAATTTAAAACATATGCCACTTCCGGAACAAGTAAATATTTATGACATAGATGATGATGAAAATGATGAACATGACGATGATTTTGATGTTGTTTATGAATATAATCGTTTAGAAACATTTGATATGCAATTTTCAGAAAAAGATTTGAAAATACTAAAAGAACCCGATATAAATAGTATCAAATTTAACTTATCCACATTTTTCTTTATTATTTTGCAAAAAATTCAAAATATAGCGTTAGATGCGGGCCTGGAATTAGATCTAAGGTTTGTCGAAAACGATGAAACTCGTTGGATGGAAAATCTATATCAATGGAATCCTAATCCTGAAATTGCAGAAGATCATTATAAATTAAGACTTTGTTATTCAATATCTTGTGTTTTATTAGTGGCAATTTATAAACTTTTCAAACCAGCTTCTGGTTCTTATAATCTAGCATTAAATCCATATCTACATTCATTCATTAAAATTTGGAAATGCCATTCCAATATAATAATCTTGGGCTTAGAAATTGATCGAAGGTTAGAAAATGAAAATGAAGAAAATGGTACTTTTTTACAGACCCCACATATAGTGAAAGAAACTTTACGTGGCTCTAGTTCAATTAGAACTGTTCTTGCATGGATCTTAAACCAAAACCCTTCCCTGTTATATCTGACCGATGAGTCCCCAATCTTCGGTCATGACATCAAAAATGAATCTCTTTTGGATTTCACTCATCCTCTTATAAGAAAAAATCGTAGTGGTGGAGCTCTTCTGATTGATATGAGATTTGTCATTGTTGCTCTTCTAATAATAAATTCTGGTCTTGCTTTCGCTGCTGGAAGTACTAGTAAAAAGGATGCTCATGAAAAGTCTGATGAAGAATTACGTAGATGGAAAAATCAACGAACATTAATTGCTGAAATAGGTGATTTATTGATTGATCTTGAATATGATGATAAATTTGATGAAGACATTAGATACATCTTTGGCTATGAATATTTTGATTCCGATGATGACGACAACGATGATGACGATAACGATATTCATGATAATAATGACCATGACGACTCGGATGGGGAATCCACTGAAGTTTCTAAGTTAAAAGAAGTAGACCCATCTGAGGAGAAAAACCCAATCCCTACTGCAATAAGGTCCCAGAGTGATCTAAACTCAATCGATTTTGACGAAGAAGGACGTGATTGGCGAGATCTACCTAGGGGTGATAACATATACGACGCAGATTGGTTTAAAGATTTGCTCAAACATCATAATCAACAAAGTAAAGAAGACCAGAGTGTTTCTGATGATTTCTTCTCATCTTGGTCAGAATTATTAGCAACATTCGAATACCTTAAAGAAGATGATATTGATGGAACTGAAGCCGAAACAAAATTGGGTCAAGTGGTGATAAACACTGTTGCTAAGGCCATTCGGGATGAAGACCAAACTGGTGCTGGATCTAGAGATGATTCAATTGACCCTGACCGGATCTATAAATATTGGACATCAGCTGCTTCAAAAGAAGATATAGAGATTGCTCAAGAGAAGAAAATGTTAGTTCCCTTTTTCACAATTACAAATTTTGAATTACTACTTATAAATAATCAAAAATTGGTCAGGTGCTTAATAGATCAAATGTTAATGTGTAAAGGGTATCGTCGAGTATTAATATGGTTTTTGACTCATAATATAAATTTATCTACGGTATTGATAGATTATGTTTTTGAATTACTTACTGGGTTAAGAGGACAATCAAAAAGACAAACCCCTTATAAATTTACTAGAAAAGGTGAAAACGTTCATCTTTCTGAAGTTGAACGACTGATGTTACTTCATGAATTTCTTACTAACTCTAGCGTTTTCTTATCTGCCACTGAAGGAGTTGAAATAGAACCAGGGGTTGAATTTGTTTTAGCCGAGTCGATCGCTAAAAAGATGATGCAAGTTTTATGTATGATGATTGAACGTTTGATTAGTTTGGATATAATATCATTCACAAAAGGTAAAGAAGATGACCTCCATGATTATTTCAATGAGCTTCAAGTTTTATTGATTAATTGGGTAGGAAAATTACCCGAAGCAAGAAAATTGTTCTTCCAAATCAAAGATGAAAGTTTCAAAGCCAAAAAGGAAGATGATCCTCGGGAGAGTAAAGAAACAATAAGAAATGAGAACATTATCGAGAATCATGAGGATGAAATGCATTTTCTACAAAATTACATCAATTCATCGAACGATGGAGAACAAAAACAAGTTTTTGATGAGACTCGTTTATCTGGAGTATTTGAAAAGTATTCGAGAAGATTGGGTATTCATTTGAAGTTATTAATTGCGTTGCAAAAGAAAGATTTCACTGAATATAAGAAATTCAAATCATTAGGACTTGAAATAATGTTTAAGGACTTCAAATTCTTTCTCGAAAATTTCAATTCTCTTTGTGAAATGGAAGACTTAGCAGAATCTTTATTCTACATTTTTGAGAAAATCGTTGCTACTGGTAAACTCAATGATCTGGAGGAGGAACAAGAAGAACCAGTTCTTTCTGAGCCTCCGGAGTTGGTAACTGGAGACGCGATCAGTTCAAATGAACATGAAAGCGGTGAAGCTGAGTTTAACGATCAATTTTTGAATGGAGAAGGTGGTTTTCGTGAAAATAGGGAAACTGAAAAGAAATCAAAGAAGAAGAAAAAGAAAAAGAGTAAGAAGGGTAAATAGAATTTGTAAATAACTTAGACTGTATTATATAGTGACATTTACTCATCTAATTAAAAGTAATTCAAACATGTTTGGTTGTAATTTGAATGAAATTTTCCCATTTACCCTGCATAATTGATGCAAATTAAAAGTCTACACCATAAGAGGAAACATCGATACTCGGTAAGCCCTATTGCTTCATCGATAATCGGTAGTCTCTATTGCTTTATCGAAACCGCATCCCCCTTCAGAAAAGGGTATACTTTTGTAAAGCACTCAATTCACGAAGTCAGTCTCTTTTTTGCAATCTTTTCATTCGCAGTTAAGCAGAAATACACCCCCGGATAATTATTACCGAAAGAACCCAAACCTACCGATTTGAGCAATTTCTGAGACCTACATTTTTGCTAGTTAAAGATAATTGGTATCTCTTTTCCCATTTTACTTTATCTAAAAGGAAAAAAAAAGATCAATTGCCATGTTTTCCAACACTTTACGTTCTTCATTCAATAGATCTCTCAACATGTCCGGTAAAAGATTAGTTTCTAATATTACTCCAGTATGTTAAAGTCTTGATTGGATTAAATTGAATTATCTCCAATGATTTGAGAATATTTATGACTAACAATCTACTCAATATAGGTTAAAACTGCCAACGCTCCACCACCAGCTGCCTCTTACTCCCAAGCCATCAAGTCTAACGGTATGTAATTGAAGTCAGTGCCAATGATCTTAAAATACTAACAAGTTTAGGTTTTATCTACGTTTCTGGTCAAATTCCTTACACCCCACAAAACAAACCATTATCAGAAAACCCAACTATTGCTGAACAAGCTGAACAAGCTATTCAAAATGTTTCCAATATCTTAGAAGCCTCCAACTCTTCTTTGAACCACATTGTCAAGGCTACTATTTTCTTAACTGATATGAATGCTCAATTTGCCGAATTCAATTCTGTTTATGGTAAATACTTTAGCGAACATAAACCAGCTAGATCATGTATTGCTGTTAAAGAATTACCATTGGGTGTTCCTTTAGAAATTGAAGCCATTGCCATTGAAAAAGATGACTCTAAATTATAATCTGGTTTATAGATCTAGTTTATAGAACATATATCCACTTTATGGTTCACGTATCTCATTGAGAGAACTTGTATCTACGTATCTCCTGTTCCCATGAACACTAGTAATCCATGTTGAAAATTAAAATGTTTCAAGTATTTGTAGTAGAGCTCTCCCAACGGGTTCCAAATCGAGAATAGAGTTCCATCCTAGGGCTGCAACCCCGAAAATTACTCGGGCACGTGACAGTGTTTACTATGAGGGTGTTGTATACAGTCTCGATGAGGAATTTGGTGTTGGCACTATATTCTTCATTTTTTTTTTTTTTTTTTTTTTTTTTCATTTTTTTCCTACCGTGCTGGGAAAGGTCTACTGTGAGCAGTTTGGAAAATTTTGTTACTATAGTCAAAATTAAATTTTAGCTACATCCATATAATAAAATTTCTTCTGTTAGCTCTTGCAATATAGCATAGAAATCATCTTCAAAAAATGGCTCAACGTGTTACTTACAGAAGAAGAAATCCATGTATGTTTCAATCCTTACGATATGTGAAAGACTAGAATGAATGAAGGACAATTATTTATAAGATGAAAATTCGAAAAAAAAAAATTGGATAAAATTATCAACACTAGACCGGTCAGTACTCAGTATATCCAATTACCTCCCTTATGTCCTTTGATATTAGTTATAGAATGGATGTCAGGATGATGAATAGAAGTCGTGAAATGATATACCCCAATATGAGAATTTCAGAATAGACTGTTAGTAGATAGACAAACATCGAGTTAAAAGGTGTGAACCACATATGTCCTTGAATCTTATAAATAATTATAAAGTCCTGATCTTGTTCATAAGTCTTGCATTAAAACTACTTTGATTAGCTGTGAATACTAACTTTTTTTTAGACAACACCAGATCTAACAAGATCAAGGTCGTTAAAACCCCAGGTGGTAAATTAGTTGCCCAACACTTAAAAAAACAAGCTACCAGACCAAAATGTGGTGACTGTGGTAACGTTTTAGCCGGTATCTCTACTTTAAGACCAAGAGAATACGCTTCCGTTTCTAAAACTCACAAAACCGTTCAAAGAGCTTACGGTGGTTCCAGATGTGCCAACTGTGTCAAAGAAAGAATTGTCAGAGCTTTCTTAATTGAAGAACAAAAGATCGTTAAAAGAGTCTTAAAAGAACAACAAGAAAAAGAAAAGAAAGCTTCTTCTAAAAAAACCGGTAAAAAATAAACTATTTAACTTAGGAATCTAAATAAATAATTGTAATATTTAATCACTTTGGTTAGTTGTTATGATGACTTCTATGTAAATTTTTTATCGTTTTTCTAATACACAACTCATATATCTGTTTAAGATCATGAAAATGTAATCGATGGTCAAAAAAAGATCTGAAAAAAAAAACGTATAGAGAAGTATTCGCAGTTAAATTTTTAGCCGCTAACTACTACTTCATTCTTAAGATAAAGCATATTGAATGTCGAATATTATCAAAGAACTCATAGGTATATATTACCGGGTTGTATTTTTATTGTAGTGACCCAACTGTCTACTAACTGAGCTTTCTTTTAGAGGAATCAACAAATATAGCAGACTCTCTCAATTCAGCGGATGACTTCAGCATTGAGAGAATACTGTCACTTCATGCATTGGCGGAAACGCTTCTTCCTAAAGCTGAATCAGCTTTGAAAGACTTTCTGTCTCAACCAATGCAAGCGGTCCTGGCAGGTGATTTAGCTGAACTTGAAGCTGCAGCTTCAAGGGTGTGGAATGCAGCCACCATTTCATCCAGAAGTATTCAAAATGACGGCTCGCCTTTGATAGCTCAAGTGAAACTAGTTTCTATTACAATTTTGCGTATTCATGATTACGGGAACCGAAATCTGGTAAACGGGCAAATGAGATGCTTGAAATGTTCTTTAAAATCATTTGAGTATTGCATTAATTGCAAATTGCGTGAGGCTGCTAAAAAAGTAAAAGGGTTTAGTGATGTCTTAATTCTTCAATTCAGCAGCATTGAAACTGAGGGATATGTATTAGAACAGCTAAATTCGTATAAAGCTAAATGGCAGGTATTATTTTTGAGCTTAGCTCTACTGTGTTGCGAGTTTGATGAAGCAAAAATATATGAAAGGAACTTGAATTCTAACTTTCTGAGTAGCCTTTGGAACCCCCAAACTTTAGAAATTTGTAAGATACTTTACAATTCTAGTGTTGACCTTTTCAGCTCCAATAGCATGGCCAATTGCTTGGTTTTCATCAGGGCATGTCTAAATTACATTGAGTTTGAAAATGCAACCTCCAATGAAAAACTGGATCAAAGATACATAAAGCTAAAACTGTCTTTACTACTTGGTATGTAATCTAATTATAAGCATGTTGCGTGTCTTACTAACTGTCCTTAGTTGAATGTTTAAAGCTTGAAAATAAAACAGAAAACAACCATACGGTTGAAATCACTTTGAAAATGTTGCAAAAAGAGTTCGACAACTGTCTTGATGTTTATGTATCTACCTTGAACTATTGGAGAGATAAGAAAACGCAAGTAGTTGTTGATATACAAGAAATAATGATGACTATGGTTAAATCGGTTCCATCTAGGGACTGCCATGAAGGTATAGTGAATGTATTGAAAAACTTATCGGCTTTCAACTATAAGGCTCTGTTGATATGCTTAGATTACTTATTTGCAAATTATTCAAGCCCTCACGAAACCCACGATAAGTTGGAAAATCTTTTCATTACAAGAATGTGGATTACAATTTCTAAAAGATGTAATTTACCTAGCTCGTTCTTATTGAAAGACGTGAAGGGTTATTTCAAACTTGCAGAGAAGACCTTTGCTAAGTCCATATCCGAGAAAACCAGGTCATGGATTACCACCATGATCTGGAAAGAAGGTTCTTTGGCCCTTAAGTCTCGGTTTTACGAAGAAGCGCTTGCGTGGTTCGAAATTGGTCTTTCTAGAAACCTATTCAGCATTGAAGACTTGACTGACCCTAATAATGATAAGGGAAAACTACTAAAGAATGTGTTTAAGCAGTTTATTACAATTGGGGAGATACTCCGAAGCCATATCTAAGTTCGAATCCCTAAATAAAGTTGCAAAGACCCACTCACTTACTCTATACTATATTTTCCAGTGTTGTGCAAAACTTGGTCATCGTGAACTTGCATTAAACTGCATTGAAGAAATGAAAAAGTGTCGAGACTCAAAGCACCTCCTAGCGATTGCTGTCTGTGCCATCGATGCTGAAATGTTTTTTGATAAGAGAGAAAGTATTAATATGATGTATAATCTTGTGCAAGCGGTTATGATCAAAGAAAAAGACGAAAATGGTGAGTTCATTCGAACTTTGAAACAAGGTCAATTGATCATGCCCGTCATATTAAGGTCTACTATTGTTCTGCTTTCTGAAGAGTTGCAGCATGTCGAGAAACCTGGTTCCGTTGCAAATGTTTCGATGTTCGTCCAAGTATTGGAGTATGGGTTATATTTGGCGAAAGCATTGAAAAAAGGAATGTACATGAATCTCCATTCTTTACAATATTTCACACAAGGAGACTTGGTATGGTTTAGCAGCAAAGCTTACAATGCTGCTAGAACAATGTTGACGGTTAAAGATTTTAAAAACTGTGAAATACTTTGTAATATCTCTAAGAGTTTCAATAAACTCGTTTCAAAAGATTCTGAAGAGTATGGCTCCAACCATTTGGAGTTTTGGTACTTGAAATGTGGTATTCTTGAATTAATGACTAAAAGTCTTCAAGAGGGAGATGAAATCATTCTTTGGAACAATATAAGAGTAGAGAGTATCCAATTACTCTCTACTGTCGAACAATTATTGGACAGAGGAGCTGGTAATAATGACAAATCGCGAGAGAATCTAATAAGCTAGTACTGTCATCTCCAACTCTTTCACTTCAAAGGAGAATTGGCGGTTGGATTGCGGAAGAAGCAATCAATATACTTCACGAATGCAAGTTAAGGTTACCGATAGCTGACTTAGCAAAGCTTTATCTGAGTTTTGCTGATTTGACAATTGAAAAGACAGTGAACAATAAAGTTGCGATCCTTTCAGCTTTAGTCGAAAAGGGGCTAGGTATTCACCAGCCTTGTTACTTGAATAAAGTCTTCGCATGGTCCAAGGTAATCTTTGAAGCCATTAATTCCAATCCAGACTCATGCAAGTCACTTTTCAAAAAAATTCATATGGTGATAAAGGTTAACAAAACCAAAGGTCAACCTATTCCTCTTGCCGAAATCGAATGGCTTTCGACCACTTGCTGGAACCATGGAGTGGCTACAATAATGTATGTATCTTTTGAACTCACCACCTTTTCTTGTCCGATACTAACAAGCTCGAAAAAGCGAAGATGAGAATAAGGAAGAAGGCACCGAATGGTGTGCTAGGGGGGGTTCAACTTAGTAACTTTGTGAATGAAAGACTCACCAAACAAGTATGTGACACGCTCTTATCAAACATTTTGCCAAAAACACTAACTGGTTGCAAACAGCTTCATACAATTTGGAAGGAACTTTGTCAAACCCTCCATATCAGATCTGATGATCTATTAACTAATAATAGTTTGTGCGGCTAACGATAGCGAGGAGCCGCATACAAATCAGGATTGACTGCTAAAAAAAAGGAAAGGAAATAATCGGGAACGTCATCCCGCGAAATCGGGATGTGGCACCCGTACAATCAAGACTAGGAACGGGTTTTCTGGATTTTACAGGCTTTTAATGCTGTTGATGCTAGAGGGATTGCAAGAGACGATGCTCAGGTCTGAGAAAGCATCACCGATAACTGGGGATTTGAGCTTGTAAAAGATATAAAGGGTCCTAGGGAAGGTGCTGCGGCACAGGGCTGGCTGAACAAAACAAAGATAAAGAAAAGAAAAGATGCTGCTAAAAGAAAGGTTTGCTTATCAGTCCGCTAAAGATCGCAAATTTGAAATTGGTTCCAGAGTTGTTTTTGCTTGCAAGGGTTTAATCCTGTTTCTTAATTGAAACAAAAGTATAAATATGACAAGTGATCCGTTTTATTTTCCTAGATGATTGGCTACAACTTATAATTATATTCTTTAGTTATGGAGTCTACTAAATTAACTCAACTCAAGCAAAGTGTCTATATCCCACCGGCCAAAAGTGAGGAACCACAAACTGTTCCTCCATATCATCCGTGTCTAATAGTTCATGACTCACATACAGACCTTACTAAGATCAAACCTTGTGGTTGCTCTTCTGCATACTGTGTGAAGAACGCTCCTGAATGGATACCCAGAGCAAAGCATTAACATGCTTTACCTGGTGATCAACCTAAACTATAATATGCATTTCTAAGATTTTTCTTTATTTCTTGATCCTCCCTTTTATAATTAATATAATAATTTTACTTGTTTTGTTAACGCTACTTCGTTAACCCGCCAAAATCAATAGTGTAGTTTTAGGTGACGTGCTACAGTAAAGCATGCCAGTGGCTTAAATACGTAGAATGGACACAAATTTTTGACGCGTTTGTTCGTTGCAAAAGGTTATGTCAACTGGATTGCAATTAAGTAAGGTTGCAAATTACAAATTATAAATACAAAGGAATATTTTTAATTAAAGTATAATAATTAAACACCACAAAAAATTACAATCGTTAGTTTGAAGGTTCGTTTTTTTTTTTTTTTGAAATTTTGTCTTTTGAATCATTTCAAAACTGAATTATTGTAAGTTATTTCACTTGAAATAAAGAAAAAAAATTAAGAATACGTTGGAGAAATTTAAAAAAATGTAGGATTATGTTTGAGTAGAAGTGTTGGAGTTTTTGATTTCGTCCTTCACATCTTCCACAACACTATCCGGTTGGTCTTGTTCTTTGGCAATCATGACATTTGGATCGTCGTAGCTTTCAACCACTGATAAAATGGTTTGGTGGGAGATATCTGATTCTTCTTCTTGTGCTGCTTGTTCTGGTGTCACTGCTTCTTGAACAACTGTTTCTTCTTTAACTGGTTCAGCTGGTTCGTTAGCAGCTTCTTTTGCAGCCGGTTCTTCGGTAGCTAATTTTGCAGCCGGTTCTTCGGTAACTTCTTTTGCAGCCGGCTCTTCAGCTTCTTGTGTAGCTGGTTCTTCGGCAGCCTCTTTTGGAGTTTCAGCAGGTTCAGGTACTACCCCTTCTGATTCTGTATTTTCAACTGGAGTGGATCCTTGGGGTAGAGTTTCTTTAACCTCACTAGGGTTTATATCTTCAGTGACTTCTTTCGATTGGGGCTCTATTTCTTTGCAAGGATCTTCGAAAATACCACCCTTTTCATCAGTTGGAGAAGATAAACGTTTTGAGCCTGAACTTGAAGGTCTCAAAGATTCAATCTCAGGTTCTCCGGGAGTCTTCTTTTCAGTAGCTATAAAATCACCACCACTTTTAGGACTATCATAGGAAGTATCCACTTCTTCTGATGCTCTTTGTTTTGTATCATAAAAATTTTCCGAATCGACTCTTGTAATTGATTTATTATCAGAGTCCGAACCAGCGGCTTCCAAGTCCAATCTTTTCTTAATGACCGACATTGAAAGATGAGCATGTCTACCAATTAAGAATACTGGATGGAATATAACCAAAGTAATACAAGTAAAGAAAATCATTAAGGCATCTAAAGTCATAACAAAAGCTTCATGAGTGATTAAATAACCAGTCCAACCTTGAGCAAGTTCAACTACTCTATAAACACATCTAACATAGACAAAAGCTACTGAAACCAATAAGACAATAGGACCATAATGTACCAATTTACGACTTCTTACACTTTGATAATTTGGATTATAATAAGGATCTAACTGTTGATGTAAAGCTTTACCTTTTGGAGTCACTAAGAATAAGTGGAATAATCTTCCAAAAGAAAATTTAATATTTGGATTTGCTCTAAAATAAATTTTGAAAAGGAAATGGAATAATAAAACTAAGAATAATGACATTGAAAAAACTTGGAAAGCAATACCAGCAACCATTACATGGGTACCAGAATCGGTTGATTCATAATCTTGTATAGCAGTTGCAGCCATTGCACCACCAACGGCTTGAATCACTAAACTGGCAACATCACAAAAAATGAAAATATAAGAAAACCACATTGGTTTTAATATAGAATACTGTCGACCATATAAAATCAAAAATTGGGCTAATAAGTAGTAGATACCACCCATTATAAAAGCTGGAGCAATAGTTAAACTGATGATCTGACAGAAAAACTTGTCGTCATTAGTCCAATCATGTACCGATAAAGCTCTTGCTAAATAACCAGCCAATTCCAATCCACTACCACAAAAGAAAGCAATACCAAAATACCAAAATCTTGAATAAAGCATAAGACCAGTATGACAAACAAAGGCAAATATAAAAACTGCAGTGAATATCCAGTTGGCAGTTTTACTTAAACTAGCATCATATAAGTTTTTACTCCAAGCCAATTCTTCTAGATTAAGAGTAGCATTGAAGATTGCTTGAGTCACTTGAGGAAATTCTTGAGTAGCAGTAGCTGTTTGTAAGTACCCTTGGTTACTAATAACCGTCAAAGATGCCTGTGCTCCTCTAATAACTTCAGAAGCACTATACAAGGTAGCTTTTGCAGTAGCAGTTGCCGCAATTTCCGAAGCCACGCTTAAAGAAGATTGTAAAGCAGATGCATGAGTACTGGCAATAGAAGTCAAAGAGGTCAGGGTGGGCATGCTCAGAGCCACCCAGGTACCCATCTCTTGAGCAGAAGACATTATTCGATTTGAAAAACGAATTGGAAGCTAAAGAAAATGTCAAAAATGAAAAAAATTTCACTGAAAGGATCTCACTGGTGCTATACCCCAGGAGAAAACGGCAATGCAGCACGAAAAAAAAATGGAACCGGCTTTTAAGACAAATTTTCTTTCAGCCAATAGATTTATTTCCAGTAAAGGCTAAAGATGATACACCTGTAAGGATGTGGGTATTCTAAGGTATGTATAAGATAAAGCAAATCTAACAAACGAGAAAGAGAGATAACAAAAAAAAAAAACAAGAATCAGGAGAACTCGAAGGTTTTATAAAAAAGGAATAAGATTCGAGTAGGTATTATGAAAGGGTAACAAATGGAATTAGGTTTAGAAGTTACTAGGAACCAATGCAGCCCGGTTAAGTATATGTTTCTCCTTGGGAAAACCAAAATCAATCTAAATAACGTTGGGAAGGACATCGAAGAGGCAAAATCCATATATAAATAACTCAATGTAAATCGATGGGATTAACCCAAGGGAAAGTCTAAACTGAAACCAGCCTCTTTTATTTCTCGATTGGTTTCTTTTGGATGTCCTTGCTTTTCTTCCTTTTCTTCTTGCTTTGCAAGTTCTTTGCTTTTTTGCTTAGAAGCTGTTAAGGTTTTGATTCGATTTCGAACAATATAGACTCTCATTATTAGATTTACTTGGTACAACTACCATTTAGAGAATGCCCGAGTTGCAGACGGCAATTGCAGTAGGAATTCTTAAAGGAAAGGGAATTTTCCTTCTATTACATCTGGTTTGGGTAAGTAGGTACTAAAAACTGTATTGAGGGTTCAATGGAGATTCAAACAATACCCTGCTTTTGTTCTGCTATTGTTCTGCTATTGTTTAGCCAAAACGAAATAGTGGGCCAGACCCCCACTGTATTTTCTTCTGTATGTTTGTTTTTTTGCAGTAGTTTATTCTTACCTCAGGTAAAGGGTCTAGCTCTCTTAGTTGAAAATCATATCAAATCACTTCGCCATGGGTACAGACAGCCTCTAAATCTTGATTATTTTCTAGCTCTGACTTCAGTTAACACTCGCAAGACATGTTCAAATTGCTGCTGATTGTTTGAGTATGAGCATTGTAAGGGTTATTGTTAGATTTATTGTCTTCTAAAAAAGTTTTGCAAGATCCTCAAATTGTTTCAATCCTGTTTTTTTTGTTGTTGTAACTGGCAGTTGAGTTGGCTTGATTATTGACTACCCCTTCGCTAGGTACGCTTGATATTCCATTGAAGATATTGCATTGGAAGGATTGCATTGGAAGTATCCATACTCATCATTGAAGAGCTACTGGTTTGTTTTCAGGGATGAGCAACCAGTATTGCTAAACTTCAATGCCGTACTTGTCATTTCTATTGTCAAGGTCTACTTGTAGTCCCTTCTTTAACTAATTTGTCAATTGCCTAATTGTCAAAGATTACGTTTTTTCTAGGCAGATTAGAAAGAATAACCTTTTCTGATATACAGTTTTATGTTGATAATATGATGCTGTTATCAACAATCTCTAAGCCGTTCATATAATTCTTACTAATGATTTATGACGTAAAATTATTTTATTAAAATTATTTTATTGAAATTATTTTATTAAAATTATTTTATTGAAATTATTTTATTGAAATCATTAATTTAAAAATTACCATCAGATCATGGATCCAATGATTAAAAAATGAGAGAAGAATTGAAAATTAAATACTGGGACAAATGTTGAACAACTATTGAGACATATTGATACTAAGACATATTGGGTTAATACTGAGACAAGAGTGCTATGTTTATGTTTCAAACTTCAGAACAAAGGGTCTTGCTAAGCGGGTGAGAATAGATGTACTGGTTTCTATTCATTTGATGAGACTAATTGGGACTGTGTTTGAGTTTGACCTTGATTTTGACTTGGTGTTTCACTTTGTGAATGGGATTCTTGGGTGCCACTAACTAATTCGTTGGTTAGTTGTTCACGTTTCCAAAATTTCAATAGCAAATCACCGTAATTCTGTAAATCTTCCACTGAAATCATTAATTTAAAGTCAAGTAATAATAAAAATTGTAATTCTAGGTAATTTAATTCTTCTAATGGTAATCCACCAACTTTAGCATATCTTAAATTTTTATAGAAAATATCACTGAAAAATTTGGAACTAACGGTGATACCTGATATAATTAAACGGTGTATATTATATGAATCCATTACAAATAATTGTTCTGATTCATCATCAATATCTTCATTTTTATTACCTTCTTCTTCTTGTTTTTTCTTTTTCAGCTTTAAATTATTTGCCTTTTTAGCTATTCTATCAAAATAAACTAATAATGATAAGAAAACTTCATTTGTAACGGGACAATATTTAAGAACCCTAGCTAAATATGCATGTAATGATATTCCTGGAACATTAGTACCATGAAATGCTAATACGTTAGCCAAATATTTATTCTTCATTTCATCTTCTTCCTCTTCATCAGCATCATCTTCTTCAATGTCAATGTCTGAGTTAGCGTCAACTGATATACTATCATCGACGTTAATAGCATCATCTCCAGTTGAACCTCTTTGACGTCGACGATTTTCTTTCTCTAATTTACGTAATTTTTTCTCCTCTTTATATTTTTGTCTAATTGCAATTGTATTATCAAAATGATTGGGATGTAATTTATCATTGGCTTCGATTATTTTACTCAATAAACACGATAACATTAATATTAAATCATTCACAGGATAATCAACAATATTGAGATGTTCATCGTGAATAGAATCATTCGATTCATTATTTGATGAATTAGCCGCCGCAGCCGCCGCCGCTTCAGAATCTTTAATCGATAAACTATGTAGGAATTCTTTATAAGTCATATAATGATCAGGTTCACTTGGGATATATGAAGAAGGCCTTGAGTTATGATCAGGTATCGAAGAAGAAGAATCGGATTGGGATTTAGAATATTGGTATATGGGAGTTTGATTTGACATTGGTTTATTTTTAGGATTTGACGACTGTTGGAAAGAATTAAACGATCCAAATGAATTACCACCATTATTATTTGGTAATGAATTTGGTTGATATCTTTGTTGAGGGAAATTAAGTTGATTTGTTTTAGAATATTGTTGATTAAATTGGTCACCTTGCGAAGCATTTTGATGAGAATATATTTTATGAAGCGATGAAGAATTAAAAGAGTTAGCAGAGTCCATAGAAACATTGGTTGTTGGGATTGCATGAGCCATCATTCCATTTGGTTTATAGCTTCCAGTGAAATTTTGTTGCTGTTGTTGTTGTGCTAATTGATTCTGGGGTACGAAATTATTAGTTGATGCATTGTATGAATGAGGAGTGTTATATGAATGGTTTGAAGAGTATGAGGAGCTGATTGCATTTGGCGTATGGTGACCGGTGGGAATATAATTCATTGAATCACTTGTTGATGCAACAAATTGCGAATTATAACTTTGACGATTTGGGTAATAGTAATGACCGCTTTGATTCATCTCGCCACCACTGCCCAAATGAGCATTTTCATTATGAGAGGTCGATACAAGAGTGTCATAACTAGGTGGATTATTTGGAACTTGATTATGTGAAGCAGCTTGAGAATCTTGAGTCTCTTGTTCTATATTCGATTTTGTTGAAAGTAAATTTTTAGTTAAATTGGATATCTTAGTTTGTTTTGGATTGAAAGATGATGATGATGATGCTAATGATGACGATTGATTCGAGCTTTCAACGTTATCGGAAGATCTGAATTCGTTGGGATCCGGATCATTAAATTGTGAACTCATTGGAAATAATAATTTAAGCTAAAAGTATAATCAAGACTTGACACATAAAACTAAATAACTGGTTAGTAAATTGAATCCTGGAAAGTATTCATGACTTTAACTAGAGTTAATGATGATTACGAAAATCGAGCAAACCTTTGAATCAACCCCGAAAAAAGGTAACTAGAAACGACAAATAAAAGAAAAAAGTGTCTTGATAATACATACTAGTAATTAATATTGACTTAAACCAACCAAGGTCCAAAGAAAGAAAATCAAATACTTAAATGCAATTAAAGTAACGGTAAAGCAGGAGAAATGACAAATTATAATTGGGTTTTTTTTTTTTGGTCTTCTTTTAGTATTGTTTTAATAACAGTTTTCCAACCTTTTTTTTTAGATGAATAAGTTCTTTACCGTGAACTCTTATTTCCTTACCAATATCAAATTGAGCAAATGAAAACACTCAACCGACTTTTGAATCTAATCAACAAGAATTTATTAAAGGGATTTTGTTCACGCTGACACTCAGTTGTTTTTGTTCTAATTTTCCTTTTTTTGTGCCTCACGCACCCTCACTTATACCTAGTCAAACACTATGGGAATGCCAAACAGTAAGCTGAGAACTGGATAAACAAGTTGGTGGATGGGGTAGTTGGAGAGATCTGGTGAAGATGGTGGTTGGGCAGCGAATAACGTGGGATGTAAAAAAATATGCTGACTATTGGGGATGTTATCTTTGGACTCTATAAGCCGTACGTAACTCAAAGAGAGATTTGGGATAATTGGCACCTTAGACCAAGATATCCTTGACGGGGATTTGTGATACTTGCTCGTTTAATGGATCACTGCCGTTCAATTGACCAGCAGCGGGCTACTTACTCTATTCTAGGAATAAGATACTTGGAAGGATGTTGGCTTAATTCGATTGAAATTCTCGGGATTTCTAGGAACTAACCTTATAGAGAACCCCCGTACATTCACATATAACTATTCTTTATTACAGGACCCATACTACTGTTACTCTCCTGCTACTGTTTTTACTCTTACTATTCTATTGATCATATTCTCTTACCACTTACCTGCTTTACTTCTGCTCTTACTTCTGCTCTTACTACTGCTCTTACTACTCCTACGACTCCTACGACTCCTACGACTCCTACGACTCCTACGACTCCTACTCCTACTCCTAATACTGCTCTTACTCCTACTCTTATTACTATTTCTAATATTTCTACTCCTGCTGCTACTAGCCATACTGCTGGGGTAGTATGGATAGCTTGTCCACGGCATTAATCCTTTACTGTAAGCGTTTGCTGCAATTCGGGTGTACACCCATACACCAGGCCTTTGAAGAAGATCAAATAAAAAAATCAAACCAACTTCGAGGCCAACATCTCTTCTTTAGCGTATACCATGTCCACTGCTTCCAAAGTCACTTTTGCATCTAGTTGTCTTTTCGCCGCCGGGTCCTTTTGGTTCATCAATTACTCGCAACAAGCAGAAAGAGATGCATTAAGACAAGGGCCCATCAAAGACGCCGCTAGAATACAAGCTAAAAAAGAACAAGAATTTAATAAAAAGCAAAAGGCTAATGATGAAGAGCATAAACAACAGTTGTTATTAAAACAACAATATGAGTCGGTTCAACCATTAGCTCCCGAGATTATCAGAGGAGAAGAACTGGAAAAATAAGTGAAGTAGTTCAGTTGTTAACTTAAATATCTGCAAATAGTTCATCTAAAAATCTGTAAATAGTTATATAATACATTCTACAATTGTTTGTGTTCTTGGAGACACCCGTGGTATGGTTCACTTAAAGTAAACGTCCAGCTAGATGTACTATGATGCACTTTTTATTCTTCGAGTCATTTTCCTCTTCCGTTCCTATAAAACAGGTTCAACAATATTTGATCTGCCCTAGTTGATTCACCAAAACGGGTCATCAGGTAAGGGATGTTTGATCATCGGAAGTGAGGCTCTCGCCTCTGATCCAGCCAGGTCAAAATACAAGGATTGTTGATTTGAAAGACTCGTTAGTTGAAGAAAAAGGTTTTGTAGGTAAAAGTTTTGATTTAATGGCTTTTTTTATAGTGATGGATTTGGTGGGGGGACTACCCCGTTGTCTTTTGATTGTCTGTTTTTTTTTTTGCGTTTAGGTTAAACGATAAGCCAATTCATGTAGCTAGTGGTTCTTGTTGATGTCTAGCGCATGTCTAGTGCATGTCTAGTGTGACAGTGTAATGCTGATGTACATAAATAGGTTGAAGGTAATTATGTAAAAAAAAAAATATTATAATTATTGCAGAAATTATGCTAAATTTAGTGAAAAACATACGAATATATGGAATTTGGATTAAATTTTGAAATCTATTTAATATATATGGTAATTGAGGAGAATTTAAGAATTAAAAATGAATAAAAGATCAAAGATACAAGAATATAACGAGAAATGAAGCAAAAAAACCAAGTTTTTTTAGTGAATAATGAATACTAATAAGAGAATTCTCCGTTTTTAAAATCAATCTTCGATCGAATCAATAGCATTTTCATTATTAATTGATGGAGGAGAAGTTATTATGGAGGAAACAGGTAATACCTTATTCACGGGAATTGAATGAGTAGGAGGTGATTTTAATAATTCGTCACCATCAGCAGAATTATCAACAGAATTATCATCATCGTCATCTTGAGAAATTGAATTTGCTCTAAATTTTTCATTTTTGATTTCAAGATTGGTTGATTTATCATTTGATAAATTATTTATTATTACCGGAGAATCTAAATAACCACCATTAATTGAACTATTAGTATGATTAATTGATTTTTCCGTTGTTGGTGGATATTGTGATATTGAATTTGATCTAAATCGATGATGGAAATCCTGATTTTGATTACAATTCATGTTTATTGCTGTTGCATTGGCAACATCTTTTATATCATTATATGATATGAAATTCCCATTACTATCAATTGGGTTCATTGGAGGTGTTGGTGTGGTTGAAGTGACATTTGTTTCTGCTGAATTACTTGGTGAAAATGGTGATGAGTATCTTGAGTCTTCATCTTTAACACTCGAATTCGAAGGATTTTCATTCATTCCTACTAATATACTAGCAGCTTCTAGTAATTGAACTTGTTGATGTTTTGAAATTAATAATTTTTTGGTAACATTCCATTCTGGTGTATGTTCCCATAAATGTTTTGCTAATGAAGATATATGTTTATATCCTTTACCACATGCTTCACATCTTAAACCTTCTTTTAATCTTCCGGTTTCTCCTTCGGAAATCCTTCTAACAACAAATTCTCTTGATAAGTATGGTTGCTGTTGTTGATCTGGTGATTGTACCGATGGAGGACTTTGAGGATAATTATGTGGGTGATGGTGTTGTGGTTGATGCTGTTGATTATGTTGTTGTTGGTGGTGCTGGTGTTGTTGGTGCTTGGCCGGTATGGTATACGGAGAATGGGCAAGTCTTTTATTATAATGATTATGCGTGCTTGTAGTCATGCTGGATTCTTTAACTTTTATGTTTACTCTTTGGTTATTCTATCAAACTTGCTAAACAATAATCTTACCTTTTATTATTCATTCCTGGGATTATGATCTTCGGTATAAATATTGCAAAATTTTCAACCTTATACTAATATCACGAAGAATGATTCAAAAGCAAAAAGGTGTCAATTTGGATTTTCAATCACTGAATAGAATAGACACTGGAATATACCCAATAGGTTACTTCCTCTAGCAATTTCAACGTGTTTTCAACCAAAAGATGATGATTTGGAACGGGTCTAGTTTTTTTCTTCTCTTTCTTAAGTGACGGGGAAGCACAAATAGGAAAGCACAAAATATTCACAATTCAAAAACAAGAGCCAGTCAACTCTAATATTCTGGGATCAACGATATGGAAACTTGTATAAGATGAAGAAAAGAAAACTTTTCATAGAAAAAACTCTTCTCCATAGCGCTAATTTTTTGAGACAATTAAAATTTTTTTTATTATTATGTTTTTCTTTTTTTTTTTTTTTTTTTTTTGCTTTCTGAGGGTCTTCTCTACTTCTGTACACCAGTTGCAACTTTAACTTGGCTATTGGGCTATTGGGCTGTTGGGCTGTTTTGCTACTTAAGTCGGGTTGTGCCATCTGGTTGTGCCATCTGGTTGTGCCATCTGGTTGTGCCAGCGAGGTGTTTAGGTTGTGTCAATGATTTATATAATTGGTTGAACGCGTATTAAAAATTAATTATAAGTATTTAAGACAGAATTAAAAGGATTCAGAATCAATAATATCATCATCAGCGGTTTGACCATCGTCAAAGCCTTCTTCAGTTGAGTATAAGATCGATTGAATTTGTTTGGTTATATCCGAGACGGTTAAATTAGCAATTTGTTCTTGAATATCATCGTTGTTTAAATTGCCATTTTCTAATCTATATTCTTGTTCTTGAATATTTTGGGTTAAGATTTCAATTTCTCGTAATTTATTGAAGTAAAAATTTCTTTCAGTTTCCAAGCTTTCCACCGATATTTTATATTCTTGTAATTCTTCGGTTAACCCGCCAATTTCAATATTGGCTTCTTGTAAATCTTTATTTAGTTGTTGTACTTTATTATTTGGCTGTTGTTGCTGTTGTTGATGAGGAGTGGAAGGATTTAAATTCGATATTGAAGATTTTTGATTCAATGAATTATTTGAGCCTATTCTTTTCGAAACTGGATTAACCGCTGGTGAAGCTCGACGAGGGGTTATATTTCTACTTGGAGGAGCCGAGGTGGTTGATTTAGAAGCAGCACGAAGATTACTGGAGGAAGGAGTTGATTTTCTAATTGATTTAGCATCATAATCATCGTTAACATCTTTTTTCTCTAACCATTGTCTTTTGAACCATTGTAATAATTCTAAGTTATCTTGTAATCGACACTTGACTAATCGTTCAACGTCTATTGATTTTGTTATTCCGTGTTTATTGAATGCTGCTTGTAAGATCTTCATGTTATTTCTATAATCATATTCAGTAATTGCGTTTTCAAATTTTACTTTATGCATTGGTACATTACCATAAATACAATCCATTAATTGACAATAAACTGCTCCGGTCCCACATTTTTCAACCTTGGTATAATTGAGATCAAGAGTTTGATTCAACCATTGCAATAACTCGGTTCTGGATTCTCCCACCACCATTTTGCTTCTTATTGAGATGGTGTTGTTAAAAGACAGCCTATCGAATTAAAGATCAAAATAAACATTCTCGAGTAACGCCAAAAAANAAAAAAAAAAAAAAAAAAAAAATATTAAATAAAACACCCGTGCCTACAAAAAAAAGTCTATACGTATAACATGCATTAATTAGGAGAACCACCCAAAGACATCTTTCTTTGATATTCTTCTTGTTTTTTTCTAACTTCATTGACTTTATCATCAACTTGTTTCAAGAACTGCTGTTTGATTTTCTCGACATTTTCATCATTATCATCACTTTTACATTCATTAATTGGTTGATTTATAAATTTTTCATCATCGTCATCATCTTCTAGTAATATTTCCGGCAGGGTTGATTTCAGACATAATTTTTCAACTTGCTTGGTAACGTTCTGAGTAACCTGTTGTCTAACGCTATCTAAATCGTCATCATTACCGGACGAATAGTCAACTGAAGAATGAGAAGATTTTTGAAATAAATCATCGTCGTGATGATGGTGCATATGGCCGATTTCATTAACCTTCGCAATGAATTGTTTAGTGACTTCTTCTCCCACGTCATGGATCACTTTGAAATTGGGAGAGACATTGGATTTAAGATTTTTTTTCTTTTTTTGACTCGACTTATTAATAATTTCCGGATCGTTATAAAAGGGGTCTTTTAAGCTTTCTTGTAATTTTTTTTTAATTTTCGTGGTATTTTTAGTGTAAGTATCCGAATAACCACCGGTTATGATTGTATTATTCAAGTTATCCTTGATCAAGGATATGTCGTCATCGTCTTCTTCTTCTTCCTCCCTCACTTCTTCTTCGCTTTTAATTCCCGATTCGTTTTTGAAATGGTGATAGAAAGTATTATATTGCCAAATGTTATATTGCACGATTGATTCAAAGGCCAACTTATCATGTCGATATAAATTAGCACTATCGATATTGAGAGGCGAGTCCGGTTCGGGATGATCAATCAACATTAAGATGGCCACTATGAGATACTGCAAATTCCATGCCGGAGACCAATTCTCAGCTTTCAATATATCTAAGCATATTTCTCCGGTTTCAAAATTTATATTGGGGTGATTTATTGGGGTTTGATTATCAAACCTAATACTTGGGGGGTTCATTGGGTAGTTCAAAGGTATTTCAATGTATAAATGCCATTTCCCGTTATAGTAATACGGATTATCTTGTTTTGTTGGTTTACTTATATAAGCTTCCCATTTCATTATATTCATTTCTTCGTCATTATTATTAATTGGACTTAAGGCTATTATCTGGTGGTTTATTTGGCTGATGGGGGACTTATTTATTTGGTTCCACTCCTTGAATAGTCTTTTCTCTGCCATGATTGATCTTTCTGTAGTTCAACTAGTCAATCAACTAATCAACTAAAAGAAAAATTAAAATTTTTGTAGAAATTCAGAAGACACTCGGTATAAGTGCACTTTAAAAAGGTAAAAAAAAAAAAAAAAAAAAAAAAAAAAAAAAAAAAAAAAGAAAGCCAAAAGAAAGCCAAAAGAAAGCCAAAAAAGAAAAAAACAAAAAACAGTCAAACAAAAAACAGTCAGCCAGTCATCCAGTCATTTTTTCTTTTGTTCGCTTCCCACCACCAGTCCACCCCCGGTTTAGCTAGTCTGCTTTATCTGGTCTCTGGACTCAGTATCTGGATTTAAACTTAACCCTTCGTGCTATTCTGTGCCACCTCACAACATACTGTTGGTAAACATGGTTAAGCTTTGACTGCGTGTAGTGGGTGTGGTACGGGGGTGTGGGTCCATATCTCTATCTACCTATACATACTGTTTCTGTCGAAGGCCCAGCCTTCCTACAACGGCCCCACGAGATGGCCCTGCTCCTGGGACCGGATGATGTCAGTTTTATTAATAGGAAAACCCGGGAAATGTCAAGCGGTCATTACCGAGTGGTTATGACGTCTTCGAAACCGTTTCGAGTGTTGGTCCATTGTTTCGGCAAGATACCGGCGGGTTTCTATACGAGCCGTCACGTGAACCATGTATAGTATATAGAGTGTAGTATGTAGTATAGTATAGAGTGTAGTATGTAGAGTGTAGTATGTAGTATAGTATATAGAGTATAGTATATAGAGTTTAGTATATAGAGTAGTATATAGAGTATAGTATATAGAGTATAGAGTAGTGAGTAAGGAGTCAATCGAGTATGGGCCGGCTTAAGTGATTATCAATAGATAGATATGTGATAGTCGATGCGTATATTTTATGTCAGTGTTATGTCAATTGATAGGTGTTTATGTCAATGTGATACATCGTTTTGTCAGCGTTATGTCAATGGATAGGTGTTTATGTCAATGTGATACATCGTTTTGTCAGTGCTATGTCAATTGATAGGTGTTTATGTCAATGTGATACATCGTTTTGTCAGCGTTATGTCAATTGATAGGTGTTTATGTCAATGTGATACATCGTTTTGTCAGTTTTATGTCGATAGGTGTTTATGTCAATTGATAGGTGTTTTCAGTGATGGTTCACGTGACCGGGATTACCATCGATCAAACCCTTATTGGCCAACGAAATGCCGGTTCAGGTGAAAATTTTCATGAGTCAGTGCGATAATTTTTCACTTATATACCTTTCATACTACTTCCTTTGAATAAAAGTATCAAAGAAATCCATACAATGATTCATTTAAATGGATTTAATCGAAATTCATTAAGAATTTCTAAAAATTTGAAAATTGATAAAAGATGTTTCACCAAATATACCATCAATCAAGATAAATTGAATAAATATTCAAAAATTATTACTCAAGACCCTGGTCAAGGGGCTTCTCAGGCTATGTTATATGCCACTGGGTTTAACGATGATGATATGGATAAAGCCCAAATCGGGGTTGGTTCTGTTTGGTGGTCCGGTAACCCTTGTAACATGCACCTTATGGATTTAAATCATAAATGTAACGATTCGGTTAATAAAGCTGGGTTAAAAGGTATGCAATTTAATACGATTGGTGTTTCGGATGGTACCACTAATGGGACCACCGGTATGAGATTCTCTTTGCAATCAAGAGAAATCATTGCCGATTCGTTTGAAACAATGATGATGGCTCAAATGTACGATGGTAATATCGCCATTCCTTCTTGTGATAAAAATATGCCCGGTACCTTAATGGCTATGGGTAGACATAATAGACCCTCTATCATGGTTTATGGGGGTACCATCATGCCGGGTTCTCCTTCTTGTGGTGGTAGCAATAAAAACCCAAATGTTTCCGATACCATCGATATCATTAGTGCTTTCCAATCTTATGGTCAATACTTAGCAAAAGATATTACTAACGATGAAAGAAAAGATATCATCAGAAACGCCTGTCCTGGTCCTGGTGCCTGCGGTGGTATGTACACCGCTAACACCATGGCTTCTGCTGCGGAAGTCTTGGGTATGTCTTTACCTTACTCTTCCTCTTCTCCAGCAGTTTCAAAAGAAAAAGCTGATGAATGTGATAACGTTGGTTTTGCAATTAAAAACTTATTGGAATTGGATTTAAAACCAAGACAAATCATGACTAAAGCCGCTTTCGAAAATGCAATCACTTATATCATCGCTACCGGTGGTTCAACTAATGCGGTCTTACATTTAATTGCCATTGCTCACTCGGTTGGGGTTAAACTATCAGTTGATGATTTCCAAAGAATCAGTGATAAAACTCCTCTTTTAGCAGATTTTAGACCTTCCGGTAAATACGTTATGGCTGATTTACAAAAATTCGGTGGTACCCCTGCTGTTATGAAATTATTATTAAAAGAAGGTTTCTTAGATGGTACTCAATTAACTGTTACTGGTAAAACTATGGAAGAAAATTTGAAAGACTTGCCTGGTTTACCAGAAGTTCAAGACATCGTCATGCCTTTATCAAATCCTTTGAAACCAACCGGTCACTTGCAAATCTTGAAAGGTTCTTTAGCCCCAGGCTCTGCTGTTGGTAAAATCACCGGTAAAGAAGGTACCTATTTCAAAGGTAAAGCTAGAGTTTACGATGAAGAAGCTGCCTTCATTTCTTCTTTGGAAAATGGTGAAATCAAAAAGGGTGAAAAAACCGTTTGTGTCATTAGATATGAAGGTCCAAGAGGTGGTCCAGGTATGCCAGAAATGTTAAAACCTTCTTCTGCTTTAATGGGTTATGGTTTGGGTAAAGATGTTGCTCTTTTAACCGATGGTAGATTCTCCGGTGGTTCCCATGGTTTCTTAATTGGTCATATTGTTCCTGAAGCTGCCGTAGGTGGTCCAATTGCTTTGGTTCGTGACGGTGATGAAATCGTTATTGATGCTGATAATAACAAAATCGATGTCCTTGTCGATGAAGCCACTTTAGCCGAAAGAAAGAAGTCCTGGGTTGCTCCTCCTCCAAGATACAACAGAGGTACCTTATGGAAATATGCTCAATTGGTTAGTGAAGCAAACGTTGGTTGTGTTCTCGATCCAACTGACAAGCTCGATAACTAATCGTTTCCTCTGGCTTTTTTCTTTGCTTGTTAATTGTTCTTTAGTTCGTCCCGGTTTACGTGTATATATATGGTTAAGGATCGTCATTTGAAAGACTCCTTATCTTTATTATTTATTTTTGTCATTATTATTATCTCAATTGAGTGTTTTTTAATTTTCTTTCTTGCTTTTACTTCACTGTTCATCTTCTATATTTGAATTACAGAATTCATTGAATGAAGCTCTTCAATCTTTGCATCTATATATTTATATAGTTAATTGTCCTAACGAAAGGATTTCATGATCATATTTTGGCTGTAAAAACAATAACCCTAATCGGGAAGTGTAATTAAATTTCCGCGAAAGTGAAAAAAAAAAAAAAAAAAAAAAAAAAAAAAATTAACCGAGTGATCTGATCATCAACCAATCCTTTGAATATCAGCAAGACAATTCTAGCAAGAATCAGGAGAATCTTAGTCAGAGGGCATGGGGCTTCATTCAACTAAGGACAGCCAGCTCCAGTCAGCTATTCATACCATAATAAGTCATTATGATTTAACGTCAAAGTCCAAGAAATATTCAAATCTAACTCCAGCCAATTCCCAAAGAATAACGAAGTCGGTTCTTGGTAATAAGTTGAAGAAGGCTTCGTTGTTAGAATTGGTGGGCAAAAAGGATTACTACACTCAAAAAGTGCATAAACTATTGAACGAAAGTATTCAGGGACCTTCGAGAGATTCAAGTATTGATTCTACTGAGCCAGGCTCTTCAGGAGATTTATCTACCCGAACATCGCGTACGAATACCATACAATCGGATACTCGTCAGGGGACTTTAGACCCAAAGTATATAACGAACCGGTACCTTGCCGAAAAGTATATTCGTACCGTCGTTTTGACTGATCAATCAAAAGTGAATGGATTGAAGGAGTTAATTGAAAAACATCATCAATATCAAAAGAAGATGAAGCAGCAACGAGAAATCATTATCGAGAAGTTTAATTTTGAAAAAAATCAGCTTTTAAGCAAAAGACAAAGCGGATTAAGTAAATTGAATAGTACTAACGAGTTAATTGATGGGAAGAAGTTGGAAAATCTTACGGCATTACTAAATGACGAGTTAAACAAATTCAATGACCTTATGATCTTTGAGTTAAAGAAATTGAGTCAAGATAGTGAAAATTTGCTATACAATTATCAGATTCCCTTTTTCTGCATAAATGAGCATTATAAGTATCCTGATTTAAATGATGATAAGGTTTACGTTTTAGATTTACTTGGTGACTTATTAGATAGAAAGTCTACAACTTGAAAGAAAGATTTCTATAATGGTATTTGAGAGAAATGAAATAGACTATGGTACATAACTTTTTCTTTTTTTTTTTTTTTTTGTTCTTCTTTTTTGGTGTTTTTTTTTTTTTTTAATAGAACAAGTTACTTAGTTCTAACGGTATAATCATCACCAGATTGAGTAATGTATCTGACCCAAGGGTAAGATTGATATTGTAATTTAGGTTCGTTAATTCTTAAATATCTAACTTGAATACCGCTAGTAGTGAAATAAGGAATTGAAAAATTAACCTTGATTGGTTTTTTCAGAATGATATCTTCATTGTCAACCACAGCAGGTAAACCTAATTCAGCTGTCATATGAAATTGTTTCCCACCGGGGAAAGTTTTCAATTTCCAAATAAGACAAGATTTTTCTGGAATCCATTTAACAGTACCATAATCAGGTAAGAATTTTGGAGTGTCAGCATCATCGGGTAAAGGAATAATAACTTCTACGTTATTAGCGGTTGATTTTTTCTTAATTTGAGCCTTAACACTGCATTTGATTTCAATTCTTGAATGTTTATGAACAATTGTTTTGCAATTCACGTGAATCAAAGGTTTCATCAAAAATTGAGCCGACGATAGTCTATAAGACATTAAAGTGAACTCACCATCGGGAGGGATAAAAGTGATTATACGTTCATTTTCGAATTTTGATAATCTAACACACTGATGAAATTTAATATCTTCCATTTCAATACCTTTTTTATTACCAGTTATTGAAGTTTCATTTGAATCGTTATCTAAGTTAGAAGTGAAGATTCCCTTATCGTTTAAACCTAATCTTAGATCGGGCATACCACTTAAATGAGATTTAATTTTAATTTCACCCAAGATTTCACTATTTAACACTTGACCATTTGCATTAATTAACATATTGATACTTTCCACAACGTCTAAAAATGCTTCATTTTTCTTATAACTAATACCGTCTGATCTCCAAGAAACCGCATTTGTTACTGCATTTGGAGGTTTAATAACTCTGGATTGGGAATTTTTAATCAATTTATAATAGTCTTGAGTAATATATTCTTTCAATATCTTGGTATCAGTTGTTTGGGCAATTCCGTAATCCATCATTTCATCTAATAATTCATAAATTATAACAAAGTTATCTCTAATTGATTCTTCTTCTAAACTTTTAAAATACTGGGTTAATACTTCAATTAATTTAGACAAAAACACAATAATCGCCATGATGTTTTCATTTCGTTTGGTCAATGCACATAAATATAAGTTATTATGATTTATAAAAACATAATTAATTCCTTGATCATTTATAAACGGTTTATAATTTGATTCATCTTCATTTTCTAATTCCAATAATAGCAATGGGAATCTTTCAATTGAGTTCGATGGGATGTCTCCTTTATAATCCCTCGAAAGTAATGGCTTCCCCTTTATATCAAGGAAATGAATCTGTGAAGCCATATCTAAATCGATTACCCCCAGTTGTTAAAGACATCTTATAAACACCTCAACCATATTTCACTGAAAACATTGATTTATGTCCGGTAGTGCGAGAATTGATTTTCTGAAAAAAAAAAAAAAAAACCTGCGAGACATTTACAAAAACACCCGCACACCCGACATTTTCCAGAATGTCGCATTTACAAAACCCCCGTGCACCAATTTCTTTTTCACTTACACCCATACCTCCCTAATCCCCCCTGCCATTGCAGCACCTGCCGCTAAAAACCAAGAACTAGATCAGACTGGCTAAGAAATCGCCCCGACGGGTTCCAAGATACCAAGAGTCAGGCTGTGACATCGTCAACGGTACCGTGTCTTACCTTCCTACCTGTCCAGGCAGACCATCCGGGACAGTACCACGGTCGCCGTGGTAAATACGTGAGTGGTCAAGCCCGTATTCGAGCTAGTGCTAACACAACGTTGTTTTATTCGAATAATTGGTTATGTGAATGGCATTACGCAAAGGGCCGCTAACAAAACGAAAAAAAAAAATTGGTGAATAGAGGTGTTTTTGTTTATTACCGTTTTGAGCACTCGACACAATCAATTCAGAAGCTCATAATACCAAAACATGAAAAAATGCAAAAATAGTGATTTGCAAATGGCAATATTTCAGTTCAGGATCAAAAATAATTGTAAATAATGAAACATGGTTTTCTAAATTTGTAATCGGAGGAGGAATATTCTTAGATTGGGAGGGTAAATGGGCAAAATAGCGATACAAAATGGTGAGATTTTCGTCAGTGAATAAGAATTTCTTATGTAGTATTTTTCTTTTATAGCTTAATTTTTGTTTCGAGTCTTTATATATATATATAGATTTAGATATCTTGAGGAGTTCTCTTTTGGTTTGATTTGTTAATAAGTTGAAATCTTTCTTTAGTCTTTCGTTAATTTTTAAGAGGTTATAGTCCTTCGTTTTTCCCTTAAAGAGGCTCATTCAGGCTTATTCCGATAAAGAACAAGCCATTTCCCCAGGGTCTAAAGATGCAATTTAGTATATTAGTTAGTTTTTTATTCTGCTCATTAGCTTTGGCCATTCAACCAATTGAGGTCAAGGGTAATGCTTTCTTTGTGAATGGATCCAAAGAAAGATTTTTCATCAGAGGGGTTGATTATCAACCGGGAGGATCTTCTGATTTGTTTGATCCTTTAGCTGATAAAACCACTTGTGAACGTGATATCAAGTATTTTAAAGAATTGGGTTTGAATACCATTAGAGTTTATTCTATTGATAACACTGCTGATCACGATGACTGTATGGAGCAATTGGCCGATGCTGGTATTTATGTTATTCTTGACGTAAACATTCCTTATGCTTCTATTGCTAGAGATGATGGTGAATGTTCTTACAATACCATGTACTTGAACGAAGTTTTAGCCACCGTTAAATTAATGGCCAAATATAATAATACTCTTGGTTATTTTGCTGCCAATGAAGTTATTAACGATGATGAAAGTACCGGAGTCGCTCCTTACGTTAAAGCCGTGGTTCGTGATATGAAGACTTTTATTAAAAACACTGGATTAAGAAAAATCCCAGTTGGTTATTCTGCTGCTGACGTTAAAGAAAACAGATTGGAAACCGCCCATTATTTCAATTGTGGTGATGATGAAATGGCTAGAGTTGATATGTTTGGTTTTAATGATTATTCCTGGTGTGGTAAATCTTCTTTTTCCACCTCCGGTTATAAAGATAAAGTTAAATCTTATTCAAACTACTCTATTCCTTTATTCTTATCTGAATATGGTTGTAATAAAGTTAATCCTCGTCCTTTCACTGAAGTTGAATCTATTTACTCCACCGATATGTCTTCAGTCTTTTCTGGTGGGTTGGTTTATGAATACTCTGAAGAATCAAACAAATATGGTTTGGTTAAAATCTCTTCTGATAATAAAACCGTTTCTACCAATGACGATTTTGATAATTTAAAAGCTGAATTCAAAAAAACTGAAAATCCAAAAGGTGACGGGGAATACCAAGCTGATTTGAAATATTCTGAATGTCCAACCAATTCTTCTACTTGGGAAGCTAAAGAAAAAGTCCCAAGTACTCCAAAAGGCGCTCTTAAATATATCAAAGGTTATAAAGATCCAAAAGGTACTGGTTTCAAAGCCACCACTCAATGGGCTTGTACCGCTAAAGGTAACGATGATGATGATTCTGATAAATATAAGAAAGGTGGTTCTTCTTCCTCTTCCTCTTCCTCTTCAAGCAGTGGTTCTGGTTCTAGTTCTGATTCTTCAAGCAGTGGATCTAGTTCTTCAAAATCCTCTGATGCTTTCACTGTTAAACCTTCCAAAGCTTACTTGGGTGTTTTATTAACTACTATCGGTATTTTCTTTGGTGTCAATCTTTTTTAGATTGATTGATTCATTTTATTTAGGTGTTTAATAAACTGCTTTTTTTTTTACTTCATAGTAGATAATATATATCATTACAGAGTTTACATATATCTCACTCATTTTACGTACATTTAACTAATCTATGCTTTTTGTTTGATACCATACATCATTTCTTCTTTATTAATCAAATGACCAATACTATCGACTTCTTCCAATAATTTATCAACATCATAAATCCAATCATTCAATAATTCATTAATGCTTTCATTAGCTGATGGTGCTTCCCCTTTTTCATTCCCAATACTTGTCTTTGGAACCGGATTAACTTTATCAAATTTGACAATACCTTGAGGTCTATTAATTTTAGCATTAATCATACCTGAATTAACCAATTCACTAACATTTGTTTCAGCTTGGCTTTCTGATAATTGTAATAAGTATGATAATCGATCCAATTTAATAAATTGATAATATTTATTTATGATTCGTAAATTATGTTCCACAATTCTTTTTTGTAAGTTCTTATAATTGATTTCGTCTTTGAAAATATCACTTTTATCAAAATATTCTTGTTTATATATTTGTTCAATATTTGACCAATGAATTAACTCATTAGTTGTGAAAATTTCTAATAATTTGAAAATTGGAGAATCAACATTTTTAATAAATACTGAATTAATTTTAATTTTATTAATTAAATCTGATTGGTAGTTATCATAACTTGATAAAATAATATAATAAATGATTGAAACTAATAATGATTTATATTCAACTTCATTTTCTTTAATATTTGATAATTCAATTAATAATAAGGAATTTTTAACAATTGAAATATAATCTCTTTCATGAGTACTAATGTCTAATAAATATTTTAAATAAACCGATTTTAAATACTCTGCTTTTTCAAAATTTTTCAAACTCTTCAATAAAATCTTACGACTCAAAATCTTAGCTTGTGAAAAGTCTTTTTTAGCCAAAGTTAATCTAATTTGTTCCAAGATATATTCAATCTTGGTTTGAAATGGCATTAATGAATATGTTTCAACTTGTAAATCACATAAGATCTCGGTGGCTTTATCTAAATTATTGAATTTTTCAAGATAAATCTCGGATAAGTTTTTCAGCACTATAGCTCTTTCAACTTCAACAAAAATCTTTTTATCAGTGATAGTTCTTATGGTTTCAATTAATTTGATCTTGAGATCCAATTCCTTTTTAACATTCTCATCCAAGTTTGGTAATTTATCAATGGTGCTTTTAATCAAAGTTTGAATTGAGGATTTCAATTGACCATGCTTCTTACTAAGAATTGTCAATAAGTCATCCAAGTAATCCCAATCATTGTTGTCAACCAAGGTTTCCACAATCTTAACCAAAACTCTCTTTGATGATGCTAAATCAGATGATTGTCTAGTTTGTTTTTCCAATACTAAATATTTATCTATAGCTTGCTTATAATCAGTTAATTTTTCAATTAATGGGATATTTTCATCCAAAGTGGCGGAAAAATCTTTCTCGGCTTTCAATGGATCTTCTCTACCTGACATTACGCTCTTTCAATTAGTTTATTTGGAGTCTTTTACTGGATTAATGGATTACCTTTGAAGAAGCGTCTACTCTCAATTGCCACCAAAGAAGTGAATTGTCAGAGAAGAAAAAGCGGGTCGTGCAAATAAAACAAAAAACACACACACACAATATGTACGGGCGTTGTATTTTGATGTACGGAAGTTTTCTTTTGATTGCAAATCTATCAGACGTTTATTATATAAATACAGAGAAACGATTAGACTCTACAATTACGGAGTTCGAATAAAAGGATGTCGGAGGCACCGACTTTCTTCAAGTCATCCATGATGTCCCCGGCTTTTTTCTGTTCAATCATGGAGGAGATGGAAACCCATTCTTCTGCTTTTGGATCTTTTTGTTCTAAAGCAGAAATGGTTGCTGATCTTCTACCAGGAGTGATTTCCAAACAGGTTGGCAAGATTGATCTTGGAGCGTTATAAGTGCATAAGACGTATTTTTGGGCAGCCATAACCCCTTCGAATCTTTGGTGAATTTTATCAACTAATTCTGGGAATTTTGGTTTTTTAGAAGAAATAAGATGAGCAGAAGTATCTAAAAGGGTATCAATTGCTTCTAATCCAGCAGCTTTCATGGTTTCACCACTTTCAACCAAATCAACAATGGCATCAGCAACTCCTAAGGCACAAGAAGCTTCAACAGAACCACCAACGTATCTAATGCTGGTTTTTTCTGAAGATTTATTCTGAGCTGCTAAGTCATTGAAATAGTCAGTTGATAATTTAGTAAATGAACTAACAATTTTTTTACCAATTAATTGTTCGGGTTTTTTAATGTCACCAGCTGCTGGAACTTGAATTTGTAATTTACATTTACCAAAATTTAAATCCAATAAATCTTCAATGGAATCAAACATATCGGCTTCTTTGATTTGATCTAATCCAGTAATACCTAAATCACAATTACCATCACCAACAAAAATAGGAATATCTGCTGCTGGTAAAAAAATCAATGCAATAGGTAAGTTGGTCGATAATGCAATATCCAATCGGTTGGAACGTCTGAACTGAATATCACATCCGCTTAATAATTGGCAACATTTTTCGTATAAACGGCCCTCTAGTAAACTGTTAGTATCAAAAAGAACTTTGCAACATGTGCTGAAGAACACCCAAAGCGAACAAAAAAATCACGTAAAACTTTCACGTACTTTTAGGAACGGCAAACAACAAACGGTCTGGTAGGTGGTTCACTAAATCCATGGTATATATATATGTGTGTAATGATTGTAAAGTAAATGAAGTTCAAAACTATCGTTGCAATTTTTATTAGGACCGGAGTTTTTCAATCGACGAGTAGAAAAAATGAGTCAGCGCAGCTTCACACCCGTACCACGGGGGTTCATCTGTTCGATGACTTATATGGTGTATGGATGCAAAAAACCTGTGGATCTTCTACACTGGATGATTGTTGGGAGGATTAGAAATTAGATTTATATATACAAAAGGGGGATATAAATACATGAGATCGTTGATCGTGGGAAAGGGGGAACGGGGCCTAGGGTTTCCCGGTGTCTTCTTCGGTGGAAGGAGAGGTTTCTAGGTCGCCTGGAGCCAAATCGCTGTTGTCCGAATCATCATTATCGTCATCATCGAGGTCGTCATCATCGTCTTCTTCATATTCTGCGTCTGAATAACGAGCAAACCCAGTGGTACCAGTGGTGCCGTCCACAGTGGTGATCTCGGCCTGGTGCTTAGGGGAATTGAGGATTTTGGTGGTAACCATACCATTACCATGACCGTACCAGTAGTGATTAAAACTCCAATTAATAAGGATTTTAGCCATATCCCAGGGAGTGAATTCGGGCCATAGTTTGTCACTGAATACAATGGCACAATCGGGGGAGACTGCCTGCCATAACAAAAAGTCAGATAGTCTATAGGTACCAGAAGTTCTAACCAATAAATCAAGGGGAGGAGAATCTGAAGTGTATAGATGATTATCAATGGTTGTTTCATCGATTATATAGTCCTTATTTTTTAGGTAGTCTTCCACAGAAGATTTGACTGAATGGGTGATTTCGTCTCTTGCAGTATAAGGGAAACAAACATTTAGAACTGCTCTAGTATTGTTTTTAGTAATTTCTTCGGTTTCGAATAAAATTTTTTGAACGTCAGCTGGCAATAGTCTGGTATTCCCTAAGATTTTAATCTTGATACCATACTGCTCACATAGCTCTCCATGTTGACTGATCTGTCTAAATTTAGACTTGGCTAAATCCATTAACCATTTGACTTCATAACTGGATCTTTTGAAATTTTCAATTGAAAATGCATACACAGTAGCACTTTCAACTCCACTTTCATAAAGCAACTCTAAAATACTTGCCATACTTTCAAATCCTAAATTATGTCCTTCCTTCAATTCAATTTTATGATTCTTAGCATATCTTCGATTCCCATCCATAATTAACCCAACGTGCTTGGGTGTTGGTCCGGTCTTGATGATTTGTCCGAAAACCTTCTTCAACTGTGTTAGTAGTTTCCCGTACCCTGGGAATGTCGATATCCAATCATTCATTCTTTGCTCTTTCCTTGTTCTTCAATTGCTTCTTCAACAACTTCTTGTGCTTATTCAATGAGTTCTTATGCTTTTTCAATGCTTGGAAAACTCTCTAGCTTGCTTCTTATCGATCTGCTGATTGTACGAATCAGTTCTCTGGCTGATACCCTGGTTGGATTGAGGTGCGGTGTTCAAAAGAGAAAGTGAACAGCTCTTTCCAAAGGAAAAAATGAATGCTTATACGATTCTTTGACATGGGTCCTGCACACACTGCGATTAAAGTAATTTTTTTTTTTTTTTTCTCTTCATTCTTTGTACCGATGAGATTGAAAGATTATTAATGAAAAAAGAGAAGATACTTGTTTCTTTATAGTTGATAGCTACTTGATATATTGGAAGAGGATGTCACGTCAAGAAGAATACCCGGAACAACACGAATCTCAAGATGAGTTTTTGGACATAAACGAGGTTGGAGAAGAAGTGCCGGAAGATGATCCAAACGGACCAATACCAGAAGATGAAGACGATGAAGATAATGAAGCTGGAATGGATTTAGATGATGCTAATACTGAGACATTGGAAATTGACTTGTCCAATAACTCGTGGACTTACTTTGACCAACATCAAGACTCAGTTTTCACTATTTTCAAACACCCAACTTTACCAATGGTTGCCACTGGAGGTGGGGATAACACTGCATACTTATGGACTACTCATACCCAACCACCAAGATTTGTTGGTGAATTACAAGGCCACAAGGAATCAGTCATTGCTGGGGCCTTCACTTGTGATGGGAAGTACGTTATTAGTGCCGATATGAATGGATTTCTTCAAGTCCATAAAGCCTCCAAAGGTGGTCAAAAATGGACTAAGTTTGCAGACTTGGAAGAGGTCGAAGAAGTGTTGTGGATCACTGTTCACCCAACCCAGCCTTCCTACTTTGCCTTTGGTGGTAACGACGGTTCCGTATGGGTTTATCAAATTGATGAAGATTCAAAATCTTTGGTGCAAATAATGTCTGGGTTTTCTCATACTTTAGAATGTAACAGTGGTGTTTTCACCAACTTAGAAGATGATCAACAACTTACTTTAGTCACCATCTCCGAAGATGGTACTATTGTTAATTGGAATGCCTTCACTGGTGCCACTAACTACAAATTGCAACCTCACGATGATTTTAAAGGCATTGAAAGCCCTTGGGTCTCAGTTAAAGCTCATAAGAATTTGATTGCAGTTGGTGCTCGTGATGGTCAATTAGCAATCATCAATAACGATAGTGGTAGACTTGTTCACATGGTTAAAACCATTGAAAATGTTGAGGATATTGCTGATTTATCCATAGAAGCATTAAGTTGGTGTACTTCTCCCCAAATCAACTTGTTAGCAGTTGGTTTGGTCAGTGGTGACTTATTATTATTCGATACTTTACAATGGAGATTACGTAAATCAATCAAAGTCGACGATACCATCACTAAACTAGAATTCATCGACCAATCTCCATTCCTTATCGGTTCTAGTATGAATGGTCGTATCTACAAATGGGATACCAGAACCGGTGAAGAACTTTTCGCCGGTCATGGTCATAATATGGGTGTTCTTGATTTCACCACCTTTGATAATGGTAAAACTTTGGTCACTGCTGGTGATGAAGGGGTTGCTTTGGTTTTCCACCACGAATAATCGTCTCCTTTTTTGCATGCTTTCATTTGTATTTTACGCCTATTCATTTCACTCTCCCTCTCTCTGTATAATATAGATTTACTCTTTAATTAACATATAAGCTTTCCTTTTTAACTTTACGTCCCGAATCGCGTCTCGATCGAAGAACCCGTACACCAACAATAAAGGAAAATAATCATAAAAAACACACGCGTCGAGTATCTTTCAAAATCAATTATTATCACTTCTTATAACAGAGTCCCGTGGAACTACGAAGTGAAAGCAATGATGTCAGTTGAAGCTAGCAGTCCGTCCGAGCCTATATTGAAATCTTTCACTCTCGAAGATGAGCAGCTCGAGAATTCTGCTTCTGATGAAGTGAAAAAGGCGTTTAATAAACCATCTTCGGCTGATATGTTATTCTTTTATGAACGATTACTACCTTTCCGTCACATTTTTCAATGGTTGAACCATTCTCCAAAGCCTACGCAAGATTTCGTGAAAAGAGAATTTGCCTTTGAGTATTCTTCGGGTGCTTATCAACGTTATAACTCTTTCCCTACTCAGGTTGACTTCAAAAAAGCGGTGGTCACTGCTAATCCTACCCGTTTTGAAGTTGGTGCAGTTTATACTGTGAATCCCAAAGAAAGAAAAAACTTACCCAAATCTGCTATGAAGCCTTTGAGTAAAGAATTGGTGTTTGATATTGATTTAACTGATTACGATGAAATCAGAACATGTTGTTCAGGAACGGATATTTGTGTTAAATGTTGGAAATTCATTCAAGTAGCTTCCCAAATTATAGAGCTTGCATTAAGAGAAGATTTTGGTTTTAAACACTTAATTTGGGTTTTCTCCGGTAGAAGAGGGGCCCATTGTTGGGTTAGTGATTCTAGAGCTAGACAATTAGATGAAGTTGGCAGAAGATCGATAGTTGAATATCTTGATATTTTAGGTTCAAAACAAAATAAAATGGGTAAAAAATCATTTAATTTGAAAAAACCATTCCATCCTCATGTTGAAAGATCTTTTGGTGTAATGGCTAAACATTTTACTGAAATAGTTCTACAAGAGCAAGATCCTTGGTATACCCAACCTTCCGATGACAAAAAAGGTAAAAATTGGGAGCAGGTCGAAGAATTATTATCTTATTTACCAGATAAAACTTTACAACAAGAATTACGTCTTAAATGGCAAAATAGCTCTAAAATATCAACATCAAAGGATAAATGGGATGATATTAACGTTGTAGCTCAAAAGGTTTTAAAATCCCAGAATCAAGCTGCATACTTGAAAGAAGCAAAAAAAGACATTGTGGTTTATTATTTATACCCAAGGTTGGATATAGAAGTTTCTAAACAAGTGATTCACTTGTTGAAATCTCCATTCTGTGTTCACCCTGGTACCGGTAACGTTTGTGTTCCTTTTAATCCTAAAAAGAACTTATCAAGTAATACTGAGGATGATGAATATGGTTTCAATCCAACAAACTCGCCTAATTTGAGACAATTGCAAAACGAAATAGAAATATACGATACTAAACGGGTGAATCGTGAATCCAGCCAACCATTGGATGAGTCTGATTCCGAACTTGACAACAACAATCTCAGAATTGCCGATTATGAGAAAACCAGCTTAAAACCATACGTTGATTATTTCGGTAAATTTGTCCAGGAATTACTTAAAGACGAAATGTCAGAATCTAAAAGAAATAGAGAAGATGATCCATTAGACTTCTGACTTTCTTCCACATTTATTATCTTTTTCTTGTATACTAAGGCATTATTTATTTCTCGAATCTTTTCTACAATTAGTTATTTATATTTATCATTACTATCATAATGTAACGTATTAATTTTAAAATAAAATATGTATTATTACTCTTTTGATTTTTTTTTCTTTTTCTTTTTGAATTATATAAAAGAATGCAAAATAAATAATCACTTAAACACTTGATAAGTTAATAAAATACAGTTAGATTGATGCTTGTCTCTTCCTCAATGACGTTACTACGGAAGAAAATTATTATGCTATGTGAGTACATTCGTTTAATATTTTATGAAATGGGGCAACCTCCTGGGACTTTCAAATCATCTAAAGACCCGCTATTATTTTTGATAATGATAGTTTCCTCAGTGTTTGCTGCTGACGTTGAACTTAAAGTTTCATCGGTTTCACTACCATCCTCATTATGGTACCACTCTAAATATTCCAACAGAGAATTGTATTTCACAGTACCTGAAGTTAAGTAAATATCACCATAATTCAAGTATGGATAATGCCATTTTGGTAAATATATTATGGTGGGAGTGTCACGATCACTGTCTTCGTCATTAGAATTAGCAAATGAAACAGTTAATGCAAATTTGACTGATTTTATATCAAACTCAGAAACTCGGATTGAACCTCTTGTTGCCACGGCATAAGGCCTGATAACGGCACTGGCTGCTCTGACACCATCGGGAGAAGGATAGCATTTACGATTATGACCTAATCGAACATTTTCAGAAGTAGTTGAAATTATTCCAACAGACAGCGTAGATTGGGAATCGGTATTATCGTCCGATTCCCTTTCAGAACTTGAATTATTAGAAGCTTCACCATTCAGGGTTTCTGACCCATTGGGCTCGTTAATTGATTTATTTTCGATCATAGCAGCACTTCTTCTACGCTGATGCTTGGTACCAATTCTTTTCAAACGTCCACGACCATTACTGCTATACTTTCTTGTTTTAACTTTCAAAGTTTCTCCACCAGTTTTTATTGATAGAACAGCTTTGGATTTTAAACTAGACAGCCTGCTCATGGATGTTGAAGTAGAGCTCATATTGAAATTTTGATTAAAGATTTCAGGGGAAGGGTCATCATTTAATAATAAATTTCGATCTTCTGGGCTCCAGAATGAAAAATCTTCGTTGTTCCAACGATCACCAAATTTATGAGAATTGATTGAAGTGTAACACCAGTAAGTATGACTCATGTTTGAGCCTTCTAAAGCGTAACTTAAAGCATCAATTGCACCTGTTTGTGAGATATACTTGCAATCATCATAAGAACGCTTATCATCCATATCAAAAGGCATACCAGTTTCCGACATCAAAGTTGGAATTGACCCAAGATAATCTTCACACTCCTGTTTTATTTGTTGAAATTGTCTTTTCAAGCAGTTACGAATGGCACGTTCACCAAAGACAATTCCCAATACCGGATTGAAATAACAGCCTCTCATGATACCCATAGTGTCAACGTTATACTTAGTGTTCCAAGTCTTGAATAACAATGATACACCATCATAATAATGAGGGCAATAGATTGTTTTTGAATCAATTATATGACGAGTATCTTTTCTCAAATCCGGAGGAATTTCCAATACTGGAGGCTGAATCATGACGAAAATATTGGGAGTTATTTCACGAACCATTTTTTTAAATTTTATATAATAGTCAACGAAAAAATTATTGGTGAAGAATTCCATATTGATTTTTTTTGGTAAAATGTCTAAATTAAACTTTAGAGATGAACTAACTTGGTTGAAATAGTTTGGTAATTTTAATTCACAATTTTCGTTACCCCATTTCAATCTTTCTTGAGCGGACAAATTGGGTAACATTGACAAATCCAAGTTTTTATCCCATTTCCAAATTCTTCTTTGAGAGAAGATACAATTACCAATTTTCCAATTCGAACCCCTTTTCCATCCGTAATGGCAATCAATTTCTTGTGCTTCTTCCGGGGATAACCAAGCCCGAGCACCTTTAGGATCAACAATTTTAGTACCAGCTTTTTGAGGACCAGACATGGTAATTTTATAAACACTAATCTCGACTGCAAAACCCATACCCAACTTCATACACTGATAGACGGTAGGTGTTGTACCAATACGAAGCTGCTGATTGGTGGGGAGATATCCTAGATGTTCATGACCCACAAGTCCACAGTTGGGTTCATTCATTGATTCAAATCCCAATAAGCTGCCATTTTCAATCATGTGAGGTAAGCGTTCAGTAATTTTTGACCAAAAATAAGCTTGAGAATCAATATAGTGATCTTGTAAATAATGCTGAATGTTAACATTATTGATGGTTAGATCCGGAAAGTAAGTGGCACCAGCCCAAAATAAAGTGAACATGGTTAGAGACGCGAGTCTTTTATAATTAGAGGGCCAAATCATTTTAGGGAAAGGCTCGTATTCTGGATGAGCAGGATCCTGAAACCTTGGCTCGTTATGAAGAATACTAGCTTCAGTATGGGCAAAACGTTTTGGTTGTAGCCCAGCAGCGTATAAGGTCCATAACGGAGCACCACTACCCCCACTGAAACGAGACCAGACGTCCTGATGGGGGTCGATGAAAACATACAATCCCCCAATCTTATAAATGATATCCAAGATCTTAGCCGTGTAATCGATATAATCGTCGTCGTATTTCCCAGGACCCTCATGTTCTATGGCTTCCCAGGTGATTATATATCTGATGGTATTATAACCCCAAGATTTGATTCTACGGAAATGCAGTTCAGCCTCTTCCAAAGGATAAGGACGGCCAACAAACGAAACATGATCCCCGTCAAAAAATACATCATCCGGATTGGTTGAATCGGCCTTATACGTAGGCATGTCAGGACTCAGTGGTAATTTCAGACCAGCATCCATATTAATACCCTTCAAGGTGATTTTCCTACCCAGTTGAGGGTCAATTATATTCCCCTTACCATCGGTCTCCAAGGGAACACAATCGAGAATCGATTGTGTGCTATTGGTATCAGAAGTAGCCTCTATCTCCTCTAAAGGATCACCATATTTGCGTTTCAAAGGTTTAATACCAGAAAGTGAGACACTAGACACCGTGCTATATACACTTAGCCGGTCATTTATAACATCTCTGACGTACTTGGCTCCCCTCATAATGTGCTCTTCCAACAAGAAACTCAAGAAACCAAACCAGAGCCAACAATTAGACTTGATCAACTAAAAAAGACAAAGTAAAGGAAATTCCAAAGAAAAAAAAATTTCCAAAGAAAAAAAAAAGAGAAATGTCCCAAAAACACCAAAAAAATAAAACTAAAACTGAAACTGAGTATGTCAGTCCTTGCTATTGCAAAGCGAGAAAAGCGATAATATCCTACTTTTCCTCAAAGGTGATAGCGAGACAACGATAAGCAACAAAGTGAAATAACAGTGAAGAGCTGACTGAAGCCTTTTTTTTTTGTTTGTTTTAATTGTGTTACTTTTTTTTCTTTTTCCGCTCCGCTTAGTCTGCTCGCTTGGTAGAAGCAGCACTTTCTCACCCAATTTACTCAATAGATCGTTGTACCAGCCCCGGTTCTTGAGGAGAATCGCCAGGCCGAAGAGCTCTCCACAACAGAAAAAGCGGTGATTGCGAGCATGTTATTGTCTCTTTTTGACAGCGCTTTTGACACCCTGGGCCGAGCGACCCCCGAGCGACCGAGCCAGCCAGCCGACAAACAAACGAAGGTCGACCGAGAAGATCTGGGGGGAGGGTTCTGTTACCGAAAGAAAGCCAGGCCAGTGCGGATTTGGCAGCAATATTCACATTCACTTCTTGAGCCATCCCGAGATCAGCTTCATATGAAGTATCGAAGAGCAAGCATGCTCTTACAAATCTAATCTAACGGCAGGGAATATAAGATTGAATTATTTTTTGGGATGGGGGTTATCAACGGTTCCCCAAAGCTCTCTTCTTTGCACTCTGTTGAGCACTTAATCTCCAGGAGTCTTGGTTTTTGGCAAATTTGTCATATAATGGCACAATCTTATCCTTTCTTCTTCTTTGGTTAACCTCGTTGGCGTCGGCAATTTGGTAGAAGGCCGGTGCCAACTCAATTAGCCATTTTGGTTCGATTATGGTAACACAATGCATATACTCTTTGGTGGTTAATAATAAAGTATGATAAATGACGTAGTCGGGATTCTTGCCGTATAAGGATGACGAAGGATGGACCGATACATTGGTTTGTTCAACTAGAGTTTTATAGGTGGACTCTTGGGAATTTTTTTTGGCCGAGTGCTTGAAGAAACCAGCACATAAAGCTTTTCGAACTTTAGTTAAGTCAGATCCACAGCTGATTATTGGATGCCTATACTTTTTCATAATGGTTACTAATTGTTTTCTAACCTCTTGTGCTTTACGCATACTTCGTTCTTGGATAAAATTCTCAGAACACCATGTCTTACTGTATCCATTAAGAGTCCATGCTTTGTAAACATTGAATAAGGTAAGATGATCTCCGTGAATATGATGAAATCTGGCTTTACGTTGATCTGCTAAGGATTGTTTTTCTTTCGGCCGGTAAAACACGGTTTGAACTGATAACATGGCCACAATTGTTAATATTTCTTCCGAACATCCAAATTCTCCACTGATAATTAATGTTTTGGCTAATGTCGGTTCCATTGGGAAATCGGCCATTTTATTACCTAATAATGTTATATTCCCTTCATTGTCTAAAGCATTCAAGGTGTATAATTCTTGTAAAGCAATTATCATGGTATTTATCGGAGGTGGATCCATAAATTCAAAATTGAGTAAATCTTTTATACCCATTGCCTTTAACATTAATATCGTATGGGATAAATTTTGTCTTTGGATCTCCGGTATGGTATTTGGTAACATTTCGGTTTTGAATGCTTGTTCAGTATATAATCGATAACATTTCCCCGGACCCGTTCTACCGGCTCGTCCACTTCTTTGGTTGGCTTGTGCTTGGGATATTGGTGATACAATTAATGAGTCCATCCCTAGTTTGGAATCATAAGCATTTATCTTAACAAATCCTGGATCGACAACATAGTAAATTCCATCTATAGTAATCGACGTTTCGGCAATATTGGTGGCTAAAATTACTTTCCGTGAATTTGGAGGGGTTGGTTCAAATATTCTACTTTGAATTTCTGATGGTAATGACGAATAAACTGGTAATATAATTAATTCCGGTACAGTATCACCTAATGCTTTCATTCTTTCAAATAACGCATCACAACTGGTATCAATTTCTTCTTGACCGGTTAAAAATACCAAAATATCTCCTTCTGGCTCCAGAACATGGATTTGAATCACTGAGTCCAATGCTGAGGCCAAATAATCCATCTCTGGTTCTCTGGTATACATAACCTCAACTGGATAAGTTCTACCAGGAATTCTCATAACTGGACATTTGTTGAAATAATTAGAAAATTTATCTGCATCAAGTGTAGCTGATGTCACTATGATTTTTAAATTAGGGTTTTTGTTGGCGGCTTGCTTTAATAATGCAAATAAAACATCAGTAGCAATTGTCCTTTCATGAGCCTCATCCAACATTATAACTGAGTATTTACTCATATAAGGATCATTCAATGCTTCTTTTTCCAACATACCATCCGTCATATATCGAATTTTGGTTTTACTACTTGTATAATCTTCAAATCTGATAGTATAACCAACCTCATTCCCTAATTCGCAACCAACTTCTTCAGCGACCCTTTTAGCCACAGAAGCTGCTGCAACTCTTCTTGGTTGAGTACAACAAATCATCTTATGTCCTTCCTTTGTTTCGTTAAATCCCTCTTCCGACAAGTATTGCACAATTTGAGTAGTTTTACCAGAACCAGTTTCACCGACTATAACTAAAAATTGATTTCCTCTAATAGAATCGACCAATTCTTTTCTCATTGAAAATACGGGAAGAGACTCTCTTTGTTCTTTCATTGAAAGGTTTGTTCTTTTACCATATGAAATTTTTTTGTTCATTTGACTTTTTTTCCAATCATTAATAACGTTATTAGTTGTAGAATCATCTTTCGTGATTGCATTGGAATGCGTCAATGGGTCGTGAGCTTCTGCACTTTTGGCCTTAGCCAACTTTTCTTCTTTCTCTTTTTGTTTTTGTTGTTTTAATTTTTCTTCTTTGTAATTTTTTGCCAAATTTGAACCATTTAGAGCTGCTCTCCCCATTGAACCTTCAGGATTTTTGATGATTTTTACTGGTTTCAATTCGGCCATACTATCTGACTGTCCTTCGAGAAATTCTGGTTGTTTATTACTTAATTCGATCTCAATTTGCACTTCTTGATCATCGTCTTGCTTGTTTGTATGATCTTCAAATGCAGCATTTGGATCTTCCGTAATTCCTGAAAGTTCAGGATAATCCAGTGCATTTGCAACACCAGAGGCAATCAACTGGCGAATTTCCCAACGTTCTGGTGAAGTGAGTCGTCTCTTCGTACCTCTTTGCGACTCCAGAGAAACATCTCTTCTGGTTTGGCGGTCTTCAAAAAACTGAGTCTGCTCTTCTTGTTTTCGAATAGCCAATTCTTCTGATTTATCTAAGCCAGTCATTTGATCAATGCCCCTCATACTTAATGATATTTTTTGACGAGCTCTTCTTCCCGGTCTTGTAGCTAAACCTTCTTCTATTCGAGTAACTTTCACGAATACTTGTTGATCTTGCTTTAATGCATCCTCAACTTGTCGTATTCTGTGCTTCCCATCAAAGGATATCTGGGATATATGGCACAACCCGGACTGGAATGAAGAAGGATCGTTTAGACGTATAAATGCCCCATAAGCAGTAATATTAGTAACGTAGCCTTTATAGACGCCACCTTCTTCTATTAACGGAGCTCTTGGTGGGCCATTATTTGGTGCTCTATCATAATGTTCTTTCTTTATGGGGATGTTCAAGTCTAAATCTTCGTTCTTCACGACGGGTTCCTGTCTTTGGGTCAGCTCAGGTACTTTCAGTTCAGTTATTTCACGTTTTATAAACGGTATCTCTTCCTTTTTCACTTTGGTGATTGGAAAAGTATCTATTGTTTCGAATGACTCGGCAATAAAGCTTTCTGGGAAATCATCCCCTCCATTTTCAGCTAAAATCTTTTTAAATGCCTCCAATCTTTCGTTCTTATAACTTGAAGGTTTACCGTTAGCTTGTTGATAAAGACTATGCATGAACTTTGATACGGATTGGTCTTCGTCTTTAATACCAAGGTGCTTCAACACCAAGTCCGAGAGACGATCCAGGCAGGTTTTGTCGACTTGAGACATTAGGAAACTTGGATTTAAACCTGGTTGAAAATCCCATCAAGATGAGTTTATCTTTTTTTTTTTTTCTTTTTTAATGGTTTTTTTGCAAATACTTGATCGCGCATCTTACCCCATAACAGTGCTTAGATATGCTTGTAATAAAGAGCTCTACAAAAGAAAGTACGTTAATTATGTATTTTGTATTTCATTTAATCAGTTAATATTCTGCCACATCCCTAATACCGTCTTTGTCAACGACTTTTACGTAGACACCTTTAAAGTCAATTGGCATTCTAGTTTCTAATTCTTTTAAGGACAATTTCAATAATTCCAAACCTTCCTCGAGTTTCATATCGGGTCTATAGTGTCTATCCAATAATGAAGTACAGTAGAAGGCGGCGTACCCATGGGCAGCGTACGGTAATTCCACCTGAGTACCTAAGTAATCTATCCAGTTCAAACTTGGAGTATTAGTTTTTGGATCAAAACCTCCGAGTAAAACATTGACTTGGAAGGGTTTACGGGATCTGATTGAGGTGGCTAATTCATTTCTGACAAAAGATGCAGTTGCTTTTGGAGATAATTCTATATCGTTTTCTCTCATTGTATATAATTGAATATTAGCTTGGATATATTCTGCAAATTGAACGGTATCACCAGCTTCCCCGGTATAGGCAAGTAAGTTGTGAGTATTTAATGCACGAGTTTTATCATCGGTGGTCTTTAATACAGAAATACCTCTAGTGGCTGCTTTCGAAGTTGCAATGATGGTAGAATCTTGGACTCTAATACCTAACACGATATCCATGGTGATTGGTTATGGATGTATGTATATATTAAATTAATTGGTAGAGCAATCTGTATCCAACGTGAAAAAGGCTAGTAAAAACAGACTGGGTAATTGATTCGGTGAAGTAAATCCCTTCGCGTGGTATATAAGCTGATATATGGGAAACAATTGAAAGATCCAAGTTGATATTGGAAAGTATTTGCCATCCATTTTTGATAGACAAATTTCGGTTTTTTTTCTTTGGTGGAAGAAAAAAGTCGTGCAAAGGATTACATAAGGTGTACGGGTCCATGTTTGTTGAAATACATACAGTTAGTTAAGCTACTCAGTTTTGCAATCCAGCTAACTTCTTATCGATTATGGATTCGATTAACTTGGTCAAGGCACTGGATTCATTCTTGATCTGGCTGTTTAGGTTGATTTCGATTTGTTTTTCAATTAGTTTACCCGTTAAGTCCACTTCGATATTAACGGTATCACCCAAATTTTTCGAAGGTAAGATGACTTTACCTTGAGTGTAAGAAATCATCATGATTGAAAACTCAAAAGTATCGTAATTGACATCGGTGACGGTCAAGGAGGTACCGTCAATGGCAATAAACCCCTTTTCCACTATGTAGTTAATATTTTCCTTTTCAGCATCTCTTAATTGGAAAGTGAAGGTGATGGCATTGCCATCAGGAACTCGCTTCACAATTTTAGCAATGGTATCGACATGGCCTTGAACTACGTGACCACCCAATCTGACCTCACTGGTGACTGCTCTTTCCAAGTTAACTTTCGATCCTGTTTCCAAATCCCCCAAGTTAGAACGACGTAAGGTCTCTGGTGCAACACCAACCTTGAATTGAGTTTTAGCTTCGTTATATTCGGTGACCGTCAAACATACCCCATTAGTGGCTATAGAGTCTCCAAGATGAACGTCATCCAAGATTTCTGCACAATCACCAATGGTCATGGTAACACCATTACCACCGGAGGAAGTGGTATCGACTTGTTGGTACTCGAGAATGGTCCCGATAGTTTCAACCAAACCAGTGAACATTTTTAAATAGAAAGCTAAACTGACTTTTTTGACTTATGAATAAAGATAAACTGGAGTATCAAACTTTAGTTCCCTCCTTCAAATGGCTGTAAATTGTATAGTTGGTGCTTGATCCGATTACAAATATTTTGTGATCTCATTAATCATCCGTGTCGGAATCATTTATATGCGAACCACTAGCTTCTTCACAGAAGAACAACCACCGAGAAGCATCTTTGGAACCAAGTCTATGGTTCGCTTAATGAAACATTGCATATAATCCTATTAACTCTATAGAACTCGTACCTTGATCAATGAATTGTCTGAGAAGCCATCAACCATTCGGCCGTCCGAAATAGCTTCTTTTCTCTATTTTTACTGACAGGTCAGCCCAGGTTCATGCCTACCAGCCTACATCGCTACTTCTTGTAATTAGAACTCTGTAACGTATTGGAGAGTCGACTCTCTTGATCTAGTTATATTAGTTATTAACGTCCCGGTATACATGTTACCGAGACCTCGTAGTAAATTTGAGTATCGTGTGGTGCACGGGTGTATTCCTTCAAGCGAGAAAACGAGATTGGAAAATTTTTGAAGAAACCTTCAGTTGTTAATCACCCCAAAAGATTCAATCAAGACCCCAGATAAGATGCCATTCAGATTCCCAGTGAAGTTCGAGCTTCCCAAGCACTCTTATGTTAATGCTAGGGTGATCAGAGATCAGTTTAAAAGAACCCAGGTGGCGGAACATGAAGTTACTAGAACTGCATTAAGATATATTGCTAGAAATACTGAATTACCAGCCAGAGCTAGATTAGAAGCCCAATTACAATTAACTGCCATGCCCAAATACACTTCTCCTACTCAAATCAAGGACAGATGTGTTGCCAGTGGACATTCAAGATCAGTCATTCACGATTTCAAACTCAACAGAACTGCGTTCAGGGAAAGAGCCAGAGCAGGGCAAATTCCTGGGGTTAAAAAGGCTTCTTGGTAATTCAACTTGTTTAAATTTTTGTAAATAGCTGTATAATAATATTTATCATTAGTATGCCTTGATGTAGACGGTTAATTAGTAGGTAATTAGTAGGTAATTAGTAGGTAATTAGTTAGCATTCTTAACAAAACACCAGTACCGCAGTACTTTTTTTTTCAATGTTTTCTCTTCTTGTATCTTCGACTTTTTTTTCAAGTATATGTGATTCAGCATCCATCTCCAATCTACAGTCGATATTATGTTTCTATCAGTTAGGTCGGGGGCCTCTATGTCTACTGGAATAATAAGAAGAGCTTTGCTTCAACAACCGATCCATGCACGCAGATTAATATCCTTGAAACCAGACTTTTCAAAGTTGAAGAAAATTGAACAACCTCCCGGATTCATCGTTGATACCGTTAACGAGCCTTATAAACCTCCACAATCTGATCCTTACGAGGGTAGCTATCATTGGGCATACGAACGCATGGTTTCCACTGCGTTGGTTCCCTTGTTAATGGTTCCCTTCATCGGAGGAGTTAATCATCCTATTATTGACGCAACCTTCTGTGTGACTCTTTTAGTACACTGTCAGTCGGGGTTTAAAGCTTGTATCATTGATTATATCCCAAAAAGAGTTTATGGAATTTGGCATGGTGTGGCTTGTAAATTATTATCTTTAGGTACTTTTGTTGGTTTATACGGTATTTATCTTTTAGAAACAACCAGTAACGGTCTTTTCGATTTGATTGCAAGTCTTTGGGGTGCTTAATTCATCCTCTTTTCATTTCCTTTGTATATAGAATAATTCACAACTCTCCCGTCCTAAATTGTCCTCGTAGCTCATAGAAATGAATTGTTCTTCTGTAAAAGGGTCCCGTCAAGCTCTTTCGGGTCACAGATCATCATTTCCCTGCATTCGAGCCATACAAGTTGCCTCATTGCAATTGTTGCAGGTTCAATGCTTAACCTGGAAAACTTACGAAGCAACTTCTAACGAAAGAAAGGAGAACAACACCAAAAAAAAGAAAAAAGAGGATGCAGGCGAAGTTCTTATGTTGGAAACTACGATTTTATCGTGAAAATTTCCAAAACGAAAAAAAAACACTCATACTCACACAATCTCTAAACATTGTCGACATTTTGCATACTTGTAATCGTCGATATAAATAGCTTGTTTCCCTTTGTCTTTCGAGGATTTCTGAAGTTCAGAGATAATTTTGTTGCAACAAGGTTCATTTTGCTGCTTAAATATTTGACAGATAGCTGCGCGTTTTAAAACATCATACGTACATAACGACTAAGCAAGATCCAACAATCATGCAAAGAAGATGAGTGACATCGGCAGTCCTGAATACGATAGAAAAGACGAAATTTTCGCAAAAGACCACCGTTCCGATGGTGACGATGACGATAAACCATTATCACAATTGCTGGTTTCTTCCAGGATGCAAAATTTTGCAGATCAGTCATCATCGACCAAAACCGGGCCAATTGATCACCTTGGCCTTCAACAGTCACTAGAGATTGAGCCACAGGAACAAGTGGTCTATGAAGTTGTTGAGACCCCAATATTCAACGTCACCAGAGCCTTGTTTATTGGCAATTTGCGTCGTCCCTTGAATGCAATTGGTTTTCAAAATTATTTAAAGCAGTTGACGGCAGATTTTGCTATTGAGACTAATGTCTCTGGGATGGAATACGCTGTTGAACGAGCATGGTTGAATAGAACTAGAACCCATGGTATTGTATTGCTCAATTCAGAAAATGCTGCGGTTTTTATACGTGACCGTTTGAACGCAAGTACGTACCCATTTCCAGATGAAGATTTGAAGTTGAAAAGAGAATTTGAACAGAGAGAACACGATCGTTACTCCACTGAGTTGGCGGAATATGAAGATCTGCTAAAAAAATATCGAGAATCGCAGTCTGACTTGATTACTCATATCCAAGATCCTGAAGAAATTGACCTTGATGATGATTGTCGTGATCGTTCCCCCACTTTAATCGAACGTCCGTCGAAACAACCTGAGGAGCCTCGTGAATTCAAGGTTGAAAGATTGAAACTTTATGTGGATTACATTCCCGTGAAGGTGATCAATCAATGGATTTTTGAAGAAGATAAAGGACCCCGTAATGGGAAATGGAAGGTGGTTTATGAAAATATCGATAACAGCTTAATTGCTCAGCATAAATTATTGGAAGGTGATTTTATACCAAAGTACGATAACCGAAGAAATCACCCTAGAGTGAACCTGAGAAGAAATGGCTTAGCCAATAAAAAATCTAACTATGTATCGAATCCACGGAATCTGTATAAGTATGCTGCTCCACTGCATCTTCCTCCTCCTAAGAGCGGGAGAACATCAAGGCCAAATATTTCCCGCCCAGCAATGGGATACTATGCTGAACGAAGCAGTTATGTTCCACGTCAAGAATCTGGAAATAGAAGACCAAATACTGATTCCTATCTTCCAAGATACGAATCCCGCAGCCGGGACTATGAACGTGGTGGGTCAAGAACTAGAACTAGATCAAGGTCTCCTTGAATTTCTTCTCGGTTTCATTACGATTGACGATTACTTTTCATTTCTTCGCTTACATTAGGATTTTTTTTTAAATTCACAACGATTTATAATTATTAATTAAAGTTGTAGTTTTACAAGATTTTTAGTTCATGATGATCATTAAGAGGTGTTCTAATATACAAATGAAGTTGGGGTTTAGATTAGCCTTGCAGAGATTCATTCTTGGCCTTTGATTCGGGTGACTTTTCGACTAGTTCTAACGTAGTATCTGATTTATCACTGGAATTATCCGACGATATGGGGCTTGAATCATTTGGTTTTGATTTCTTATAACCATTTGAAGGACTAGTCGAAGTATCGTCATCTTCAAAAGAGTCGTCTCTTTTTCTCCTTGATGTTTCCTTACTTTCAGACTCCACCAGTATTGGCTCTAGTAATGACGTTTCATTTTGTTCATTTTCTTTATCATCGTTTTCTTTATCATTGTTTTCTTTATCATCGTTTTCTTTATCATCGTTTTCGTTAGTGCCATTTCCTTTATTTTCATGTTCTTTGCCGTTGGACTTGAACTCACCAAGCCAAGGAATCTTGATTAAAGAAATGGATTCAGGAAGCTTCTCAGTGCCATTTAAAACCAGGCTCGGATCTTTTTTCTTATTCGTTTCGAAAGTAGGTGGGGGAAAGTCTATTATACTTGACGAAACAACAAATAATTTGGTAAGAGAATTGAAATACTTGAATAACTGAACGTTATTATCCAATATATAGCCTTGTCCTTTGGGATCGATAAGTAATTCCGAGATCCTCTGAATGGTGAATGGAGGGCTCTCACCAAAGTCCCCTTGTAAGTTTCTGACAATTTTATCTTTTGATTTCATTATGGATTCTGGTAAATTGATTCCTTCTGGTCTTGGTGCATATTTCTCTCCATTTTGGCTAGCAGAACTCATCGACTCAATCCTCGCTATTATTCGTGGTAGTATATCTTGTCCCCATTCCAGGCTCGACCGTGGCACATACTGTTTGCTTTCAACGATCTTAGTCAAAAACTTTTCAAGATCAGGGTCTAATGGAGGTATCGCTATCATTTCTTTGTTAAACACACACACAGAATTGTTGATAGCCACTGACACAATCTATTAACAGTACCTGGGGTTGGTTTCCTCTCGTACAACTCTTGCAAAATCAACACTTCACTTGTTAGTCGATCGTGTGAATGTTACTCAATCGGTTAGACGTTTTGAAGTCTTTTCCAGCAAATCGCGATCTCAATCCAGTACTAACAGTTTTACATACAATGCTGCAAAATACATAACTGAGCCTACACCTTCTATAAACTACTACTACAAAAAGCCTATTGAATCATACACCTTCTATAAACTACTTTTACAAAAAGCCTATTGAATCATACGTTGTTTCCCTTGGGTCTACCCTAAACTAGTATCTGGCGACTGTCGAGGTCCAAAATCAGGTCAGATCAAGATGCGAAGACTTACGGCAACCGTATGCTTGCGTGTTTGGTCACAGGCCAGGACCCTTATCTGGCCACATCTCCCGTATTTCCTCTTGATCTTTCGAAGTCCTTCACCTTCATCCCTTGTAGTGTTTGTAAAATACCATTGCAACTGGTGTGTGCTGAATATTACGCGGAGTCCCTGGTTGGGTGTGCGTAATTAACAGCACTAAGTACACAAATAAAAGAAAAAAAGTGAAAAAAAAAATTAAGTTTTTGAAAAATTCCATCAAAGCTTTGGATATTTGATTCATCGAATACTAACAAGTTTAATAGGATAATGTCATTCTTAAGGGTTTCAAGGCAGTTGTACGCTCCTATAAGTAGGATATGCGCTCCAAGAGGCATAAATTACACCAAAACATTTGCATCAACATTCATTAGACAGAACTCAAGCACATCATCAACTGCACAGGCCAGTCAAGATATAAGTTTGGCAGCCCAAGTTTATCCTATAGACCAAGAAGCCATCACCGAAGAAGATGTCGACTCGTGGTTGCAAGCCGTTCATGAATTGAAAACCGGGAAGACCAATGCCGAAACCAAACAAGAGATTTACTTACAACAGTTGGTGAATCCCGAACCATTTTTAAAGGAAGAAACACAGTTTGTTCCAACCCAAGAGCAATTAGCCGAAGTTGCATCATTTGAATCGATCAAAGTTCCTTTACTAAGCGATCCGTTAGTTGACAATATGGTCAATTTGATCATGAGACACGGTAAGAAATCAAGTGCACGTAAAGTAGTAAATCGTGCTTTATATATTGTTTATTTAAAAACTAGAAAAGATCCTTTGGAAGTTTTATATGAAACCATTGATAAATTGGCTCCATTAACCGATACCAAGACTCAAAAAACTGGTACTGCCAAAAACAAAACTGTTCCATATCCTTTGACTACAAGACAAAGAAATAAATACGCCATCGTTTGGATATTGGAAGGGGCCAGAAATAAAAAATCCCCAACCCTTTCGGTTAGATTGGCTGAAGAAATTTTATCTGCTTATGATGGTAAATCAGCTGGTTATGCTAAGAAAGCTCAAATGCACAAACTTGCAGTTTCTCAAAGAGCCACCGTAAGAATCTAGTCTTGTATTTAACCTTGTATATAATATAATATTGATGTAATATCGACTTGATGTAGTACTTTGTGGTTAATCCGGTTTGATTTTTCGTCTTAATTTTGCAACTTTTAATCCACAAAAAATTAGACTAGGGGAATCCTTCGTTAATAGCTAGTTAAACCGTGGAGAATGCCAACTTTTCATGAACTATATAAGGATGTGCAGTATCGAATACGGTACTGGGAGATAAGCTATAGACAAAAATATTATAGCACTGATAAAAATCCCCGGGTTATTCAGACAAAATTACCAAATCAAAAATTGATTTCCTTAAGAATATTACCACATGATAAGTACCTCATCAAGCCGGGCGAATTCTTATCGGTGAGCTACGAACCAGATAAATCAAGTGCCATGGTGGTTGAAAAACATAACAAATCAAGATTTAACATCCAGCCAAAAGATTATGAAAATTATTTGGAATCAAGAAATGGTGAAAAATTATTTGGTGGATTTGATGATACCGTCATAGGATCGCCTATGAAGTCCCAGCCCTTGAGAAGAGTGAAAAGCGTTACGGATTTGGTTTCACTACGAGCCCAAGGAGAAGAAGAAGAAGAAGAAGAAGAAGAAGAAGAAGAAGAAGAAGAAGAAGAAGAAGAAGAAGATGCAACTGCTGAAGATAAAATCTTATCGGCTTCTTCTCTAAATACTTTTTCTTTATTAAGTCCATCTTTACTCCCCAAGATACCCTCTGGAAAAAGCATTAGACGATTCATCAAAAGCCCTTGGGCAAAGCTGACCCCACTGCCAGAGCCAAATGATCCTCCTGGGTCTCCCAGGAAATCAGACAAGATCCTGCCCCCATCCAGAGTTCATTCAATTGTGTCTAAACTAAGTGCTCCATCCTGTATTGAGCGTAAGACCTGTCCTTGCACCAAATGCTCCGCCAGAAGGCCCAGCTCCCCCGCTAATAACGAAAACGACCAGGACCCACTATTAGAGATCCAACCTTGGACCAAAATATACAATGATATCTCATTGACGGCTGCTAGAGTATCAACCGGTAGTTTACCCAGTTCTCGTCACGATTTTGATAATCTTTCTTCGGACTTTGTGAGGCCCAAACTCGTTAACAAAAACCTCGACAACATCCGCAAGTGCTCTGCAAAAAGCAACGAGTGCAGTTCTTTCCTAGACCTCTACTCTGATGACACCGATTTACTATCAATGTATAACTATTGAATAAAAATGGCTGCAACTTGAAACAAAAAAACACCCGTACCTGTAGAAACCTTCCGTACACCACGCACTACACCCATACACCAAACAATACCACTGCATTTGCAAAGAATAATTCCCCAAATTTTCATTGGCTGTTTTTCGGTGCGCACTATTAAAATTTTTCACACCTTTTTTTTTTTTTTACTTAGAGAACAGACAAAAAGACTATACCGAACCAAAAACAAGAGAAAAATCTAAAAAGATCAACTACTTTAGAAGATATTATATATATTCAAGGTTAAATCTAATTTGTTGTTCACCAGTGCCATACTAGATACGTGCTTGTTAGAAAATCACTTCATAGATAGTTTTAATATAGTAAGATGATGATTCGTGGATCTACCCTTCGTTCAAATTTGAAAACCTTGACTTCCCGTCGTTTTATAGCTACTGCCAATTCCCAAACAAAATACACTACTTTGGGTAATGGTGTTACTTTAGCCACTGAAACCAATCCAAATGCTAATTCATCAACATTGGGGGTTTATTTTGGTGCTGGTTCTAGAGCTGAACATCAATACAATAATGGTTTATCAGCTTTAACTGCCAATGTATTATCAAATGGTTTTAATAACGGTGTTCTTTTATCCACTGAAAATACTAGGGAATTGAATGGTTTAGTTGCCGAAACTACCAATGAAAATGTAATTGAAGCAGCTAAACTCTTATCAAAAATTGTTTCTAATACTAGTGAAATCTTAAGTAAAGCTGATCTTGAACAACATAAAAAACAATTAATTGCTCAAGGTGAAAAATTAGAATCAATCCCACAAAAAATGATCACTGAACATTTAAATGCATCTGCTTTCCAAGGTTATTCCTTGGGTTTACCAGTTTTAGGTAGTGCCGATTCAATTAAGAATTTAGAAGTTCAAGATTCCGAACGTTTATTAAATAAACATTTAGTTAGTTCTAATGTCGTTATTGCTGGTTCTGGTAACTTTTCCCATGAAAAATTAGTTGAAGCTCTTGAAGGTTCCTTAAAAGTTGAACAAGGTATAAAACCTGAAATTAAACCAGCTTCTTTCTTAGGTTCTGAAGTTAGAATGAGAGATGATACTTTACCAAAAGCTTATATTACTTTTGCTGCTCAAGGTGAAGGTTTAGCTTCTCCAGCTTACTATGTTTCTAAAGTTGCTGCTGCTTGTTTTGGTGATTTTGATCACCAAAAGGCAAATGCTAAATTTACTTCTGCTAAATTAGCTTCAATTGTTCAAGATTATCATATTGTTGATAAATATTCTCATTTCTCTACTTCTTATTCCGATACTGGTTTATGGGGTTTCAATGCTGAAATTTCAAACGTTGAATCTGTTGATGAATTTATTCATTTCACTTTGAAAGAATGGAATAGATTATCTATCTCTATTAGTGATGCTGAAGTTGCTCGTGCTAAAGCCAATGTTAAAACTGCTATATTAGCCGAATTAAACTCTTCTAAAGCTATCACTAGTGATATTGCTACTAAAGTCTTATTACAAGGTTACAGATCTTCTGTTAAAGAAATTTTGGAAAAAATTGATTCTATTCAAACCAAAGATGTTAAAGCTTGGGCTCAAGTTGCCTTATGGGATAAAGACATTGTTATCTCTGGTACTGGTCAAATCGAAGGTTTGTTAGATTACATGAGATGGAGAAACGAAATGGCCATGATGAGATGGTAATCGATAAACATAATTTAAAGAAAGTCATATATATATATAAATAAATCCCAAAAAATTTCATATAAGATTTGTTTTTGTAAGTTGTTACAATTACAAACAATTACATCCATATAAACTTAATTTATTCCAAACAATCAACTTTTACTTCAAGTGATTATTATATTTTACCTTACTTGGTTTTGTTGATTTTCATCTTGTTCATACTATTCATTATCTTTTTATTATTATTATTATTATTATCTTAACTTATTCCACCTTTTATTCTCTCATGTTCGTTTCTTAAAACCATTATATGTATTGAAGAGTTTCTTCTTTTCAGTATTACATAATACTTTGTTATACAAATAAAAATTATTAATATCTTTAGTCTTGGAGTAAATAAACAGAATATCTAAAAAAAAAAAGGAAAGAATAAAATAGACAATATCGTAGATTGAAATGTTATATGATACCACTTTTTTTCAAACTCAGTTGTACAACTAAATCAGTGACGGCAGATAACACGAACTTCATTGATTTTGTATCGGTTGCACAAGTACGGTGAACATATATTGGTTTATTTGAGCGGTTCAATTTCAAGAAATTAACCTCGAAGAACTTAATCGCTTCATCAACATCGGTTGGTTTCCCATTATAATCAGGGAAATAGTTTTTCAAAGGAGATTTATATAATTTGGCTTCGAAAATATCAATCTTGTTTAAAAATAAAATAAATGGAGTGTTTTTAAACCAACGAGAATTGCATAAAGAATCAAATAATATGATTGCCTCATGGATTCTATTAACTTTTTCATCCTCAAATAACGTTTGATCATATTCACTAATTGCCAACACGAATAAGACAGCGGTTATGTTTTCAAAACAATGGATCCATTTCTTTCTTTCAGATCTCTGGCCTCCAGCATCTAAAACTTTGAACTTAAATTTTTTTATATTGAAATCAGTTTCGGTGATACCAGTAGTTTTGATCCTACCTTTTAAAATATCCATATCTGAGCATAAATACAGAGGGTTACTAAATTTAAATATATTTTCAAAGTAGTATGTGGTGCTTGACTCTAACTGAAACTCGTTGGATCTCTTATAGCACATTTGAATACCCGAATCGTATTTCCATAACTGATCAATTGCTTCTGCAACCTCGAGTCTCGTAAATTGACTATCATTACTTGTTTTATTCAAATCTTCATATACTGTTGGATCGGGGTCCATCGAATTTTCTTCAGCCGGGATCTCATCCCATATATTTTGACTCGCAATCCCAGTACTATTTAATCGTCTTTTAGCTCGATTACTCTCTCCATATTTCATAACATAATCATTCAAAAAGCTTTCACCTCCAGCCGCTCCCGTGTCAATCTGGTCTAAAGCATTGATCTGAAGCACTATCTGCTTATACCTACTTAACGAACTATTAGGCTGGTCACATGTTAATGGAATTCCTAATCTTCTTGCATTAACAATCAAAGTCTTCATAGACTGAATCACGTCTGCCCATATAACCTGCGCATACTGAGCTCTCTCTTCTTGATTGAACCCACCCTTGTGTAATAGCCTTAGCTGCTTCAACACCGTCGATTTACCACTTTCACCAGCTCCTAAGAGCAAAAGCTTAAACTGAGTTTTATTATTAACTCGATTTAATTGCATACTTTGTTCGACCGCATCATTTAGCAACTTGTCCCTCAAAAAGGGATCTGTTTCCTCTTCATTTGCAGGCACACTAGCAGCACAACCCATCGTTTGTTTTCAACAAGCAAATAATGGTTTGTTCTTGATTTCATTTCAAGGAGGTTTTCAGTTAAAGGTCTTTTTAGATATTTAAATTCATTTTTTTTTTTGGTGCCAAAACGATTATGTGCACTCCAAAGTGGGAATTCTGATGCGGCTCAAGTTGGTTGACCTTCCTCTTTGGGCAATGTATGGGTGTATGGGTGTTTGAGTAGTTTGTCGATATACTTGTTTTATTGGAACCAATACTATTATAAGATGGGTGGTGGGCTGTAGTCACTAGGTTGGAGGTCGTAAGTTATTGATATACAATTGATAATGCTATAGATGAAAGAGTGTATATTGGGATTAGACTGTTAATACAAAACCAAAGTAATAGATGCAAATAACAAGCAAGCCTAGGAACAAGCAGTGTTTTACGAAACCAAATAAGTTCCATTTCTTCATGAAGTTCATAAGTTTTGTTCTGCATTTGGAAAGATAGACAGAAAAAGGAAGAGAGGAGGCGTTTTGGGTGGTGGAGGTGTACTTAGGGATTGTAATTAGTTTAGCTTTTGTAGTATCGTCATCTTGCTCTTTTAAGAAGTTTGAGATTTTGGTAGCATTAGAAGAAGAGTACTTATCATTTGATAAGATGGCTGTGGAATGGATAGACGTGGGTAGGATCGAATAATTGTATCTTGATGATCTTTGTTTCATATTCCACCAAAGAAGAAGTAAACCTGAGATGATTGAAAGTAAGATGTAATGGAATATATTTATGTATGGGGTTGGTAAGTAGCAAATGTCGGTATTATAATTGAAGGGAGTATCATCATTTGAGTTTTGAAAAGTTAATAATTGAACTGCGGGATACTTTATACCCATTGCAAGAGAAATTGATTTGACCGTGATTTCTCTTGCTGGTGATTCTGTTACGCCAGCTTCAGTATGAACAATATCACAGTAGTCATGGTCATCCCCGGAAAATATAAGGTCAGGTTTGATTGAATTCAATAATTCTATAGAAATATCTGGTTCTAAAGCCAGTTTGTATTGATAACCACCAGATAAGTGAAATTTAGAGCTTTCACGATATTTACCACAAGTTTGTTTAGCTGGATCTCTATTCAACGGAACATGAGTTAAAAGGATTCTTGGTTTTGATTTAACAATTGCTGGAGAAAAAGTTTGTTTGACAAAATTACGAGAATCAGAATTAATTGCATCATTTGACGAAGAATACGAAAGTGAATCGATTGAAATAAATTCAACATTATTTATAGTGTTAATTGTATTTGGATTACCGAAAATTTTTTGAAATCTTTCTCTTGAAGGAAGCTTAACTCCATTGGACCAGCCAATATCATGATTTCCTGGTAAATTTATAAATAAATTTTCATCTTTAACATATTTCTTTGAATCAATAGAATTAAGAAAGATTTTTTCGAAACGATTCCATTCTTTATTGAAATATTCATCACTTGATGATCTCCCATTATCTAAATAGTCACCCAAAAAAAAAATATAATCTGGATTCAAGTTTTTCACAATATTTTTATAATTTTTCTTCAAATATTGGTCAACAGTGTGTTTGGATAAATCGAGTAATAACGAGTTTCGTCCTGGATAAGTATGATTATCAATAAGTTGTGGATCAGCTATTAATAACACGTTAGTAGCCAGGTCTTGACTTCGGTGTTGATCCTGATCTTGATCACTAATGAAACCTTTTTGTCCTTCTGACAACTTGACTTGAGGCCATTTACAATACTTGGAAGCTCTTGATGGTGCTATTATCTCATGGTATATAAACGATATTATAAAAGCAAAAGTCAATAGCACTATCAAATGGTGAACCGTTCTAAACTTTGGTAATACCCTCATTTGTGATGTAAGTCGAAATCAAAAAAAAGGCGAAAACTCAAATTCCTTATTGATTTTTATACTTTATATATGTCAAATGACAATTGTTGGCTTAGGCTAGTCTTAACGATATTATAAATAGAACGATTTTAGAGTCATTTTCTAAAACTTCAAACACGCCTTATGAAATTTTTATTTGTTTTCTAAGGAAACTTCCAGACACCAAAAAACACCGTTCCGTTCAAATATTCCTATTTCATCCAGCTTTAAAGATGCTACACTACAGCACGCAGGAAGGCTCTTGTTGATTCGCCTTTCTTTGTTCTTGCTAAAGAAATAATTTTAAGTAAGGTGCTCTCACCGGAGTCTCGAGCTCATCGGTACTAAATGCTCATCGGAGGGAATTTTTTCACGGTCCCCATTTCAATTCTCTTCTTTTCCATGTAAGGAATCACCTTGTACTCCGTTTCTTGTAATAATGCAAAGCATGCTGTAAAGCGTATTTACCAGCAGCTCCGAATCCGGTTAATATAGAGTCTAAACCGGTGAAGCACTGTAAGAAGCTTTCCAGTTAAAGTAGTTGAATAAAAATAATGAAAAAATGGAAGCGAGACGCGTCCAAACCCAGCATGTCTGGCTTAATGAGATTCCCCTCGACTACAACTAAGCATCCTGCCGCAAACGTCTATTGTATCTGTCATGGGGTGACTATCTAATTGGGCTGGTTGTACGTTCAATGCTCGTTTAGACATTTGGAGTAAATTTCTCTTCTTTTTTTATCACTGTTTTTTTTTTGTTTTGTTAGCGATTTGTTTGTTTGTTTTCGAGTCTTCTCTTTATTAAATACGATAAACCCAAATCCCCTGACAACCACGAAGGTTTATAAGTGAAAGAGCTTCCTTATCTTGTTATTTGTTTAGAGCTATTTCTTCGATTTGCAAACGACATGACGGACAATTCCAATTTATACAGCATTCTCAGTACGGTAATAACTATACTAGTGATAAATTATATTTATAATCAGTATATTGAATCTACTAAAGACGTTAGTGATGTTTACTTGAGTCAGCAGTCTAGTATAGATGCAGTGAGGTTGCCAGAAGAATCTCCGATATATAAGTCGAACAAACTTGACTATTCTAATGGGTTGAGAATTGGATTAGATATCAGGTACGATCATTATAAGTTAAGAAATGGGAATTTATGTGATGTATGGGAAGTTTTAATCAACCAATTGAAGCAGAAGCCAGCTAATAAGATCCAGATTAATGACGAAAGTATGTTCGTTAGTCAAATTAATTATAGAGTTCACCAATTTTCCCATTATCTTGCAGCCAAGAAGATATCTCAGGTTTTCATTAACCAGAAACACTTTTTAACTTCTTTTGACAGTTTAATCGTGATGATTGCTTGTTTTCTAACCCAAGTAACGGTGAATGTATATGATGACTTCAAAAATGTTGTGGAGGAAGAAGGTATGGCGATTTTCAGTCCCGAAGAAGCAGAAACTAATAAGGTGGATCATTTAGTACTTGGAAGCGAAGAAATGAATCGAATTTTCAAGCCTTTTAATGAAGATGAATTGACCACATTCACTAATGAGTACCACTTCAGTAAGGATAAAGGAATTGCTCTTCGAATTACTAGAAAAACGAATCCAAAAATCATTACATCAGTTGATTTCACTCAGTCTAATATAATTAGTAGTGTTGCTTCTACTATTAAGCACTTGCCGATGAGTAAAGAGCTCAATAGCCAAGACAGAGTATTAGTTGTGCAACTGACGTCTAAAATTGTTAAAAATGAAGATATGTTGAATGATTTGGTTAAGTGTTTAGTGACATTCATATCCAACTCGGAATTGGTTATAACTAATAGCGATAAATTATCAATTGAAAAAGTCAATCAAATTCAACCAACGATACTTTCAATAAGTGAAGAGGATTTCATCAAGTTGGTACCAGTTGAATTGTTGAAATCAAATATTCATTGGTTTGACCAATTTTTTTATAAACAATCGATAAATTTTTTATCCAGAGGTAAATTTAGTTGTCATATGTTAAAACCATTTAAATTTTCATCTAGGTTGAGATTAATTTATTTGAAGAAGCCGATTGAATCTTTTCAAAAAATAAACACTTCTACTTTAAATGAGTATCGTACTTTATTACATTCTAGAATTATAATTGAAAATGGGTACTTCAATGTAATTGGCCCAATTATACAAAATGATTTTTATGATTATAGAATCTTACCTAATTTACAAAAATTCAAAAGTTTAGGGTGTATTCTGCAATCAAGTGAGATTAAGTTAACTAATTTCAATGATCAAACAAATTCCGGTGATATCTTAATAAGAGGTTATAATATTGGTAAGACCAAAACCATTAATCTCCATTCAAATCTAGAAGTTATTACGCCTGCTCAAGAATTAGCTAAAAAAACTAATGATGGGTTCATGCCTTTGAATTATATTAAAGGTAAATGGGGTAATGACGGGTGTTTATATATATATGATTAATAATAATATTATACTATTTACAACTAATATGTACTCTTTTCACGCTATAGTCATCAATAATATCATCAAATTTTCTCTTTTCTGATTGACTAACCAGGTTAGTTTGAATCTTTTTACCTAATTGATTTTGGTAATAAGTATTAAAATGGATTTTAACAACTTTTAAATTTGATTCATTGATGTTTATGAAAAATTTACACCATTTAATTAACTTTACATTGATTAACCAATCGTCAGATTCCCAAGTGATTTCATTCACTTGATTGATTTTATGTAATTTGATAAAATCATAACCTAAAATCATTAAGATATTACACCAATTTTCATATTGTAAACCATTAATATAAAGTTGATAATTTAACATTTTTAAACAATCAACTTCGATTTTCTTTAAAGTTTTCAAATTCAAATTCAGTTCGTCTTCTTTACAACCACAAATTTTCAACCAAGATTTGAAGGAATAGTTATGATCTTGATTAAATTTTGAACTAATTATAATAAGACCCAAGAACAATTTTTTGGGACAGTTAGGTAAATCTAACAGTTGATCATTCAAGTTTTGTTCTTTAATCAACTTATAAATATAATAACTGCAAATTTGTAATGATTGAATAGAAGTTTTAGAACGTCTTAAAATTTCAATTATGAAAAATTTCAAATTGATTTTTTCAAATTTAAGTTTGGGATACAAGATTTTCAATAAGTTAATGGTCGAATTAATCAATACGATATTAAATTGAGACTTAGTCAAGTGATCGTTATAATACTTGACGTTATTGGGAGACAAAGTAGCACAGGACATCTTGGATTAAAAATAAAAACGGGACAATATACGGACAACACAGACAACAAAGCAAACTACTAACCAGCAGCTTGAACTAAAACATAATGGACATAAAAAAAACTACCAGGGGAAACAAATAAAAGACAAATAAAATAAAATAGACAACCAGTTATCTAATATGAAATAAAACGGACACTAATACCAAAAAACAACCAAAAATAACAACCAAAGTAACAAAATATAATGCAAAGCTAATACAGAACAGCAGTAAAGACAACCAACTAGCGATGACTAAACCCTTAACAACTACCTTTGACACCAAAAGAATTTCGGCTCCTTATATATTTTTCCTCTCACTGTGGTGGAGTCATCTCCAGTATTTTGCAATGAGTAATCTTATCGGAAAAAAGCCCTTGCGTGAGAAAACGGTGTCCCGGACTTGTGAGTCAGGCGGTCACGTGAACGTCATGAGCTGGCTTCACGTGACTCTCGCCTTTATGAATCATCCGGTGTTGCGATATCGGCATCAATTACTGCAATTTTAGTAAGACTTTAGTTGATATCACGCCTTTATTTATGAATCATAGGTCTTGGGGTTATTAGATGATTATGGGGGCGATTAGATGATTACGATGTTATTTTATTGTGTTTATTTTGTTTGATTTTTTTCGGGTTTTCGGTGTTTTTGGAGTTATATAAATATATCAAATTAGCTAATTTCGGATGATACCACGGAAAATGCTTTCGATAATGTCTCTAACTTCTTTGTAGCTGACTATAATACAGGTTTTTTCATCTCTGCTGACCAAGAGGATTTTTTCTTCGATCCCAGCATCAAGTTTATTCAAGTTAATCAAAACTTTGGACAAATCAACAATTGATTTACCAAATTCATCGTACTGACAGAAAATGTAGTCTCTGAATAGCTTGATGATGTACTTGTTGCCGCTATCGCTGTACTCGAATTTCTTGGATTGTTCGGGTCTATCAATGATGAAGTTGATCTTGGTTAAAAGTCTGAATAATCTTGCATTTTCTAGTTCTCCACTAAATTGACTTTCGATGTAATCATTCAGGTCTTGCAAGTTATTAATAACTTCAAGCATTTTAGAATTCAAATACTTTTCACTGAATTTTCTCAAATCAAATTTTTCAGTTTGATAGTTAAGCATTTCTAAAACTTTTAAAAAATCTAGAGAATATGCATTGGAAATTTTTAAACTCGAAATAATATCATCAATTGGAGAATTCTTACTGAATGATTTTGCTGCGGTTACTAATTCAAGAATCAACTTACCGAATTTTTGTATATCGGCTCTTTGTAAGATTGAAATATGTTCACTTAAGCCAACTTGACTAATTTTAATTTCGTCTTCATCGTGATATAAAATGTCGTCAATTCCAACACTACTCAATCTGATTCTATTTTTATTAGTAACAATGATTTTACTTATATCCAAGCTTGATCTTGCAGCCAACCCTTTATCATGAATACTTATTAAAGCATTTGTAATTTGTATTATATAGTTCCATAAAATGTCTTCGGTAATCGGTTCTAATTTACTACCCAATTTTCTAGTTATATGTTGTTCGGCCAAAGTACTAGAATTAGGATAATAGTCGTAAGTTACCATTAGTTGAGCGCTCCCTTCTCCAAAAGCCATACTAGTGAAAGCTTCTTGAAGTTGTACTATATTGGAGTTTTTAATCGATTTCCATTTTTTAACCGTTTTGAATGGTGATTCATTAACTATTCGAATGAGGGAAGAATTGTCAATCTTTCTTAACGCATATGGATTCCCATCAATATTTGAAAACAGCTTGAAAATCAAATTGGCCACTCCCCAGACTTTCGAGCCTTTATCAAAAGTTGTATCAATTGGTACTAATGAATGGTATGCGTTGATATGGTCGGGTAAATTACTTCTGGGTAATGTTTGTAAAGTGGCTTCGTTTTTTCTCTGCAAATATTCTCTCAAGTCATTTGGTATAAACATAAGATTGACATTGGTTTCATGAGGTGGCAATGGAATAGATAATCTTGGTGGTGGTGCAGGAGCATATAAGTGGTAATTTAAGGGATAGTTTGAAGTTGGTCCTTGAAACATATAATCAGACGACCCGGGGGGTAATCCACTACCTGGTGGACCGCCAGTCAATGGTGAGTTCAAATAGGGATTGGTTTGCGGTGGTGGGGTTGGAGTGGCCACTAATTGGGGTGGGACTTGGCTTGATGGTGGAACCACTTGATTCTGCTGCTGTTGTTGTAAATGCTGGGCTTGTTGTTGTTGAGACTGTTGCTGAGGTTGTTGCTGTTGTTGTTGCAGCTGCTGTTGTAAATGTTGAAGCTGTTGCAATTGTTGAAGCTGCTGTTGCTGGAGATATTGCTGCTGCAGGATATTAGACGGCTGCTGTTGCTGCTGTTGCTGGGGTTGTTGTTGTGGGTTCACCGATACTTGTTGTTGGCTCAAGCCATTTCCTGGTGCATTAACTTGACCAGTCTTGGATTTGACTTGTTGAATACTTGCGTTTGGAACTAACGGCGATGGCTCATTGTACGGATTCGAAGGAGTGAACGACGCCGTTGCCACGTTGAATCGTTTCGTAGCACCACCATCCTTCTGTTCATTCAATGAGCTTGGTACAAACACCGGGATTTCTTTCAATTTAGGCGATAAGGTAGCAAACTTATTGGTAATACTCGAAACACTGGGGGAAGATGGTTGAAATGATGGGGTGTTCAAATTGAATTTGCGTCTGGAATCATTACTGGCTTGATTGCCTCCATTAATGGCATTATTGGGAGATGTAGGGGACTTACTTAACCCATCAGAACTAGCACTGTTATTATTTGCTGATGGTGACTGGGATGCTTTTGTATGATGACTAAATGCACATCCTTTATTCTCAAACTTACAATATCCATAAATCAAAATATTCTTACATAGAATATCTTTTGCAGAATCTGGATTTATATTCATTTCTTTAACTTAAAACAACGTACAATATCAAGATTATCAAAGGTCTATCCCAAAAGTCTATCCAATCAATTTATTCAATCAAATTTCTATCCAATCAAAGGTCTCTGCTTACGCCCACGCTTCTGTCTGGCTGTGAATCCCAACTCAATACCTTCAATTGATTATATCAGATCGTGTTTTGATTCCAGTAAAATGTCTCTGTCGCTTTTTTTTCCTTCTCCCAAACCTCCTCTGTGTCGTCCCCGTTTTGTCTCACCGTCACTTTGAGTACGTTTTATTTCTCTGGAGGTACCGTAGGCCCAGCAGTGACTGGTCAGGAAGCTTGGTGGCTGCTGACTGAGTAATGGGACTCGGACTTTAACCCTGGGAAGGTCATCTTGTAGAAGACATAAAACGGTTATACTGTGAAGAAACCTTATGTGCGTAAAACGCAACCCAAGTGCAAAAACTTTCCCTGGAAAATCGGATAATTACTAATAGGTTTCTTTGATCGACGGGTACTTTGAGCTAGACATCCGTTGTTATTATATAAAGAGTCGATATTGTCTGTTGGTAGGTTTTACGGTTTTTTTGGTTATTTTACAGTCAATTCCGTAATTATGTCTGGACATACTACTATTCTTACTGGTGCCTCAAGAGGTATTGGTGCTGCTATTGCTAAAATTTTCTTGAGCAAGTCCAACTCCAATAAGCTTGTTGGGGTTGCTAGATCTGCTAGTGAGCTTAACAAATTGGTTGAAGAGTATGGTGAAGATAGGGTTGGAGTAGTCATTGGGGATGTTTCCAAGAAAGAAACCAGTGTTCAAGCTGTTGAATTGGCCATTGAAAAATTTGGTTCAATTGATTCCATTATTTTGAATGCCGGGGTTTTGTCTCCAGTGGAACATATTGCTGATGCAAACGTTGAAAAATGGATTGAATTATACCAAATCAATTTCTTTTCCGTTGTGGAAATGATTAAACAAGCTTTACCTCATTTGAAAAAAACCAATGGTAACATTGTTGCCGTTTCTTCTGGCGCTTCTACTTCAGTCTATGATGCCTGGGGTGCTTACGGTACTTCTAAAGCTGCTCTTAATCATTTGATTAAATCGGTTGCTACCGAAGAAAAAGATATCAATGCCATCTCCATTGCTCCAGGGGTGGTGAATACCAGTATGCAAACCGATATCAGAGAAACTTTTGGTAAAAATATGGATGAAGATGGACTTAAAAAATTCATTGATTTACATAAAAATGATCAACTCTTACCTCCAGAAGTCCCTGCCACCATTTACGCAAACTTGGCCTACAAAGGTTGGAGCAAAGACATCAATGGCCAGTACCTCAGATACAACGATGAAGAATTGAAAGAGTACCTTGCTTAATAGTTTTGTAATGTAATAATACAATAAACGAAAAACCCTTTAGTGTAGTTTGGTTTTTTCGCTCACTGAAAAGATTCTCAAATTCAAATTTCATATCATTAACCAGTTTACTTCTTCATTAACCATGTTTGTTAGATCGTTAGGTCGTTTTGGTGCGACTCCAAGAGCTTTCATTAAGCCTCAATTGCTAAGAAGTGTTCCTATTGGCGTGCGTTTCAATTCGTCCCAATCGACACCACCCCCTCCTCCAAATGAAACTGATTTAAAAGCTAAGATCTTGATGATTTTTGGTGCTTTGGCCGTAGGTAGTTCGATTGGTGCTTGGTATTTCAAAGATAAAGAAGAACCCAAATCTGCATTTGAACCCAAAAGGAGTCCAGCCTTTGCCGATAATAAGATCTCAGTTATATTTGTATTAGGTGGACCGGGTGCCGGTAAAGGTACTCAATGTGCTAAATTAGTTAATGAACAAGGATTTGTTCATTTATCGGCTGGTGATTTATTACGTGCTGAACAACAAAGACCAGGTTCTAAATACGGAGAATTGATTGCTCTGTACATTAAAGAAGGTACCATTGTCCCTCAAGAAATCACCATTGCCTTATTAGAGCAAGCTATTAAAGATCAGTATTCTCAAGGTGCTGTTCGCTTCTTGGTTGATGGGTTCCCTAGAAAAATGGATCAGGCCCTTACTTTCGAGGAGCAAATCGCCAAATCCTCCTTCACGCTTTTCTTTGAGTGTCCTGAAAGTGTCATGTTGGAAAGATTATTACAAAGAGGTAAAACTAGTGGCAGAACTGACGATAATATCGAAAGTATTAAAAAGAGATTCAAAACTTTCATCGATACCTCAATGCCAGTGGTGGACCATTTTGAAAAACAGGGCAAGGTCGTCAAAGTTAGATGTGACCAACCTGTTGATGATGTTTACACCAAGGTTAAAGAAGCCTTGGTCTCTAAAGGTATCAATTAATTGATTAAGTATATTTTTGTATATGTCGGGCGTGTATATACCAACAGTTGTTGGAATAAAACAAGTTTATATCTTCTATTCGATTTGATGTAACAATATTCTTCAAAGAAGACTAATTGATAATGACTGACACTGGATTGCCACCTAACTGGACCATCCGAATCTCGCGTACCCACGCTAAAGAGTACTTCTACAACCAATCCACAAAAGATTCCTCGTGGGAACCACCATTTGGTACCGATGATGAAAAATTAAAAGCATACTTGATTAGATTTAAACAAAATAAAAATAAACCAGTAATCCCAGAAGATGGTAAGATTAGAGTGTCACATTTACTAATTAAAAGTAACCAATCAAGAAGACCCAAATCTTGGAAAAATCCTGACGGCATTACTACTACCCGTGATGAAGCAATTGCGATTTTGAAAAACTTACAAACTAAAATCTTAAACGGTGAAGCTAAACTTGGTGATTTAGCTAAAACTGAAAGTGACTGTTCTTCTCATTCTAATGCTGGTGATTTGGGTTTTTTCGCTAAAGGTCAAATGCAACCTCCTTTTGAAGAAGCTGCTTTCAATTTAAATGTAGGTGAAATTAGTGATATCGTTGAAACCGATAGTGGAGTTCATCTTATTCAAAGAACAGCATAATCTTTTATAACAAAAAACTTTCTTCTCCATTTGTATTCTTTAATATCAATAAGCTATTTTTGGTTCCCCATTCATTTTTCGTAAATTGATGTCAATCGGCCAATGCCATCCCATCAAACACGGCATCGGGACTCTGTTCATCCCGTATATCCAAAAGGATCTTTCGTGCTTTATTCAATTTGAGCGGAATAAACCATTTGAAAATTTTCACTCTACGCTTAATTCTTTATCTACGACCAGTAAGCCTCTCTCCCATGTTAAGCAACCTTTCATATGCTGGCCCCCGGAACTACTTGGTCTCGTGCCGGCGATTGCCCTTACTTCTTAGGTCTTCTTTATTGGCCCATGCTGACTTAACACCTGCAACTCCTACTTCTGCTTCACAAACCCGTACCTTTGGCGGCCACTTTAAATATTCAAATAGAAAAAGTTTGCCACTTCTAATAACCCGCCAACTCGACTATTATCCACGTCAATTGCCCTCTAACTTGGTCAATTGCAAAAGATATCACTGCCATCGTACCGCTTCAATCGCCAGTATGTGTCGTTCTTCCAACTCAGCCTCTGCTCAAGTGGTGTCTAGTGATCGGGAAGTTCTTCCAACCAATGTTACACCACTCCATTACCATTTAACTTTAGAGCCTTTATTTGACACGTTCAAGTTCAACGGGGATGTTTCTATTGACTTGCATGTTAATGAACGTACCAACTATGTTACCTTGAACAGTTTGGAAATTGAAGTTCACGAAGCTAAGATTAACGACCATTTGATCAAAGATATTAAATTTGATGAAGATAAACAAACCGTTACCTTCAATATCGATGATTACTTGGTTAAGGATGCTGAAGCAACTTTGAAAATCAAATTCACTGGGGAATTGAATGATAAAATGGCTGGGTTTTATAGATCTTCTTATAAAGAAAATGGTGAAACCAAATATTTGGCTACTACTCAGATGGAGCCAACTGATTGTCGTCGTGCTTTCCCTTGTTTCGATGAACCTGCTTTGAAAGCAAAATTCGATATTTCTTTAATCACCGAAAGAGATTTGGTTGCTTTATCTAATATGGATCATAAGGAAACTAGCCTTTTAGATAATGGTAAACAAAAAGTCATTTTCCATACTTCTCCTTTGATGTCTACTTATCTTGTTGCCTTCATTGTTGGGGATTTGAAATATGTTGAAAATAATGATTATCGTGTTCCAATTAAGGTTTATGCTACTCCAGGGTCTGAACATTTAGGTAAATATTCTGCTGATATTGCTGCTAAAACTTTGGCCTTCTTTGATAAAAAATTCGATATCCCCTATCCTTTACCTAAATTAGATATGGTTGCAATTCATGATTTCTCTGCTGGTGCTATGGAAAACTTCGGTTTAGTCACTTATAGGACTGTTGATTTGTTAATTGATCCTGAAAATACTAATATTAACACTAAACAAAGAGTTACTGAAGTGGTTATGCATGAATTGGCTCATCAATGGTTTGGTAATTTGGTAACTATGGATTTCTGGGATGGTTTATGGCTAAATGAAGGTTTTGCTACTTGGATGTCCTGGTATGCTTGTGATTCTTTATATCCAGATTGGAAAGTTTGGGAATCTTATGTTTATGATTCTTTACAACATGCTTTATCCTTGGATGCTTTAAGAGCTTCCCATCCAATTGAAGTTCCTGTTAAAAGAGCTGATGAAATTAATCAAATTTTCGATGCAATTTCTTACTCTAAAGGTTCTTCTTTATTAAAAATGATCTCAAGATGGTTAGGTGAAGATGTTTTCATTAAAGGTGTTTCAAATTATTTAAAAAAACACAAATGGGGTAACACTAAAACTTCCGATTTATGGGAAGCTTTAAGTGATGTTAGTGGAAAAGATGTTGTTCAAGTCATGGATATTTGGACTAAGAATGTAGGTTTCCCTATTGTTACTGTTAAAGAATCAGATAAAGGTGAAATAAACGTTACTCAAAATCGTTTCTTAGCAACCGCTGATGTTAAACCTGATGAAGATAAGGTCTTATATCCAGTTTTCTTAGGTTTAAAAACTTCCGAAGGTGTTGATGAATCATTGACTTTGAATGAAAGATCTAAAACCTTCACCTTATCTACTTCAGATGATTTCTTCAAAATTAATGCTGACCAAGCAGGTCTTTACCGTACTGCTTACTCTTCAGAACGTTGGTCCAAATTGGGTAAAGCTGGTGTTGAAGGAAAATTATCTGTTGAAGATAGAGTGGGTTTAGTTGCCGATGCTTCTTCTTTGGCTTCATCTGGTTTCGTTGAAACCACTGACTTATTAAATTTGGTTAAATCATGGTCTGGTGAAACCAATTACGTCGTTTGGGATGAAATCTTAGATAGAATTGGGTCTATAAAAGTAACTTTTATGTTTGAAGATCCTTCTATTAGAGAAGCTTTGAACAATTTCATAATTGATTTGATTAGCACAAAATTAGATACCATTGGATGGACATTCAGCCCTAACGATTCATTTGCTGGTCAACAGTTGAAAGCCTCTCTTTTCATGTCTGCTGTTGGTGCTGGTCATGAAGGGGCTGTTTCTCATGCTAAGTCTTCTTTCGAAAAATTCGTTGCCGGAGACAAAGCAGCAATCAACCCAAATATCAGATCTTCTGTCTTCAATGTAGTTGCTAGAAATGGTGATGAAAAAGTTTATGAACAATTATTAAATATTTACACTAATCCACAATCTACCGAAGAAAAACTTGCTGCCTTAAGATCATTAGGAAGATTCGAAAATCCTGAAATTTTGAATAAAGTTGCAGGCTTATTATTACAAACTGACATCATCAAAGCCCAAGATATCTATATTCCAATGCAAGGTATGAGAGCTCATAGACTTGGTATTGAAACTTTATGGAAATGGTTAACCGAAAATTGGGATGAAATTTATAAATTATTACCTCCAGGTTTGTCAATGTTAGGTTCCGTTGTCACAATCGCTACTTCTGGTTTCACCAAAGATGAACAAAAAGCCGAAGTTAAAGCATTCTTTGATAAGAAAAATACCAAAGGTTTCGATCAAGGTTTAGCTCAATCTCTAGATGTTATTACTGCTAAAGGTGCATGGGCTACCCGTGATCTTAAAGTCATTAATGAGTGGTTATCCGCTAACGGTTATACTAAATAACTAGCTGGGGACCGCTTAAATAAACTATAAGCCATATCCCATAACGAACCAATAGGTGTTCTAGCATCTATTTATTACGTAATAGTGTATATAAGTAAAGACCTATACTTTATATGATGCGTCAATTACTCTGTATAAGTAAGACAAATGGAAATCGCTGTTTGCTAGATTTACATCCATAAATGGGCTATTCAATGTAGTTCCATCTGGATTAACCTTAACATGAAAGTCAGGAACCTTTTCAACTCTTTTAAATCCACAATACTTGGTATAATATTCAACTAAACCGTGTTCCCTCACAACCTCGCTATGGATAATGAATTTATCTATTCCCTTATGGTTAATAATAGAGGAAGCTCTATTAGTCAAAAATTTGTCAATGATAATATCAAGAAATTTAGGTCCCAATCCATTGAGGAATGAAGTCACTGTAGTTAATTGATATTCTTTGGCCATTGGATCATCCTTATATTCACTCTCTCCGGTGAAACTTTTCAAACCTGCAGTGGCGAGAGTTCTATATAAGATATCATCATTAATTACCAAGTCTGGCTTGACAATTGAGACATCTATTTCCGTTTTATCATCAATTATAAATAAGTCTTCGAACTGCTTTGGAATATGGCAACTGTAACTTTCTTTTGCAGAAGCAGTTGGTTTATCGAAATCTCGTATTAACCCATGTTCATTCTTTAACTTATCAAACACAGGTTTTGGTCCGAGTAGCAAGAAGAAGACGTCTTGATCTGGTTCAAATCCAATGTCAGAAATGAACGAATTCGTGATCCTGTCGGTAATTATAATATTATACTTGAAAAAGTTTTTGCTGTAACCTTTATTTATGACTTTTATGAGCCCTTCATAACGTTTGCCGTTGTTATCGGGTCCAAACAACCAATCTTTTGTGAAAATCAAAAGTTCGAAAGACATTATTAAGTAGCAAGTACTAGAAGTAATTAACAAGTCAAAGAAAAAAAAAAAGGCGGAATTTTGAATGATCAAATTCCTCTCGAATTCGTATTACAGAAGTGAAAAGTTATACAACATATAATCTTATTGTATCAAGTTATTTACAAATTTTCAATGAAGATGAGGTCTACTTGATATACTGGACCAAATAACAGTAGTTGAATGCAAAAAATAAAACAGTAAAAGAAAGACGGGAAAAATGACCAAAAAAAAAAAAAAAAAAAAAAAACAGAAGGTGAATGAAAAAGCTGGCAATGTTATTACCGTAGCAAATAAATGACTTAAAACATGAAGGATGGAACTAAAAGACCTAATAAAACCAAGAAACGACGTTGAAAACAAAAAAAAACAAAGATCCCTGAAGAGTAAGTAAAGATCATTGATCATGGAATAGTTTCAGCGACTTTCATGAATCGTAACATCAACATGAATTGATCTTCTTCATAAGCAAAGGATTGTCTGAACTTAATGATATGTTTCCATCTTTTAGAATTCATACCTTTAGATTCTCTGATTAGACGATCCCATAAATGATAACCACCAATACTTGATCTAATTGAAGATTGGGGTAATTCAAGACTATACTTTTCGATGAATAAGGGACTAATTTTACCCATTCTTTGATGATATAAAGCCCAAATCAATATATGACCAAAATATGATAAGACTGAATAATCAAAATTATTTTGATGTATATCTTTATTTGAAGGAGTCAATTTTGTACGGGTTGTTTCTAAATTAATTTCATCATAACCGCCAAACCATTCAGGAATTTCTGGGTTGGATCTGATAGTTTTCCGGAAACCAATTGATTCATATAATGCAACGTTAATACATAACTTGAAGAAGACTGATTTTTTTTCCAAATCTTCAAATAAGTCACCGGTGTGTTTAATAACAAAATTCAAAGCGTTTTGAGCGAATTTTGAAACTTTTGAAGATGATACAATTGTTTTAATTTTAACATCATTTAATTCTAAATTTAAGATTTGTTGGTGAGAAAGACCAATGATAGTTTTTATTGATTGAATTTGAGGTAATGATTCCGAGGTGAATTTACCATTTGAATTTTGTTTCTTTGTTGGTCTTAATGTAATTTCAAAAGGATTTGCATTTTTATTTGGAGATTCGATTTCATTCGAAGCAATTAAATCTGCCACTGACTTTTTTCTACTATTTAATAAATCTTTTGGTGGAGTAATTAAAGAATCTCTTCTGAAAGTTTTAATTGTACCACCCCCGTGTTGTTGAATTAATTCAGATACTGATCTTTTTGAATTCAATAATCCATTTCTCGAAGGGCTTCCTTCGTGTTGTTTGATTAAATCACTTACTGATTTCTTTCTATTCAATAAATCTTTTGTTGGAGTAAAACTTGGAGTTGGAGGTAAAAATTCACTGACGGATCTTTTTCTTTCATCGGCAATCATTAAATCTAAGTCAAAGGAAGAATCTTCAATGGTTGTGTTTGTATCATCAAGATCAATTGAAGTGGCAGAATCAATTCTTCGAATTGGAGCACTTACTGCTCTTTTACCAATTTTTTTCGTAGTTGAAATACCAGAAGCCATCGAGTCGTCACTCATATAGCTGAGAGTATCGTCAAATTCACTATCTTCTGGTTCACCTAATGGTTTTCTAAAAGAAGAAGCATCACTAATTTCACCTTCAGAATCTTTATCTTGATTTTGTTCAAGCTTACGATAAGCAGCAGCCTTCTTTCTACGTTCTTTTCTTTTCAAATTTCTAATTGTTCTTCTTTGTTTTTCAGCAGCTTCTTGTTCAGGAGTCTTTTCTGTTTGACTTTTGGATCCATCAGTTGAGTCGGCCAGTTCAGTTTTTGGAAGATTTGGTAAACTTGCGTTACGACCTTCTGGCTTAAGACCATGGTAAGATTTTTTCTTGTTAAGTCTTGACCTATTTGGCGAATCATTACGTTGGTTATCATAGCTTGATTTCTTCTTTCTTAACTTGGGATTACTAAGTTTTTGTTCATTTACCTCTTGATGTTTGCTCTTTTCATCTCCAAGAACATCAGCTTGATCTCTCTTTGGCTCAGATTTCATCAAGAAGGTCAAATCTCTTTCGAATTGAGCATCATTAGCTTTTGCAGCATTAACTGACATTTTTATTAGGCAAAAAAAAAAAAAATTGAATACTTTTGTGCGATCAAAAGTCAATTAGGCAGTTTAATTAAACTTCGTGTTCGTGTTTTTGTGTGTGTGATTTTGTTGATTCTTAAGATGGACAGAAAAAACAGCTTTTTTTAGTTTCCCAGTAGACAGATTTTGGACGAGTTTTCAATAACGACGAAGCCAAAGTTGGTTATTGGAAATGGGATCAACCGGTAATCGAAGGAACGGTGAAGGAAGGACAAGGGAACGAACAAGGGAAAGCAAAATGTGATTTTCCAAAACAACCAAAACGTTCACGCCGGATGATGGTATTCTCTCTTCTAATACTTGTAGCAGCTAAAGATGAAGAAGTAGAATTGGCAAAAATGGAGCGGTGTAAGCAGTTGGCGGTGGAGTAAAACTCGAGATCAACACAGCGCAGAAATGGCAGGTTCTCGAAACTGAAAAAGAATGTAATTGCCCGGGGGAAAATTGGCCGGAAATGTCTTTGAGGAAGAATAGAATGAAAGGAAAAGAAGGGTTGAAAAGAAAGTGGTAGTAGGTTTGGTGATCTTGAGAAAGAATGGGTGGGAGGTTGTGTGTTGGTTGTTAGCCTTTTAATAGGATTAACGAGCGGTTACTACTTAAAAACAAACAATCGACACCACCACACAAAAACATCGCTTAAGTGGCGGTTGTATAAACACCAATGCAAGATTAAAGGAATAGATTAAAAAGAGATTAATACTACATCAAGGTATAAAAAAATGAATTTTATATTTATTTGAATATGTTTTTGAATCATTTATTATTTTTCATGATAAGATAAGATTTTAAAACATTTTTTTCAATCTTCAAAAATTGTTTAAATTTAGCATGTATAGAATCTAAAAATATAAAAGAAAAATAGAAAGTTAAAAGAAAATGTTAAAAATCTTTTTTTAATTTTAATTAATCAGATGGTCTCGTAATAAACTTTAGAAAGAAGCAGAGAAAGATTCAGTAGCTTTCTTTAATTTTTCTAATTCTTCTTTAGATAATTCACCTTTAGTTCTAATAGCATCTAAGATTTCTGGTTCATTAGATTTTAAGGAAGATAAGAAAGCTTCTTCGAAATCACCAACTTTTTCAACAGGAACGTTATCCAAGAAACCGTTAACACCGGCGTAAATGATTGGAACTTGTTCTTCAGCAGCTAAAGGAGAAGCTTGTTTTTGTTTCAAGATTTGGGTTAATCTTTCACCTCTAGATAAAGTTTGTTTAGTAGAAGCATCTAAATCAGAACCGAATTGAGCAAAAGCGGCAACTTCTCTGTATTGAGCCAAGAACAATTTCAAAGAACCAGCAACTTGTTTCATAGCTTTAACTTGAGCAGCAGAACCGACACGAGAAACGGATAAACCAACGTTAATAGCTGGTCTAATACCTTTATAGAATAATTCAGCTTCCAAGAAAATTTGACCATCAGTAATAGAAATAACATTGGTTGGGATATAAGCAGAAACATCACCACCTTGAGTTTCAATGATTGGTAAAGCAGTTAAAGAACCAGCACCGTTAGCTTCAGACATTTTAGCGGCTCTTTCTAATAAACGAGAATGTAAGTAGAAAACATCACCAGGGTAAGCTTCACGACCAGGAGGACGTCTTAATAATAAAGATAATTGACGGTAAGCAACAGCTTGTTTAGATAAATCATCATAGATGATTAAAGCATGACGACCATTATCTCTAAACCATTCACCAATAGCACAACCGGTGAAAGGAGCTAAATATTGTAATGGAGCAGCTTCAGAAGCAGTAGCGGCAACAACAATAGAATATTTCAAAGCATCATTTTGTTCCAAAGTTTGAACTAATTGAGCAACGGTGGATCTTTTTTGACCAACGGCAACGTAAACACAGTATAATTTTTTGGATTCATCAGAACCGTTATTCCATCTTTTTTGATTTAAAATGGTATCTAAAGCAACGGCAGTTTTACCGGTTTGACGATCACCAATAATCAATTCTCTTTGACCTCTACCAACTGGGACTAAAGCATCAACGGATTTCAAACCAGTTTGCATTGGTTCGTGAACAGATCTTCTTGGTAAAATACCTGGAGCTTTAACTTCAGCTTGAGAAGTAGAAGAGTTATTTAATGGTCCTTTACCGTCAATTGGGTTACCTAAACCATCAACAACACGACCCAATAATTCTGGACCAGTTGGAACTTCAACAATTTTACCAGATCTTTTAACGGCTTCACCTTCTTTGACTAAAGCATCGGAACCTAATAAGACAACACCAACTTGACCAGCTTCCAAGTTAAGGGTCATACCTCTAACACCCGAGGAGAATTCAACCAATTCACCGGCTTGGACATTGTTTAAACCGAAAACACGGGCAATACCATCACTAAATGATTTGTTAGTATAAAGACTTTTTTCACCATCTTTGTGTTGAATCAGAAAATATTCAATTTTCATTGGTTGAATGTCAAAGGTGCGCGGGAAAATCATTTTTCATTCGTTGAAAAAAAAAAATCCCAAGGCGGCACCCGTGCACCCGGCGACTATTATTCGACATCAACAATTTAATGAAATCAACACTTGCAATAGAAGGATACATACCCAATGGATAAAACCTTACCGGTTTCGTTTAAGTTGGCTTCACCAGAGACACCTCTGATTTTTTCTTCTAAGATAGAAGAAACTTCAGTTGGAGCAGCTTTGGCGGAAGCGAAACGAACAGCAGAAACAGCAGCTGGACGAGCCTAGAAAAGTTAGTATATTGAACAGATAGTCGATAAATGAATGATTGATTGAATGATAGGTGGATTATTAGTTATTCATATTGAATCAATTGAATAGCCGCCAATGAGTTCAATTGGCCAATTGCCTTCAAAACCTGTTAAATCAAGTATCAATTAGTATCAACTAGTATCAATTAGTACCATCAAGTACCATCAAGTACCAATTAACAATCAAGTACCAATTAACAATCAATTATCAATCAACAATCAACAATCAATCATTCAATCAATCCTTCCAATTAATAGATACATACAACACGCAAGGATCTAGAAGCGATAGCAGCAGAACGAGCAGCAGTACGTAAAACAGGACGAGCTGACAACATTATAGGATGATATGACAAGGGGATATAATGGTTGTTGTATATGGGGAAAGAAAGAAAAGGTAAGAGAAGAAAAAAAAGAGTGGGCCAGAATAAAATTTAAGTAGGAAAAAGTTGAAAATCGAAAAACTCTAGCTGTTTAACCGCTGAAAAACTTTTCTTACTGAGAATCCCCAATGTAATTGGAGCACAGTGCGCGCGACATTTGGCAGGGTCGCACTGTTGGTGAGGGCCCGCGCGCGACATTGTGCTGAGTTAGTTACGGTCGGTGCGCGGAAGGGCGCGATTTGATTGGCTGGCGGAAGGGGGTTGCGCTGCTGGCCATAGTGCGAGCGGTGCTAACCTTTTTCATTGGCCGCGACATTTTGCCCGATCCACTGGCGGTCATGTGACCCGCTTATGTAATCGGGTTTTGTTTGATATTTTCTCTTGAGTGAAAATTTGATGGAAAACATGTTGATTTAATGGTTGGATAGGTAGTTGGTTCTGTAATGTTACAAGTGGGTAGGAGAATGCATCGTTACGGTGTGCGTTATGCGTCTACTGGCGGTGAACCCAAGAGTCCGTTGTTTTTGACCAATTTACTTAATCGTATTGACGAGATTAATGCTACGTCCAAAAGAATAATGACTGAACAAAAGCCCAAAACTGAAAGGAAACAAGGTCAAAATGGTCCAAAAGGTCAAGCTCAAAGAGGTCAAGCTCAAAGAGGTCAAGCTCAAAGAGGTCAAGCTCAAAGAGAAGCTCAAAGAGGTCAAGCTCAAAGAGGTCAAGCTCAAAGAGAAGGTCAAAGAGAAGGTCAAAGAGGTCAAGGTCAAAGAAATGAAAAGGAGGAACCATTCCAGCTTAGACGGTTCAGTCCTAGGGTTAAGGTCAAGGACCACCCCTTAGCCATGAACACCTTCCAAGTCATGAGCGAACATAGTACTGAAAACAGAAGACCCCAAGTTAAGGCCAGACCTAGAAGTAATCCTCGAAACTTTTCGTTACAAAAAAGAAGTAAACCTAAACCAAGAACTAAACCGGTAGCTAAACAAAGTATTGGCTCCAAACAACTTATTTCCAAACCTTTGGAACCAAAAATCACCAGTGCCCATTTCATACAAGGACATCCAGCATCATTAATCACCAATAAACCAAGCACTGGGTTGGTTAGTGTGATTAAAGAAACTTTGATCAAATCAAACTATCCTTATAAATTACCAAAATCAATCATTGATGGTATCAATCCAAATTTCCAAGGAAACAAATATATCTTACAGAAAAACTGGCAGACCAAATTCATTAACCCCGATACTTTAAGTGAAAGATTGAATGAAGTAGTCAAGGGTAAATTCCAACAATTGAAAATCGATTCGCTGAAATACGATAAAGAAGGATTGAAAACCGCCCATTCCATTCAACACGAATTAATGAAAAATGGCTCAATGAGCTTATCCAGTAAACAATTGATTTTGAATGTGTCGTCGGGTATAATAAGTCCCCGTGAACTATTAGCAGATGCCCATTGGAATAGAAAATAATCTTGTATATATATAATAAATTATTTAATATATTATTTAAAATATTATTTAATAAATTATTTAAAATATTATTTAATAAATTCTTTAATGAATTCTTTAATAAATTATTTAATAAATTATTTAATAAATTTAATAAATCATCTTACTGATGATGAACCAGGTTTAGATAATTTACTTGGTTTTAATATGAGAGATCCATTTTGGTTCACTAATCCGGATAATTTACCTTATTATTTAAGTAAGTGACGATTGCTCGTCGGTTCGATTCGCAATTGCAACGCAATTGCGCAACTGTGGATTCTGATCTAAAACGGTTGTAAACTACATCGCGGAATTACAATACAATCACTATTATAAACTACTTTTATTAAATGACTAGACTATTAAAGAATTAAAAATACCCGTAAACCGTACAACTCGTAACACATTAAACCTGCCAATGATCAAATCTTGTTGAATAACGACCTGGCATTAGCATTCCCCTTGGTATAGTATGTATTATCAATCGATTCCTTATACGATAATAGAAATGGCAAAGTAGTTGAGATAGCCAAATAGCCTAATATAATCACGGACGACGTTCTGGTTGGTGCTTTCATATGGATACTGTACATTATAACTTGTAGTTGATCCTCTGCTAATGCCAATCGATATCTGGATTCATTTCACTATTTATAATATTTTGCATTATAGTGGTTCCACCTTTTTTTAAATCAGGCTATTGTTATTGTAAGGGATACTTAAAAGAAATTGCACAATTACAAATTGGGCAGTTAACGCCATAGCAGATTTGCAGGTTGGGTCCTTGCAGGTTACATCCCAACTGGTGGTTCTGGGAGTTCGTTCTGGTGTGCGGGTCTTTGCGTTTGGGTACGATCGTTTAGCTGATGGAATAGATAAACACGTCTTGCTACACGTCTGTCTGATTGGGAACGATTACAAACACCTACAGCTGGATAAAGAATAACATACATTAGTTTTGAGCTAGTCTTGTTGCACCTTGGCGTAACTGGGTGGTTTCAACTTTCTTCTGATTGCTAAAGTGACCCATACCGGGAATAAACTCAACACCAATATAACCAAGGTTTGCCAAATGTAACTGAATGACGTAACGTAGGTTAGATCAAAGTAGTCGCCCAAAAACGGGATCGAGACAACGTAGATCAAAAAAGTCACCAAGAGCGTGATGATCATGGTCTTGTTCCATTTGTTGATCGATAAGATCACCATGATTAATTCGTTATAAATCAAACATCCAAACAGTAGAGTAACCAATTTTAAAAAATTATCAACGTTCAAGGAATGGATTTTTTGCAGGATTAGTTGGATAACATTCCCCTGGTATAAGGAGATCAAGACCCACATGAAAAAACTCTTATAAGATAACGATTTCCCCAAAGTTAATTCTTTATATAGTTCGGGATATAGTTTGGTCAATCTTTCATCAATGTCACAGTCCAAGGTTAATGAAAAGACCGGGGCCATGGTGTACACCGTGGAATACCCCACCATCAACCATCCTTGGTATAATGCCAATGGCTCAAAGGATGACAGAATTGAATACACCGCTTGTGCTGCAGAAATTAATAATCCTCGATGAATAACAAACTGTCCTAATTTGGCACTTCTCTTATATGAATTTCTTCCATGCCATAATAATAATTTCAGCAAATAGCAAAATTGATTGATACTAAAATCGGCCGATAATGATGCTTGTTTTCCTTCTTTACCAACTATACCAACACCAACATCAGCACATTGAATCATACTCACATCGTTACCTCCGTCACCAATACAACATACTCGTTTACCAGTAATTTCTCGTATAATAATGGCAACATCGGCCTTTTGTTGAGGAGTACAACGACATGCAATCACCGCCGGTAATTTAATGGCTAATTCAAAAAATTCTTGCTTATAGTATTTCATATAAATTCCTAACGATTCTCCATCAATTAATAAACAAGTATTATTCAAATTATTATTTTTCAAAAATTCTAATTGATTAAGCGCATAATCGGGATGGTTAACCTTGATTATTTGATGCACATATTGTCCTCTGCTAATTAATCGAGCACTTATAGAAACACATTTCGCAGTTTCAACCTTATCTCCCGTTAACATCCATATCTTAATCCCAGCATTTCTTAATAATTCAATCGAGGTCTTAACATCTTTTTGTAACTTATCTTCAACCCCGGTTAATCCTAATAATTCGACCCCGGTTTCTAAATAGTGGCCAATTACTCTTTGCATCGAGGATTCTCTATTATACATGGTAATCGATGCTTCTTGGTAATTATTAACAAACTCTTGGTATAAATTAATATTTAATTTCTTCCTCCCAATAACTAATGTTCTTAATCCTTCTCGTGCCATATTACCAGTTTCTTCATCAAGCCAATCATTACTATTCACAATGGCTCCCATAACTGTATCTGCTCCCTTTTCCATAAACCAAATCTCATTTTCATTGAAATTTAAATCTTTCACGATGATCCCCATTCTTTTAGTATCACTATTGAATGGGAAATTATAACATATTTCATAGTTTAATTCTCTCCCGCTGTATAAATGTAATAAGGTTATTGAATGACGATCTCTTTTAAATAATTTTAATCCAACTAATTCAGTGAATTTAACAATAGCAATTTCATCGGGTGAAGCTGCTTGATATGTAACTAAGCCGTCTTCATCTTCTGTTGGAGTAACATTATGACATAATGCTAAAGTAAGTACTAAATCACAAACTTTAGAGCTTAAATCTTTTTTCTTAAAGCTAGTGGAATTATCAAGATTAAACATATTTTTGATATAATCACTGACCATATCAATTGTATCTCCGGCATAACTAACTGATCCTAAATGTAATTTTTTCATCTCCATATCATTTTGAGTTAAAGTTCCTGTTTTATCACTTAATAAATATTCAATTCTACCTAAATCTTCAGGTATAGTAGAGGTTCTGACTATTGTTTCTGGAATTTCAGTATCCTTATGAATATGAGATGCATAAACGGATTTAGCTAAATCTAAATTGACTCTTAAAGAAACTGGAATGATAGTGGAAAATAAAATTAAAAATCTCAAAATATCAATATACCATGTTGACTTTAATGGGAACCCATTAGCGAAAACCAATCCTACTGATAATAAAAATACCACAATACATAAGATCTTGGAAATTTTATTAATTTCGAGTTCAAGTAATCCAATTTTAACTCCTGATTTAGTAGTATTCAACAGTTGTCTAGTTTCAACCCCAGTATAAATTACGATACCAATTGCAGTTCCTGAAGCTAAAACAGTATTCGCCCATAAGGTTTGATCAACAGTTAAGGGAAATGTTTCATTTGATCCATTTTGTTGATGATAAATTAACTTACCACTAAAATTATGAATTGATTTTGTTGGAGTACCAATGATTAAAGATATGTTATGAATCATTTGGGTTATGCTGGTTATTGATTGAGTAACATTTTGTGCAATTCTTAATTTCCAATCAGTTTCACCATCTAATTGATCAGTTTTAATAAATGACTCCCCATTCACATCCGAAGATTGAATTAAAATCATATCGGCAGGAACTCTTGTACCTTTATGTAATCGAACAAGATCCCCAACTTTCAAATTTTGAGATGCAATAAGTTTTGAATCTTGTGATAACGATGCTGAACGGTTTAAAACCTCATATAACTCATTGTTTTGATCCTTATCACGACGACGTCTTGCTATGTCATCCCCAGCTTCTTTTAGCATGGTCACAGTCAATACAAAGGCCAAAGGCACAATATAGGAAGATAAATAACCTATTCTCAATTGAGGAATGATTTGAGATAATGCAACCAATAAGAAATATAAATTAAAAAAGAATTTGAATTGCTCATAAAGAATAATTGGAATGAAGGTAATTGGATTATATTTTGCATTTGATATAGCATTGGATGGATAAGTTTGTGAAGTATTTCTTGGTGATATATACCGCTCGTCTGATAACCTCGAATTAACACCATTTTCTTGATCGTTTTCATTCAAAGTTATCCTTAGTCTTTCCTGACTCAACTCTTGCTTTGCTAATTTGAATAGATTAATCGATTTCTTAATAAACCGCTTTGATCTCGAAGTTATTGATCTTGTAGCTATATTCAAAGACGAAGTCGACGACGAAATTGAACGATTATGATTTGAATATGGAATGCTGGTGCTTGAGCGCACATTACCGATCAATGGCGATGATCCGTCAAATGAGTCGTCGTTCCGACTATAATCCACATCGTCATTATATCCAGTCAAGTTGTTTAAAGGTATTCCTTGAGATATCGAACTCTGCGATGCATGCCGGGATCCTCGGTTACTGCCATTATGATTGAGGAGGTTATTGGAAGCACTATTCAATGCTTTATCAAGAGAGGTATCTAGATCATCGAACGAATTGTTATCGTCACTCCAATAAGATCCGCCATTGGAAGATGACATGATAATCTTTCAAAACTGATTTTGTCCACAGAAATGTCGAAAAAAAACGGGAGAAAAAAGCCTTGGCTGATCTATCTATCACTTGTACTACCTGTTCCAGTCCGTTGCTCTATAGTTCCAACGTATATATTGCAAAGAAGTATTTAAATCAATAGAAAAATCAATGACACCTATAAAAAAATCAAAAACAAGATTTAAATTTAGATTCTCTAGAATAAACCCCCGTACCTCTCGTGTTTTTCGCGAGAAAAAATGTCACAAGCAAGGAAAATTCCATGTGGCTGACATTCAATTCTCACTTATCAGTAAATGGAGAGACAATTCAAGGATAAAGCAGGAGATTATAGGATAAGAGTGCTGGCCAGAGCTTGAAAATATTGACAGTGCTGTTATTTGTGAGGTAGAGATATTCCAGAGCCCTTTAAATTTGAATCGAGTAGAGATTAACCTGTTGGTTTTCTTTCTTTTTTTATTTTTCAACCGTTGAACTTCGGACTCAATTGAAGGGAAGCCCTTAATTGAATTTTAGGAGTATGCTGTCAGAGGAAGAAAGCCAGGAGCTACTAGCCATTAGTACATCGAATGTACTGTTACTGTCTATCAGTGGAACGAATTCGTGGGAGAAGTTGAATGCAGTTGCATCAGAACAACAGAATAAGACCGATACGATTTTGAAAAAAGTCATCTTGTTTATAAAGACCCAATTTCTTCGACAACCAAATAGATTCGAGGAGTTTGTGTTAAGCTCCGAGTCCAACGATTGCTCTTTAGTGGCCAAATATGCAAAGGTTTCTCGTATCGATTTGAGCAAACAATCTGCGATATCGGTTGATTCAGTTCATTTACAAACATTACATATCCCCCATCCGTTAATAAACTTCATGAAGAACGAGGCGAATCAGCCGGATGTCGGATCCAACGAGTCGATATTATCAGAATTGACCGAGAGTCCGGTTCTTTTATTTGTCCACGGATTGGGGGGACAAATGTCTCAATTCGAACCTTTGATGGGGTTATTATCACAAAGCTCAGAGATATTCTCATTAGATTTGCCAGGGTTTGGTAATTCAAAAGTCGACTTTAAAAACGCTGGTAAATTTGTTACGCCGTTGAGTCAAAATGAACAACATGAAATAAGCAATAGCATCTCAAAACTTAGTTGGAATGATTTTGCAACGGAGAATATTGTCAATATAATCTATGAGTTTATACAACAAAATATTCCACCAGAGAAAAAGCTTATTTTGATAGGACATTCGATGGGTACCATTCTCCTGACAAAATTAGCGAAAAAATTACCCAAATCTAAAGTTGAAGGATTAATTTTATTGAGTCCACCACCATTAGTAGATGATATATCACAGCCAGAACAAAAACCTAAATCAAAACTGTTGGGGCTTCTTTCAATGTTGAAGTTTTTCAGTTTTTTCCCATTTATTTTCAACATGTTTAGAGTTTGGGACAGACTTCAAGCTCTTGAAAGTAAAAGTGTTTTGAGACAGTTAACTCCTAATTCCAACATTTATAATAGACTTCGCCAATTCCGTTGGAATATAGATATAAACTCTGAAATTGTTTTGAAATATGTAAATGGTTTCCAAAAGGCCACTTATTCTGATTTAATTAGTGCCATTTCCAAATTTAATGATAATCCACAAGATAAGACAACTTATGAGAAAACTTTGATTATCGGAGGTGCTAATGATTCCGTTACTCCGATTAAAACAATATCTGAAATTGGCGATTCCCTAACTAATTTTTTCCAAAGGAAAGTATCCGCCAGTATTAAAGTCAATAATGCCGGGCATTCATTACTATTGAATAAACCGGAATTCATAAGTGGTATTATTCTAAATCATTTGGAAGCCAATTTTCCTGAAAGACTCCATCTATCACCTGCATGGGTATTGAAAGTTAAAGCAAGCATCTCTGGTGATAAATGGGGGTTGAAAAACGAATTGAAATGGCTGCAATTAAAACCATTGTCCTTCAATATAACGAGAAACTATGGGAAAGATGTATCTCCCTTACTAGGGATGAAGACTTTAAGAGAAGGAGATTCTCATCATTCTCCAGTGGTGCTAGAAAACCAATTTTATGACGAAAATGTTATAAACACCATAAGAGGCAAATTGATTGCAATTGTTGATATCTCTGCAGACATTCCTCCTTACAGTCCCAAATCATTCACCAAAATTAAGTATTACAAGTGTGCAACTGTCTCCAAAGTGGTTCCAGACCAAGTTGCAGTTCGAAGATTTATACAATTAATCGATGACATACTAGGATCAAATACTGAGGAATTGCCCTTGATTGCAGTTCATTGTCATTACGGATTCAATAGAACCGGGTTCTTGATTTGTTGTTACCTTATAGAGAAATTGGGTTGGTCAGTGCAAGATGCTGTGGAAGGTTTTAAAAATGCCAAACCTCCCGGTATCAAACACCCCCATTTCATTGATGCCTTGTATGTCAGATACGATTCGTCCTAGAAGTTTGTATTTCCTTATATAATCCATATGTATTTTTAAAGAAGGGCCCCACCTGCCTACTTAACCGAATTGTTGTAGAGCTTCACTTCGTAGCCTAGGTAAACCACTCAAGTTGGTGTTGACAATCTACAACCTTTGGTCCCTTGTTTTTCAACAAACAAATCATTTCCTTCGCTCTGCCAACGCCAATGTCCACTACATGATTCGCTTATCCTTCCCCATTGCTCTCTGTCGTCCAATGGTGGATTACAAACTTCAAAGTAACTGCAAAGTAACTGCAAAATCGGATAAACGTGCACTTTGAGCTCAAAATTGATTTAAATTAAAGACAAAGAAAAAAAGAATGCCAGCCTCGCAAAAGAAGTATGCAACATTTACACAGGAAATTCTAATGAAACACTGATTGGTGATGAGATGGAGGTTTTCCTAATACATCTGCAATACATTACTACTTGATAGCTTGAAGATCATCCGAGTTGCTTGATTTGATTAGAACCTTATAGCAATAGCCAGACATTTATACTTGCTAACGAAGAGCGCAGTGACAGAAAAAACGCAAGGGTAGAAATCATTTAAATTAAACATATCTTGTTCTTGAAATCAAGCTGGCCACCTAAAGCTTCTGAAACTAAGAGGATATCATGAAGTTTGGTGAGTCATTAAGTGATGGGCTTGTTCCCGAATGGAAGGACCAATATCTTAATTATAAGCAAGGTAAAAAGCTTATTAAGAAGTTGACTCAATTGAAAAATGATATAGACATTGAGGATTCTCAGGAGAATCCAGATGATTTGATAGATTACTATGCCGGTGAGCAGTCCCAGGAGCTCCTGCAACTGAATGGGAAGCGACTTGCCAACGAAGGGACCCCTCTTTTAACACCGTCTGATGAGGACCCTCAAAAGGGTAAGGGTAGAAACGATGAGACATGGAGCCATATCAACTTGGCAGATTCTTCAAATAGTGATAGCAATGATCAAAATGTCTCATCTTCATCTCATAATAAACATATGGTACATCCAATAGAATCTGATTCTAACAGTGATCATGGGAATGATCAGGGTAACCAAAAACAAAATTCAACTCGAAGACAATCGATATTTAACTACTCTTTAAAATCTTCAAAAGATAAAAAGGAATCCTTCTACACGGAGAAGAAGAAATTTTTCAACTGGCTTGATTCTGAACTTGGTAAAGTTGATCATTTTTATAGAGAAAAGGAAAATGAAATTTATGAAAGGTTTCTTATCTTACAGGATCAGTTATATCAATTGAGGGATCATAAGGCTGCTGTAATGAGAGCTAAAGCTGCTCATTTCAGTACCAATAACCCATCACACTTTCATAATAACGATCCATATTACAAAGTAAATGACATTGCATATCATACTAGGTCAGTATTTGAAGAATTAAGAAAGTACGATTTACCCTCGTTACCATCAACAAAATTTTTGAAAAAATGGAAGAAAAATAATACAGCTTCAAAAGATACCGTTTTAACTAAGTATAAGAATGAAGATGATGAATTTGATCCAAATTTTACTGAAAATCAAATTAGAAATGGTGTTTTAGCTTCGGCAAGGGAGGATGACGAACTGCTTGATTCTGAGGTCGAAGACCAATCTTCCTCTGATAATATTCGTGTTTCTAACGCTCCTCAAACCCCAGCTTTACAAAGAAAAACTAGAAAACGTGATTATGAGAAGCAAAAATTTGGTGTTCCATATGCTTATGCAAGAAAACAGTTGAAAGGAGCAATAATCGAACACTACCGTTATCTTTCTTTGATAAAATCTTATAAAACCCTAAACAGAACTGCATTTAGAAAAATTACTAAAAAATTTGATAAAGCAATTGGATCGTCTATTTCTGGTGACTTTATGAAAAGAGTTGATAATGATTCTTTATTTCAAACAAGTGAGTTGATTGATAAATTGATCAGTTTTACCGAAGAATTATATATGTCCTTTTTCGATCCTGAAGCTGATTCTAGAAAACATGGATTGGATAAATTGAAAAGTTCAGCTTACGCTTATAACAATTCAGATATTAGACAGCCTTCTTATTATGCAAGCTTTTTCGTATCTGGTATTTCATTAGGTTTTGCAATCCCTCTAATTATTCTTGGACTATATCAAGCTGTTTCTAAAACATTGAATGGTCAATTACCCGAAGGTCAATACTTGTTACAGGTCTGGGGAGGTTTTTTTTTACTTAATCTTGATTTCATATTATTTGGTGTTAACTTATACGTTTTTGAAAAATTTAGAATTAATTATAAATTCATTTTCGAATTCAATACTAGCAATACCCTAGATTATAAGCAATTCTTCTTAATACCTTCAATTGCTTTTGCTCTATTGGGTTTGCTGTTTTGGTTTAGTTTTAATAACTTCTTTCCACATAGATTTCCAGGACGGGATTGGCCTTGGCTATACGTGGGCATTGTTTTAATTATCTTCTTATGGCCAGGTAAACAATTTTTCGGACCAAGCAGAAGATGGTTACAGATTGCTCTTTGGAGATTACTTTTGTCGGGGTTTTATCCTGTTGAATTCAGAGATTTCTTTTTAGGTGATGTGTTTTCATCGTTAACTTACACTATGGGTAATATTTCATTTTTCTTTTGTTTATATGCTCATCATTGGAATGGTATTCTTAATGGATCTAAAACAGAATTGGTTTGTGGATCTTCAAGATCAAGATTAATGGGATTCTTCAGTTCTTTACCAAGTATTTGGCGTATTTTGCAATGTGTTAGACGTTTTTCAGACACTGGTGATTGGTTTCCCCATCTTGCTAATTTACTAAAGTATGCTATAACTGCATTATACTATTGTTTATTAAGTGTTTGGCGAATTGAAAGAACTTCAAAACATCGTATTGTTTTCATTATTTTTGCAACTATCAACTCCTTATATACCGCTACTTGGGATATTGTCATGGATTGGTCGTTACTTCAACCTGGTTCTAAAAATTATTTATTAAGAGATAATTTATTTTTTAAGAGACCTTTCTTTTATTATGCCGCTATTGTTACTGATATTGTGCTTAGATTTCAATGGATTTTCTATGCTTTTTTCAGTGGTCAAATTCAACAGCTGGCTGTAACAAGTTTTTGTATTGCAGTTGCTGAGCTTTTCCGGAGATTTGTTTGGATCTTTTTCAGAATGGAAAATGAACATTGTACTAATGTGACCTTGTTCAGAGCTTCGAAGGATTCTCCGTTACCATATTCGATATCATCGAGTGTTGAAAGAGCTATTAAGAAATTGGTTAATTTGAAATATAAAGAAGCTAATCCAATAAGTGCTGGTAAGAATGATGAAGACCTTACTATTTCTCGCCCACCTACAGGTCAAATGAGTAGATATTCAAAAGCTTCTGGTGTTTCAGCTCATCCTTCCCACGTCACTTTTGGTGATGAAGAAGCTGACCTTGGATTATCTGAAATTACTCAAAATGCAGAACTGTCCAATCTTGAAAGAATTAATAATAAGTTACCAAGTGCCGTTCCTAAATTAACTCGTAGGAAATCTACTATAATGAATATTTCCGATGTTTTGAATAAAGCACATATTAAAGATTTCCAAAGGAAAAAGAAACCAGTCATCGAAGAAAATGATGATAGTGATGACGAAGACGAAGATGATGTCGACGAACACTCAAGACATGCCTCTATAAATACACCTGCTGGAGTTCCAGCCGGAACAAATTATTAATTTTGCATTCACATTTTTGTAAATATTTTGCATAAATTGTTTTATTATTTATTCGCTTTATATAAACATATCAATATATAAGAATATTTGAGAGATTAAAAAAAAGATGAATGTAACTCAAACAATTGGTTTTTTTGGAGCATAAGGTTCTTCTAAATATTTGATATCGTCTTCAGATAATTTGACATCAAAGGCACGAAGAGTATCATCTACTCTTTCTATTGAATTGATGCCCACAATGGGACAGTGACCCTTTGCTAAGACCCAAGCGGTTGCTATATTAGCCATACTAAAGCCTAATTTTTTAGAAATTTTTTCAACCCTATTGATAATTTCAATATCGGCGTCACTTAAAGAGTTCAAACCCATACGATAGATGGTTTTATCAGATTTGTCTCTATTATCTTGCAGTTTGCCTCCGATTGGTCTAGCCAAAAACCCTCTAGCAATTGGAGACCAAGGGATGGAAGTAACTTTACCTAAAGTCGAACTTTGCAAAAATGGGATTAATTCACGTTCGTCTTCACGATGAATTAAGTTATAGTAGTTTTGCATACTAATAAATTTGAACCAACCATTTTGTTCAGCAATGAATTGTAATTCCGCAAATTCAACTGCTTTCATACTTGAAGCACCCAAGTATCTAGTATAACCTTTATCAACAATATCATTCAATGCCTTCATGATTTCCTTTTTAGGAGTTTTATCCAAACGATGAATTTGTAAAACATCGATATAGGTACCCAATCTTTCCACTGATTTTTCAACAGCATCAAATATGTGTTTACGAGACAACCCTTTTGAATTGATATGTTCAAAAGGAGGGAAATCATTTTCTTGGAAACCGTCTCTAAAATCCAAAATTTCCGGTTCCACAGGAAAGAATAATTTAGATAAAATCACAATTCTATCTCTTGGGATGTTATATTTCTCAATGAACTTTGCTAAGAGTTTCTCTGAGACACCATTAGAGTATACGTCAGCAGTATCGAAAGTCCTTAATCCATTTTGATAACATTTATATAAAATTTCCATAACTTGGTCTTCTTCTTCAATACACCAATCAGCCCATTGTTTCAGACCGAAGGTCATACAACCAACAATTATCTTGGACACATTCAAACCGGAGTCACCTAACGTAGTGAATTGCATGGTATAAATCAATTGGATAATCTAATTAAAAAGAATAGTATTGGAAAAGAGCAATTCGATTATTAATAAGACTGAGAAAAAATTCCGCAAGGGAGTGAGTCAATGAGAAAAAATTACTGCAAAAAAAATTAAACCGCATTTATTAACTACTCAAATATACAGAAGAAACTAAAACTGGAGGTCATTTTGGAAGAACTCAAAGACTGCGTTTGACAACCGGGAGCCTGCTTCTTGCAACTCGAGATCATTTTCGGCGGCAGCAAAGCAAATTCTAAGAAAATTTGCATTTGAATGGCTAAAATCCAAATCAACAGCCATTTTAAAACCAAGAACAACGTTAACCCCATATTGTAAGAACTTGAAGTTTAAAAGTTTCAATTTCTCCACGTTATCGGTGCCTTGTGGGAAGTTCAATTTGATTCCGGCGAACATACCCGAGTCACAGTTAATGATGGATAAGTAGTTACTTTCATAAGCTTTTGAGGTGATTATACTATGAATCAAGACATTTCTTCTATGGATATAGGCCAATCTCATTTTCAAGATCCATTGCAAGTATCCGTCTACGCCACCGAACTTCTTGGTTACGATGTTGGTAAAGATCAATTGAGAAGTACCCGAAGGAGCTCTGGTGACTATATTTGAATAGCCTCTTATTGATTTAATAACGTTTGAATGGCCCACTATGAACCCCAATCTTAAACCAGGAGCGAAAACTTTTGATAATGTTTCTAATCTAAGGACTCTACCATGAGTATCTAATTTCAAATACGAGTGATTTAAATGATTTGCTAAGTACTCATCAACCGAGATGTCAAAGTCTTTAATATTCGCTAAGTCTGGTTTAGATACTGGAGGTAAAGTTAAATACCCATAAGGATCATCTTCAATAATGATAAAATCATGAATTTGAGCTAATTCATAAATTTTTTCCCTAGTTTGGTAAGAGTGGGTTAAACCGGTTGGGTTTTGACAAGTTGGAATTAAGTAAAGGGCTTTTGGTTTTTTCAAGTTTGGATTCAATTGATGCCAATTTTCTAATAAATCTTGCAAGTATTCAACGTTGAAATCACCTCCTTTATCAAAATTCAATTTGGTTGGCACTGGTATAGCCCCGACGTTTCTAATTGCATTAGTAAATGGAATGAAGGTGAATTCTTCTAACAAGATAACATCATTTGGGTCTAAAATTGCATCAGCTGCTTTATTTAATCCATCACCACTGCCATTAGTTGGAATTAAATCCCAATCATGATAATTTGGCTTATTAACTTTCTCAGTGAATTTGAGAAGAAAGTCTCTAAAAGCAGGTAATCCATTAACTTCACCGTACTGTAAAGCTTCATCAATACCAATTTCTTGAAGGCTTTCACCATTTCTTTGAATCGTGATTGAATTTCCTTCTAAAATATCATTTGGAAATAAAGTTTTTTGGAAAGGATAATTATCAACATCAACCGTGATCTTATCAATTGGGAAATACTGCTCATTTGGCTTACCAAAACTTAAGGATAAAGGTTTTGGATGGGGTTTAAAATCGGCTGGGGCTCCTTCTAAATCGGCCAAGCCGAAATGTCTGAATGTTCTGCTTTTAGACCTTTTGGAAATTAAATGGTCAATAGATGGACTTAATGCTTCGGTTGAAATGGGACTCATGGCTGCTTACTCCCGCTACATGCTTTAATCTACAAAACATAGTCTTTATATACGAACACGGAATTTAATTACAATGCCACATTGGATCCATCCTTATCTAATAGATTGAATTTTTTCGTAATGTGGATCTGGTGTCTGGGTGTTTTGCCATGTAACAATAACCAGATAATGAACAGGAAGGTATTGTCTAAGCCGGAACGATTAATCAGGAGCTCAGGCCTTTGTTTTTATATCGAGGTGTAGCCGTTATTGTCTGGGTGCCTTTCACGATAACTTCAAGAGTTCATTATTTCATTATTCATTAGATGGAAGTCGTTAGAACTCATTAGAGAGATATCCACGGACAAACACATTAGGTGAATATAAGTATTATGAGCCTATATTAGATATTGTTCATTAGATGAACAGATGGGTACCCATTAGATGAACAGATGGGCACTCATTAGATGAAGAGAAGTATTCACTAGATGAGCAGATATTAGTACTCACTTTTTATACGATGAGATTCATTTTTCATAAGATGCAGACAACACTGATAAGATGAATTTTAGTACTCATAGCTGGGATGTTAGTGGATGTATTAGTATTCATAGTATCATATGAATAGATAGATAGAAATGCTGCAAATGGCTATACCGAGGCTGGGGTGCTGATGTAAGCACACGACATTACCCTTTCCACAGCCAGCAGCCGGGCCAAAAATTGATCTTAAATTAAGATTTGTGTTTGAGGATCAAGAAGAGGGCTAGAATTAGGATTACTATGAGGGAGAGCACTAGAATGGGTAGTAGGAGTGTGTAGTTCTTCCTCCTGTTCTTGCGCTTAGCAGCAGTAGCAGCAGTAGCAGCAGCATCAGCAGTAGTAGTAGCAGACTCTGTCTTCGCAATATCAAATCTGACCGTGGGTTTGGTGGATTTACTCATTTTGGACGAAGCAGCTACTGAGCAGTGTCTGATAGTGACTCATGGCTGGGGGTCGATGGGTACTTATAGTGAAGAGGTACTTATAATGTACTGATGGTGTAGTTATGTATACCAAGAACGGGGTTACATGGTTAGGTGTACCGGTCTGCGTCAAAAGTATAACCATCCACTAAAAATAGTCCATCAAATTGGCTTGACAAAAACTGCTCACTTAAAAGTTTAATTAATTGGTTAGATGAATAACTAGATGAGGATATGCAAAAGCTTTCAATCCACGTCTTCTACCAACTACTTGAACTGTGCTTGATCTGTTACTTGTTAAACTGATCATCTTCGATAAACGTGGGGCCTGATTCTGTTAATAAAGGTAATGAGCTTGCTTTTAAACTTTGATTGAAAAATTAATACCTATGATATAAAAATGTATACTAATACTGAACTTATATGTTCAATAATATCCTTGATCAATGCTATAACGGCCATAGTGATCTATATCCATGATCATAAAGTTGGTACCGATGCCAATTCCGGAAGTCGCTATAAGTCAATCATGACCTGTTGCTTAATGTCGGTCATTTTTGGTGGTATATCTTTTAGTATAATGATTTATAATTTACATACTAGACACTAATATATATGTATTTACTGTGAAACTAATTTTTCTGTCTTTTAGAAGAAGATTCATCTAATCCTTCAACTACATGAGTAACTTCTGGAGTTTGACCCGGTAAGACCAAAGGAGCTGATAAATCAGCATGGAAATCTTTAATGATGGAATCAACATCATCAATGTTTAATTTTCTAACATCCCCTAATTTTTTAATCTTTTCAGTAACTTCCTTACATTGTTCATCGGTTAAATGTAAGTTTAATTGATCAACTCTGGATTTGATTGCATTCCAACCAGTTAATCTATTGGCAAAATGGATATATCTAGTTAAACCGAAATCTGCAGGACTCAAGATTTCATAAGTTGATGGATTTGCCAAAATTGCTTTTGCATGAATACCAGCTTTATGAGTAAAAGCACAAAATCCAGTAATTGGATTATTGAAGGGAATATTTACTTGAACTGCTTCAGCAACCAAATTTTCAATATCTCTTATTTTATGTAATTTATATTTTGATAAAACATAATCACGATCAGCAGCAATCATTCTTGCCATCAATCCTCCTAATGGAGTAATACCATTTCTTTCACCAATCCCCAACACTGAAACATCAATTAATCTTGCTCCTCCTTCTAAAGCAGTATAGGCATTGGCAATGGCACATCCAGTATCATTATGGAAATGACATTCAATATCACAATTAACAACACTTTTCAAAGTACGTACCAATTCATAAACTTGTCTTGGATTAGCACATCCAACAGTATCAGCAATACCTACTCTATTAACCCCAATCTTATCAACAGTTCTATATATATTCAATAAATCAACCAAATCACTTCTAAACGAATCTTCACTACTAAATCTAATTTCAATTCCCTTTGATTTAACGTATTCAATAACTTCCACTGCTGATTGAGCAATATAGTTCATATCTTTCCCGTGGCTGTACTGTCTTAAAAATTGAGAGGTTCCAATAACAACATCGACTCCATCGACTCCGGTTTCAACCGCAACCTTAGCATCATCCATATGACATCTAATATGAGTTAAGATTTTGGCTTTTAATCCTAATTTACAAATGGCTTCACAATCTCTTCTACTTTGTTCACTGGCAACTGGCGAAGTCAACTCAATATAATCAACTCCAAAATCATCTAAAGCCTTGGCTATCTCAATCTTGGTTTCTGTCGAAAAAAAGGCATTGGCAAATTGTTCTCCTTCTCTTAATGTTGATTCAATTAATTGAAAATTCGATACATTCGATAAGAAATCCGCTGGATTTGGTCCGTATGGGTTCTGTTGAATGATTTGCTGCGAAGTATGGGCTTCCTCACTGACTTTTTGAAATCCTTCTGGGGCTGACATGGCTTTTCCTAGTGTCTATCTAAAGATGTCTTCCTACTACTAAATGAAATGATGAGATAAAAGAAAATCATGGAAATAAAAATCGAAAAGGCCCATTGCCCTTTTTGGTTATGTGCAGGTGCAAATGTAATCGCTATTCTCACCATAAAAAAACAAAAAAAAAAATTACATAAGCGGGTTACGGGTCCTTTGGGTTGCAAAAATCATTTATTAATACAAAGACTACGTTGATATGTGGAGGAGGTTCATCGGACGATAAGGGTGGGAGATCCTGGCGGACGAAGAGGAGGAAGATGTGGTGAGTGAGGACAAAGAAGGAGACGCTATGGGGGTAGTAAAGTGTCTGGGTTTATGACGGTTGATGATTGACTCCGGGGACTGGGGTTCTCTTTTAGGCACTGGGGCCTGGTGTTTTTGGTCTTCTCTTCTTTCTTCTCTTCTCTTTTGTTTCAATCTCTGTTTCCTTTGTTTATTCTGTTCTTTGTGTAGTTGTGCTTGTTCTGCTTCTTGTTCTGCTTTACGGAATTGTTCTTGTTCACGTAATTCTGCTTCTTTTAATCTCTTTTCTTCAAGTCTCTGTTTTCTGGCTTCTTTTAATCTTCTCTTTTCCTGGCGTCTTCTTCTATGTTCTTTTTCCCGTTCAAGACGTTCTTTTTCCTGTTCAAGACGTTCTTTCTTCCGTTGTTTTTCAATCCGCTCCTGTTCGATCCGTTCTTGTTCGATCCGTTCCTGTTCAATCCGTTCCTGTTCAATCCGTTCCCTTTCAACTCTTTCAAGACGTTCTTTTTCAAGTCTTTTACGTTCTCTCCTACGTTCCCGTTCTTCTCGTTCTAGTTTCCTCCGTTCTTTTTCAACTCGTTCTCGTTCTCTTTCTAATCGTTCTTGTTTTAACTGTTCGCGTATGACTCTTTCTCGGTTTAAACGTTCTCGTTCAGCTCTTAATCTTTGATGAGCTTCACGGGCCCGTTGTCTTTCTGCTCTTATTCTTCTTTCTTCTCGTTCTAGTCTTGCAAATTGTTCTTGTCTTTGAAATTCAAGTTGTAATGCTCTTTGACGAGCTCTTTCCGAGTGTCGACGAGTACGACGAGGTTCAGATGTATCGGTAGGGGTGGTTAATCTTCGTTCGTTAGGTAAAGCAATTATACCCGATAATTGTTCAAGTAAATTTGGTTGTATTGAGCTTTCGTTAATATCAACTTGAGGAGCAGCGTTATGCTGATCTCTTAAGCTTAAATATAGAGCAAATAAATAATCGATATTATTAACGTTATTGCTTTCATTTGGTATTAATTCGGGAATCAAACCTTCATATTCTAAATCATCTATATGGCTTATTTCCCATAGATTTATTGAATCAGGAATCACACCATGATAAGTAAACTTCTCGATAAAACTTTGGAGTGTTTCATCGTCATTAATAATATGACGATTTATTCTCAACACCGGCTGAAATCTTTGATCAAAAGACATTACATCAAGATACTTATGTAGATTCACATTATAAGGAGGAATCTCTTCATTACTTAGTGGTTGAGAGTATTCATCTAACGGAGGTGCTTCCTCTTCGACCGTCTCTGTTTCGGGATTCTCCATAAGGGAATTATTAATAGGATTCTCCATAAGGGAATTATTAATGGGATTTTCCATAAGGGAATTATTAATGGGATTCTCTATAAGGGAATTAGTACTGGGATTATCTAATTCAGCCATGGGATTATATCTAATCCCATACCTTGCTAAGAGTGATTCGTTTGGTTGAGCCATACTTAGGGTCAAAGAAATGAAATATAGTTTTTCAAAAGCGAAAAATCTCCTTATATGGAAAACTAATAAGCAAGCTTATTCATCGTACTACATTTACCAATACGAAAGGTACAGTAAGCAATACTTGATCTGTATATATCAAGTCCTAGCAGCCTTCCTAATTGGTAAACCTAAATTTCCATAAAAGTATTCTCAGAGAAAAAGGCAAATAATACCAGCAGGGAAATGAAATTTCAATCCTTATTGCTTTATATATCCATCTACATTTACTAAGCCATATGAATATTTATTATATTTTAATACATCTTTACTAACCCGTTATTAAATATACTTTTCTTTACAGTAGTGAGTTTTTTGAATAAATTTTGCTATACATCATGGTGATTCGTGGTGTACGGGTGTGTGTTTTGGCAATATTTTAAATTTTTAAATTTTCACCAAATCATATTCTGGGGGAACCCTCTGGGGTCAATTATTTCTTTAAATTGTTGATTTCGTTTTCCAAATTGTTAATGGCTTCCTTTTGTTTGTCCAATTTTTCTCTCAAGTTTTTCAATTGTTCGGCTTCGTGTTTTTTAATGTAGTAGTTTTCTTGGGCCTTTTCACGGTCACCAAAAGCATCTTTTCCTGCCCCGGTAGCACCTTCGGAATTGTTGTCAGCCATCATTCTGGTGGAAGAGGCAAATGATCTGACCATTGGTCTGGCGGAAACAGCAGCACGTTTGGCAATAACTTGAGACATCATCTTGTAATTGAATTGATTGAAAGAAAAGTAGTTGGAAAGAGAAAAAACAGAAAACTTATGATCTTTTAATTTGCCCTTTTGCTGCTCGCAGTGTTTAATTGGCTGTATCTTGCTGGGTGTACGGGTGTGTGTGGGTGAATGTTACTGAGGGTACGGGTGTGTGTGGGTGAATGTTACTGAGGGTACGGGTGTGTATTAGGTACGGGTGCTTTATTTACAAGATTCTAACGGGTAAACCAATACTTTTATGAACAGATGATAACAAGCCAACACTTCTGGCTCTCTTAACGGCAATCCCCAACTTCTTTTGGTTTTGGGGAGAGCATCCGGTGACCGATCTGGGTAAAATTTGACCGGTGGTACTTAAAAACTTAGATAAAATATCGGGCATGGTGTATAAATCTCTAGGATCAATATTGGCCCTTTGAAATGGGTCCACCTTGTTTTTACGGTTATTCAATTGTGCACGGAACTCATTTTGGTCGATCTTCAATCTCTTATTATTAAAGTCAAAGGGATCGTATGTAGTCCCGCTCTTGAAATTCTTCGTGAACTGGGAATGGATGGTTAATGGTGGCTCGGCCCTGTCTTGCAACTCACGGGTCATGTCGAACAACCTTGTCGATATCTGGCCTTGGCTCTTTTCGCTCGAGTTGGTCCAGGTGCTTTCACTTTTCATCTCGCTGCTCGATGGTAATGGAGCTTCGTCCTTTTCGTTCTGCACGGCTCGGCTGCTGCTGAAAGCACGCATCCCAACTCGCATACGCACGTTGAGGCCTGCCCTTATCATCCTGGAGCTGATCATATTGTTTTGGGTGAGTTTCTGGTGGGTTTCCTGTTGTACTTGAAAGGACTTTATTCTTTCTTCGATTTTTCAGTTGATTTTTTTTTTTTTTTTTTTTTTTTTTGGTAGGAAAAATTACCGGGTCGTGCGCAGAGCACGAGTTTCTCCCTTCGGCACTACTTTTTTTTGCTGCTTCAACCCAATATGATATGCTGACTTTACCAAAGCTAAAGAATATACAACTAGATCAATACAGATTAGTAATAGGGTATATATTCTGTGGGAGTCAAGTACAAGTATCCTCGATCCCGTGCACTCAAACACTCAAGCCTTGGTTTTTTTTAATTTTAATTAAAAAAACTTTGCTCGCTGGACCCAATTTTTCCTTTTTCTTTTGATATCAAAGATCAACTACTAGTTATCCTTTTTCCTATTAGTTTAACCTATTCTATAGCAGGTTAGAGTATATAGTGTGGATATTTGCAGCATAGTTAGTCCACTGTTCCAAGAACCCTTGTTGTTGCGGTTATTTTTATGGTGATATCAAGGTATATTTCATTTCAATAACTAATCAGAAAGCTTGAATTGGCTTTATATTTATGCTTATTATTTAATCGGTTTACGAGTTTATGTATTAACGGTTTTTCATTGTTTTAATTTTTTCTTTCTTCTTTTCAACGAGTTTTATTGCATTATGGGTGAACGAGGTCCAGATCAATGGTTAGAGCAAATCAAAAAATGTATTGCTTTATCTGAATCAGATATGAAGCAATTATGTGAATTGGTTAAAGAATTATTGATGGAGGAGTCCAATATCCAGCCAGTTCAATCTCCAGTCACTGTTTGTGGTGATATTCATGGACAATTTCATGATTTATTAGAACTATTTCAAATTTCTGGTGGGTTGCCAACTGATGATAATAATACAAATTATATTTTTTTAGGAGATTATGTTGATCGTGGTTATTTTTCTTTAGAAACATTTACTTTATTAATGGTTTTAAAAGTTAAATATCCTCATCGAATCACTCTTGTTAGAGGTAATCATGAATCAAGACAAATTACTCAAGTTTATGGTTTTTATGAAGAATGTTTGACTAAATATGGTTCAACAACTGTTTGGAAATACTGCTGTCAAGTTTTTGATTTCTTAACCTTGGCTGCTATCATTGATGGTAAAATATTATGTGTTCATGGTGGATTATCTCCAGAAATTAGAATGTTGGATCAAATTAGAGTTCTTTCGAGAGCTCAAGAAGTTCCCCATGAAGGTGGGTTCTGTGATTTGGTTTGGAGTGATCCCGATAACGTTGATACTTGGGCGGTTAGTCCAAGAGGTGCGGGTTGGTTATTTGGTTCAAAAGTTAGTAGAGAATTTAATTATATCAATAATTTAGAATTAATTGCTAGAGCTCATCAATTAGTCATGGAAGGTTTCCGTTACCATTTCAAAGACCAAGACGTTGTAACCGTTTGGTCGGCTCCTAATTATTGTTATAGATGTGGTAACGTCGCTAGTGTCATGCAAGTTGGTGATGATTTAGAACCAAACTTTAAAATCTTTAGCGCTGTTCAAGATGGTGATTTATCGGTTAAAAATAATACTAATAAACAACAAAGAAGTGATTATTTCTTATAGTCACTTTTATGTTTAATGAGTCTTGTCCTTTAGTTTTTTTTTTTTTCTTTATTCAATTCATTATTGTAATTTAATACTCCTTTTTCAATTCCATTAAGTCACCGTCCCATTCAATAGACCTCCTCCTCTCCCATTTATGTATTTTAATCCTTCCCAGTCCATATTACTTAGAAGTTTCATGAGTTTATGTCGTTTGCTTTTACGTTTTTGAAAAGAATTTTATTAAAAAAAAAAAAAGATTTATATCACATAAAAAGCAAAAGAGAATTTCAAAATTGAAAATTTGCATCCCTTGACTTGATGGTTTGACACATTCATTTTTATCCTTCTTTTCTTATTTGTTTGATTTGTTCCTCTTTTCTCTCATATATAATTATTACTATTTCTTCTTTTCCTAATATCAATACTTATATAAAGATGTTTCAATATTCCCTGCCGTAGTCAAAATGTTAATCCTTTTCTAGGATCAACTGTTCTATCATCCATATCTAAAACATTTTGTGGATTGTCACAATCCAAATATTCAACTTTTGTTACACATTGATGATGGGGAATCGTTGTTAAATCGAAAAAAATTGGTCCAAACATATCAAAAGTCCCTTTCCCACTACCAGTTTCGCTCTTGATCCTCGACCATTCACTTCTTTCCAAGTCAGTCGACCCTCCGCCAATTACCACGTCTCTTTTTCTCGCCAGGGGGAAAAATCTATACTTAATCGAACTGAACACCTGAACCTTCCCTCCTGGCTTAGCTTTACACGAGATCCCTCCGGTGGAGCTATAACTTAATGCTACAGCATCCATTGAGCCGCTAAAAGAAGCTCCGATCGCTGCTACCATCATTGACAACTGAGGAGTAATGGAAATCGACAATTTTTGTTTCCAAGTATAAGATTGACTATAAGTCGCCCCTCCAGAGGAAAAAACAGAAGAAACACAGTGTGATACTGGGATACCTAAGACTTCCTTCGTTTCGCTATCGCCATATTGAACCTCAACCATTGCAATCTCCCTATACTTATCTTTCGAAGATGGTCTACGGAGTTTGGGTCTCTTTATCAATCCTTGCAACTCGAGCTCTTCAACTTGATTCGTATCAACCCATTCACTGCTCTTGAAGTAAAAGATTGAATCACTTTCTTTGATTTTGATGGCTGTACTTTTGGCAACAATAGGATCTTTTTGTTTTTGTAAATTCTTCCAAAACGGTGAGTTAGTCAATGATTCCATTGTTTCAAATTCTTTTAGAACTGGAGCCAATTCCACCTTTGCCTGCTTGATACCGTTATTCACTCTAGCAATAAACTGCCCATTGGGCAAGTCTGAAAGAGTGTACTCAATACCATCTTCAATCCGCTGCACAATAACTCCATCACTGTTGTTGAGTGGTAATGCTACTGCAAGGTAACCAAAAACAAGAACAAAAATGTAATTGGTAAACATGGGCGTAAGTTCTTAAAGACTTACCATTAGCAAAGATACTACAACTGTCTCTATATATTCATCAACACAATATGGTATTTCAGGTTTACTATAAAAAAGTTAATTTTTTCAAGTTTTGCAACCGAAATGCAAAAATTCGCAGTAATTTTTAATTTTTTTTTCTACAACATACTTAGAAAAGCTTTTTTTTACAAAAATGATATATTAATTCTATTTAACTTAAATATATATAATGTACATGCAACAGATTTTCTTTTGAATTGAAAAAAAAGTTAAGTAATAGTAAAAGTGAGAATCGAAAATATGACTATGCTAGGTGGACTGGTTAAAAATTCCGGGCTTAGTTCTTATTCTTTCTTCTTTTACGTTTGATACCAATAAGTTTCTTGACATCACTGGAAAGTCCTGACTTATCTTTGTTATCTTCAGATTTGTTTGAGCTTTCTTTCTTGTCACCTTTGTTCATATTACCTTTATTCATGTTACCTTTCTTTTGACCACCTTTTTTGGCCTTTTTATTCTTTCCACCTTTCTTACCATCTTTTGAATCATCATCATCGTCATCTCTCTTTCTTTTCTTGTCGTTAGGTTTATCTTTGGAATCAAGCAAGTGTCTGTTACGAGCTTGGAAAACCTTATCTCTTCTTCTCTTAACAACTTGGGCATTTTCAACAGCAAACTCAACAATAAGTTTTCTCTTGTTTAAACCTTCTAATTCGGCCAATTTTTTCTCTTCATCGGTTAAACCTTCTAAGATTTCAGGAATAGTAACTTCATGAGCATTCAACCATCTTAAACCCATTAAAGCGCATTTATGATCTCTAAATTCAACAAAACCATAACCTCTACTTCTTCCTGCTTCACCAGAACCTTTAACTTCAGTGATAACTTTAGCTTGTTTAACAACACCAGAATTCTTGGATTTTTTTGGACCATCTGTTTTAGTTTCAAATTCACCAGATTCGTGTTTGAATTTTATTGAACGATTGAGCTCTTCTTTAGATAATGGTTGTCTCAACTCTTCTTTGGCTTCAGTAGCAAATTGAACAACAGCTTTACGACCTAAAGCTTTTAAAGCTTTAGAGTTTAATGCTCTTGGAAGATTTCTAATTGCCAATCTTGTTAATGATAAATGCAATGCTGGATTTTTATTTAACTGTTGGACTCTTAATTTATAAGATTTTTCTCTTAATTCTAAATCAGATTTACTAATTTGCTGAGCTAATTTAGAATTTTCAGTAATTCTACCTTCATTCAATAAAAACAAATTACGCTTATCTTTTTCACCAGGGGCTTTCCCTAATACTTCTTTTCTTTTATCTGCATTTCTTTCTGATAATTTGAGAGCAGAGTCTCTATCAACAGCAGATGCTATAGATAAAATACGTCCTTGGTAAACGTAATCTGGAGAAACATCATCCGCAATTAACATAGAAGTGGATTCAACAGTGGGTGCTCCTGCCAAACACTTTTCATAAGCATCTGGTCTCTTGAAAGCAACAAACGCAGAACCTTTAGCTAAACCAGTTTCTTTATCAATGACAGGTAATGCATATTTAACTTGACCGAATTTTTCAAAATGTTCACGTAAAGATTCTTCATCGGCATCATATGGAATATTACGAACAAATATAGAGTATGCTTCTTGTCTGTTCTTCTTCGATTTTGGTTTTTCCTCTTCTTCTTCCTCATCCTCGTCTTCAACTTCGTCGTCAGAATTAACTTGATTTAAGTCATGGAAATCCTTCTCTTCATCTTCGTCAACTTCCTCTTCCTCTTCTTCTTCATCGTTTTCTTTAATTTCGCTATCTTCTTCGTCGTCTTCATCGTCCTCATCGTCCTCTTGCTCAACTTCTTTTTCTTTAACTTCTTCCCATTTTGATTTTTCAATAGCTAAATCAACGGCAACTTCTCTACCATCGATCTTCAAACCTGCAGATTCCTTGATAGCTCTATCTGCTGCAGCGTGTTTCTTCATTGTAACGAATGCAAACCCACACATTTGACCTCCCTTTTTCTTAGGTATATAAGCATCAAAAACTGCACCATATTTGGCAAACAATTTTTTCAAAGTTTCAGGGTTTTTACAAGACCATGGTAAGTTACGAATGATCAAACGAGCTCTTCTCTTTTCAGGAGCTGAAACTGGCAGTTTTTTGGTCTCTTCCTTTGCACTAGACTCTTTATCTTTACGATCTCTTCTTTTGGCAATATCAACTCTTAAAGAGCGTCCTTTGAATTTATTCTTTTTTGATTCTGCTAACGCAGTAACAGTATCATCATCCAAGGTAAAAGAAACGAAACCGAATCCTCTGGACTTACCCTCATTATCGTTAACAATAACAGCATGCTTAACTGGAACAAACTGAGAAAAATACTCCGAAAGCTCTTCGGAAGTAGCTTCAAATGGAATAGAACGAACAAATAAAGTCTTTCTGTCCAAGGAATCATCTATTGGTGCCCCAGTCTGCGATGGCGATGTACCATTTTCACTGGCACTGGCAGCTTGTGCGGTTTCCACTGTAGACATCTCTGAGCCTGGTTCTTGTAGAATACCTTAGTATAGTTGTAGTTATACCTTTTTCACTTCGATTGAAAAATCGATGCCATCACAAAAAAATGAAAAAAAAAAAAAAAATTACGCAGAAGATCATCTCGTTATGGGGGAGCACTCGGTGGTTGCACGCCCACAACATCAAGTATAAACAAGATCAAAAGTTGATTATCAAAACAACTACTTCTGGCCAAAGACAGCACCAATTGAAGGATATGTCAAGCAAGAGGAGAACAGTGAGGGCCAGTGGGAAAAACGTTCTCCCGAACACGTATATTCCTGTTCTTTCCAAGAAGGTTTTGACTAATTTCTTATCGCGTCTTCCTAAACTGTCATTGATCGAGTTGGTAAACCTATGGCCAAAACTAGCTAATACACAACCTCACTTGGATAAAGAGAATCATAGAGGTAACCAGAAGGAATACAATGCGCTAGTGAGCAAGGCGTCGCAGCAAATGAAGGTTTCTCAGAGTAGATGGCCCAAGAGAAGAATTATTGATGAAATTCTCTTTGAATACTGGAATAAAGGCTTAAACTTGCTACAGATGTCCCAGGTTGATTGTCAGCTTATTGTGGATCGTCCAAATGCGTTCCATTGGATTCTGTCTACGGTTAGAGACGGAAATGATAAAGAGGTGTCTATTCTGCTCAACCCTAAGAATTTCTTGCACAGCCTAACAAAAGACTTGAGTTCTTTGTTTATCAACAACATTTATGTTTGTCGTCATCCGTTGTTCCCATTAATTATCATAAGGATACAAGTGTTTGATCTTCAGCCCACAATTGCTTTACAAAGTTCCACCAAACCGCATATATCGTCTCATAAACCGTACTTTCTTGCAATTCCGCTAAATTCACCCCATATAATTCATACTCCTGGTGATGATATGATAACAAATATAGTGATGCAAACAGTTGAAAGAAGCTTGCCTCAAAATCCAATGAACTTGCTACGCTTGATCACCGATGACAAACAAAAACCCATAAGATCCTTAGAGTCAATGCATATCTTAAAGGGTAGCTCAAGGTTTGCCAACAGTTTGGGTGTGTGGTCATCGTATGCAGATGGCGTGGCTGATATATTACCTTTAGACAAAATAGAAGGTCATGCTACTCTCAAGGAAATTGAGCAACAAAAACAGTTAGAAAACGAAACATCAGAAGAAGCTGCCATGACACACTTAAAAGAACTTGCTAACTTGAGATTTAAAGGCTCAAAGTCTGGTAAAATGAAATCTTCAAAATTGTATGACGATAACAAAACTACTGAGCAAAGAAGAAGTAAACGAATCATGCATTTGACAAACGAAATTGACGGCGAATCTTCAGATGAAGAATCAACAGAGAAAAGTGAGTTTACATCAATCGCTCCTATTCAATACGCAGAATTCTTAATCAAAGAACCTTTTGCTGATAAAGATCAGTCTACAAACGAATTCCAACAATCTGAGGATGAAAACGAAACTAATTCATTCATTAAATTAAAACTCACTGGTACTGATGTGTTTGCTGGCCTACACGAATTATCTGTACTTACTACTAACGAACATGAAAAGATCTTGGACCCGACAACAATTCCAGGATGGCTTACAGGAGAGGATGGTCGCAGCAATGGTATCGTTAAAAACGGGAACTTTATTCCCACCGATTGAAGTAATGCATTCATTAATGATTTTACGTAATTTTCATTTCTTGATAGATAAAATACACAAATCTAAAAACCTAATCTATTCAAATAACTCTTTATTTTGTCTCTGGATATTCTATCATTCATTGCTTCAGCTCTGATTAAAACCCTTTGAAGCAATTCAGCATCTTTATTCTTAAAGGCTTCATTAGCTCCCAGTGAAATATCCCCATTTTGTAAATATAATTCGGTTTTTTCATCATAACCAAGATCATTACTACTCTCAATATATATTGATATTTGATCTTGGGGTGCTTTATGAAACATGCAGGTTTTAATAATTGGTCCAAATCCAATTGGCGATTTCAAATGGTTTGTCGATTGACTATTATCAGTGATAAATTTATAAAGCTTGGTAAACTCGCCTTCTTGAGCATAAGTCTGTAGAACTAAATGCCAAAATTTCTGTTGAGAAACCTTCATATCTTTTACAATCTTATTTGCTTGCTTCAATTGATTCATTTTGATTAGTTTTCTCAAGATGTCAAGCAAAGATTTTTCACTGTAAAAAGATTTTTGGTAGGTCTCTGTAAGTCTCCTTTTTAATTCAAGAATTTGTAGTTCCGTTTGGAAAAATTTAGCTGAGCTTTTAGATGCGGATCTTCCAGTAAATTTGGACAATCTAGATTTATACTCTTCATGGTAGGCCTCATTTTGAGAATTATCAACTATATCATTAGAACTGTGTTTGTCGTTCCCTTTGATAAATTCCTTCAACTTGATCGTATCAAATTGCACCTTTTTATCTTCTTCTAAGAGGTATCTTTCAAGGATTTTAGGCGTTGATTTACCAATACTATTTACCCAAAAATTACCAATTAAATCTCCTGAAACAAATAAATTTTCATTATTGACAAGTTTCAAGATTTTTGGATCATCAACTTCATTCAATGAAGTATCCTTGATCAAGCCTTTTTGTTCATTTTGATTCAATATTTTGAAAAATTGGGATGTGGTTAGCTCTTTTTGTAGATATAGTAAGATCAAACGACATAAATCGTAATTTCCTGATTGGAAAGACTTTACTAAAGCTAATTCAATCTCTTCAAATTGGAGGAAGTACTCGATTCTTTTGTCAATAGACGGTTCTAAATTGATTAATAGTTTACATAAATCTATTCTTCCCTCCTCAAATGCAGTGTTTGAAATGTCTTTAATGGATATTAAGTTTTTAGCTGACTTATTTGATGAGCCATCTAACAATTTATTAACTATTATTTTAAATAGTTCCATGTCAGACATATTAAGTTCTTTTTTGATCTTGTTCGAGCACCAATATACATATACTGTATCGGAAAGGTTTTGCAATCCAAGAATATCAATTATTTTGAGTGAAAGATAATACTGGTCTCTTCTCAACAACATTTCGATCACTCTTTCCCATCCTACCAACAACAACTGATTATAAGTGAAGAATAAACCAATCTCGCTTGACCTAAGTTGGTTCAAGACTTTGAGATAGTTCAAAACTTCAAGGTATTCTTCAGCATTATAAAATTCATCATTATAGATGTTACCGAATGAGACAGCTTTCAATATTTTTTTCTGCCAGTATGGTTGAAACTCATCAAGAGATGCATTTAAACATTCTTTCATGGCCAGCAATAATGCATGATCTGACTTAAGTAAAGAAATGCTAGTGTCAGCTTTGGAAGAATGTTGTACGACCTTATCAACACAGTCAAGTAGAATGCTGCATGGATGAGAAGACCCAATTTGATACAAATTGACACAGGAGTCTGGAACTCTGCTAAGAAATTCAACTTTATTGGTGGTGATGATTTTGAGTCCATCGACTTCTGTTTTAATGATAGGAATGGTAAAAGACAAATCATTATTATCTTTAAGAATCAAGTCCAAATTCACGTCTTCCTCTTCTATGATGTCATAAAAAAAGGAAATTGATCTTTGACCAGGGCCAACTAATTTAATTTCGTCTCTCAAAGAAAGAACGATTGCATCATTCCCACACCATTCTACTTGGTATGGAGAGCTTGAATCATTAGATGTATCATACTCCAATAAAACCTGATTGAAACTGTTATTTATTACAAATATTTTGCATAATTCAGAATTGAACAAGGCAATCAATGAGCCATTGGGTGAGGCGGAAATTTGATTGAAAGACCCGTCGGTAAGTTCGTGGTCTACCAACTCGTAAGAGCTACTGCTGAAATCAATTTTAAATGAAACAACAGACCTTTCATAACTCAAGAGAATAATTAAAACCTCATTTTCATAAGAAAGCGGACATATATAGTGAATTTGATCCAAATCAAGTCCAGAAAAAGTTGCTTCATAATTAATGAAAGAATCCAAATCCGTTATAATAAAGCGATCTTTCAATTTCAAAATCAAAAACTTATTCCAAGTGGTAGCTTCTAAAACATGAAATATTTCTTCAGTTTCATTATTTTCCAAATTAGTTATAAGTGCCAGCTTATAGTTTGGACTGCGGTCTCTCTGAGCAGTTGATCGAGCATCTCGCAATGCAATTAGATCTTGGGTGTAGTTATGTTCGCTGAAATTTCCTTTAAAGTCAGTATAGTATCGAAATTTGTGATTATTCAATATAACACAGAGATTTTCGTCCTTGAACATTATATCCACAATATGGTCACTGGGACTGCTATTATACACAACAGACCATAGTTTTGTTCCGCTGATGGAGTATATGTCCACCAAGTTTGGATGGGGAACAAATTTAGAAGTTAATGCAATCAAACTAGTATCTGGAGAAATTGTTACCTTATAATTGGAATGTAGGTTATCAATTGACCAATTCAACGTCTCGTAACAGGGCCTGTTACAATAATACACATCTTGGAGCTTCTGCCAATTCAGACTAGGGTTTGCCAGCATGACTATGTGTATTTGATCTTGTAATTGAAGAAGTTATCCCTGACTGCTTTTTTTTAGGTGCTCATTTTTGTTGATAATTTTTCAAACTTCAAGACCAAGTTTGTCTTTACTTTAGTCAGATTCCTTTCACAACGAATTACAGTATACCTACAATCCAGTATGTCCGGAACAGAAGAGTCCTCTTACGTTACCTTGGTATCGGCTGACAACCATAAGTTCATTGTACTCAAGGAGGTTGCGCTGATTTCATCAGTGTTGAGAAGTACCCAAGGTTTTGGTGAAGGGAGAACGGGTAAGATCTCCTTGGACATGGACGGTGATATCCTCGAGTGCATCGTGGATTACCTTTACTACCACTACAAGTATAAGGACTTGGCAGAATCGGGAAATATACCTGAGTTCAATATACCTACTCATCTTGCATTAGAACTTCTAGTGAAGGCCGATTTCTTAGATATTTAAGTGGATAGCTGTCGAAAAAAGACTCACAAGATATCTCCTTTACTTGTCAAGTACGAAGTCACATCACCGTGATACGTGAATTGACGAATAGATAGCCAAACTACTGGATCAGCTTCCGAGACATAATTGGATTGCTCAGAAAGGCTTGCCTCTTTACGACGGGACGAACGTGTATAATCATATCAAAAACAAAAACAAATACATAGTCAACAATGATATAGCCAGAAATATACTATCTAGTGCTTACGCTTGTTTGTAGACCCCATAGTGTTGAATCTTGCAAGTTGTTAAGGACTCTTCCTGTACAGTGTGGGAAAACCGATAAGGACCGTACAAAGGTATAAGGGAGAAAAATGATTACCTCTACTACTACTACTATTACTATTACTTCTAATCATTGGTTCCTTCGATTCACACACTCAGCATGAGTACGGCTCTTTTAGATAACCTAACGACAGAGGTGGTGGCGCTCAATGAGGCTGGAACCACGACATTCAGTGATATTGCTAGCGAATCGCAAGACTTTCTTAACGAATTGAAACTGATTGAGTCCTCTCTAGAAGAACAACTACGGTCAGAGGAAAGCCAGGAGAGTGTGTCGGATACGTTTGATGTCAAGCTATTGGAGAATTGCACAGATACTTGGTACAAGAAGTCCATATCCAGTCTTAAAGGGTACAATTCACAAATCAATAAATTTCTGAAGAATATACTTAATAATAGCAGATACAATATCGATTTAGATGAGTCTTATACGTATCCGTTAAACTTGCATAACTACCCAATTAAAGACCCAAAGAAGAACCCTACCACTGGAGAAGTTCTGGAAGGCACGATTGAGTATATAAAGGGAGAAAATCAAATGGAGTTATTGAAAGCAATTATATTGCATTTACTTAAAATTGGCCAGTGTGACATTGTCAGGGAGTTGGTTAAGGAGATGTTTCCCAACGATGAAGTTGTTATTGAAAACGAACTCCTAGCCAAATTTAAATTATTGAATGAAATAGTTGATGATATCACAATTCGTCATGATTTGACTAGAGTATTGCAGTGGTTTAAAGATAAGTATAATAAGAATGTGGCCCTATCTTCGGGTATAAGCCAATTAACAAATGCAAGTCCACTGTCCAATTACGATGAGATTGAATTCAAATTCCATATCTTACAATTTATATTGCTACTAAACGGTGATAAAGATAATCCATCAACCACTAGTCTTGACTCTGCCGCTGAAGCTTACATGTATTCCAAAGAATATTTCCCCAGATTCTCCAAAGAATATATCCACGAATTATCACCACTCATGACTCTTTTGTTGTTCAAAACAGATCGAGATAGTGATGATGATTTTGCTAAGAAACATGTTTTCAGCCTTTTGACCGATCTAGCCAACAAAATGAAGCAAACTTACGATCTATATAAAGAAAAGAAGAAAGATCGTGCAAGCGAATCCCAATTTTTAGGTGAATTATTAGCTAACTTCCAAAATATTCATCTGCAACAACATTTATTTATAAATCTATCAAATGAATTTATATCCGAATACTGTAAGGATATGAAGTTATCCAATGACTCTTCACTTTTCCAAGCAATGTTGGCTGGTTTCATCAATCTACCAAATTTTCAAAAATACAGTCTGCTTCAAAAGAAATTGGGCAAAACTTCCAAAGCTTCGGTATCGTTGGATTCCGCTGCTAGACCAGATATTAATCCTGGGAACAACAATCCCCCCACTAACAGAGCGACCGGTGACTCAAACATTAAAAGGGTTAATGTTGAAGCACCCTATAACTTTGATCTACCATTTCTGCTTCCTGATTCCAATAGGTTTTTATTTAAATATCATCCAATTTTCATTTGTCCTGTTTCTAAAGAACAGCTTATACCACTAACCACCAATAGTTCGTCACTATCCGAAGCAGAACACAAGAGAAAGAAAAAGAAGAAAGGCTCAAACGACCCAGACCCTTTGAATTTCGTATACAACCCAGTCGTGGTGCTAGAGCATTGTCAGCATTTGGCTTTGAGAGACAGTATTTGGCAATTATCCAAAAGAGGTGCAGATAACTTTAAGTGTCATTATTGCTATAAAAAGCACCAGTTTTCCGATGTCAGTGATGGGTATTTCATTGATCTCTAATCTCCTCTCCTCATGATTTATGTATTTGCAATTAATTCCATCTTTTGATGTCTTTTGTAGAAAGCAGCAAAAAAACGGCCTAACAAAACAAAAAAAAAAGAACTGAAAAAAATTTTTCCCTTAAAAAACAGCCTAATCTTCTTCTCTTCTAACCAAATAAGCATGACGAAACTTAGTACTAAGGATAAGAATGCTGCTGATATAGAAGCACTTACCTCACAAGAGTCAATTTTGGGAGAACCGTGGGTTCCAATATACAAGACATCGGTTGGTTTCGAAGCTCATCATTTTGAAACTGCAATGTCAAATCTAATCAGACAACCAAATATAAACTCGACAGTGATTATGAGGGCTGATATTTTGAAGGAAAATGTATATGACTCCCAGAAGGGAGATTTCACATTTGTAAGCAAGCAAATAAACGAGATTCCTGAATTTCCCACATCAGATAAACCAGAAGATATTATTCTACATCGATATTTGGATGATGTTGATTTGAAAAATTGCCCTTTGGACCAAAGCAAAATCAAATTACAAGTGAAGAATGAAATAATAAGAAGAATAGTACCTAGAAATCCATTCAAAGACCACTTGATTAATCAAACATGTTTGGTTTTCACCAGTCCTCCAAATACAGCTAAGGAAGATGAATCAGTCTTAGTAGTTTACATACCGCATATTAAAACCAGTGACGAGATTCCATTTTATTTACCACCAGTTTACGGGGTTGGGATATTGTTTAGTAAATCATCACTTTCAATACATTACTTACCATTTGATCATACTCAAAATGCAAGCTCTTTAAGAAACTTGGAGCATACTGAAAGACCAATAAGAATTGCCCTTAGATTACTACAAACTTCAAGCAAGCATGCACATGGGGCTCAAGTCGGATATGAAAAAAGGGTTAATCACGATTTGGTTGTACCCAAGATTGAATTTCAAAATAGATATATAAGTTTGAAGAAGAAATATTCATCACATCTTGTTAACCAATGGTGTGAAAGCACTGATCCTAAGAAACATGTTTTCGAAGACCTAGCCATCGCAGCCTTTTTAATTGAGTTTTGGAGAATGAAGTACACTAATAAAGATGAATTCGAATTTCGTGATTTGGGTTGCGGTAATGGATTGTTAGTCTATATTTTAAACCAAGAAGGTTATAAAGGGAAAGGAATTGACGCAAGAGCAAGAAAGTCTTGGTCGATATATCCCAAAGAAACTCAAGATAACTTATTGGAGCAGATCATTATTCCAAGTGTATTATTAAAACCCCATCCTGCCGTGGCTAAGCTTGCTCCACATATCAAAGATAATGGAAGATTTTTCCAAGTCCCTGAACTCTCTTCCAATCATCAATCCCCCGATGAAACTGCTCGGGGGAACGTACCATTAATGTCTTACTATTCATCGGCCAATTTATTACAATCTTCCCAGGTATGTACAACCGACGAGTTCCCACCAAACACCTTCATCATTGGTAACCATTCAGACGAGCTCACTTGTTGGATCCCCTTATTAGGCTTCCCATTTATCGTAATTCCATGCTGCTCACATGCTTTATCGGGAGCTAAATTCAGATACGGTCCACGGAAACAAATCAATCAGACCAACCACAAACAAAACAAAGTGATCCAGAAACAAAGCAACCAGAAACAAAATCAAGATCAGAAAACCTCCACTTACGGTGCCTTGGTAGATCACGTTGAGGATCTCTCAAAGCAAATGGGCTGGACGGTTGCAAAAGAAATGTTGAGAATTCCAAGTACCAGAAATGCAGCCATAATTGGTACAAAAAAAGTAGCTGAAGCATCAAATGAGTCCCATGACTCCATGCAGACCAGGGTCTTGGACATTCTAGCCTTGGAAGGAGGTGCTGAAGGCTGGGTCGAAAACACCATGATGTTAATGAAAAAGAGTCCTAGAAACCATTAATTCCTAAATAGCTAGTCCTAATAGATTTTTATAGACACTTATCGCTTCGCAGCTCTTGTAGGCCCCTCTCCACATTATTGTAGCTACCAAAGGACTAAGAAAGGGTCGAGAAGGGCCCAATAACGGCCTGAGCTAAGTCTTTAGAGGTTTTTTTTGCAATAAAAGACTATTAAGCAAGGGCGTCATCCTGCACACAAACGGGGACGATTGTTCGTTCTCTTTTTTTCCCTTTAGATTAAAATAGAAAAAATTGAAAAAAGACAAGAACCCACCATTTTACCAGGTTTTAATCAACTTAAAAAGGTATACTAGAGGTAATTACTGAGGAAAATGGCAGGATCGTCATCACAGTATGTATAGCTGAAAGAAAAGTGGAGGAAAAAGTGAATGATTTCTGAGGAAATCGCAAGTTCGCTACTGATTTATGACTCGATACTAACCAGATTAGATTTCAACAACTTGAAAAATTAGGGGAAGGTACTTATGCTACTGTTTACAAAGGTAGAAATAGAGCTACTGGTGCTTTGGTTGCATTGAAGGAGATCAGTTTGGATTCCGAAGAGGGGACCCCATCAACTGCAATACGTGAAATATCATTAATGAAGGAATTAGATTGTGAAAATATTGTTTCATTATATGATGTTATACATACTGAAAATAAATTGACTTTAGTTTTTGAATATTTAAATAAAGATTTGAAACATTATATGGAAGCACATGGTAATAATGGGGCATTAGATTTGAAGACTGTTAAATCATTCATGTTTCAATTATTGAAAGGGATTATGTTTTGTCATGATAATAGTGTTTTACATCGTGATTTAAAACCACAAAATTTATTAATTAATAATGAAGGACAGTTGAAACTAGGAGATTTTGGTTTAGCAAGAGCATTTGGTATTCCTTTTAATACCTTTTCAAATGAAGTTGTTACTTTATGGTATAGAGCACCTGATGTTCTTTTAGGCTCTAGAGCTTATACTACTTCCATTGATATTTGGTCTGCTGGCTGTATATTTGCAGAAATGTGTACTGGTAAACCATTATTCCCAGGTACTGCAAATGAAGATCAATTAATAAAAATATTTAGATTAATGGGGACTCCCAACGAAAGAACTTGGCCAGGTATTAGTCAATATGCAAATTATAAAAGTAATTGGCAAATTTTCGTTCCTCAAGATTTAAGAAGTTTAATACCAAATTTAGATTCCATGGGATTAAACTTATTAACAAGTTTATTACAAATGAGACCAGATGCAAGAATTACTGCAAGACAAGCTTTACAACATCCTTGGTTTCATGAATTAGCAAACCCAAATCCTTTATTACAGCTGTTACCTGATCCATACCAACAACAAGCCCCTCAACAACAAAATATAATTGAAGGTGGTCAACATTACTGAAACAGCATTGTAAAATAAATTCAATTCTTTCTAGTCTCACACATAATAGTCAATATATATATATATAAATATATTATTTTAATCATTATATTCATTATTAGAGTGTTCCCACATTAAATCACCGGGTGGGTCTCTAAATTGTAATAGGAAATCTAATAGAAATGGTGACTTATCTTTCAATGATTTCCATAATTCAGAATCGTTTGAAAAATTTGGTAATTGATAAAATTCATTTATATAGTATTTGAGCACACTAAACCAACGTTTCATTTCAACTTGATGAGATTTCCCATGTTCTCCTTCGATTTTAGTTGGCCATTTCTTAATATTGAAATCTTTCATTCGATCATTTACTTTACTGAAAAGCAAAGCTAAATTTTTTACCTCAAAGTTCCCAATAGCCCTTTCCATAAAAACTTTGTAATTATTTAAGAAAATTTTTGGATGATTTTCAAGATACTGTTCAAGAACTTCTCCTCCGTTCGGTATCCAAAAATTCTCCTTAGTTAATAAATTGATGACTATATCGCTTTTCATTTTCGAATAGTTTTTGAAAAAGTATGATGGCAAACATATATGATCATTGATATCACCATCGTACTCTGCGCTTGTTTTTGCTAAGAGTTCATGTTCTTCTTCCAAAGATTTGACTTGATTTTGTAAAAATATACGATGTTCGATTGATTCTTCACTAGTTTGATCAAACTCGTAGTTTGCCAACTTATCTTTAGCCACAAGGTACTCAATGTTTTTTAAATGCTTTTTGAAACTATAATCAAGACGAATATTTTCCTTTTCGATGTCTTTTTTCGATAACACAGTTGAATAAAAACGATTCTCTTTATTTAAATCAATTATAGATGAATGCATGAACTTATAATTAAAAGCAGCCAAATCGATTGCGTATGGACTCTTTTCGCTATTATCAAGTAGCTCCCTAAAGAATTGATACCTTTCTTTCAATTCATGATCATTGCATTCATAAACATACGATTCCATTTCCTTCAATTGCGAACGATAACAATCAAAGTCAATTCCTTTAATCACGTCATACACGAAATTGTATTTCAAGAAGCTTATCAAAAAATTTAAATTGGGAATCTTAGTACCAATTTCGCCCCATTTCTTTAGAACATGTCTGAAGTTGTAATTCAAATCACTATTCAAGTTTTTATTAAGTAAGGGTAAATTGTTATCTTTGCCGGCGTATATGAAGATCCTTTCGAGGATTTCTTTTGGGAATCTCTCTAATATCGATAAACTTTTATCATTTTGTTTCTGTAATATGGATTCATTGGACGCCGTTGTTGATTCATTTTTTTGAAGTTGCATTAATTCCATTCGTTTTCTCTGTGATACCCTTAGGCTTGCCGGTAGCGGTCCATTTGGCTTTAGCCAATTAGACCTGGGTTTGTTATTCTCTTTCTTAGGATTAGAGCTTCGCTGAACTAGCTTTCCTGTTAGTATAAACCCCATTATCTGAAGAGATGATATGGTCGATTTTTATTTTTATTTTTTTTTTTTTTCTTTATATATATATTTTTTTTTTTCACTACAAGTTTATACTGCGAAAAACATATAACGACTAAAGACTATGCTATTACAATAGATTAAACAAGTGTATACATTATAAATAAAGACATAAGACTATTTAGAATCAAAGTTAGATCTTACCAGCAGCTTTTTCTTTGAATTGATCTTCGGTAACACCAGCACCCATGGCAGCAGTAGAAGTGACACCACCACTAACCATCTTCAATAAACCATCAATGTATTCAGCACCAGACCATTTTTGATGTTTGACAACTTCAACACCTTTTTCGATTTCTGGTTGTTGAACGGTTTGACCGTAGGCTCTCATACCAATTTGGGAGTATTGATTAGCAAAGTCATCAACAGCCAAAGCAGTAGTATGTAACCCAGCCAAGGTAATGAATTGCCAAACATAACCCAATTTACCCAATCTCTTGATATAGGTTTCTTGTTCATCAGCAGGCATTGCTCTATTCCAGTTGAAGGAAGGAGACAAGTTATAAGCCAACCATTGATCAGGGTATTTGGATTTGACACCGTCAGCAAATTCTTTAGCTTGATTGAAATCAGGTAAAGCAGATTCCATCCAGATTAAATCAGCATAAGGAGCAAAAGCTCTACCTCTCATAACAGCACATTGAGTACCACCAAGATATCTATAATAACCTTCTCTAGCTCTGGAAACATCCCAATTAAAGTAAATATCTTTACCTAATAATTCTTTGGCCAATTTTCTGGCTTCTTTATTAGAAGTTTCAGATAATGGATTAACTTTATCGGTGAATTTTTTAATCAAGGCGTCTTTATTTGAATAAGAGCCCGATTTGATTTCATCAATGACTGCTTCACTGAATAATTTAACCCCGGCAGTTTTATTCCATTCAGTTTCGATGGCAGCCAATTTTTCACCGTAGATACCACTAGCTTCAGCTTCAGCCATCAAGGTAGCCAAGTCTGGAGAGTTTGGATTAGTGGCACCAGCAATGAAATAGTGGTCTCTGTGGTCAATAGAAGAGGTAATCAAGGTGGCAGCTTCCGAATCGGTTCTGGCAACAGCCAATAAGTCGGTACCCAAGATATCGGCAGAGGCTCTAATGGCAACCAAACGGTTAATGTGTTCTTGCACAGGAACCAAAACCTTACCGGCCATATGACCACATTTCTTGGTACCCGGAGCTTGATCTTCGATATGAATACCAGCAGCACCACGTTCAATAAATAACTTGGTCAACTTGATAATAGCAGTCAACCCCCCATGACCAGTGTCGGCATCAGCGATAATTGGTCTTAAGAAGTCAGTGTATGGAGTCTTAGCACGTTCTTCCTTGGATAAACTCAAACGTTCTTCTCTTTGTTTTCTATCGTGGAATAATTGCGCAAACCATAAATGTTCAACCTTGTTTGGAACGGTATCGTATGGATAATCAGCCAAATCCGGAGATGGTTCATTGGAAGTGGAAGCAGTAGATGAACATTGCCATCCCGAAACATAAATGGTATCCAAGTACTTGGCCATTTGAGCAACGTGAATAGGATCTAAAGCACCAAAAGTGAAACTAACACTCTTATTTTTATCGTGTTCTTCTAATAATTTAAACAACTTCTTGGATTGACTATTAGATGGATATTCAACCTTCAAACTAGATCTCTTCTTAGCAATTTCTTCGGGAGTATAGATTCTCTTGGTCTTTCTCCAACGAGGTTGGGACCACCATTGGGTGATCTCTTTAACTTGGTTTTGGAAGAACTGTTCTTCTTCGTTAATGTCAATCTTAGTGTATGCCATCTTGAAACTAGTGGGTTATACTATTTCTACATCGAAAAAGGTAAGCCCAGCTGGAAACCACTCTATTTATATAATTTCCACCTTAACTTGCTAATTATGTCACTGTACCCCAGATTCACCGTCGAAAAAAAAAAAAAAAATTGAATAAATAGACTTCCGTTTATCCACCAACACCAGCTTATACTCGCCTCGGATGAAGGGACCACTGGGCCCCATACTTAAGCAGGTGAATCATCCCGTGACTCAAACCCTTCACCGTGAGTCGGCTCCGACGCCCACTGCCCGCTTAATCCCGAGGCTCCCCCAGGCTCATGTGACTAAGGCCATGACTAGAACAACTAGAACAACTACAAATACTACAACTACAACTACAACCACTACAACTTCAGTGAGACTTGTAATATCGGTATTGTATCAGAAGTTTAATGATTGGATCGAGTGCCAATCGGACATGTAGTTCCAGTGGGCAGATGAACAAATATCCGAATCAACTCGGATCCTGCTAGGGGCATAACCCCTTTACTGCTATTCGGTTAGCCAATTCTCGGAGTTTCAAATCAAGTGAAGTCTGGGGAACTGCGAAGGTCCGAGGCTCCGCAACTCCGGAGCAGTTTCTGGGGTATGGAGGTTTGTGCGCGTCACGTGACGCGGTTTACAAGTACGCTTTGCCTACTGTTAGAGTGACATCAAAGAATAAAGATGGAGTATGGCAAGAATAACTATCTGTGGAGTGCTGAATGGGAGCTCTTCTCTTACAGGCATGTTCTATTACAGACATGTTCTATTACAGGTATAACTCATTGCATGGTTCTATTACAGGCATGTTCTATTACA